TGTGGCGATCAGACTAAGTAGTTAGAAAACGTTTTCAAAACATATAGAACTCGATTTGCATACGTTCTTCATTCGGCCCTTAACTCCATCCTTGACCTTAATGCCATGACCACCATTTTCAATATCGCGACGAACATGTGCCCGCAAGGCATTGGTGCTTTCATACTTATGCTGTGTAAAACAATTAGAAAACATTTAGAAAACGGTAGGGAATTGAAGGAATTTACTGTAACAGAGCACATAACACCCTCGTCATCTGCATATCTGCAGAACATCTCACCAGCCGGAATCACTGGCATGCCCTTTTAACACAGTTAGACAATACTCAGAAAACGTTTAAAAAACACTTACATCCTCAATAACCCATGCACTAACACCGGTTGGACGATCAGCTGAGTTGGTATAGGCATTGGCGCGATCGTCAACAGACAATGGTGCCATGGTGTAAAACGTTTAGAAAACGGTTGGAAAATACGTTGAAAATACGTTGAAAATAATCTAAAATCAGTCAGTAAATGCACTAAGTAGTGATGGGGACGTATCCAAARTGAGGTAAAGGTGAAAGTGAAGGGGTAGGGCAAAGGTCAGATTTGGTGAATTCGCGACAATGCGCAAAGCCACCAAAGCTGCCATTTTTGTTGTTTTTGAATCTGCGCGTTAGATATATGATATAATTGAGTAAAGATCGATAAATAATATATATTATACTCACTTTGAGGAGGTAGGGGTGGCTGGTGGTGGTGGAGGTGGACGGGATGGGAGAGGTGGAGTTGGTAGGGATGGTGGAGGTGGATTTCAGATTGATTGGAAAACGAGTTGCTGGCTAGGCTCAATTGGGCCTAGCCCTGCATTAGTCGCTAGGACCATGAATTAGGGCGCCACAAGCACTTGGTAAGCATTTGAAAAACGTTTTATAAATGTTCTATGTAGAGTCACGTGTGGTCATCGGAGCTCGGATGACCGGTCATATGAGCACTGCCTAGCATTACCCGAGCCTCAGGCTATAAGGTTGGCGTTCGTAACATATATCCGCAAAAATACTATTTAACTTATAACTAGAAGTATACTAAATAGTAGTTTATCTAGCTAATAGACGTCTAATATTAACTCTCTCCTAGAAAACACTTTTTGAGTTAATTAAAGGATATAAGTTTAAGCTAAAATACTTACACTTATTTAGCTGTAAAATATACGCTTTAATTAAAAGTATACTAAAGTCCTAAAAGATACGTCCAAAAGCTTATATTAAATATTTTATAAACTATTCGTCGACTAATATATTCCGAATTTAAGTCCTATTATTAGAGAAAGTAGTAAAGATTAGGGACGCGACGTTTAACTACAAAAGCTTTTACTAGCTAGGTAATATTGATCTAAACTTTGTATTACACTAAGAGGAGGAAGTTATTGAGAGTCTTCAGCTCTTAGACAATATAATCGCTGAAAAAGAAGTAGATATAGATTCAGATACTATTATTATTGACGTTCCATTTCTGCCGGCAGAAACAACTACTCTTAGTACTCCCGAGGATCAACTAACTAATCAGGAAGCCGAGAATACAATTACTCAGTAACCGACAGCAGAAAACAAACAAGCGAATAATCAGGCAATGTATTACCCAACCCCAGAAGTTATACTAGATCTAATTTCAATTCCAACTTTACTACTAGCAAATCCAAGCCCTGATTCCACGATTGAAGCTACCTATAATGAAGGAACTACACCCCAATTAATAGATTCATCGTCTACAAGCCAAAATACAGTACTAAACAGTACAGAGAACTCAAATACCTACAGAAATAAAATTTCGTCCTACTTGGACGAAGAAAATATTATACAAAGACTAAGGAGCAAGAGACAGAGGAACGTATATACTACAGCACTCCTTAATACCTATCACTTATCAGAGTATAATATAGCTTTTAGAACTGCTTATTCGCTAGCTTCTACTCAAATACGTCTACATTATACTTAGTTTGAAAAAGAACCCAAGAACTAATATCAAATAATTCGTCACCCAAATACTACTAAATTCAGGAAAGTAGCCGACACCGAATTTAATACACTAAAGACTATAGAGACATTTGAATTCGTTCCGAAGTAGAATTATCAAATATAGAAACTACTCCTACTTACTTAGATATTCAAATACAAGCTCAATATAAATAGATTCCTGACTAAGTACAAAGCTAAACTCTATACTAAAAGAAACTTACAAAAGCTAGAATATTAGCAAGAAACTTACGCAGCAACCCTGGCCGCTCAAACCTTCAGATTTATAATAGCTCTAGTAGCTGGATTTAGCTTAGAGACTTACTAATATAATACTATTAATATATTTATTAACTCCAAGTTAGAACCTCCATTGTTATACAAGTGCCCTGAAGAGTATGAAGCTCCTAGCAAGCTGTTGTTGCTCTACAAGACTCTGTACAAGCTCAAAGAGTCGCCTTTACTTTAGTATAAAGAACTCACATCCACTTTAATCCAGTTAGGACTTTACCTTGTTCCTAGAGTTAATTACTTATACTCAAGCTCTTAGCTTACTTTATTCTTTTACGTGGATAACATCATTACTATTTTTACCCCAAAAGATACTATCAAAATAGACTAATTTGAAGCCAAATTGATAGCTAAATACTATTTACGCTTACTTAGAGAAGCTAATCACTTTCTTGGGATCAGAATCTTTAGAGAGCGTTCTACTAAGAAACTCTAGCTTGTTCAGGACTCATATATTCAAGATATAAGCTCCAAATTCAACGTCAATATCAATGCCAAAGCCCCATCTACTCTACTGCTAACTGGAGAATTAAGCCTTTATACTAGCCAAGTTACCCTTTAACAGATCTTTGCCTACTAGTAAAAAGTAAATAGTATCAATTACACTTCCGTTATTACACGTGCCGACGTGGCCAAAGTTATTTCCAGATTAGCCGAATTTCAGCTCAATCCTAGACCAAAACACCTTGCTGCTACCGACTACTTATTATAGTACTTAGAAAATAGTAAGAGATTAGCTATTAAATTCAATAACAACGTAACTCAATCCAAAAAGCTCTTTTCGGCATAGAGCGACGCAGCTTATAGGGATAATCCAACTACTAGATATAACTCAAATAGCTTTTACTTTAAACTCTTTAGTAGAGTAATCTACTATAAAGCTACTAAGCAAAAGACTGTTACTACGTCGAGTACTAAAGCAGAGCTCCTAGCTATCTCATTAGCTGCTAAAGAACTTATTTGGTAGAATAAACTCTTCAAAACTATCTAATTCGATTTCTAAGACGACTAATTATAGACGTTATACTATAATAATCAATAGACAATACGTTTTCTTATTATAGATATTCTATAGTTGGAGACTAAACTCAAGTATATTGATATCTATTAGTACTAGTTGTACTAAGAAGTACTTTCTAGGTCAATTAAAGTGGAGTAAGTACTTACTGCCAAAATAGTAGCAGATAAATTTACTAAAAGTTTATTTGCCCAAAAATATACCGAATTCGTACAGTAACTCAATATAGTAGATATCTCCAACAAACTCGACTCCAGAAATAAGCTTAATTAAGCTTTAAATAAGTCCTAATTAAGTAGTCGATCCCTGAAGAGGAGTATTAGAATATAGGAGTTATAGGAATTCCCTTGGCTAGCTAGTCAAACTACTTAAGCACCCCACTTAGCATTTCTCTACTACAAAGGAGAAATGAGATATRTGTACTCGCGATGAGCCGAATACACGGATATCATCGCATCCCATACTAATTAGTATGGCACATGATGATRGARGCCCTRGGAAGCTATTCGGATACTATCGGTATTATTTCCTTGAGTTACCTGATTGATTACCTGACCCCATATATTCATTTGCTTATATATGTGAGGCTTTCACCCCATAGTATTAGGCTTTGGAATCAATTCAATTACCCTATTCCATGACCCATTCTGACCAATCAATTACCTGTATTAAGTATACCAATTTGGGTCCCATTAATCAACACTATCTAAGCTCGGCTAACCTATAATTTTCTTCCGCGTCCTATAATAGGGTCGCCTAAACTAGACGCTAGTACGCGAGGGTAGTTAATAAGCTCTGCAGTTATCACACACGCTCAGCTCAGAGATCCTCCTCGAAATAGATCGCTTGCGGCCGAAAGTTTATCTTGCCTCACGGATCTCGGGCCGTGACTTAAGCACAAGTCCTATAGCTTGTGCCGGGAACCTCCCCGGCCTCTGGTTAGAGACCCTTGATCTCTGACAGCTCACTGGCTTGGCTGTGACCGTGCAACGTCGATCTCTGACGTTCTTCGGTGTAGTCTCTGAACCCGCATTCACTCGCCCCCCCTCCAATTTCTTTAGCTAGTGAGCTCTTTTTTCCAAGCGTCGGATCCTTCTACTAGGAAGATCGAGCGATAGAGATAGGCGTCGCAGACTATAAGCCTAAACAAAAACATAGAATGTAACTGGCTGCCAACGCCGGTGTTAGGCCCAAGCGTCCTCTTGCTGTCTGGGGATCATGCAGCCAAGTCATACCAAGCTTTGTTTGGTTTACTAGCACTACTGTTTTTCAGAATAGCATCGAATCAGAGACTTCGCTTTTGAAACCTTCAGACACCGTTCGTTGCCTGGCGAGACTCTTGTTTACCGCAATGACCATTCTTGTCATTCTGCCGGGGGGGTCAGAAGATGCGATTGGAGCTCCTCACGATCGCAATGTTGTTTGCTTAATACTTGGCAGCATCGGATGTTGCCATTCAAACTTACCGGAGGTGAAATATCGAGGCTCTTGATGATTTGATTTTGGCTGTTCACTTGCCTCCATATCTATAAAAAGAGCCCCTATGGCCCTTATGTTCCTCTCATCAAAGCATCAGCAGCTCAACACCAACCAGCCTTCTCTGTTACCTCTTCCTCTGCTTTCTTACTTTCTTAATAATTATCTCCTACGGATCTAGTATCCTCGTTAATTGATAGCTTTTGGTCTATCTCCATAGTAATGGGTTCCTTCAATGCCTTCAAGACCCTCATTGTGGTCGGTCTTATAACCACTGCCCACTTGGTTGACGCTCACGCTGCCATCATTAGCGCTGTCGGTGATGCCGGTGGCTCCGGAAGTGAGTAGACGACCCTCTGAACTTGAGTCAACCAACATTTTCGCTAACTACTTGAAGTGGCTCTCGGTGTTGACACCTCTACGCCTCGCGATGGAACTAGACGAAACCCCTTCCAGCAGGACGCGACCCGATTCAAGGGAGACCAGAAAGACACCTTTGGCGAGACTGTCGGCGCCGGCAACAACAAGCTCGAAGCTGGTACTTCTGCCATCATGGCCGAGACAGGCGATCAGCTTCCCCAGGTCACGCAGGGTGGCGAGATTAGCATGACTCTACATCAGGTTAATGCTGATGGCGGTGGCCCTTATACTTGCATGATGAACACGGACGGCACCGGCCAGACCTGGACTAATATTCAGGTTACTCAGTCCCCTCCTGGCAAGAACTCCCGGAACCGTGAGGGAGAAGCCACAGACTTCCCCCTGAAGGCCGCTATCCCGGCCAATGCTGATTGCTCTGGTGCCGTCGCTGGTCAGGAAGGCGTTTGCTTGGTTAGGTGCCAAAACGACGCTCGCGCTGGCCCCTTCGGCGGTGTCGTCCCAGTGCAGAGTAAGTAACCTGATATACCCTTTCTTTATCTCATTACTGACTGAAGGTCTCAGTGGCTAATACAACTGCTACTGCCGCACGCCGAGCCCGTACACTTACCTTTAAGCGATCAGATGGGCTGCTAACCAGGCTGGCGAAGCGAGACACTACATTTACTACGGAAGAGGAGGAGGAGGAGGAGGAGGAGGAGGAGGAGTAGGAGTAGGAGACACTGTAACGCCTCCTGCTATAGATCAATCGCCGCTGCCGCTGGGAGGCTGCTCGATACAAGAGATAAGGGGAGAATGAAAACCTATTGCTGCGATGTTAATGTTGATAGTGCTTTCACTCCTTTTCACTCATTTTTGCTAGATAATCACTGTATCTATAAGAGACGCTTAACTAGGCTGCACCATGTTCCTGATAGCTCTTTGGTCGGCGTGGCTAGTGCGATTCTGGTATTCTTATGTATATTCCGAGACGGTAGAAGTGGAAACAGCCTCGTTGCGAGGCGTTGATACGGCATGAGCATGGGAAGAGTCGGAGGTAGCGAGAGATGCAATAGAGCTCGTAGTTTAATACAATGTTAAACTGTAGTTCACGTACCCGAAGCTCTTTGCCGCCCGATTATAATGTTCTCAGAACTCTACGTACTCTGCTCTAAACTTTGTTAGTACGAGTATAGAGCTCTCTAGCCTCGATTTCTCCTTTGTCGCTGCTAAGTCCCCCTTTGTATATTGGTAGCAAAGCTCTCTTGCATATCGAATCATAGTATTGCGTATGATCTTAGAAAGAACAAATGGAAACAATGGGAGCTAACTACAAGGAATTAATTCAACGGTGAATACTTGTCTTACAATCATTAGTGATCCTATGCCGGCCCCACTCACCGGAGGGTTTTTTAGTCTTAATCATCTTCTTGCTGTTCTCGTCCTATAGATGTTTCATTTTTACCGGCTCCGATTGGGCCATGTTAAATGGGCGTGGTGATCGCACGGTCCGCACCGAGCCGGCCATTTAGAGGAGCGAATGTTTCAAGCTTGAATTATGTTATGTGGCGAAGGTCTCAGTCAACAGACTCAGTCTATGAAAAACTCATCACTCGTGACGTTTGTATCCTTTGGAGGAGGCCTCTGGAATCTACGCTGCTATTCAGCTCAAAGATCAGGGGCACAGTGTTGCCGTCGTGGAACGAAATGACCGGTTAGGCGGACGTGCGGAAATCGTGTACCTTCCCGATAGCAGCTTCATCAATTATGGAGTTGAAGCGGTATTCAATAACCCTATCTCGAATGAGTTTTTCGACCGACTTGGCCAAGCAGGCCTCGTGTGTCCAGGACGCATCATCTATAGGTACAGACTATAGTCTCATTAACAATTTATAAGTTATCCAAATATCTATATCGACTTAATCAAAAATTGAAAACTAATCTGGGTATCACGATTAAACGTGCAATTTATTACAGTTGAAGTGAATGAGACAAAATCCTAACTCACGCATGCACACTCGTACACGCACGACGCCTCAGAGCATCCTCCCTCACCGATGGCCGATGGAGCGACCAGTCTCTCGACCAGCATCTCGACTCGCCGGCTCCCAAGTTCGAATGCGAGCAGTGCGGCCGGACCTTCAGGACCGAACAGTCTCTCACCCAGCATCGTCAGTCCTTAGCCTAAAAAATGTCAATATGCGATCATTCCTTTGAGGTGAGCAGGAGCAGCGCGTCCGCGGAATAAGGCATCTACTCTCTACCTGAGAATGCCGTAGATCGTCGGTTCCTGCAGTTGCAATAACATTCAGGCCGAGATGGCCCCCCCCCGTGTTACCTTCATGGGGGTATCGTCATCCGCTCCAATCGGTTTAAGATCGCCCTCTTACATTGTCTGTTCGCTGTATGTGAAGGTACCAGATGTAAGAATTGAGGCAGAGTCTGTATGAATAGGGAAATAATCATACTCAAAGTCAAGCTGAATAACGACGTCGGTGAGACAGGTGGTCAACCGTTCGGAGCGTAAGACACTTCTGCTCCGGAGAAGAACGTATCCCGAGGGATTTCTTGGCAGCGTATCTGTGGCTGCCTAAGTAAATGCATAAGTTCTAGAAGAGAATTGATTAGCGTGTCTGTAGGTAAGCTGAATCTGAATCGGAAAACCACAGGTGTTGTGATTTTCCATTTTCACTTCCTCTTCCGGAGCCCCACCTTCTACTCTTGCATCCTTTTCGCACCACTTTTTCAAAGACTTGCAACACATTACAACATTGGTGACATCAACCAGTATTGGGTGACTGGGAGAAATGGTGCAAGGTTTGCGGATATCCCTCCGAAGGTGGATGCCCTTTCACGATACAACGAACCTCAATATACTACTCGGTGCCTTCTATTGTCCACGGTAGCGAACAGCGGAATGGCAAAAATCTGTCCCGCCCCAATTAAGTCCTTCGATACTTACAGACACATCTCTCTAAACTTTGGTTTTCTCGCTGTGGTTCTCTCCAGCTACGACCCTAGCGAATCAAAGCTCATACTGCAGTCAATATGGTAACACAAAACAAGGCTCGGGTTTAAAACCTCCCCATTTGATTTCGTTCACGTCTTCTGTGGGTGAATCATTCTATGCACATATTCTTAAGACAGCAGAGAATGTCAGCTCATATTTCCCCCCACAGAATTTGAATGACTGAGTTCGGAACTGATCCTACAGTGTTTACAGCGCCAAAAGTATTTGCCCAGGTCCATGCTTGGTGTACGTGCATTTACTTTTCTTTAAACAATTTTTCAATTCTTCAAGACAGTTCCTAAACACGCCGATCTGTATGCGTGCATATTTCAGCAATTCCCGTGTGGCATTGGGTACGGACAGAGGCATGACGGGTCACATGTGGGTTGCTTCCCAGTGAATTCTCCCGGTTAGGTATCACCCGTCCAAAACAAACAAATAACTCAGTTGATGAGTAGTCATTGTAGACGTGCTACGCTTCAGTCGAGGGTGGTCAGGTCCAGAGACTTGTGAGCTCAGAATTTGTTTACTACGAGCTCTGAAACTATAAGTATGGGCCCAATCCGCTACCTAATTCCTTCACATCCATCATCACTTCGATCACATCATCCAGCACTTTGTTAGAACTTCTCTTGTTCATAATGCTCGTCCCTTCAGCTGTTGTTGGCCTTGTTCTCGGCCTTTCTCAGATACTTGGCGTTGCTGCTTCTCCAGTCCAGAATGGCACCTCTTCCGATCCCTCATTCGACAACAGTCGCATCATCAACTATCATGACAAGCTCTTGTTGTCGCGTATCGACAAGTACTTTGTAGCTTTTACCACTGGCGATTACGACGCAATGAACGAGATGGAGGCCGATGACTTCCATATCACTGATATCCGTAAGAGATCTTTTACCCCTCCCTTAATCGATACCATTCTAACGTATTATTCTTCTGTAGCTCTTGCTATTGTCAGGTCACCCAAAGCAGCTTGGTACCAGCAGAACAAGGGGTTTAGCTCTCTCATGACGGATGTTAGAGTCCAGGCCATTTCCATTGCGGGCAGTTCTGCACCTGACTCATTCGCGGCCATGGAGAATGTGATTTGGTTCACATTGGCGGTTGACCCTCCGGAGGCAGCCAAGCCCGGCCTTCCCCCTGGAATCAAGAAGGGCGACACATCGGGTATGATCATGATGTCTGTGATATGGTGGAATGAGGAAGGAAAGATCTATCGCGAGCTGGAGTACGGGAGGCTGCTATATCCGGACTTTGATATCGATGCCTACAAGGTGTGGTAATGCGAAAGACCGCGACGATTTCCTGACAACATATTTCTAGTAATTAGGACTCTTGGATACAGATGGGCTATTAGGAGAAGGATAGTAGCACATAACGCCTGTACAGTCAGTAAATTATTCGCCAGTTGTGGCAATAATATTAATAATTATAATATTTTTATTTAAAAATGTGAACTGGGGAATTCAAGTGTTGCTGGAGAGCTAGTTGACTGCCAAATAATCGATCACAATCACAGTGATATATCGCTACCTTAAATAATTGCTCGTTTTGTTATTGTGACCTAGCGTAGAGCTGAGATCCTTATATCTTTGTTCAGTAGTATTAGTAAGAGAGGATTATTTAACTTTACTTAATACGTCATATCGATTACATATACTTTATATAGTGAAGCCTCGCTTCTATACTAGAGCAAGCCGCTCTTCGGGGGTATAAGTCTTCGGTCCTATTATACTCGATAGCTTAAAAGAAAACAGATAAAGTCGTAGGTAGAGGTGAAAGCGGGAAACTAACCCTTTATACTATTTTCTTAGCTCAGTAGTACTCACCCTGCTCACCCACTCACCTTGCTCACCTGGAGGTATCTAATGTCGCAGTATAACGCGTTGTAAATACGAGACCTATATTCTAGACGTCGAGATAGTCGAGGGTAGTCGAGGTAATCGCTTATCATAAAATAGAGGGCAAGGGCAGCGAGGCTCACCTGCTAGGCTGTATAGCACCGGTTGAACTATTAAACTAAGGATAGGCTCAGATGGGCAGATTAGTAGTTGGGTAGGTGACCACCAGCGAATATCTGCTGTTGTATATTTGTATATATATATATATATATATTTAAGTTTTAGAATGTAGATACTAGATATATTATAAAGTACTCGTCTGGTACTCGTCTGGTACTTGTTTATTTCCTATCTTTTTTGTCTAACAGTAATAGCGATAACTACTAATCAAGATTATCCCAGAGCGTAATACTATCTAGCAAGCTAGCTAGTACCCCGGTGTGTATTGTAGTTGGACAAAACCAATATTGGACTAAAGATATTTCTTATACTATGCTCTTTTTACAGCAAATGCCACTTGGAAAGTAAATGCAGGGTTGTAAGGGTGGGCAGGTTTCTTGTGGGGCATCTAACTCGAATTCTATGAATTGCCGGCAAAGGATGGCCTGGACGTGTATCCACAAGCCGTTTCTTAGATAGCTGCAAACCAGTTTCTTTTGAGCTTGGTATCCTTGATGAAAGGTCGGGTTTGTAGCTAGCGGTGTGCTTGCTTGGTTGCTGTGCTTGCTTGGTCTATGAAAAACCACTTCGGGTTTTCAGTAGCTCCTCGATGGATTTTTCATCCATGACACATACAGTGGCATATCGGTTATTGGACATAAACTCATAATATAACTGATATAGCAGTTCTTGTTCCCCCTTTATCTAAGATTTTAATACTTTCTTGAGAGTTGTCAAGCTTACTAAAAGCTCCCGATATCACTTGACGTTTGTCAAGGGAATATGAATTTATTTTTAGACTGGACATTTTCATATCAAATGTAAGGACTAGGTTGCTCAAGCCATCATAAACTCTAGTCTGGTTAACAGCAAGAAGGTAGTGAGCAAATCATTCCCTGTGTTCAGACCTCGGCCTGGTGACCTGGTAAGCACACTTGCCTTTTGCTTTTTCCGCACACTAGCTAATGCCACTCTGTAGAACCGCCAAAGGAGCAACATAGCAACCATCTATCCGAGACCGGAAAAAAGGGACAGTTGAAACGAGGTCACTACAACCTCCACTTCTGAGCACGTTCTTAAGCCCATAATCTCGGCAAGGGAAAGGGGGACGTTGACTGGGCCAAAGAGATGTTGGGGGCGGAAAACGCGGCGGAAAGCCAAGACAGGTTGGAACAGGAGGCTTCCGGCCTCGGACAAGAGGGCGGAAAGCGGAAGCGGGCAGCACTCGGAGGATACTACTGTATCTGTTGCTGGCGGCTCTTGGTTGGTCGATGTGGGAGAAAGTGAGATATGGCAGGGGGTGGAACTGCGCGTGGCGGAATAATGGCGGAATGTCGCATACTTTATTTTGGTGTGACCGCATCGTTGTCGGTGAGGTAGGAGTAGGAGTAATAATAGATATGCACCGAGGATTTGAATGTACTTGGGAATCAAGGGGGGAGCTAGGTAGATGGTTGGGTGCATTCTGCACCAGGTGCACTGCTGAAGCTGTGACCCGATGTGATGGGATATGTTCCAGATAGCTGCAGCCTCACCGACTTTCACTCGTGTGCGAAGTAGCATTCGATCCGTTTGCGAGGTATAAGAGAGTAAAATACTGTACTAAATGATAGATTTCGTGCCTATGGGCGAGGTGCACGAGGACTAAGTATTCGACAAACTGCGAGGCTATTAGTTGTCTCTTGTCTAGTTAACTCATTTACCTCACAATACGCAGAAATAGCTCCTGCTCCAAGCCACGGGTCGCGATAATAAAAGGCCCTTCACGATGATTGATGCTCTGAAACACCTGATGTGTACTTGGAGAATGACGGCATGGCGTCTGCAGTCTCCTTACTAACACTCCACGAGGTTGACTTTGTTTGGTTGTGGCTAAAGAAGTCATCCGTAGGATCGCAACCAGATGGTAAACGCATCGGCCTTTCTGCGCTCGGATTCAGGAGCACGAGCATGCGAGAACCAGAGCGGGAATTCGAGCGAGAACGGGGCCTCGTTTCTGTTTTTTGATATCCACCCAGGTGTACAGGACAACAGGTGGCCCTTATCGGTTATCGGTCTCCAGCCAGCCCATCGCTCCAAAAACCTGGAGTCGCAAGGTTCGACCAAGCCGCTGGAACAACTAGGCTGCGCCGCGACGGCGAAATCTCGAATCCGGATTCCTGGTCCTCGCCACGGTTTTGCCTCATTCCCCATGTGTTCTTGTGTTTGCTGAGCCAACAGGCCGAGGCACCGCGAACAAACGCAGCTTGTGCTCTAGGAGAACCAGTCCATCGGGGTCCGGGGATCCGTTCGCAAGTCGAGCTGTCTGTCTGCCTGGTCGACGACGCCGCTGTCCATTATTTGAGACTCTGAGAGGCTGTTGATCCCGGCCTATACACACATATGGTATACATATGAAATGAATGATCGCGCCGGAGACGTCATCTCCACACGACGCCTGGCTCGGACGCATCTCTCACCGCATCCAACACGCGCCGGCCCGTTCAATTTGTCGCAAAGCGTCGCGTGCCCGTGAGACAGTCTGGCTGCCGGCTCGTTCGTTCCACAGGGAAGCTCCTTGTTGATGCTCGCGGGAAATAATAGTCGGGGCCCTACGAGGCCTAGGACTAGAAGGGCTGCTACTCGTGTGCCATGCAGTTCCCTGCCCTGGAACCGTGATTAATATTCCCTTCGTCCTACTTACCGGTACCTTTGGCACGAATACTTCGTAGTACCAGAACTACCGGGAGCGTCTTGCCCTCTAGCCTCTCCGACCGGGTGGTACAGTGCTGCGGCGGGTTTCATCTCCACTGCGAATTGACCCGCGCCCGGTGGCCCGCGGGGCGTCCAGCAATTATGACCAAGTCGACCGGAGAAGGCGGTGGTTCTGTGGTGTGGTGAGATACCGAACCATCAGGTTATCATGAACTCATCTTGACGGCGGACGGCGGCGGATGGGCGGACTCTGTGACGGGGTTTGGTCCGAAACCATGAGGGAGAATGAGAATGAGAATGACCATGACAATGACCATGACCATGACCATGACCGCCATGGGAGATGCCGAAGAGAATAGAGTTTGGAGATATGCGAGTTTGTTTATCGGTGGCTTTTGATTACTACACTCCGTACAGGGCAGTGGCCGTGGCGAGTCGCAAAGAGGGGGATGTAGATGCAGATGCAGATGTAGATGTATACTTGCTACTTCGTACTTGTTTACTTCGTAGTTGTTACTTACATTTACATTCCATTTACATTCCATTGTCAATACTTGGTCGTATTCCATCTGATGCACTTGCTTGAGTCGCAAGTACCCAGGTACCCAGGTACAGTACCAAAGGTAATTGCGGCCTTAGGCCTCCACGAGACCACAGCCAATCTATCATTCCCAATTGTCGTTCACATTCAGATTTCGCATTCATCTTCACATTCACATTCACATTCGCATTCACATTCCTCACGGATCTCTGTGCCTCTTCCCACATTGTTATGATATTGTCCCAGTCCCAGTCCCAGTCCCAGTCCCACAATCCGATACATATACGGCACATGGGCCCCCCCCACATGGAAGTACCGCGCTGCACCGGCACTACTACCGCTGATGTTCCCAGTGGCGACGGCTCTGACGGGTCACTTCAAAGTACTCTCTACCTACTAAATAAATAAGCTACGAGCTACGAGTTGCCAGATACGAGTTGCGTTGCGCCTCCGACTGTCCTTATTTACCCATCGTCGCCCGGGGACCACGATTAGCCCTCGGTCCGTCAAGCAGCCAGACTGCCAGTGCTTCATCCCAAGTATCTATTGATTAATCCGATTCGTCTGTGGGCGAGGAAGGAAGAGCGACGAGGCGCACTTGGAATACAAGCAAGCAGAAGCACAAGTGTCCAGCTACACCAAACCACTATCACCACCACCACCACCTCCACGACACCACAACTGCAACAACCAACAACAACGAGAAGAAGACGCGCCCTGACCAGCGGACGCTTATTTACAGGTGGCACCTTACTCGCTGCAGAAGCTGACAAGACCACGAAATCCTCCGTCAAACAGCCAAACCAAGCCCGCAGTAGTGAGAGGTAGATTCGGGTTCCTGTTACTTATTACTCGCTGGCCTTGCAAGGTCCACCCTCCATCCTTGCGCGCTTCCTCGACAAGACCGACAGACCGCCTTTTGCTCCAAGGCCCAGGCGACGGGCCATATTCACTCACATAACCCCCAGAGACACGACTCAAGAGTCGCCGACCTTTCTGGGCTTCTTCCTGTCTACGACTCTGCGAAATCTACCGTCTCGTCCCCCCTCATCCGCCGCTCGATCTTCGTCCTTTAGCCTTCGTGTTTTCTTCCGTTGTGCCCCCGAGGAGTTCCTCGTACTTAGTTGACGTTTGCGACCTGTGCATTCCTCCAATCCTAGTACCGCGCCCGCATCTCGAAGTACCACGTCCCTCTGATATACCGGCTCCCCCCTCCTCTCGTCGTGATGATGTCTTGCATGCTGGTGCAGCAAGGCCGGCGTGCCAGCTGCTAGGAAAATTGCTCAGCATCCAGCAACTGAGGACGACCTCAGCGGTCGGCCAGCACAAGCACAATGTCGCTTTTGGGGAAGTTGCTCTCGGGCATCCCTTCGCATGGCTCCTCGACATCCCGGCCGAAGAACGCGCTGGATTCCAACTTGGAGGACCAATTCACCCACAATCTACTTTTCCCAGACGCTGATGCCCTCTGCCATAATGATCAGGTCTTTCCGCTCTCGTCCGGCACAGTGCTCGCGCCCGCCGCCCTCACCAACTTCGATGTCAATGCAGAGATGGATCTCGAAATGCGTGATGTGCGAGTAATCATCATGCAGGAAGCCACTCCCACCTCAGGCTCAGCATATCTTCTCTATGATAGCCATACACCGCCACCTCCTTCTCCGGTGCTAGACCGACAACAGACGTACAATGCTGGGACCGTCTTCCCGTCGCGGACGGAGGGGCGTCGGTCAATCAGCTCACCCCGTAAAACAAGTGTAGGGCACAACTCAAGACCAGTGGTGATACAGCAAGAGCAAAGTGCCCCCCGGACGTTTGGTGCCTTTGACCGCAGATCAGCGCACCAGAGGAATCTTAGCCACACAGAAACGGAAGGGCAGCGGTCGGCACGAGAATATAGAGAAGAGGTCACGACATTTTCGAATTGCATCTTTGGAAACTCGGAGGTTCTGGCGTACAAAGGGACTGGCACCAAGGTCCATATTCTCCCGTCAGAATCCAAGTCTTCATTTACATCAAGCTCATACCAGGGAGATGGAAACGGTTCCTTGGGCAGGTCAAGCATGCGAAGCAGCAAACTGGCTCAGTCATTTACCTCGGACAATTTCATGCATGCTCCGGCATCGGCGGGGTTTACGAGTTCGAATACGGCATCAAGAAGCTGTGACAAAAGGAAAGTGCTGATCACGCGCATGTTCCCAGTTCCATTGCTCACCGAGGATACTGAGGATGCCTCACAAACCATCACGCCAACCGCTTCTATAGCCCACGGAGGTGAAGCCTCCAGCTTCCCGTTCCCGAAAGTAGGAGGCAAAGGAGCGTCGCAGCCACGAACAGAAAAGAAACTGCCACCTAAACAGAAGAGGACTCCTATGTATGCGGTCGGTCTCGTGATCCACCTGCCGTCCGCTCCTCATGTACCCTCTGCACCAATATCTAGGTCTAGCTTCCGGGGGGCTAGCTCATACAACGAGCAAGAATCGTTCCCCTCATCTTTCAATTCGACTCGCCGTGCGGGGTGGACTATGCTTGGAAATGGATTCGGCGTAGAGTCTATAGACTCCTCATACTGCAGCGATGCTGATGACCGCATTGACACTATAACCCAGCATTGGGATATCATCATGCGAACCCTATCTCACCTGCAAGCCGTTGTCACTGCATCACTGCTGCCTATGCTTAAACAAGCAGATATTAGCTCCCCCGACCCCCGAAGCAATTCGTCCCATCAGCGCGTGCCGTCTGCTAGTATATCGATATCCGGGAAACGAGTCGTGGAGGAAGTCAAGCCCTTCAAAATCCCCAAGACCAATGCAAAATTTGTCCAATTGACAGCAAACTGCCTCATGCCAGTCCAAACAATCCACAGAGAGGTCGATCTCTCTCGCCAACGCATCGTTAGCGGGATTAAGACACTCCGGGTTGTCACCGGCCAAGGTAGATGGGGCATCTGGCGCGAGGAAGCAAGACTCCTGGGCAAGTGGGCAGGCGGCAAGGATGAAGGATTCTTCTTCTTCAACCTCCTGACTGGGTTTCTTGGCAACCATACTGAGTGGCTTCAAGCACTTGGACCGAGCTGGTATCGTCGCCGCCATTATCAACATCAGCGATCGAATAAGGATGATGAGATCGTCGTCCCGGCACGTACCATCATCGTTTCCAATAACAAGTTGATGGCTCGCAGATTGATCTTCTTATTATCCGCTTTCCTACCAGCCAGTCACCAGCCAACGTTTCCTCGATTGCACCGTCCTAGCACTTCAGCTTCCTTTGGTGCATACTCCCAGTCTCCCCCAATGTATGCGGTGCCAATATTGAGGGAGGAATCTCTCCGCCGCAGAATCAACAAGCGAACTGGTATACCTCGAGGAACTCATTCACGGACTATGAGCTTCCCTACCCAGTCCGTGCATAACCCCCCGGCTCAACTACCTTTAGACATCCACCACGATCGTCGCCCCTCCGAGGCTGCATCCATCAAAACAGCAAACCTGCCAATACCCGGAAGCGATCTTGGGACACGAAAAAGCAGTGCAGCAACCACTTCCACTGCCACGCCCATCACTACAATGCCCCATTTCTCCACTAGACGACCGGTAAGAGGTACTGGCCCTGAACCACGCCCAGGAAGTAGCGGCAGTCTTGCAACCGATGATTTGATGCGTTCTCTCAAGCGCGGCGAGAGCAGCGGCCAATATAGCACCACCAGCAACGACTCTCAAGGTCATAACTCTCGCTGGGGTAGCATGATAAGCGGTTTCTGGGGGGGGAAACGGCAAGACTCCACAGCTATTACAGAGGTTGAACCCCTAACTATGGATGGGTTGGGGATAAACGATTCGGCTGGTAAAGATCAAGCTACTAGAACTGGCGGCAAATTGGCCAAAATGGTTGACGAGGCTAGCTGCTGTCCACCTAGAGATCCAAGAGACCAACGACCGCGTGAAGCCAGATCCTCCCAATCAGGCAGTGCTACAACGGCGAAACCGGGCCCGGAACAGGGCGAGGAGATTTCGGAGCAGATAATCCGGCTTGCCGAGCGGAAACCTGATCCTTCAGGAGCATATGAATCTCCAGTCAAGACGTCAATCAATGAGGACGACGGAGTTATTGACATTGATGTTCCTCTCCCAGAGTATCTCTCCTTTGAGACTGCCGTTAGCTCGCCATCTAGCAGCGGTTACCTCTCCACTCCAGGATTTGGTAATGGGATGGAAGGATTTGAGCACTACTCCCGTCCTGGTGCTGAGTTAGACACGACGATAAATGTCGGGGGCTGGCTTCCACGCTACCACCCTGATTTCTCTTTACAGGCCATTCCTGCTCAAGATGGTCTTCTTGAGGAAATCAAAGCCTCCCTTCGAGATGAACCGACACCAGCCTTCAGCACTACCCCTCTTCCCGACAATGGCCGCTTAGAGCGCTGGGTCGATGTCAGTAGCGCTATCATAGCTGACACCACCAACTTCAGTATCAAACATATCCGCTATAGACGACTCGTGAGGCCAAAGGACATAGGCCAACCGGCAACCAGCAACCAATGTATCGACTCCCGCTACGGAAACGTTTATTCCGCCGCGCAGTTGACACCTGGGATGGACTTTTGGCCATCCCATATTGAAGAAAGGTTTATTGAAGAGCCCATTATATCCATGGATGAAACTCTCATTCAAGCAGTGGAGCGTATAATTGCACAATCGGGCCACGACTCAAATGGATCTTCGGTCTGCTCTTCGCGCTCTGCATCTCGCAAGGGCGGAAATCGCGAGCGTTCAAACTCCGGTGTCAAGACTCCCGGGGCTCCAGAACACCAACTGGAGGTGCCAAGAAATGAGTGCAAAAAGATGGTCCTTGGTGCCCTAGAGGAGATTGTAAAGGAAGTGGCGGAGAGCAGGAAAGATGGCGATGGTGCGGAGGTGGAGAGAACGGAGAGTTTCTTGAGAGAAGGTGTTAGGACTTGGCTGAGTGATGTCGAGACCATGGACTAAGTTATGATCCTAACTCGGTGATGTTGGGAGCTACGAAGGATACTAGCTTTCTTTTACCTGTACCACCACACGCATGAATTTGGACGACTCGAACGAATATACCCATGTACCAACAAAACAACAACGACCAAAGAACGACGGAGAAATTTTACAAGTGGAGGGCAGGACATAGGGAATACGCTTTGTTTTAGATTTAGCGAGGGGCCGTTTTGGGCGTTGGGTTGAGGGAGGATATACCAGGATTTTTTGTGTTTGTGAATTTTTTTTTTTAAATGTGCGCCCTTTTAGGGGGGGGGGTTTCCTGGGCGGTTGGGTGGGGCTGGGGGGAAGGCAGGCATGGATAGAGGCTTTTGAAGGATATATTTTAATGATTGCTGGTAATGACAACGGAAACGGCAAATGGACACTTACTCACTTCATCGGATCTGGTTTTACACGGCATTAGAGCCCCGTCGCAGAAATAGAAATGAAATAATAATAAAGCTGTCCTAAAAATGAAAATGAGAGAGTATAAGTTCGCCTTCTATCAGTTCGCCTTGACATTCCCTGGACTCCACTAGACACTTGAAAGCAAAATGTACGGAGGTAGATATGAGACCTTGAAAGCAGCGAAATATTTGTTAGCATGTAAGATATTTGGCATTAGAGAAATAGGTAGATTATTTCCTTCTGGAGTGTTTTAACATTAGAATAAAATTCTATAATTATGCAGGAAATCTTACGCAAACCTTAAAACTAACACCGAAGAAGAGCAAGCCGCGAGCTACGAGGTGCTGCACAACTAAATCGTCTCCCGAAAGTTACATTATTTATAAGTACAATTAAATAGCTAGCTAAACCATCAACCATATCTGGCAATTCGAACTCCCATACCAGGTATATACCCACGCTACAATATAATATATATATTCCCAAAAATCCATAATCCATTTTCTTTTCGATCTGCCTTTCACGGCTCCTTCTCACCCTCCGCAATACTACCCCGAGGACTATTCTGTCCTTGCTTGGCATTATCCCCACTATAACCTGTTTGCACGCTCGGTCTCCTCCCCAGCTGTGGCATGGGGCTGCCAACGCCTGGCATATTGGAGAGGCGCATTGGGCTAGGACTTGTATCTCTAGCTAGAAGCCCTGGCGGGAGGCCTAAAGTTGGGATATTGGAATCAAGCAGGCTACCCACGAATGGGCTCCGGAAACTTGGTGGGGTGGCGCTGGGCGGGGTTGCTTTATCGTAGACTTCTTTGTAGAAGGACTCGAGGAGGGGGACGTTGTGACAGAAGGCTTCGAGCTCGGTTTTGAGGGTCTCGGGTGTGATGGTATTTACGTTTTTAGGGCTGATAAGGGTGGGCCCGAGGTTGTCGGCAGCAGGGCGCAAAATAGGAGAGCCATAACAGGTATACGGATGAACCATAGGTGAACTTGGGGGAGTTGACCTTTCCATACTGCCCCCGAAACCGTAGATCAGTGATGGGATACGGTTGGTGCGTTCATGGTCCGTTTTGACATATCTGTCTAAATCTTTTGTTGCGGCGGTCCGATTGTTATACAGTCGGTTTGCTGCGAGCAGGAAATTGCCGTCGTCTAGAATTTGTGCCAACAGGATCCCAGATCGATGGATGTACTGTGTGTATTTGAAATGAGGCTTGCCCCAAGAGTACACAGTATCAACGTTGCTCGGAAAATTCCGTGCGGCTTCGGTATCCATGACAAAATTGAACTTCCTCATGATGGCTTTCTGGTAATAGTGACGGCTTACAGATGCAGAATTGGACTGTGGGGTGAAGGAATTAACATCAAAATAGGTTGTAGGCTCCCGCTCTGGGGGTTGTACAGCAAGTTTGATGGTATATGGGCTTCGGAAAGGGTTGTCAGTTGATATGGCACAGGCTTCACCAATAGGTGCCTCAACAAGCCTTAGCCCATAGCTTTCCGCAGTTCGGGCCCAGGATTCTATCGCATCCTCAATTAACTTAGCAGTGACACTTATCCAGTCAATCCGAATGTGATAGCAACTATCGGGGTTATGCAGTCGATCATAGTGCAGATTGATCCGTTCGGGACGATATGACCGCTTTCGATGGTCGACATCATATTTCATGACTTTGCTAAGAGCAACCTTCGGTTTCTTTCCGCCAGTGGTTGTTGTCGGCGTAGTTGTCCCCGAATCAGACGACTTCCCATCTTGGATGGAGCTGGATCTTGATTGCTCTGGCCTCGGCGATTCTCTTGGCATGCTCTCTGACATTGGTGTAGCAGGGACTGAGGTCTCACGGCGCCTCGAGCCAAACCAGCCGCTTCGACTCTCCGGTCGTTGCTTTGCCAGTTCTCCTGCAATTTGATAGAAATATTGCCCATCTCTAAAGGGGTGGCGCTTCTCAACATGAACAAAAATTCCCATATCTTTGTCTTTCTCCTTTCCATTTTCCTTCTCTTTGAGCCGCTGCAATTCGTCTTTCACCATTAGCTTATTACCAAGCTCAACGGCCTCTTCTCTTGTGTCGATATCTTCAAAATTTTCGATCAACCATGTTGTCATGTCAGATCCAATAAAACAGCTGTAATGAAGCCGGAAGTGCCACCTTCTATTTTGCATTCGCACTCCTCCTCGTTCAACCGGAGCTTGCATGGCTTCGGCCAGTGCTACAATGTCAAACTTCGTTTTACGGAAGCGTTCACTTTCAAATAATTGCCCTCGTCGGGAGCCTCCTTCACCAATCTCAACAATAGGTAGTGTTTCTAGTTCCGCTGTAACAACGATAGAAGGGTCCTCAGTTTTGTAGACGATATCAAGGGGGTTTTGATCTTTAGTCTTGCGTGCTGCAAGACTCTGAAATCGGTGCTCCGATGGAGTAAGGACTCTATGTCGCTGCCAGGCCTGGGTGAGCTTTTTGATGCCCTCCAGACGAACTTCTTCCTCGTTATCCTCTCCTTGGCGCAGCTGAGATTGCATTGGCCTTGCAACAGGTATTAAAACAAAACGGGCGCGCCAGAACCGTAAGCTCTCTGACATTTCGTCATCGAATCCTGCAACGAATGAATCGACATAGTTCCAATTGTATTCATCCGTTGGCTTCCCAAGCACCACCTGGCAAGATTCATAGCGATCGGACAGTTTTGTTCGAATTGCAGGGTTATAGACTGTTGGAAGAACTGGACCAGTGCCAGTTGAAGACGCAGTAGGTTTCCGCACAAACATGTCCACCCCAACCTCCGTTTCATTGACACACGATAACTGGTGTATGATGTTTCCCATTGACATAAAAACACTTGCCCCATCTTCTGCAATATGGTCGCGATCGAACACGTTTGCAATCTTGAGAGACTTCTGGCCGAACGCCCCCGCGACCGCCGATCCAACCACAATCTGGAATCCCTGGGATAATCGCATGCCAACAAGTTCCCGAAGAAGTCGGTCTCTAGAGTTTGGCACGTTCAATTCATCTTCTGCATTCTGGGATATGCTATATGGCTTTTGTTGATATTCTGTATCGAGCTGATGCTTGGTCGGGAAGTATTCTGTGGTTAAAGGCACCGATGCTGGGGCGCAAAGCGACTTCCACTTCATTGTCCTTGTACGTACAGTTCGAGGGAAAACATGTTGCCACCGCCTATACTGGCTTGGTCCAATTACATCGTTCTCAGAAGGATTTGACGGGTTCAATACGCTGAGCCATGGCGACAGGGCTGTCGTGGGTGACAATGTCGCTGGCAATTCAGGAACCGATCCTGCAAGAAGTTTCGAGGTGTATAGCTTCTGAGCGTCGTGGGGTCTGGTGGATTGTAAAGTATGTGAATTATCTTTGTCATCGAATCCATCGCTGGCTTCTTGAAGTGAGCCTAGCATTGATCGGGACTTGAATTGATTTGTGGAATCTAGAGATTGTAGAGCGCTCTTAATGGTCATGGGGCGGCTACTTAGGTTTTCTCCTTCTCCATCTTCGGCCTGCTCTGGTGGTGGAGGGGTCCCTGGCTTCTTTCTAGATTTGTCACTATGAGCAGATGGTGGCCGGTCCTGGGAATGTCCAACCGCAGTGTTAAGCAAATGAGTTGTCATTGCACCGTTGGACGTCTTCACTTGCGGCGGCTTCATCGTAACAGTAGTCGGTCTAGTCGCATTGGCATGTTCTGCCTGTATCTGTGCGGTTGCTGCCTTCGGTGCCGCAATACCAAAGCCGAACTTTCCAAGACTAATCTGTCGTCCGGTCTTAGGTTGTCTGGCGGGAGGTGATCTTAAATTTACAGTACTGATGCTGCCCAGACTGTTTTTTCGCAGCTTCTTAGCATCATCACCGTTGCGACTGGTTTGCTTGCTCTTCCCGGAGCTGGATGGCGCCATAAAGGCCACATCTCTATATATTGCGTGATCTTGACTAGATGGTGTCCCGAGCAACTTTGAATCATCGGCGAATATTCTTCTCGGTATTTCCTCACTGCCCGGGCGAGAGTACTTTCTGCCTTCAATTATTTGTCGAGTGTCGGGCCGATCTTCTAAAAGCTCCGATACAGCCATATCGAAACTATCTATAGCTTTGTAAAGCCTTTTTTCCTCTTCCGTAGAATTTCGGTCAAATAGCAGCTTTGAAGGGCCGCTCACGAATTCTAAAAGACTTGCATAGATCTTCTCCCGTACAAGTGAATTAGAGTCCCCCCGGATATCTAACTTGCTACCGGGTATATCCCGAGGCCGAAAAGCCATTTTAGGAAAAAGTGGGTGCTGCTGCAAAGGAGTTACGGCAATCTCAGTTAAGACATTTTCCATCACACTAGCCATTTCCATCTCATACATCTTGCATCGAACCTCAAAGCCCCTTGACCGTTGAGTGTGCCCATTCTTGAGGTGTTGGTTGACAGGCTTTGCTAAAGGGCCTCCGAGATGGATGTCTTGAGTGGTTCCAGTCCAGAAAGAGACATCGAGCCAGTGAGGTATGGCATAGGACCACTCGCTCGGGGGACTGGGCGCGGAAAATGACCCTGCACGAATACTCCGATCCTGTAATGAGGCCTTCAGAGGCGATAATGACTCATTTAACGAGGAGTAACTGCTCCCAAAGATGGCCGCATTTTGACGGGGGGTGCTATCTTCGCTATGCATGGATTTCATATGTAGCGCCTCCTGGAAAGCACTATAATCTGGGTTTCGATAGCGAAATAGTGGAACTGAGTGGAGCGGCATCTTTGGAAGGCAAACAAGATCGATGCCAATACCAGTCCCAATTAGCGTTTCCGTAGTCATCCTCAACGTCTCATAATCCACCTCAAAGAGCCCAGGCGAAGGAGTAATTACCACGACCGAGATCCCAGTACGCATGAGATCTCGGTCAATGTAATCATGCGCGAATTGCGAGCAAGCCAAATTGATCGCCTCGAGAACGTTGCCATGCATGGCTAAAGACGGCTCGGCTTCTATGCGCGTGTCCGACACCCATTTGGCATTGCTCTCGGGCGTTGACGCCGCCGCCTTTGCCAGATTGATACGGTAGGTAGATATGTCCCGGCGGAAGAATTTGAATTCGCGCTTCAACTCATATAAAATGGTTGTCCATGATCCACTAGCCATCTCACTGACTACCACCCGATAAAAGTCCTTATAGGGCTTTTTGTGGCCCTCTGCTTGTATGCCTGTATGGTAGGCGCTATCATGTGTAGTTGTCGCCAGCTCAGACGTGATTCCAGTATCGTACTCCACTCTGGAGAAAAGAACAATACTCACGAGGTGCTTGGCCCTAATGGACACCCACTTTTTAAAAAGTGCCGGGAGGAAACCATTAACGACTTTGTTAAACATGATCTCGCCGGAGCCTTCCGAATCAAAATCCCACATTTCTCTCGACATCTGAATGAAGAGGACGTATCGGGCAGACTCACTCCGAAAAACGGGCTTTGTATCTGTCGTACAGAATGCAGACCGCACCTTGCGGCCAGAGACATATATAGAAGATACCTGGGCTTTAATACTTCCAATGAAAAGGATCTTCTGGCCCTTGAATACTGTCTTATTGGCCAGCTGAGCAACAGCCAGCCTCCACATGTCAGACCGAGAGAGATACTCATCCTTGAATGATAGCTCCACATGAGATGCAGAGCTGGTAGCGGGGTCGGCCTAGATATTCGGTTAACGAAGTATCTGACGGGTCGGGAGGGGACTAAACGAACTGTGATAACAAGGACCTGTGACCGAGCCTTGAGAGAAAATATATCTGCAATTTGCTTTGCCACCGAAATTTCCAGCTTTGGCTGCTTGGCCTCCATCTCCTTGGAGATGTCCTTAGCAATGAACAAACATCGCTCCTGTAAGTCGATGTCATATTGGGTGCCGCTGGCCGCGCCAGGACTATTTGGATTTGAGCTACTCCTCTCACGTTGCATAACAGTAGAAAGTGCGTCTCCATCCAGCTTCGCCGCCTGTGCAGTGTCGAGGAAGTCACGGACCCCGGAATCAGTCTTCAGTGGCACAATTGCCATAAGATCGCCTTCCTGGACACCCGGGAATAGCCCGAGATTGATGACAACTTCATCCCTGGAAATGGTTTCCTCATGGATCCAAAGAGTACATTTTCTCTCAGCACGGGACTTCAGAGGAATCGGGTTATGCTGGACCGTTCCAGTATCCGAGGCTGCAGTCACCGGTCGACTGTCGACGGAATTGGTATTTGAACTGCCATTACTGACGTGCCGAAGATGGGACGCTCGCTGAGTCTGAGTCCCGCGTCGGGGAGTCGACGGCGGGACAGCTGACATTGGAATATTCCGAGCCTCTAGGCTGAACGAGAGAGCAGTTACTTGTGCGGCATGGTTAATGACGATGTAATTCTGAGGAAGTTGGAGGAGCTCAAGAGACATTGATATCTCCAATTCTGCCGGCTTGTTGACCGCCTTTGGGGTTCCAGAATCAGCATAGCGTGCACGGCCTATCAGGGTGTCGATCGGCAGAAGTTCCAAAAAAAAGTTCCCTCACCGAAGCCTCGCGTACAAGTACAACAACAGCGAACTTGGTTGCCCCTCCAGAAAGGCAATGAACAGGCTAGAAAATCGACGACAAATCTGCTGACAATGGCGAAACGGAGCGCCGAAGATATTGGCATTGAGGATGGCGATCAGGCCTACCTCAAACGCCAGAAGATCACCAATCCGGTTAAAAGCGTAAATGTAAATGCTGCAACGGAGATAAACTCTGGGAAACAGTTGCGACAACTTGTTGCTTTTGATCAGGACCACATCCGAGCGAAACATGGTAAGTCTAGTCGCCTAGTATAAAGAGATGGTGCTAAGATAATTATAGGAATTCAATCCTTCAAAAACTTCCTCGACGGCTTCGCGAACCCAGACAAGGATATTGGCCGAGCAACTGCGATTCTAAAGGACTACCTCGATTCGCATAAACCAGAAGACGAGAACGACAAAACCGCGGCGTATTTACCGGACCTTATGCAAACATGGAGCTATGCCGCCCAATCGAATGACGAGTCGTTATTATCCGCAGTCCCGGCTGTCCTTGCATTACTGCTCAAGACACTGTCCAACGTGCTCGAGTTTTCTGAACACGGCTTGAGGCTATGCCGAACTATGCTTCAGAGAAGTCAACTGGAATTAATTTCTCGCGGTCTGACCGCGAATAAGAACAGGGAATTCTTGATCTCTCCGGTCTTGCGATTGCTCAAGGAATTAAGTACTTTCGACGGCGGAGCTCTAGCAAAGCAGGTTTTCCGTGCAAGGGATCACACCCTCAAGGGGTTGGGGCGTAACCTCAACCTACGATTCACTGGAGATGGCATAGAGGATGTCCGACGCCCATCTGTGCGAACCAATGCCCTTCGATTCATCCTTCCCATCTTCAAATTTCTCCCCGTGGAAGCAAAACGAGAACTTCTTAATCAACGAGATATCGCATCAAACTTAACGAGAGGTATCGAAGATGATCCTGCTCCCATGGTTCGTGAGATCTTGACGACATTGAAAACATATGTGCTTCAGGATGAGGCACTCCCACGAGATGCTAAAACTAAGGTTGTGAATGCTGCTTCGTTGGGCCGGATCGCCCTTTTGTACGGATATGAGCACCCAGATGGGGGAGCAGAAGTTCCTCAGACACCTGTGAATCTTGTAGCACACGAGTTCCTAGTCTCGGCATGTACCTCTCATGATTTTGGAGTTCTCAACCACCAAACAGGCTTTTACCCTCGAGGCATCGACCCTGATGATCTTGCCGAGGTTGGCGCAAATGAAGCTGTCCTTGATCTAGGCCTGGATAGTATCGAGTGGATGGAGAATTTCACGGATCAGGTCCCAATCCGAAATACAATTCTGTCTGATTTTATCCAAACCCTCCGGCCTTGGTCCAGCACCAAACAAAGAGAACTGTTAATATCTGTATTTCGAGCGGCGCCTGAACTGGTTGCGGAGTATTTTTTCAACAAGAAGTCCTTCTCATTCGATCCTAAACTGACGGCAACCTGGATTGGGTATTCGGCATTTCTCTTCTCCAGCCTGCAACTGCCTCTCCCTGAATTCTTTGGGCACTCTCAGCGATATGCACGACTCCCACCTCCTCATTCTATAGTCTTGGAGAGTATTCTACCTCAACCTCTAAGTCAGAAAGTTCTAAGAGGCTGCCTATTACAGCCCGAACCCTTGATCAAGTTCTTTGCCGTCAGGCTACTTTGCATCGCTTTCAGCAAATTCAAAGATACCCTAAGAATGTATCACAATGCAGCAGATGGATCATCGCAATTATGGACGCAAGCAGCTACGTTATTGACGGAGGCCTTTTGCAAAAGATGCCCATCAATCAAAGATGTCATCCATGGCTTCAGAAATATGACTGATGACGATTTGCTACAAAGGGAAGCGATCACGAAGTTACTCGTATTGTATTATGAAGTGGTTCCTAGCATCGCGCTGGAGGCTAAGTTCGACGTGTCTGGAGTTCTATCGCAAACACTGCACAGTGTGGATAAAACGACCTTAAAACCACAAGATCGTGCCTTGCGTGCAATGGAGTTAGAAAATCTCTTCCAATTTGCACACTTCTCACCCGGTATGCGATGGTTTGCCACGACGCCGGAACTTCCTCTTTCACCATTTATGGCCATGTTAAAGCTCTCTGCTGAGGCTCCTGAGGATGTCCCATTGCTCAAGTTGCGCTCGGTTCTTGCTTCGGTCATTGAGGAGAATCAAATACTGCAAACTCAAACCAAAATCTCGGCTTTAGACTCTTTTATTCTGAGATTAAGATCCCTTGGCGGGACGCCGAATGCACCCTCCGTATATACGTTCCTTGACGACTGTATATCAAGATGTGCTGCTAAGCCCATCAAGTACATATATGCGCTTGAGGAGATACAGGCGAAGGACCAATCGAAGGACCAGCAGCGTCCTTTCAGCCTATTAACCTTGGCTATCACGGAACAATGGCCATTTATGATCAAGTCCGCTGACGATCAGGTTATACAAGAGATTGCTCAATTTGTTGCAGGCTACTTGGCGACATGCATCAAAATAAAGGAGAACAAGGCGGCGATAAAATCAGTGATAGAGAGGCTGGCTACAGAAACACCGGTCGAATCACCCGCACGAAAGACCATCGAACGATCCCGTAAGCTTGTCGATAGTATCTCGGTCCCTGAAGCTAAGCGGATACCCCGCGAGACCTCCATAAAAGAGTCCAAGAATAATGTGCCTTCTGATACCGAGAAAGCCGCTTTGATGGCTACCATGCTTGAGGATTCCAAGCCTCATGGTGAGAACCACAACTCGCTTATCAAATGGACGACAAAAGAGGTCGATGAGGTTGTGGAAGGCGGTCATGCAGCTTCTCTGATAATGCTTATGTCGTCGGAGTACTTGAGTGTGCGGAAGGAAGCTCTCACGAATATTTCAAAATTTGCTACGAAACTAAACGAGTCATCCTTCGAAGAGAAAGAGCAGATCTGGCTACTCTTGTCTGAGGTGGTGGAAACGGCCAAGAAAATCATCGACGAGCAACCTTTACCCACTGTGATATCGGCGTTCGCTGCCCATGCCATTCCGGTGCTTAACGACCCATTGCATATTCTGTACCCGAAAATCAACAAATTCCTCTCGCAGGGTCCGACCTGGGAGTTGGAAAAGATACCTTTGATGTATAAGATCCTCGACGAGGCTCCAAGTCTAGACGACGCATATTATCCAGAGATGAGCTGGCTACTTACATACATGCTCGCGGGTCTTCGAACAGCAGCAGACATGGCTATTTATCGCAAGAGGCGAGTTTTTGAAAAGCTATTCAGTATCTGGAACAGTGCATATCTGGCTCCAGGGTTGCGGGACAAGATATTGAGGATCCTGTTCAGAGCTACGACCATAGAAGGTGGCAGCACCACACTTATCACAAGATTCAGCACAATGACTTGGCTTCAAGCGCAAGTTGCGTTGGGTTCTGGGATGTCCCTTAAGGTGCTGATGGAGAGGATCTTGGAAACCTCAGATCAGCAGCGGGTTAAGAAATGGGCAAGGACTAGGGGCGTAAATGCTATCAAAGCCGACACTTTGAATTTCTAGGAGCATATATATCGAAGTAGGTAGAAATTAAATCCAGTTAGATACCCCACAATCAACGGCTCTCGGCAGTATTCGTAGTTGATTAGTGCACATACTCAACTGTGACCGGGTGACAAGTGAATGGATAAGCAGGCAAACACTTTCTTTTCTAAATCCCTAAACCCCCAAACTACAAGTTGGGGAGCTGCCGATCTTGTACCTTATTTACTAGACACACGGGGGAGGGGATCTCTAGACAGACGCCACTGGTGTTTAGCGCAAGCGAGGCAGGCCAACCTTGCCTCCTGCGCGGTGCGACAAAATACCCATCTAAACCAAACAACGACAACTTAATCATTCCCAAATTCGATATATACTCTTGACTTTCGACCTGTGGAAGCGCTCCTTTCGCATACCTCCATCGAACTCTTCCTAATATACATCTGCCATTGAGCCCAGATCGCATCTGCTTCGAAGAATACCATCCTGCTCTTGCAAGCCCACAACATCCGTTTGCGCCTGGCGCTCTGCCAGTCTGAACACAAGTTCGTGCAAATACTCTGTCTCTGCTTTGCAGCGCGTGCAGTTTAGGACCCATAACCCCTATTGTTCAACCCTGGCCGCGATTTTGCGTTTGCAATATAGGCGTACCGCCTCCTGCCTCCTTTCCCGATCCATTATCCACCCACCTCCCTCTACCACCTTGAAAACAGCTTCAAGGACAAGACCAAAGCCCTTTCCGAAACATATATAGCTATCTTCGCTCTCGCATTCACCCAAGCCGGTTAAGCTTGCGCTTTTACCTTTACTATGGCCGTCAGATACACCCCAGATGAACTGAAGTTCCTTAAAGAGTCTCCTCTGGTAGTTAAACCTCTTGGCCTGCCTCCAGCAGAGCAATGGATGGGGTAAGCTCACCGCCAGTGATGGGCCCAAGGCTATTATTAACAACCATCAGGACACCAGCAGACCCTACTCGTAATTCAGCCAAGCTAGCGAATGAGAAGGCTAAGAATCACAGCTCTAACTTGGACCTAGATCAGCCAAATAAACGGCCTGGTGCTGAACGGCACATGTCGCGAAGCAGTGCGAGTACGGTATTTGCCATTCACCCTGATAGTATTTACTAATGTTTCACAGATCCGGAAGATATAATCTTGGGACCCCCGAAGACCTCTTTCATGTCCGCAACCTCTATTCGAAGCGCTGGTAAACCTTTCGATTCTCCAGAACGGGAGCGGGCCTCTGCTCGCGATGTGGACACTCGTGACCGATTCAACTTCCGCGGTGGCAGGACTGGCGATGGGGATAATGACCGACCACGAGAGGGCCGTAATAATCTACGAATGAGACGCAACGACGGTGATCAGGACAGCGACGGATGGAGCACGGTTAAGCCTCGCAAGAGCTTTGGGAACGAAGGAGCCGAGAGATTCAACGGGCGGATGGGTCTCGACAGACATAAGGATGATAAGAGATTCAGGGATCGAGAAGATCGAGACCATAAAGAGAGACCAGCTCGAGGCTTCGATAGCTACTCTCGGGACAAGGATACTGATGATCATGAGCGAGCCGAAGGGCGTAAGAATGGCACCGGACGCGGACGCAATGAGCCTTCGTGGTTCAAAGACAGCGCTGATGGAGCACCTGCACCGAGGGAGCGAAACAGTAATAGCAACGGGGATCGGCCTATGGATCGAAGCAGAGGCTGGAGGGACAAAGACCGCGAAGACAGAGGGGATCGAGTGCCCGATAGGGGAGATCGACGCTGGGACAGAGACCAGCGCCAGGAGCGCGAGCCTGAGTGGTTCGCTGAACCGGAAGAGGAAAAGACCCAAGCTCATACACAGGAAGAATTTCAGAAGTGGAAAGAGCAGATGCAAGGAAAAGATAGAACTTCTGCCAGCAAGGCACCTGCGGAAGTTGCGTTGCCCAGCGCTGATACTGGTAGTGGCTTTTTCGGGTTAGAGAAACCGAAGGTTGAAACTCCACTTGCAATTGATACCGGACCTGATAAGTTCTTCGGCAAGTGGGCTACTCCGACAGAAGAGAAGAGCCCAGAGGCGGGTTCTGAACTGAGAAAGGAAGGGTTGGCAAAGCCCAAGGGAGCTGGAAAAGCATCTCGATTCACGTCGTTTTTCGCTCAGGAAGAGCCTCAGGGACGGCAACCCGAGCCCTTGCCAGCCATGGCACAACCATCTCAAGGTGGGTTTGATGCACTTCTAGCAAATAGCTCGCAATCTGCTGCCGAGAAGGAGGCTTTTCAACAATTACTTCAAAAGCTTCAACGCCAAACCATTTCAGGCACAGGCACAGGCTCTGCTCGTCCAACAGGCGTACCTATTCAGCAAAAGCCATATACTTCAGAAAAGCAGCAAAGTAACCAGATCCCCAGCCAAGACAACTTCCAGCAATATCGTGCCGAGCGCCATGAGGAAGGACGACCAGCCACGCGAAACTCACAGCAGGCCCTCCAAGAACTAATGACCCAGAGGCAGGTGGCTGGTAGTCAGCCGACGATTAGACCAGAGCAGATGTTGCAAGAGTTAGTTGGCCAACGTCAAGATGCTTTGAATCGGGCTTCACGCACGCCAGATCAACAACCTGCCCGAAACGACAACACCGCATTTCTCATGGGCCTGATGCAGAGCGCCAAGGCAGCACCAGAACCCCAAAGATCAGAGCAGGCTCATATGAGAATACCACTAGGAAAACCAATTGATCGCCAGCAAATGCAACAACAACAGCAAATGCTTGAGCGAGAGGAAGCTGCGCAACGAGAAGCAGCACAACGTGAACGGAGCACATCTCAACGTGCGCGGGCTCATCCGCCACCAGGATTCTTCGACGACCCAGCTTTCCAGCGTGGACCGCCTCCTCCGCACGAGAGGCAGTCAGGCAATCCTCCGCAACCAACCCAAATCCTACAACGCCCACCACCTCCAGGGTTAGAAATGGGCTGGGACCGCGCCTCACAACTCCCTCCCCCTCAACACCGAATCAATCCAAATGTCCCGCCTCCACCAGGATTGGCCAGCGCTCCAAACCGCGGCATGCCCGTTCCCCAACAAATGTTTCCTCCCGGCTTTCCCATGGGTAGCTTCCCTCCGGACGTAATGCCAGGCCCCCCACGGAACATTCCGATGCCTCCACCACCGGGGTTCTTTAACTCTCCACCTCCAGGATTCTTGCCACCAGGTATTAGCGGATTTCAAGGACCGGAAGGTATGGCGTTCGGCGGTGCGCCTTTTGATGGAAGGGGACCACCTCCTCAGGGGGCCTTCAGGAGACAATAGTTACATGAATGAATGATGGTACAAGGCTAGGAAGGACCGGTCTTGGATTTGGACAGCGACAGCTTTTTTTGTAACCATATGTTATACTCCATAAGGGAATGATATGAGGCTGCGTCTGCCTTACTCGACAGAGCATGGGGCCAGATGGGGATACAAAATGGGAATTGTATCACTGTCACCTATTATTAATCATATTACTGGGGTGATTGCATGTTGGTGGAGGATATTGGCAGCTTAGATGCTAGTTTCCGCCACAGTCCAGGAATATGCTTAATGAGAAAAAATTCAAAGCATGCTGGGCAACGGATTATATATACAAATCCAAATGCTTTCATTGTGATCGTAATGTCATGCCTCATTGGGTATCCACGAAGTATTAGAATACCAGAAAGCTGACTATACACAAAACCCCATCCGTCATTCTTATATACCACTAAGACCTGCCCTAACGCCACCTTATCCATCCCTTCGTCCCTACTCTCGGCCGGCTAGCGTTCAACGCCATAAAATGCCTGCACAAGACAACAGCTGCTCGCTCCACCAATCACTTCTTGCTCCCAAAGAACCCTCTCTTCTTCTTCTCCTTCTCCACACCTTCAGGTTTGCTCTTCTTCTCTAGCTTATTCTTGCTGCTACCGCCATTCAGGGCGATGGGCTGACCTTTACCTCCGACGGTGTTCATGCTCATGGCTGCTAAACCGGCGGTTGGAGGGGCGGGCGAGGGTCGATCGTAGGGGTTGCCGACATTGCCATTTTGGCTTCCGGCTATGCTGGGAGGCGATGGAGCAGCTCCAGGACCGCCTCGGGCTGGCAAGCCCATACCTTGCCGGCCTCCAGGAGGGGCCATACTTGGTGGAGGCCGAGGGGGGTCGTTTCTTACGAACAGATGCGCTGGGGCTTTCGGTTTGGGTCGGTCGACGGGGAGATCTAATTTCCTTCTATCGGCGCTCAAATCTCCAACTTGCCGCACAAATAATGCTGGGGTAAGCATGTGGCTGGAGACGAGAAATGTGTCTCTGCTTCTAGAGTCGGAGACTTCGTAACAGACCCGAGACTCTGAGTATGTTGCTCCGCCGGCCATGAATACAATAGTTCTTTGCCGACTGTCTACGGTTGACATGCGGTTCCGCGCCCAAGTTGGCTTCGCGCTCCGTAGAGATGCCTGTGATTGTGCGAGGAGTTCCTCGGAATTGTCTAGAGGGGCTTTGGTGTATGGGAAGATCGATTGGTCCAGGGTGCCCTTAGCTAGCTCCTCGAGCACCAGCTTCAGGCTCGGCTCAAAGCGTGAAAGTGCGTACTCTTCGTCTTGAGCGGTTGGGCTAGTCTTCCGTGGGAATAGGGGCGCAGCGTTAAGCTTAGGTTCTTTCACGCTCTTTTTCGTAGTATGGGCACCAAGCAGATCCATATTCTGAATGACACCGATCTCGCCTTCCGGTAGAGAAGCATGCATGAGAAGGCGCTCAATATCTTCCGTTATTAATCCTTCTCGGTATAATATGTAGAGCATTGTGAGCCTCAATCGATCCGCTGGCCCAATACTATCATCATCCAGTAGTCGAACGACTTGATCGCCTACATTCTTGGGCTTCCGGAAATCCTCGTCAAGTCCTGTTGCGAGTGACTGCTCAACCGATGCGACATCTGGGAGTTTGTGGTGTTGAAAGATATTCATACACTCTTGTGCCATGCTCAGATGCAACGAGTATGCTTCTTTCAACTCCTGAAATTGCGGTAATCCCGCTAACATATCTTTGATAGCGCTCAAACTAGTAGCATCTTCGGTATTCGTAAAATGTGGATTCTCGTCAATGAACTTTTGAAAATCGCCCATTAATTTCTCGATAGTGTCCTTCATATGCCGGTGCCTATTTTCGACCCAGATCTTGTCTTTCTCACCAATCTCCACCTCCTTTTCTTGCTGGTCGCGCTGCCCTTCGTTGATAACAGTCCTGTAGACTACTTTATCACCTTCTTTTATTGGCAGCAAATCATGGGCCATCGCTTGATATGTAAACTCGTGTATCAGAGGGGCTACCAGATCCATTGATCGGTCTGTAATAATGAGGACGCCTTGTGGTCGGGAGGCTGGTGGCGGAAAGTTCTGGTTGTACTGCGCGTAGGCATCCAGCTCTTCCTGGACAAACCTCGCCAGATGGGAGCACAGAACGCTTGCTTCGTGCAAGGGATTTCGAGGTTTATAATATCGAATTTTGGGGTATTCCCCCAATGAGACACAAATTCCAGTAATCTAAATTGCATTAGTCTGCAGCTCCGCACAAGTTTCAAGAGTCCAACCTTTCTTGCAAGAAGCTGTATATGGTCCTTTACTAGAGAGCTGCATGCTGGATGGTAAAGTATCGGGAAGCTCCAGGGATCCCGGAACGTTATTAAATGCGACTCGCGGGGAAAGAAGTCTATCGACATTGTCTCAAACCCCGCCAACTGCTCCTGAGCCTGCCTGGACACATCGATACGCCGGCGCATCTGAGGTTCGAGCAGGCCAGTCCACACGAGGAAAGTTTTCCGATATCTTCGGCGCTCGAAATCTGCCATGAGACAGTCGACGATATGTGGTTGCGGGGACAAGAGGTAAATGGCGTCCATATCAGGATTCATGTCCCGCTTCTCCTCGATCCTCTCGATATCTTCTCTGTTTCAGCATACGCATTCCTGGGGTGCATCGCAGAACGTACTAGCAATGTTCTCATTGAGGATATCATCTTCCTTGACCACATTGTCTATTAACCTCTTGGCTTCTTCGTCGGTAACCAGTACCTTCCACTGCCGCAATGATTAGCAGGGCCCAAGGGCTCTGGACAGCAGACCTACGTCGCCTCGAGTGATTGCTTTGATTGTACTTAAAATGACTATTGCAACTGTCAGTCATATCTCCCTCTCCTAAATGCGGGCATGTCCTGCTCACTCTCTCGCTGCTCCTGGATTACGGACGCCCCCATCTTGGAATGAGCGAGGATCCGCCTCGAAGTCGCCGGTGTTCAGGCACAACAATGGGAATGATAAACGGTGCGAGGGGATTATGTAGCTATGGTTATAATCCGGAAGCAGGGGAGTGTAGAGTTCAGAAGTTGGTACGAAGTACGTAGTATTCGTAGGGTTCAGCGCTGTGGTTGTTCAGTGGGGGGGTTGTACCTCGTACTGCGTTTCGCGCATAAACATGTAAGAGGTTGGACTGGCGCGTGGCAGAATTCGGCGGGCGGTGAGAGAACAATGACGGCGATTTCTATTCAATTAACGAAGTCTACAACGGACACTAATACACTAAGATACTCTATCTCTATCAATACGAAAATAAGGCTGTCTTTCTCAAGGCACATAAAGGCAAGCTCTGTTGAGTAAATATTTGATCTATTATATTCCTAATCGTCTAAATCATATATTGTATATATATGACATATATACTCCGTTTACATCAAAACACGGGTTCAACACTGTCATATCCAGAGATATAAGGCTCCTTCATTCTCGAGATGCTACCAGCGCCTACAGATTTGTCATTAATCGCAACACAGGGGCTCGATTCCCCTTGTCCACATCACTTGCTTGAAAGCAGATTCATGTAGAAAAAGCATCGCTAGATAGCAACATTATAGTTGGGCCACCGCGGTCTATAAAGGGGCAGCTAAAGTAATAATAGCGACGTGTGACTGCTAATTCCAGGTACGGGTTTCGTATAGCAGTCTTGCTCTCAGTTCGTCCCTAAATATCGTTCAACGTCATCATTTCGATAGAACATCTCCCTCAAACGTTCTGATTTTCTCCTATCCTTGTAATATAATTTCTTCATCTTCTTCGCGTCCAATGTTTCTGGTTTTACTTTTTTCTTTATCTCCCCATCCTTCGGCAGCACCACGCCAATTCCCAGCTTATCGTCTTTAGGCTTCGTTTTTATCGGATATTGGATCCCTTGCCCGGATGCCCCCAAACCCAGTCGCGAATCAGGATCCCAACCATAAGAAGAGAGATATGCTAGGCCTTTCCGTTTGCGGTCTAGATGCGAGGGAGGATGCGAATGTTCTAGGCAGACTTGATGGGCAAGAGAGGCCTCGTGCGGTGTTGGCTTTGACGTTGCGAGGTTTAAACACCCCGAATTCTCTGCATTTTCTAAGTTATCCCTGGTCGTTGATGTAGAATTGTTGTCCAGCGGGGCTGAGAGGGGTAGATTGCAGATATCGCAGACATGCGACTGCAATGACTCTTCATCTTTAGATCTCCCCGTCGCTGGGGAATCCGAGACGGCCGACCGTGAGCGTACGGTCTCATTTGAGGCTGTTTTGGGGTCTTCTGGAAGGACTAGTTTAAGATATAGATCACTAATAGACTTCCCAGAGGTCTGGCTGGTAGGAACGGCTGGGGCGGTTGAAGTTGAGGGGACAAACTGTACCCGCTTGCGCTTGATTCCTGCGCCGAAGACCCTTTGGTCTTGGAGTGGTATCTCGTACGTATCTTCATCCGACATCGCGTATCGGGGACGGAGCTGAGGGCAGCTGAACGCCAGTTGTTGAGGATATATTGACCATGGAAGGGGGAGCGTGGCGTTGTGACCGTGGCGGTGGACAAGAACAACAAGAAATATAAATAGAAAGTTGAGCCGAGAATTTAAGCTTAAATCCGCCACCTCGCTTGAAGATGCCTTGGAACATTCAGGCACGGTGCCTTGTGTTTCCAGCCTTGCAGTCGTCGAAGTTCTCCTATCCTCCTACAAGAACCAGCCAGTCGCCTTTCTCCACAATGCCTTTGCCATTCATCGCCGAGTTCTTTTGGGTTGGTATACCCGGCCTTCCATCTGCCTGGACGACTCTCAAAGGCCTCGTGGCAATCGCCATAATCTCAGCGGTGAAATGGCTTTGTATCGGCGCTACAAACACCTCGGAGAGGAAGCTCCACAGCAAAGTCGTTATGATAACAGGAGGCACATCTGGAATAGGAGCAGCAATAGCCCTCGACCTGGCGAAGAGGGGCGCGCAACTAGTCCTCCTCGTCCGCCAGTCCCCTAAGGATCTCTTTCTCATCGACTACATCGAGGATTTACGAGAACGATCGGGAAACGAATTAATCTATGCTGAGCAAGTCGACTTGTCCTCCCTGCATAGTATCCGCCTGTTTGCGACGAAATGGATTGACAATGCGCCGCCACGCCGCCTAGATATGATAATACTGTGTGGTTCGACTCTTACACCACCTGGCAAGCCCCGAGTCCTCACTGAAGAGGGCTTGGAAAAATCGTGGATGGTCAATTATCTTGCCAACTTCCATCTTCTTAGCATACTAAGTCCGGCAATCCGAGCACAGCCCCCGGATCGCGATGTACGTATCATATTTGCAACCTGCTCCTCATATATCACGTCCCCTGCGATCGGAGATGGGAGCGATGCTCTGACGACGAAAGATTGGACACCGGCGAAAGCATATGCTCGAAGCAAACTGGCACTGTTGATATTTGGGCAGGCTTTTCAGAAACATTTAGACGCGTACAAGCGGCCGGATGGGATTCCTATGACTGCACGGGTCATATTCGTGGATCCAGGATACTGCAGAACGCCAGGTATGCGACGGTGGCTCACAAGGGGATCACTTTGGGGGTTGGCAGTATATTTAGTATTCTGGCAGAATATTTGGCTGCTGTTGAAGAGCCCTGAAGGTGGAGCTCAGAGCTTCCTTTATGCTACCATGGAAGCTACTCTCGGGCGTGGATCTGGTGGGAAATTAATCAAGGAATGTCGAGAATTGGAATTCGCCCGGAATGTCAAAGATGAAGATGCTGCAAAGAAGTTGTGGCAGGGCAGCGAGAAGCTTATTGAGGAAGTTGAAAAGCGAGAGGCCGTGAAAAGAGCGCTACGGAAAAAGGAGAAGGAATCAGAGAAGGCACAGCAGCCAGCGGAGGTCCCAAGCAAATCGGGTACAGCCACTAGCGACACCAAGAAGAATGCATCAAAGTCTCGGAAGCAGAGGAAAACTAAATAAATACGGATCCGTTTTTCTAAAGCATACTGTGGCGGTCATATCATAGCAACGGAGTTTACGAAGTTTGTTCTTAACATACCTCCGTTGTCAACAGAACATCGTGGGGGCCATGCTGTTTCATGTCTCTAATTCCCAGTTCACACCACCGAATTCCCTCAACCCCCGTGGCGTGTTACATATAAGTCGCCTTCAGCTGACGCCACCTTTTGAATCTGACAGACAGGAACAGAATCGTTTTATGACATCTGCTGGGAGTGACTAATACACCGGCGACTCTCCCACCATGGCATATTCGTACAGCCAAATGTAAGACTCGCTCCACATACAATGCGTTCGGCTCGCCTTCCTGGTATGTATTTTTGGAATGTTTCAACAACACTCAACTCAGTCAACTGCTCGCAAACACAACCCCTGTTTAAGCTCGCCGTCGGATAAATGCTAGGATCTCATATGGGCGTGCAGCAGTAGTGCTCCATACGAAGTATGCAATGTGCATTTTACGAAGCAGAGCTGGTCTGGAGCTGTCATCCTGGCTCGTAGTTGGAGGATCCTCAAAGGATCGCGCCTCGGCGCAGCCGCGAAGGACCCGAAGGATCACCGATGTTTTGGATGTGCAAATCCACCCTTGTACCGCAGTACGTACGGTAGTATGTCAAGCACGATGAGTTTAAATTCGATGGATCCGATATTCTGCTGCTCGTTCTCTAACCAAGAGTTTATTTCGCATAACCTGGCTGGCGCCTCCATCAGTTCCTTCCACTCCTCCTCGCGCCACAACGCAACAGGTAGAAGGACGCCACTTTCAGTGGCCACCTCGTAATGTGTTGTGTAGAACTCAAAAGTCTAAGTCGTCCTGCGATTCTAGATCTCTCCCGGCAAACCATGATCTGAATATTACATTGCCTTCACGCGCCTGGCTTCGTTTCCATACGCTTGATGTCTACTTCTCAGCGTGACCAGTCTTTGCTACAGATTGAGGTATGCCTCGAGAAAGCCAATACGACTCGGAGCAACTGAGACAACCGATTCCGATACGAACCTGGGACCGGACGAGTGAGGGTGATAGATACCAACAAGCATCTCATGTCCTTCATCGTGTTGCTGAGGATGTCTCACCTGTGTCGGCAGCCAGTCGAGACGAGATAGCTCCATCAGTGCCAGCGAAATCATTTAGCAGATCGGGACCTCATGCCAGCAGCATCTATACAAGAGCTGGTTTTGCTGAACATCAACCTCAGGTTGTGCTTCAAGTTCCAGCAATCAAACGGAAGCCAGTTAGAGCCACTACCCAACCTCTACCAGCGCCGTTATCGACCGAAAACCTGGGAATTCACGATGATATGTCTAATGAGCAACAGCACCCACCGCAACCATCCAACAATAAATCTTCTCGCTGGCCCCAACTCATCGGCAATGTTTCCTTTCTATTCATCCCTGTGTTATTCCTCACGCTAGGCTTAGTCCTCGGGAGCCTTGATGGGAAACCAACAAACGAGAGACGGCACTGGAACACCTACCAGAACTTAATGCAAATTGTATGTTAATTTTGAAACAGAAGGTTGAATTTGAACTTCTGTTTTGTTAATACCCCATAGGCAGCGACTTTATTTCCAATTACTTTCGCCCTCATTACAGGGCGGGCTGCAGTGAAAGTCGCAGCATATATTCTTCAAAATGGCACGACTCTTGGGAAACTTGAACAGATGATGGGAAGCAAGACAATTAGCGGTACAATTGGCACCCAGTTTCAGCTCCGGTCCTTCAATGCTCTTGGATTATGTCTTATATTGCTGTGGCTGCTATCGCCCATTGGCAGTCAGGCATATTTGAGGCTGGTATCTCCTGGCCTAGACTCCAGAACAAGCCCTTCGTTGGTGCCATACTTTACAACAGACACACAATCAATGTTTGCTGGTGGCGATTCTATATCGTCTGATTTAGTGCAATCTTCAGTCTTCAGATCGATGTTTGCTGCAGCGCTGCTAAGCCCATCAGATTCGAAGACTGGACCAATGGACCTTTGGGGTAATGTTAAGATTCCGTCCCTATCGTCTCTACAGCCTATTACAGGAGGTGATTGGGTGACGCTGTCGCCTAATGATTCAGTCGTCTACTCATCTTTGGTAGGAATTCCTATTGCTGCCTCAGGGATTGGGACGACGGATCTTTCTATCGAGTCGAGTTATATAAATTTGAACTGCGGAACTCCCAACAGGATGTCAGGATTTATGAATTTGCAACCCTTCTACCACGATAGCAACCCCAACAGCTCCCCCTATTCTGTGGATAACGGTACATGTCGTGGCATCGATTCCTCCGTTGCCTCCAGTGTCTATAATACCACTGCAACATGGTCGATCGGCTTAGACTCATTCGTCTCTCCCCACTTCAACGGAAATTTATCGACCAAGTCATCGTCGAAATCCTGCCAACCAGGGAGCCAAGGATATATTGCTTCTCCCTGTTCCCTGCGGAACCTCTCTCCAGCAGAGGTCAGACGAGGAACACTCCTATTCCAGTCTTTGCAAGTAGCTCCCGATGAGCGCTCTACGTCACCTAGAGTTGATGCTGCGTTTTGCCAGCTGAATCAAGTCTATGTAGAATCTCAAGTGACTTGTACCACTACAGCCACTACCCCACGAGTTTGCCGTGTCGTTGCCCAACGCAACTCTCAAGGTCACCACGCACCATCAGCCCTCACGCCACTCTCGTTTCCAGAGATATTCCAAGCAATGTCGCTCCATCTTCCCCGCTCATTTGGGACTGAAGAATCCTCATCCAGATCCGACCCATCAATCTACTACATCAGCAATCCTTCCCCAGCAGCCATAACCACTGCCACGGGCCCAGTCGACCTATCACATACCCAGCCTCAGATACTCTCTCATCATCTCGGCCAGATCATCAACACTTACTACACGCTCAGCCAGGCATATCAACTCATTACCGAGGGCTCTCCTCAACAGCTCCCGGATAACCCCACGGCTATCTCAACTATCAGGTTCTCGGAAGAATTGTACCAGGTCGCTTGGCCATGGTTCGTATTTCTCATCATCTCAATACTGGCCATGTTACTCTCCGGTCTTGCTACAGTCATTCTCTCCCTGCAAATCCGGAACCCCGATATCCTTGGGTATTGCAGCTCTCTGATCCGGGATTCCAAATACATTGATTTGCCTATCGAAGGAGGAAACGATGATGGCATGAAGCGGACGAGAATGAACTCGGACCTGAGATTGACGATGGGAGAGGTTAGGGACGCCGAGAATTCTCACATTGCTATCGTGAAGGAGGAGGACATGGTTTCAACGAGGAAGGATGGCAGGGTGTAAGGATGGCAGGAGTCTATACGTAGGCTTGCCATCTCGAAATATATTGACATGGTGCACCCTGGTTTTTTTTCTTCGGCGGTGTACTCTAAACCCATGCTTGATAGCAATGGGGAACCATACACCTTCTCAACGCCATAGCCTAGACCATTTACCTAGCAGGGCGAGGGATGCCATGCTTCCAAAAATACCATGGATTATCCACAAGTGGGTATACAGAGAATACCCTGCATTGCACAGACTGAAGTAATGCGGTTCATTGTTTATGTTGCCTCTGGATCAAGAGACGAGAACATAGCTATTTACCCGCCAGTAATCACAAGCAAGTCTGTATTCCGGACAAGCACGGGACCGCAAACTTATTAGGATTGCCTAGCCCCCAGGCCTCGGTGAATATTTTATTTTAAGTCCTACCTTGAGGAATGAGGATATTGTTTTATAGCTTTGCACCCCTTGTCCTCATAGATAAAGGCAACTATTAGTGTCTGGTGGGGCTTGGTGGAATAGGACGCCACAGCGGTCCATGTAACGGAGGGGATTTTAACAATTTGCAGGTGGTCTGGAGAGTCCTGGGTCATTGGGCATGGTTGTGGATAGCGTTTGGCATTCGCCCAGTTTTGGGCTGGTGGAATGCTCGGGGATGTTGATACTGGGTCTCAACACTCATCTATCAAATAGTTGTCGATTTTTTGGTTGTGGTTAATGTTAATAGGTTAATGTTTTGGGGGGTTTTTAGGAATATTATTGATATGACTTCAAGGGTTTGACTTTCCTGCCGTGACATACAATTGATCAATGTGAGTATCAAGCTTTCTTGTGTAAGAATAACGTACAAGGCGCCCTCTTCCCCCTACCAACCAACTATATGTCATGGGATGAATCGCTATACTAGTAGGGACGAAATATGAGATAATAATACAATCAAGATCACTTAATAGATGAGTAGCTTCCATGGATATCGAATTATAATAAAAAGCGCTAGATTGGTACACATTCACCACAACTAACCCCAAGTCCCACCTCCACCTCCTCTGCCTTGCCTCTTCTGAGCACTTAGTCTCCAATCATCCTCCGCAGCAAACTTATTATACAGTGGCTGTATCCTCTCCGCCTTCTTCCTCTTACTCAACTTATCCGTTGGAGCAACCTTGAAGAAACTCGGCGCGGCATCCACCAACCACTTCGGTTCAATCGCCGTCGTACAGTGCATATACTCCTTGCTCGTCAGCACAAGCCCATGGTATATGACCCATTCTGCCTGCTTGCCAAAGAGCGCGGAGCTAGGATGGAGATACACGGGCGTGCCTTCCAGGAGTGTTTTGTAGCCTTCTTGGGGGTCTTTGCGAGCGGAGTTGCGGAAAAGGCCAGAGCAGAGGGCTTGTCGTACTTTCTGTGTGTCGCGACCACATGAAATGACGGGGTGTTTGTAGCGTTCCATGATCTTGACGAGTTGGTCTCGGACATCTTTTGCTCGGCGCATGGAGCGGGCTTGGATGAAGTTTTCGAAACACCAGGGGTTGGCGAACTTGTTTTGCTTCCATCCATTGTAGACATTGAGGAGAGTAAGATGGTCGCCATGAGGGTCATGGAACTTTGCTTTCTTTTGATCGGCTTGGGCTTGTTTCTCTTTAGGGCGGTAGAAAATTGTTGGTAAAGATAACATAGCTATAATGCTTAATATTTCGTCTGAGCATTGCAAATCAACGGCAGCGATTAGAACTTTTGCTTGAGATGGTTCCATGGGGAAGTCGGCCATCTTGCGTCCCAGGCGAGTCAGGAGACCCTCGTCGTCTAAGGCAGATAGCGCGTATAGCTCCTCCAGGGCTGTCAACATGGTGTTCGTTGGCGGAGGGTCCATGAAATCGAAATGTAGTAAATCATTGATTCCCATAGCCTTCAGCATCAGAATAGTGTGCGAGAGATTCTGCCGTTGAATCTCCGGGATTGAAGTTGGTAACATTTCGGACTGGAATGCAGCTTCTGTATAAAGACGGAAACACTTTCCTGGGCCCGTTCTGCCTGCACGTCCAGCGCGCTGTTTTGCCTGGGCTTGTGAGATGGGCGTTATGACAAGTGAGTCCATGCCAAGCTTTGGATCATATGCGTTTTGCTTAACAAAACCGGGGTCAATAACATAGTAGATGTGATCGATCGTGATAGACGTCTCGGCAATATTGGTGGCAATAACAACTTTACGGCTTCCCGGAGGGGCAGGGTCGAAAATCTTGCTTTGCATCTCACTTGGTAAAGCTGAGTAAACCGGGAGGATAATGAGTTCGGGAACACTAGGCCCAAGCGCTTTCATACGCTCAAACAAAATTTCGCAACTGGTATCGATTTCCTCCTGTCCAGTCAAGAAGAGCAAGATATCTCCAGGGGGCTCTGTCAAATGTATTTGCATGACAGTAACTAATGCCGCATCAAGATAATCGGATTCGGGTTCCCGGGAGTACATAATTTCCACAGGGAATGTACGCCCTGGAATAGAGAAGATAGGACATTCGTTGAAGTAGGACGAAAATTTATCAGCGTCTAAAGTTGCAGATGTCACGATGACCTTTAGGTCAGGGCGACGTTTCAAAGTTTTCTTGAGCAAGGCAAACAAAACGTCGGTGGCGATAGTGCGCTCGTGAGCCTCGTCCAACATGATAACAGAGTATCTCTTTAAATTAGGGTCCATTAAGACCTCGCGCTGCAACATTCCATCGGTCATGTACTTAATTTTTGTCGCGGGAGAGGTGCAATCTTCGAAACGGATCGTGTAGCCAACTTCCTGGCCTAGCTGGCAGCCAACTTCCTCTGCCACACGCTTTGCAACTGACATAGCAGCTACACGGCGAGGTTGAGTACAGCCAATTATGCCGTTATTTGCGAAGCCACCTTCGGCCAAGTATTGCGTTAACTGCGTTGTTTTTCCTGAGCCGGTATCACCAACTACAATCAACAGTTGATTTTCATGAACAGCCTTGAGGAGCTCTGAGCGGAACCTGTAAACTGGCAATGACTCTCGTTGCTGCTTGATAGTCATGTCCGTCCTACGCCCAAATGATTGATCCTTGCTCTGCGTTGCTCGTTTCCACTCCGGTAGGGTCTCGTCAGCCGGCGGAGGTTTGATACTCCTCAAGTCACTAGCGAACTTTCTCCCATCAGGGGCGGCCATGGGATCCTGCCATTGCGCAGACAAGTCGACCTTGGAGCTTTCTTCAGTGGCTTTATCCTGGGCTTCCTGTTGCCGTATCTCCCGGCGGTCCTTTGCTAGAGTAGTTCCAGCCATGGCGGCTCGATTCATAGACCCGTCTGGCGCTTTCACAACTCTAATAGGAGACAATTCAAGAGACTGCTTTGTCTGTCCCGCAAGGAAGGGTGGCTCCTCCTCTCGGAGCTCGATATCCACATCCTCCTCAAGTTCCATCTCGCCCTCACCGTTGAGGGTGGCGTTGTAGTCTTCGTCCAGATCTGGATAGTCAGATGCTTTGACGACACCAGAAGCGATAAGTTGCCGAATCTCCCACCGTTCAGGTGATGTCATTCTCTTCTTGTTCTTTCGCATATTTTGGTAAGTATTGTCTTCAAAGACGACAGGTTTCTCATCTATCAAACCGTACTCATCCCTACTCCCTCCAAGCCTTTCCATATTCGCACCAGATTGTATCCTAGCCTGCGGAGCCAGATCTCTTCCAGTCTCCTGGTCCACATCCTTCATCGACAGTCCTATCCTTGAACCTTCAATTTTCAGAACTTTGACCTTAACCGGCTGACCTCTCGATACCAAGTCCGAAGGGTGATTGACACGTTGTCCCTCGACCAAGGCAGATACGTGGACAAGTCCATCCACCTTCCCTTTAACGCCATGAACATTCACAAAGGCCCCAAAGTCTTTAACGCCTGTGACATGCCCATCATAAACTTTGTATAATACAGGCTCATCGTCAAGTTCGGGAGTCGGAGGTCTCTGGAACTGCCTGTCATCATCTCGCCTCCGTCGTGAGGGCTTATGGTCATTCCGGGAGCGCCCAAATTCGTCTTCATCCTCGCAGCCATTCCTCCTTCGTCTCCTAGTATCTTCACCAGAGCGCGACCGGGACCGCGACTTATATCTCTCTTTCCGGCTGCGACCTCTATTATAGTCTTCATCCGGACTTCGGCTTCGTTTCCGACTCGTCTTCGTAGGCTTCTCTGTCCGGACTTTACCTTCGAGACCCTCAAGGAGAGCAAGGGTATCATCTATGGCATCTGCCCCAGGATCTTTGTCTCCATCGGTGTGTCCATCCTCTACACTCTCCTCCCATGGCACCTCTTGGTCGGGTAGTGCCAGGCCCTTGAAAACCTTAGTCTTCTCCTGTACTTTGCGCGACTCGTTTTCAGGTTCCTGCCCATTTGAGTAATTCCCCCCCTTGAACTTTGGATGCATAGTATGAACGAGGCGATCTATGCTCTCTATCAAACTTTGTGGAAAGTCCGCCCCCATCGCCTCCAGCTTCTTCTGAAATTCCTCCAGGGACTTGCATTGTGTATTTTGTGCGATCACGAACTCGGCGAGGGTCTTGTCGCTGATTCCAAGATGGTTTTGGAGCTCGGAGGTGACTTTAGAGACCAACGAGAGGATTTCAAGGGATTCGAGGTCGTCCATGGTAGCTGCGTTGGCATGTGGATATGCCGTGTATGTCCTCCAGGACTTTTTCGGTGACATGTTGAACCTTGATCTTATCGCGACGCGGCTGGACTCCTTGCATGACTAATCACCGGTTGCCCCTTCTAGTGGTCCATTCGATCTGCCAACCTAGAGCTCATACCTAAGGAAGGTGGCGAGAGTGTAATCAAAAAATGTTTTGAAACCCTTAATTGATTCCCTTACTTAACTTCGTAAATAAGGCCAAAGCACGGTAGAGTCTGTTAATATGGTTCCCGGCATCGCCGCCAGACTAGCCCGCCCGTGGCTAGAGACTCACGCTGGGACGACAGCAACTTCTGGTTATATATTACAAAGCAAGCATAGCTTTATGTCCTCCAAGTCTTCCAAATATTTACACTTTGAACGCCCCTCCATTTCTCGTTGCCGCAACACAATGGAGTTGTTCCCAGGGCAACCTATAAAAGCAAAATCGGATTCAACTGCCTAAAAGTCCCTGGCTTGGCCGTCTCTGTCGCTCCATACACAGATCTACCATCTCTCGTCTACTCCAGGGTTGACGTGGTCTCTACTAGAAGTTATCTAACCCGACCCGCCAATGAAGATCCAACTAGCCACTGGTATCTCGTATATTCTCTATTGAGCAGACAACCATACATCTTCGCCTTCACTAAGCTAGTTAAAATACATATGCCATTTATGACGACTAGTTTTGATGAGAAATACTGGGCGTCCATGTCCCTCGTACTTTACGTGCCAAAGTTTTGCCAAAAGAGTACAAAGACATGGGCAGTAGTACCTGGTCTGGTACGGTGCCTGGGTATCTTTGTGGATATTTTCATAGAAGGAGTTTTTGAGAAACAGAGGGGGGAATGAAGACCACAAAGCAACGGAAACCGTCAAGTTGTTGTAATGAAGATTTTACTCTTTGAATTGCTGTAGCCTCAAAAATGGCTTGGTGTTTCTGAAATATTTAGAGACAGTATGCCTATTAAGATCTACCTAGGTAGGTTCTGGAAAGCAGGCATTCCTCCACTTGGAGCTAGAAGTCTAGCTCACTAAGCTGAGGTACACTTGCTTTAAAACAAGTGCGAGAGATGATCAATCCCATTAGATTTCAAAGAGAGGAGCATAAAAACGATTAGTAGGCTCAACAGAATGATTGAGACAACATTAAACCAGCACAGTGATCGAGTACTGTTCTCAAAATTCGCCCCATGTGATATGAAGGCTCCTATTCAATCTTATATACAAATCTAGCCCTCTACTTCGTGCGAATCATCTTCAACTTCTTGGCAGACCATGAAAAGTTGTTTGCATAAGCCTTCGGGGTACGTTTCCGCTCGGTTGGCTCCTGGACAAAGTACTCATAGCCTTGCTTCTCCGCAAATCTAATGGCGTCCTCCTTTGAGTTGAAGGTAATGTTTGTGCCTTGCATGAAGTCCCCAGACGATTGCCAACCCATCAGAGGATTCTCCCACCGGTGACCCTTTGACAATATGTCCCAATCCATGCGCCAGTATTTAGTATGCCAGTCTCCTGATTGGGTTGCTGGCTTGGATGGTTGGTATATACTACGTCATATTAGATATTAATCACCCAGAATAAGGAGACGGAAAATCGCACCGAACGGTTCTGGCTTCAAGCTCAACTGGTGCTCCTGATAGCACAGCAGCTGGTAAAACATCGCCTTCCTCGCTGCCGTTCAGAACCCTCTTTGGAACCGGTGTAAAGAATCTACAGGGCGTAAGCTAAATCCTCCCTCCACCATCGAATAACAAACTTACGATGTAGCTTGATCTATCTCTGCAGAGTAATCAGGCAGGGCATGCTTCGGTATGTTTGCTTGTGCATCGGTGACCGGATGGGTGCCACGGGTGGTTGTCGGGGTGTTATCAGATGTCGTGAGGGGGGTTCCAAGGGCAGTGTGTGTGTCGAACCGGACAGTCCCTGGGAGAGGCCGCCGCGATGACGAGGCTCCTGCTTTTAGCAGTCCTCTGCCAATTGAAGGCCGTAATAGCGACATTTTGTGCTTCACTCGTCCTGTAGAATGGATGATCTCGGAGAGCTCTGTATGAAGTTGTTAGAGGTGAGGTCCGCGACGCTAACCAGGTTCGCTTAGCGCGGTTTACATCTCGGTCGGCCAACTTCAAGGTCTTCTCGACAGTAACAAACCCGCAAGTTCCCCCTCCACACATCATAACTACATTCGCTCGAGGTAAGGAGACCTGTTGTGCGGTTAATAATCGATCCCCGAAGCTCTAGATTGCAATTGGACTGACCCCAAATGGTAGCCATCACGATGAGTTACATCACCCGCCGTGCGCTTTCATCCCTCATTCCACCCAAGGTAGGTTACTTAGATTCCCTCACTATTGGTTTAAAGGGACACTGCTAACTTGATAATAGGTGGCATCTCCATCCGTAAGTTGATCCTCAAAGCAGCACTCGCTCAATTGAGCCCCCGAGAGATTCCCGAACGCGCCACAAAGTGCCGAGAGATGGAGTGGTTTAAGGAACCGGATGGCTGATAGGAAATAGGGCCTTGGTGCTGCACAAGATGCTGCTCGAATGCAGCGTGTAGTCAGCTTCTACGAGAAACTTCCTCGAGGCGCGGCTCCGGAGGTTAAGGCAAAGGGGCTCATCGGGAGATACCAAGCTCGTTACTTCGGAAAGAACCCGTCTGCAACACGTATGTTCAAGGCTTTCCCCTTCCTGTGTTTTACGACAGCATATTAATTATTTACCTCTTAGCGATTATTCACGCCATTGTCGCTATAGTTGCCCTTGGTTACGCTAACAACTACTATTTCCATCTTCGTAAGGCTTTCCCAGCCTCAGTACGCTGCATCATGAGACTGACAGAATACAGGTCACCACAAGAACAACGCTCACTAAATGGGAAGGGTGTCCTAAGCTAGAGATGGGCATGTTTTACTATGTTGTAAATAGGAATTAGAAGAATACCAGTCAGTTTGCAAACCGAAATGCAACCATCGTCTTGGTGATCGTGCTGGGTGGTATCGTGTCTTTAGGGACTGATCCTATTGGTGAGAGTTATGCAACACCCATCGACGAGATGAGCCATCATGCCTATTTTCCATGTAGAGAGTGACATATGAGGCGCCGTAGGAGGGTACTTCGACGCTATTAAATTTCAGATCCGGAGCACCGGGATGAACTATCCATATCTGAACTACGTTTAAACTTACGTAGGTACCTACTTGTACCATTCCGACCTCGTTGTAAACTCGCCATATGCCAGAGTGATCAAAATTCGCTTCTCTTGTTCTGGTGGAAGTTGTCTTGTAGAATTTGCCGCTCACTCATCCCTAGCGCAAGGACGGACTCCTAAAAACAAACCAAAGCGGCCCGTTATTGCTATAAAACTACAAAGTAACCAAACAATAGATTCTCGCCAGAACCTTTGACTTATACTATGAAACAGAAGCCTCAAATAGTGAACAGTGAGCTGCCCGTAACGCAGGTAGTTGACACTTTTCCTTATAAAGCGTCACACCTCAGCCTCGGATCCTAGCGCCGCGCGCTAGGCTTGATTAAGCCTTGTCGTCCCGTACCTTTCAGAGATCAATTCCACCTCTGTCACGATCTGAACAGACAAATAACCTCCCTCCCCACGAAACCAGGAGTCCCTTTACTTTTCTTCTTCTCGGCGTCTTTGGCACCGCGACTACTAATAATTATATCGCCACTAAACCTCCATACCCGCAAGCACCCCCGTCCAAGTCTACCAGTCACGGAAAACGGGCCAACGCATGCGCAGCTCCTGGACATAACAAACAACTCTGAAGACGTATGATGGCAACTGAAGCCACTCCTGGGAATCTTGCGACGTCGAATACTCCCTCTGATAATGAGCTGGTGCGTTTTACTATGGTGGCGGCTGATCTTTTCTCCCCCTTTGCTGACTTTGCGCCTCAGAACACCACCCAAACCACGAGCAACGATGTCTCCCCGACTGAACAACCTCTTGTAAATGGGAAGGCGAATACCGATAAAGATGAGACTAAGCAAGATGTTGAGCCTGTCGAAGCAGCCCTCACCTCAGCGGAGGTCAGCGTTAGTGGAGGATCGGATACTGAAGCTTCGAAAGCGGAAACCTCGAAAACCCAGGTAGATGAGAAGGGTCATCTCCGAACCGCCTCGTCTGTGAAGAAAGCCATCTCATTCAAACCAGTCTCGGTCAATAAGACTTTCCTTGCGGCCAAAAGCGCGACTGCTTCCACAACTTTGAAGCTTGGTGACAAAGGATCCCCTGGAGTTATGTCGCCCCAAAGCGGAACTTCTGCAAGCTCGACACCTAGACCTCGATTGGTTGCAAAGGCTGCGAGTGGTCTCCGTGATTCGGCTCCTCGAACCTCCAGCATTTCAAATGGTGGCAAACCTGGCGCAGCTCCAGACCCAAGCGCTGTGTGGAACAAAAACCGACGTACGTGCAGTTTCCCGATCTTGCACTGGATATCTTACTGACCATTTACATAGCTGCGCCTCCTCCAGAACCAAAACGATTTACTGACGAAGAGCTGAAGCAACGATATGGTATTCATTTAGCTACCAGACTTCAGTCGGACGATCCGGGAAGGGAGAAGAACTGGGCAGACATCGACGACGACGATGACGATTGGGCGCCAGAGACTATTGAGTGGACTGATGGTACTAAGATAACTCTACCCCACCCTGACGAGACGCCCGCTCCTACTCCAGAGCCTGCTCCAGTACCATTGGTGCAAGATACAAGACCGGTTGAAGTACCGAAGTCAAAATCGCCGGCCCCTATAGATAAATCGGGATCACCAACCGTCAAACCTAGTGGACTCGGGTCTGGTAGAGCCGGCCTTATCCTCAAAGGTGCTACGGAAAAGCCAACACTGGTTGCAAAGCCTCCTGGACCCCCTACTCCAGTCAAATCACCATGGGCATCGTTGCCACCTGTAGACAAGGTGCCGCCTATTGCGATAGACACTCCTCAAAACCAGCCCCAACAGCAGAGCCGTTTCAGCCAAAGAGATCCTCATGGCTTCCAAGGCATGCCGCCTCCCGCAAAGGAAATTGCTGCAGACGACTTTAGCCGATCATGGAGAGATGGCAGTGCGAATACAAGCAGAGAGCTATACAATTCACAATCTGGCAGATACGAGCCAGTTAATGATGGTCGAAGAGGGTCGACTCGCAATGATCCACATTCGAGGCAACCTGCGGTTCTACAGCGACCAGCACACGATGGCCCTGCGGAGCCTTCAGCTGCATTCCAGACGCATCGTGCTGGTGGCCAAGATGCTGCCTATGTCCGCCGCCGCACCTCGTCAAACGTGAGCGGTGGCAGTGGGCACTTTGCAAGACGAATGAGTCGCGGTCACGAGTTGGCCCCCCAACCTCACGAGATGTTGAATGTACGACGAGGCTCGCTGGCGGCGGTAAGCGACGCGCCTTCCTCACCCAGGGGCTTTTCACCTTCAGGTCAACAACCCCAACGCGGCTACCAAAACCAAACCTGGCAGTCTCGCACTTCACAGTCGCCTGTCATTAGCCATCCTTCGCCTCAATCGGTACATGGTCAAATTGTTCCCTCTATCTCAGGCTCAGTGGATGGCCAGAGCCAGCCATCGAGTGCCGTTCTCTCTGAAGAGCAAATCTTCGAAGACCAGAAGAAGCGCATGCAGATAGCCCGCGAGCTGGCCATCAAGCGAAGACAAGAAGAAGAAGCCAAGGAAGAGGCAGCTAAGAGAGAACGCATTCGCATCAAATTGGAAGCCATGGGTCCGCCTCCCGAAAAGCCAAAGAAGGAGACCCCCAAGCAAGAGAAGGCGGTTCCTACGCAAATCCAAGTGCGCGAATCTGCAGATACAGTCCCTGCGCAATCTAAGCAGGTCGAGTCGACGGAGGTTGGAAAGGTGAAGTCTTCAGCGCCTCCCGCCACAAGTGCTGGTGAGGTGAAGACTTCGGAGAAGGGTGCCCAAGATCATCGCGCCAACGATGTTCAGGAAGGTGAATCCGCTGCACCCGGCCGTCAAGGTTCTCAGGACGCCAGGTCTTCCCAATCCTGGCAAGGCAACTCAGCCCAAGGCTCAGATCGATATCAAGCTCAAGGCCCTTGGGCTCCTCCTGCGCAACAATCAGCTTCGCGGAGCGTTTGGGGTCCGCCCACCAGCGACAAAACGCTAGGCAACGGCACGTTCAACCCTGAACTGAGCAGAATACCCAATATGCACCCATCGTCGCTCCCAGGCCCGATTGGACCTCCAAACTCGAATCGTGGAAACGATGGCCAGTTCGCCCGCGGTCGGGGTCGCGAATTATACAACTCGAGACCAGCACCTATCGGCCCGCCGAATAGGAATGTCGATCAACATACCGAGGAACAACGCCGTCTGGTCTCACAGAGCGGCTGGGCCAATGCGGCGGAGTCGGTTCAAAAACAAGATACCCTCATTCGCCAAAAGCAGGACTTAGAGCTTGCCCAACGCCGAGAACTTGAAGAGCAAGGCGTGGCCCCAGATATCGCACAACCAGTGTACAAGGAGACCTGGCGACAAGTTACATTAAACGAAGATGGCAGTCGAAGCAAAACAGAAACCGTTCACGCCGATGTCCATGATGCATCATCGCAGTTCAATTCCGGATGGAAATCTTACCCATCTAAGGCGGAGGACGTAGCAACACGAGCCATATTCGATGAGCAAGATCCAGCTCGCCGCCGTCATCTCGATGCTATTGGCAACACGGCCCAGTCCCAATTTGCTGATCCTTGGAGACCAGCAACCATGAATGCCTCTCCTCGAGTCCGCGACTCACGATTCTTCCCAAACAATCGGGATATCCGGCATGAAGATCCAGTGGTTCCGTTTGAGCGGCCAGGGTCGCCATCTCCTCCACCCCCAACCATGGCAGGTCACCCAGCGTACGATGGAGATACCGCACACCCCCATGTCTCCCTTCCTCGCCCTGCACCTGTCGTCAAACTACCACCGGTGGTTCTTGCCCCGATCGGTCCCCCGAAACCTACATCATTCGCTGCGGCGGTCATAGCACCTACAGCCCCATCCGCAAGCCACGCTCCTGGTTATTCAGGACGACAGGACTACCCTTCTAGAAATTCTGCCTCTCATCAAGATAGTCGACGGGTACCAGAACCAACCGCTGGAGTTTGGCAGGACCGTATCAATACTTTGATTGGACGCAAACACTCACCACCTAAAACGCATGCTCTTGCTGTCGACTCGTCCAGCAAACATGCTCTGGAGCTCCCTAATTCACAGTTTGCGGCTACCGTCTCACTACCTTCGTTATCCTCTTCGGAATCAGGGTCCGATGATGCGCCAGTTGCTTCGAAACCAGCCGCCGAGGAATGTTTTGAAGAGCAAGAAATGGGATCACTTCCTGTTATCAAATTGCCATCAAACGCTCCTCCCACAGCTTGGGCCCCCGCTGGTTCACCACCAAAGTTCCTGCCTAAGAAGTTCCTAGCTGCTGATGTTACCAGCGTCGAACCAGTGGAATTCACGGACTATGTAATGAACAATAGGATCAACTTCTTGATTCGCCTTCCTGGAGAAGTAGAGGGAAGACTTGTTTACGGTCCTTTTCTGCGCCAGAAGAGCAACCCAAGACGAGGTGGTGCCCGGGGAGGAACTCCACGCCAATCTTCATCATCACATCCTCGGGGCGGCAGAGGAAGAGATGCATCCAGCGGCTTTCAGTCTCCGAAACCAGAAAACTCAACAGTGGCGTCCGGTAGTAACCCCACTAGCCGTGGCGGTGGCAGAGGTGGCAGAGGATATGGCTCGAACTGGAACCGTCACGTTTCTACCCCCGTTCAGACTTGATCATACCATATTACAATGGCGTCGACAATGACGTTTGGTCATACCTGCTCTAGGAAAACCACCTTTACGACTGTAACCATGGATACTTTTTTTCACAACAACCACTTTTCACTTTACACTTGTAACTCAATGCATGAGCGGATCGGATCGTTTGTCTCGTCAGCGGCTGTATTGCAATTGGCATACAGCGTGTACATTGTGCGTGAAGTTATGGCTTACTTAATGAAAGTTGGCTGGCATGACTGGAGCACGTTTGCAGGGGCAGACGATTCACAGGACTAGAGATAATTTTGATGGAAAGCTAGAGCCTGTGAGGATCTAGCTTGGTCGAGATACTTCATTGCAAATCTTTGGTCCCTGGCTGTAAGTTTAGTTTAAGCCTTCGAGGCCACGATGCCGCATACAACGGCTAGTTGCTCGCATAAATACATGAAGATGTTCACTTATATGACTTGATCGTGAGAACCATAACTGTAACTGTAACAATTAAATCGAATAACTGATAATAATGAAACGATGGAAGTTTGAGACTGTACAGTACGTTGTGTAGAACTCGGTAGTCATGCTTCAGACTTCCGAGTGGAGCCCGAATATCATTCCAGAGTCACCTGCAAGTTTCAATGCCCCCGTTAAAACCCCTCCTATCAACCCCACGAGCAAGCCCACTTCCTTGGGCGAATAATATATCGTTATCTCCAACCTACCTACTCTTCCTACAGAAATATGAGCTCACCCAGCCAACCAAAAACGCAGAAACAGATCAACCTCCTCCGTGGCTGGCCACACGCATCCCTCCTACCCACAGCCGCTATCACCAACGCCGCCCAAACCGCACTCACCAACCCGTCCATCTCCACGCCAGGACTCCTATATGGCCCGGACGCAGGATACGAACCTCTACGAGAGGAAATCGCTTCATGGCTCTCCGGCTTCAACTCCGGGAGCGCTGCAGCCAGCACTCCCGTTTCCGGCCCGGCTGACCCCGATAGGATCTGCATCACCGGAGGAGCAAGCCAGAATCTTGCGTGTGTCCTTCAAGTATACAGCGATCCCGGGTATACCAGAGTTTGGATGGTAGCGCCATGTTACTTTCTGGCCTGCAGAATTTTCGCTGATAGCGGGTTGAAAATGGCGGCTGTGGGAGAGGGGAAGGATGGTGTTGATTTAGAGGGCTTGGAAAAGAAGTTGCAAGAAGCTGAGGGCATAGAACGGAAGGTAAGTCAGATGTATTATTTCTTCGAGCAGTTAGTCGTTTTCTTGGGCAAGTCAACAGAGCAGAAATCCAACTCGAGGAAAGCCCATCACGTGAAGGGGATATACTCCCCCTTTTACAGATTACCCTTCAATAAATTCGCTATGGAGTTGTCTTCTATAAGAAGTCATTATATCCCTATCATTCAACGTATCCCGATATTTAGCAAAGCACTAACACCCCCAAAACAGAAACTCAAAACCCCAAAACCATGGTCAAAAACCTACCGCAACATAATCTACTGCGTGCCCACCTTCTCCAACCCCTCAGGGAAAACCATGACTCTCCCCTGCCGCAAATCCCTCGTTCAACTAGCCCGCAAATACGACGCCTTGATAATAACAGACGACGTCTACGATTTCCTACAATGGCCTACCACAGCGACATCCTCTATTCCAGCCAGCAACAAAACCACAGCACTTCTGCCCCGTCTCGTGGACGTCGATCGTACTCTTGATCCAATCCCCTCCCAGGACGGTTTTGGGAACACCGTTTCCAATGGCTCGTTCTCAAAAATCGCCGGGCCGGGAACACGCACTGGCTGGGCTGAGGCGAGTCCGAAATTCACATACGGGCTCTCGCAGTGCGGATCCTCGCGCTCGGGAGGCGCCCCGAGTCAGCTTACTGCTACTATTGTGTGTGAGTTGTTGCGGAGTGGGGAGTTGGGGAGACATATTGAGGGGGTTTTGGTGCCGGCTTATCAGAGGCGGTATGGGGCGTTGATGGATGCTATTCAGCGATGGCTCGTGCCGCTTGGAGTTACGGTGGGGGAAGTTAGTAGCGAGGGGGGTATTTTTGGAGGGTTTTTTGTCTGGGTTGAGATGCCGGCGGGTGTGGATTCTGGGGTTGTGGCGAGGAGGGCGAAGGAGAGGGAGGGGTTGGTTGTGGCTCCTGGGAGTATGTTTGAAGTTGAGGGAGATGATAGTGTTAAGTTTGATAGAGGGGTTAGATTGTGTTTTGCATGGGTTGAGGAGGAGGAACTGGCTGAGGGCGTGGAGAGGTTGGGGAGGGTTGTGAGGGAGATTACAGAGGAGGGTGTGACAGGAAGAGTTGACGAAGGGGAGTTGGGGGTGGATTTGGGTGAGTTTAGATGATGGGTTTAGATTATGGCATTTGTGTGTACCACGACTATATTACGTGTATTCCTCTTTTCTATAACTGAATATAAAACACTACAATGTTCTTATTCGAACGCTAGTTGGGAAAGGGAAACCCCCTCGCTCCCTCAATATATAAGCCTGGAAGGATATTTTCTTTATTCTAGCCTTAACCTTTATATCTACAAGTACTAAACTTTGCAGCCTTGCTTCCTCCTAGCTGAGCCATGGTTCTATGGGTTAAGACATATACCGTGTTCCGAGTGAGAGCGTTGAAAAGGGAGGGGATTGATAAATATGGACCTCGAAATTGGACAAGTGGAATTTTCCTTTTACGGGGTTTAGGGATTCAGGGGGACATGGGAAATATTAGAAGGCAGATGTAGAAACGATTTGAAAGGTTAATGGGGTATGCATGCATATGCCTTTGCAGACGAGAGTTTAGATGTGAAGTGCAGCGAGTAGATATTTGAATTTCTTTTCCTCCTTGATAACATTGAACGAACCCCAACGCCCGGATGTTATATGTCCCATATATTGCGATCCATGTTCCGTGGTCCTATTTACCTAGTACATTCCCCAACCTTAACCTTAACCTCATCCCATCATCAACTAAATTGCGCCTATCCCATATGAAGTTCGTTTCCCTCGTAGCTTCATAGTAAATTCCCCACGTGATTCCGTGGGTTTCTGTATCTTACAATAAAATGTTTTCTGTCGACGTTGAGCTCATTGAGCTTCTAGTAAGCAGTGATAGATCGTTCGAATTTCGGCCAGTTTCTCTGCTCTTTTTCTCTTCCCTTCGCTGACCCGCCGGAATTCCGGCGCTTGAACATATGCTCAACCATGGCCATTGGCTTGACGAAATCCAGCGGGGTTAGGGGTGCTGCTGCCACGCGATGGCCGTGCTTGGGTTTGTGAGGGTGGAAATGCCGCTTGATGCTGTCGTCAACTAAGGCCATGAGACCTGTAGCAATAATAACACTAAGGCGTTTTGTGTTAGAATAAAAACCCCCTTGCGAGTCTGTTTCATATAACTTACTCGGCGACATCACTGAGTTCCTCCACGATCGTCTCATCGCTGATCCACATCGAGCAAGGAGGAACCCATCCACCGGACGCTTGATCCGCCCGCATCTGGGAAGGCGATCGTAATTCAGGCACGATGTGCGCTATTGCGGGCCCTTCCCCATGATGAAGATGGTACGACACTGATTTTCCCTCGGCATACATTTCTGCTACTCGTCGCCAAGAGTAACTCTGGCCCCAGTATTCGAAATCGTACCGTTTTGATGACTTCTTCCCTCGGCGCGTGACTTCTACCTGGGCGTAGTTTGAAAATTCTAGCTTGATGCTATTTGTGGGAGCTGCATTGCTGGACTTGACGGCCAGGCCCTCATCTGCATCTTCGTCGACTGAAGCGTACCCACTATCTTGCCTCTTGATGCTTCCATTTCTGCTCTTGTGACCGCTTGTTGAGAGGCCAGAACCAGTCCTCTTGAATTCCGGCTTTCGAATACTTGCAAGAGCGCTGGACATTGATCTCGTCAGGGCAGGTCTCTGCTCTGAAGCGGGCTTTGCATATTTCCGGCTTGAATGACATAGTTCTCGCCCGGACGAACGCTCATATCGCCGTAGGGAAAATTCACGCTTCTTTAAGTCCTGCATGCGCAGATGAAATAGCTGGACGTTCCCGGTCTTGCGCAAGTAGTCCTCCGCGTCAATGCGCAAGTTCATGTTCCCATCATATGTGGTGTCGTCGTGGCGGATACTGAGGCGCTTCGTGGAGGGGAAGTAGTCGGCGAAGTTATTGGGGTTCGTCGGTCGTAGGTCCGCCTCAACGATTTCATGGTACTCGGGGACTTCATACTCGGGGTCGTATGTCTCGGGTTCCTCGCAGAGGTCTTGCTCAGAAGCGCCCGAGGCGTATGTTTCCGTTGATGATCGAGGGAAGCAAGAGTAGGGCGTCGGCGACGATGTCTCGTAGGCGTACTTGGAGCTAGGATAACGGTCTGACTCTGCGCGATAGGAGGAAGGTCGGGGGCTGTTGTGGACGGTTGTTGGAGCTGTGCTACGGGACTCATAAGAGTCGTTACTTCGACGAGAGTGAGAGCTGCGACTGCTTGCGCTGTCTTCGTGGTTTCTTCGGGTGGTTTCGTACATGTTGAAATAGAAGGTTTGCTGAGACGCTCCAAGTGATTTGGACTGCGGTAGATTTTGACTTGGAGAGGATAGTACAGGGTCATATATACAAGTAGAGATGTATTCCTCAGGTTGCAGGAGCCAGATTGATGCAACAAGAACAGTTGATAGAAATTTAGGGAGTGATCCAAAGAGTTTTAATGTGTAGATTTGGTGCCAAATTATTGAATTACTGATTCATGAGCACTGCGAGGTTACAAACGTAACATAGTCGAGGTCGGTGTGGCGGGGAGGATGGATATGGATTCTGATATGTCGATCCGATATAGACGTGGAGAGCAGGAGATGATCTGATGGGTCGGTCATGAGATCTTTATGTGGTGCGACAATTATCAAAGAATAAACAATATGGTACGGGACGGGACGGGACGGGACGATACGAAACAATTCGATTGTAGAAGAGTTTAGAGCGGGTGGATGGGGATGATAAGTCGATGTTACAGTCCAAGTAAGACGTAGGTCGGGGTCGGGTTCGGCCTTGGACGAAGCAAGCAGTGGGATGTCGATGCTTGCTTATTATTATTGCGTCCTTATTAATATTCCCGCGGTGGTCGCATGGGGGAACGACCCCCGTGTCCCGGCTCCTGAGGCCTCTCTCGTGGCTCTGGCTCTGGCTCCTCGCTCCTCGTTCATCCTCGCCACAACATCGTCGCCCTCGTCCGCCCTCTCCATCCTGATCCAGCCAGACCTCGGGGCATTTGCTGATGGCGGCAGGGTCGCTTTACAGGTCTTCGAGGTCCGAACCCAGCCGGCCATTTGCTTCGGTGGAATTGGTTGGCCGCCGTGTCGCCGTGGCGAGTGCAACGATTCCAGGGTTTCGGATGGGTGTAGGAGCGTGGAATCAGAGTGGACGCTGGACAATGAGCGTTTCCAGCTGCCAAACGGCGGCAGTGCAGGGGATCTTGATCCAGCAAGCAGAATGCTAATAACTAACTCGTCCGGAGGTACGTACGCTTTGCCTTTGCATTATTCTTCGGCTGGTCGACGGCTGCGAAGTCCTACTGCCGCGTTACTCAAGCACGCACTGCGCGTTGCAGCGCCCCGAGGTAAGGCGTTGGACAACTCGTACCACCGCAGCGGGCACCAGAGGGTTCGAGCATGTCCTAGTTTAGGTACGACGTATTCCCAAGAGAAGAATGGGTCCAGTGAGTCCCAAACATGACGAGGTCCGGAAGGGAGAATCGGCCGCGTCCGCCTTGGTGCTGCCCAAGCCCAAAACCCTTTGGCCAGCGACGGCGACGGCCCATCGGTCCCTCCAAGAGAGTCCCTATGGCTATGGATGATGGATTATGGCATGGCCACACCCAATACTCCACCATCCACCATGGCTTTTCGATATTCTGTCAGGACAAGAGAACCAGCTCCATTCCCCTCACAAGAGCCTGCCGCTGAGACACGCATGTTCAGGTGCTTGCAGGAATAACGTGCTTTAGGCGCTTTTGCTGCACGATCATCACGCTGAGGACCTATCGACATCCCCGGGCTATACTCCATATCATGATGATTATCATCCCATGGCCTGTCGCCCTGTCTCCTGTCTTTTACCCCACCACCCAGCCCCCAGCCACATCGGCCGGGGCTGCGTGCGAACTTCTATCTTGCGTCCTCGTCCGTTCATCTGCCTTGACGCGATCGTGCTCGTACACGTGCTCATGCTTGGCTGTCCTGCCTTTTACCTCGAAAAATACTAGTATCGGTGCAAATGTTTCAAATCCCCTGCTGTGGCTGGGGCTTCTCTGGCTCTGTTTCGCTCTCCCACCGCAGCTGCCCGATCTCGCGATACCTGAATAGCTTCTGCGTAGTGCGCATAGGCTGGGTTGCTGCGAACGCTTCATAGTGTCGCACCGTTTCAAACGACCGGAGCCAGAGTTGGTCAGATCGGGCGATGCCTTGCGTTATCACGACGAATTGGCGATGTTCATCTAGTTTGCCCTGCGGAGCATGTAGGCTGAGTTTGGCGGATACCACGACAGCTGCTGTGGCACGATGTGACTCGCTGCCCCATCACTGCGCTTGATCTCTGTGCGCCTACGATATATTCTAGCATACTTCGTACGGGCGCCTTAAGTCGTAAGATCACCCAGCCTCCTAGCTACTACGTACCCTCGAGGTTGGGATGGCATTTATGACTCCTAGTTTTGTTCTTTCGCATGCGACGGAACAGTGCGTCAGAATGAGAATTTCAAACCGCCCTTTTCTGGCACGATTATGAATGAGGCACTTACTCCGCTTGAATAAGACTTTTACGGCCGAATATCTCAGCTCGCAAAAGGCGACCAAACCTCGGAACAGCCCGGCGTCGCCTTACTCCGATCGTGGGATGGTTCCTGGTACATCCACGTCTTTCTGATTCGTCTAAACTCCATACCATATTGTGAGGTGGTACAATAATGACGATGATGATATGTAAGCACTTAAGGGAAGGCCGACCCGATTTCGTGGGGTGCAGAAATGGTCCCCAAATAACAACTTCGTCGGGTATTCCAGTTAGAAATTTCTCATTGGCTGGTATGATTTGATTTTCGGGTTTGATTCGCGGTTGCTGTATCCCTTAAGACAATATATGTGTCACTGGGAGCTCATCAAGTCAGCCAGTCATCTGAATGACATAATTTTCCCCAGTTTCCCGGCATGTACTTATTCACAATTTCTGTATTGACAGTATAGAATAAGTCGCCACCAGAGTGATCTTCACGAGAAAATGCCTTATTGCTGCCCAATCTCCTGAGACAGACAAGTGCACGGGAAGGCTCTCACTCGATGTCCAAATATGCACCATGGCAGTCTTTCATTTTCTTTTCCCAGCATCGCCACATCCACTCAACCCCGTGCTGGCTAATAGCCTTGACATCCACGGGAGTTTCCTACCTAACGGGAAATGCCTTGGGCAATCTCCGTAACACCTCCAAAACTGGCCAGCCATTCGACAGAACTGCCTCACTATTTCAGACTTATCTGCAGCACACCTTTACGCATACCCTAGTTGCAGGTCTAGAGGCAGATCAGGAGGTGAGGATTAAGTATTTGTTAGGCATGTTTACAGCGATCATTTCGTGGGGCCAGCCTGAAGAAGGAATTCAACGGGCTGATCAAATTCATTTGTCGGTTTTTAGGGGGTAATCAATGGGTGGGGGGTCAAAAGGGCAAGCCTAGTTCTCCTTAACATTTAGTATTATAGTTAGAAAATGCGGACACTTGCGTATTCCACAAGCAGAAGTAGCAATCTTGTCTGATAGCTTCACTCAGTCCTTGTGATAGTACCATGTGCAAGTTCAGAAGCTGATGCTCCCCGAGGTGCAAGATACTTACTACTCTAGTTCGGTATTCAATGTAAATTCTCGATGCCATTTAACAGTAATGAGCAGCTGCGAGTCGCGACGAAAATGCTGAAGTGAGTGTGATGAATTCAAGGCTGGTTAGCTTGGTCGAAAGGATAATGTTAATATTCATTCAGAAATATGAAGGCATTTAGAAGAGATTTCTGTAATTTAACACTGTGCTGTATGTAGACTGTGCTCTAGGGTTTTGGTGAAGACGGATATATTAAATACCCCCCTTTCCAAACACCCGTCCACCGAGTATCTTAATATATGGCTTGTCGAAAATCTATTAGACATCGTTTATCGATATAGACACTGAAAAGCCTATCAAATCTTTGTACCATAGCTTACGAGGCAACTGGTATTTCGTTCGCTGTAGCTAGTCAACAGAATAACTACTAACCTCCCATCATATTCCTCTCCTTCAAAACAACGCAGATAACGGCAACCAAGCAGCTTGGGGTCGGGGAGACCCAGATTTTCTACTATTTGCAGTGTAACTAGGTTATGAACTTGAAAGCTTTACTCCTTGCAATCCGGATCAAACATACTAGATTTAGTAAGTCATTCTACAGGCTTAAAAGAACATTCTGGTGTCAATGTTGCAGGAAAATATGCTTGTGGTAGGCAAGACGGTGCTTATAATTTGGATCTGAAGAGCGAGGAGTAGATAGGTATGCTTAGAGGCTTTGTCTAGAAGTTTGCTAGTATATCAGTCCTTCCTTAATAGATTGAAAACACTCCACGCGAGACAAATAAAACTACACGACAATACTAGGGTCGAGCGATCTACATCGAAGAGTGACAATGGGCCCAGTAACAGATCCATGTGTATCAATAGCCATATAAGAACACTAACTTCAGGTTCGGAGGTTGAGTAGTTATATTGCAAGGTTGGCAAGTGGACTCTTCACTGACTACTCTGACAAGACTCATGTAGAAGAATTGCTGGTGCCCCAAATTGAGATGGCACTTGGCACAAATATATACCCCCAGACCCCATATTACCGCGATCGCGCTCGGTGGTTCAAAGAACCCCTACTAAACTAGAAAATCCAGCTCCAGTTTGAGAGCACCAAAGACCCTCTCGATTCAACAGAAACGATGAGAGGCTACTCATGGAAAAATCCGACGGGATATAAAAACGCAGACATATGGGTGAATAGAGGGTGGACGAACTGTTGGGTCTACACTAGTAAACCCTACTGGGAAACAGTAGCACTTGGATAAGTGTAAGCCTTGTAGATATTATTGATACTATTCAAATAATCGAACTTAATATTACGTCTTATATTTTCTTCATCAGCGTTATTGATTGGTAACTGTACCAATTCGTAATGGTGCCTTCCATTTCATTAACAAGTCAGCCAGGCCCAATCTGCGCCCTCTTGTGGATTTCATGGCGAACTTGGCACTTAATTCTCAGCGATGGCTCAAGTTTAGCCCCTCTAAAATTGGTATATCTGATTGACTTCCTTGTTTGTTGTACTTCTGGTAGGCTGACGGGCATGCAAGACTGCAAAGTATCTCCGAAATAAGGCATCACTGGAGAAGCTTCTGACTATCGCCACAATCTAGGCGGGGAGGAGGTGGGGGGGCGGGGTTTCTTATATATAGCATCCCAAGTTGAGTAGATAATTTTAGAGAGCCTCTCGAGGTAGAAAGTGTTCTCCTGAGACCAGAAAATTAATAGGAGATGATTTGTGCCTCAAGTTTCTCTCCACGCTGCTGTTGTCCAAGGGTACCTATCGTAGGACCTCATATCTCTGGTAGAACAGATGCAAATATCATTGTGCACAGTGAAGTGAAGACCTCTAGGGATTTCAGACAAACAAGTGCAAGCACTAACAACCATGGGGTGAAGACGGTGCCAATTATTATACTAGCAGGCCTGGTGTGAAGACATGCCAATTATTGTACCAGGAGGCCTTGCTTTTAAGGCACAAGGGGTCGGGCCCTTGCTTAGCGCAAAATCTAAATTTCATGAACTTCAACACCAGGACATCAACAATCACCATCTAGCTTCGAATTGGCCTGCTACCATAGCTCCGCAATGTCTCCATGAAGGCTAGAGACGCGCTGGGGAGAGAGAAAGACTAAATACTTCAGCGAAACTCCGCCCACCTACGCAACCAGGCCCAGCCGCTCATTCACGGCCTCCCGATTCGAACAATAGTTCAAACCCCGTCCCATTAAGCAGCAATGGCATCACGAAGCGTAGCACCCGGTGCCGCTCTCCTGCGCGCGTCAAGGGTTTTTGCCATCCCTCCAGCACTACCTCGACCGACAGGCGATTATGCCGCCGCATCTGGGGGGTTCAGCTCCGATACAGCAACCCTACCGCACCCCATACATCAGTCACTCACAACTTTTCAATCATCACTTGAGCGGGGAGATTGGGGCTTGAAACGGTCATTACCCTTACGATCGACGACTAAAACGTCAACGCCGTTGATCAAAGTCGAAGCCATGGACACGTTTGAACAGATTACCGAATTCGCATCTGCGGCAGATCATACGTTGTCGTTGCAGAAATGGCAAGAAATGGGTATTCCTATCACGACGCCGAAGCCGAAGCGTGAGTCCAACTTCGAGGGGACTGGATCGGGAAGAAGCGTTTTTGAAGATGATCTCGATTCTACCACTCACGGGACGAATGCTCATGTGAAAGATACTACGAGGTGGAAATTTAAGGGCCCGTGGTTGGCGGGACAAACAGAGGGCGAATTCAATAATTATGTTCAGAAGGAGGTCCGGAAGCGGAAGACGGAGTTTCGCAAGTTCTTAAGGAGAGAATGCGCGGCTGCTATTAACAAGGAAACCCAGCAAAGAAAAAATCTTAAGAAGGATGCGGAAGCGGAAGCCACCGAAGCCCAATCGATATTGGGCCCTCAGGATATTACCGACGAGCAATTGTCGACCTACATTCAAACCCTCCGCGAAGACCGCGCAGAACTTTTCAAGCAGATTCGCACCTTTCTTGACCTCCCGCCGTCGCCAGTTAGGAAAGACGCGGGTCTCTTTAATGTAGCTGAGTTGATGTTCTCATCTTCGCTACTTCCAAACTCGGGACCGGATGGCCAGTCTGAAGCCGCCTCTATGTCACCATATGCGGAATCTGGCCCACCTAAGACACATCCCTCGGCTGGTCTCTCATATGGCCGCACATCCTCGAAACTATTCAATCACCCAGTCTACGGTCCACAGAAATACTCTCCGCCTGTCCAAGCCCGCGTCGTAACTCCCAGTCGTTCTGCCACAGGAACTCTTGGGGCAGCTTTGGGAGTTGGTGGTTTCGTCACTCGTCTCCCTGCCAGCGAGCAACTGGGGCAAGCGGGCTATTACTCTCGGGATAAAGCCATGAAGTCATCACCCCTCGTTGGACTCTCGAAAGTCGATCCGGATAACAAGGCTGGTGCTAAATTGTATGTGCAGCCTACACGTGCTACTGTCGACGCACAGGGCAAGGTGGTGTTGCAAGTTTCGTTGGCGGATCCTGTGGCCGTAGCTGTGAAGGAGGATAAGGTTGATGAGTTGCCGGTTGCTGAACCGCCGAGACGGATTAGTCCGCTTGGAGCTACGAGGAGTATAAGGATTGAGGGTCAGAATAATTCATCTGGTAGCTTGTATGGGATATGACGAAGATAGGGTATTCTTGGGAAAGGAGGTGGTAGAGCTGTAAAATAGGTCTACTTGGCCATTATATGTACGAGACTGGTTAGATGATTGTATAGATGTATCTATGATCTCCTTGAACCTATGATCTCCTTGAAATTGACCTGTTCTCAATTTATCTGTGTCTATTATCTATCCCTGTGCGTAACTTGAAGCTCCCTTGCCAAATCACAACAACCCACAGGAGGTAATATCAGCCACAATAGCCAATAACGAGGCAGCGGAATTATTATATACTCATAGGGTAGGTAGAATAGAGCATAGAGGGGTAGGAATGTGACTGCATGTCCGTATATGGCCTACACAAGTTAGAGTATCTTGTTAGGCATATTGTGTCGCAGAGATTCATATTTATTCTGGTCTTGCAAAACAAGTTCAAGCCGAACCCTCTTAAAATGTGCAACCTGTCTACCGGGTAAGGGTATATTATTCTCTCCTAGTATTTTGGGAATTGAGAACTTAGGTTTACACAGTTTAGATATGAATAATCGGCTTAGTCTAGGCTTCCTCAATCATATGGTCATGGCAATAGGCGATGGGTAGGGTTTTACGCGCGGGATTTGAATTTTGGTACCTTTTAGGTGTTCTGATTGAAGTGTTTTCAAATCTAATTTGAGTCTATATAGGGGTATCATTTGAAGACGTCTATCTCATTCCATCAAATCAACACTTACCATCTTCAATGCCTTGATCGCCCAATCCGGGTACTTAGTCTTATCCGCCCCATGATAATCGTCGAAAAACTTCTTTATAAAAGCAGGGAATCGATCCTCTATAATAGCCTCCCTCATACTCGTCATCAACGCAAGCTGATACCACACATTATGTATCGTAAGAAGATGGGCACCAACAGTCTCCTTAGACGCAAGATGATGGACGAAAGCTTTCGTGATTCCCAGCCCACCATCCTCCTTTTTCCGACAACACATACATCCGCAGCCCTCCTCCACAGGCCCGAAATCATTCGCATATCTCGCGTGCCGAATATTTAGAAGGCCGTGTGCGGTGATGGCGTTTCCGAACCGCGCTGTTCGGGTGGGCCAAACGCAATCGAACATATCTGCGCCCAGCGCAACACTAACCACCAGGTCCTCCGGATACCCAATTCCCATCACATATCTTGGTTTCATCTCCGGAAGGAGGCCTGTGCAGGTATTGACCACCCGGCAATAATCATCCTTTGCTTCGCCGCCGCTCAACCCTCCGATTGCAATCCCCGGTGTGTCTCTCGCCACCATTTCCTTGCAGCATTCTGCCCGCATCTCGAGATCAAGACCGCCTTGTATGATACAGAAAAGGTTTTGCGTGGTCGGGTTCGCGTGTGCGGTTATGCATCGGTCGAGCCAGCGGATGCTACGGTGCATTGCCTCGCGCATGCGTGCAGCATCGGGGGATGTGGTGATAACTACATCATCGAGCTGCATGATGATATCGCTGCCGATTGTGTTCTGGAGGTCGATTGAATGCTCAGGCGTCAGGAGCATAGGCGTTCCATCGTGGGGACTGAGGAACCGAACACCTTCTTCTGTGATGTTTGCGAGCTTGAGGAGACTGACCATCTGGAAACTGGAATCTCCAAATTAGCTTTATTCCACAGGGGTATAAATTCATTAGGGGTTATATGTAAGAAACCCCTTACCCTCCACTATCAGTCAAGATATTATGCTTCCATCCTTGCAGCTTGTGTGCTCCGCCAACTGCTTTTAGCACTTCTTGTCCAGGCTTCAGTCCTAAATGGTACGTGTTATTGAGGCATAATCGGCAGCCGGTAGCCTCGAGCTGATGAGGCGTCAATCCTTTGAGCGATGCTTGGGTCGCAACCGGCATGAAGAGAGGGAGTTGGACGGGGCCATGAGGAAGAGTGAGGTTGGCAGCGCGGGCTTTAGTGGTCTATGTTGGTCTTGAAGTGTTAATTGACGAGGGTTACTTTAGGCGCTCATAGGACGGAGATAGAGGGCAAAAGGGGGGGGCTTACGGAGCAACGGGCTATCAGCTCAAACGTCAGCGCCGACGGCATAGGTTTTAGCATAGGAATGGGCGTGGGTGTTGACGTGGCAGAGGCCATGATCTCAACTGATAATGGAGAGACATAACACTGTACTACTGCGTGGTGTTGGCGGGGAGAAATTAATTTTCGGTCCTAAGGCTTGCGGCGATAAGATAAGATAAGACCGGCTCAACCTCGGCACTGCCACAAGCCAAAGAAACCCTCCAAGGAATTTGCTTCCACTTGCCCGAGGTCATCTCGGTGATGTCGTCAGAGTCGTGCCATCTTGAAAATCTAGCGTATTATAAAAGCCCAATTGGTGCAATGGAGCGACTGTTAAGGCTTGTTTATCCAGTTCTATGCCTCTATTGGGGCATATTCCCCAATTATAATAAGTTGACCTTTAGCCTGGACCGCAGTCTGTGGGGAGCAACTTGAGTGGCGGCTAGACGACGATTTGGCTTGGTTCTTCTAGGCCTTCCTCCGTGTTGCTGTTGTTTTGCCATGCAATGGAATCTGGGGCTCTGGCCTAGTGGCTTGGGCTTATAATGTTCTCCTCACCTCTTGGGTTTGAATTCATCTTACATCTCCTTATCGCGGGCTTCACCATCTCGAAACATATTTCGTTACTTTGATACCCAACTTGTTCTGCCGCTGCGGTACCACCATATCAGAAGTACAGCCTACAGCCTCGCAATCACCCGGGGCATGGCGTTGAACATAGCATACGACAGCCTCAAGCTACTTCTTCGCGGTGAGGTTGAGAGACTCCCTTAAACCTCTTATTTCCTCCACTTCTGCCTCCCCAGCCCGCCATGTCGACCTCTCAAATTCCCCAAAGACTCAGTAGGTCTACTGGGCCAACAGATTTTCACCTCTTCCCTCGCCTGGCCCCAGAACTCCGTCTCAAAATCTGGAGAGAGGCTTGCTCGCCACGCACCGTCACCATCCGTTACAGCCTCGAGCAAGACCGATGTATATGTGCCTCCAAACCACCAGCCATTCTCCATACCAGCCACGAGTCACGAACCGAAGCTTTAAAAACATACAAGTTATGTTTTGGCACCCCTTCACATCCAGCACATATATATTTCAGCCCTTACCGAGACACCCTTTATCTCCCACGACACAGAGAGATGGGTTATGACGAGACGTTACGCGATTTCAAGACGTTAGTTGAAGACAGGGAAGGAGTGCTAAATGAGATTCGCCACGTAGCGATCGAGCACGTGGACCCGGGAGTCAAACGGCCGTGGGAACCATACAATAAGGCCTCTGTGCTCCGAAACTTTCCCAAACTTCAAGAAGTCACACTAGTATTGTGCAATTCCAAGGGTCAGGAGACGGTAGACTTGGATGAAGAAGTGGAATTTGTGCCGCCGAAGGAGGACCCAGGGAAACTGTTGAGGTTATGGGTGGACTTCCGGCAGAACTTCGTCATGGAGGAGAGAATGCTAGAGAATGTGTCTAGAGAGTTGGGAAAGGAGTATAAGCGCTTTACTTTGCCGCGAGTTCAAATAAAGACCAAGGTGCGCCGCATAGATGGAGGCCATCCTCCACTGAAGTGTGACCATGGGATGCAACGTAGCAACAACACCCGTATGTTGCCAAGTGTGTAATGCCCAACGCGTTTCGCTTCACAGAGCCCTGATCGTACCGCAGCAAATCCTGCATTGTGGAGTATAGAGTACTACGGCGTATTGTTTATGGTGGATCTCTATGGCATGATACATTTGGCAATCCCGCGGCCTAGGTGGGACCCATCGGTATATTCAAGGACCAACCACACATCCGAGTTCCCGTCCATGAGGCTTAACTGCCCAGACTACCAGCCGAAGTGTGTGAAATGGTTAGAAGAATCGGCTGATGATGCCGAGACGTTTGTTAGGATAATTACAGGTAATAAGGAAGGGTATAGTTCGCCGCACTTCGTTGAGTTCGAGGACAGCGTTGGGATGGAGATTCGTTGGAACTATTTGTTGGATGAAATTGGAAAAGGCGTTATCAAGCAATTGGAATGAATGTACTTAAAGTACTATACATGTAATGTAGGATTATGCGGAATTATACCCCTGTACAATACATCTTCTTCTCAAAAATATATCTCCTCCTCTGTAACACTTGTCATTAAAGAGGAAGCAAATTGTCCATCCATCTAAACCGTCCTTCTTATACTTACAGGGCCGCCCCCATAGCAGGCCAGCTCTCACCTAGCTACTCGTTTCGGGGCTTTTTTTGTTGCCTGGAGCAACTTCGTGATTTCAGGAAGTCTAAATAGCATTGGAAGGTACGTGTCCTAGATAATATTCAGGGGGAAATCTATTCAACGAAAAGAGATTTCACTTACCCAGATAGTTTCCCAGCTATGGGAAATAATCCAAACCTTCCACACGGAACCCCCCACCCAATGGTTCTTCTTCGGATTACTTGTCAGTAGATTAGCCACTACCGCCCGAGCATATTCATCAACGTCCATGCCATCCCTTTCCACTACCGCTACCACCGTCGTGGAATCCATGATGTCCTGCGCTAGTGCATATAACGAGCTTTCTGGTAATTTAGCCGATGGCATATTATCGAAAATCCTCGTCTTGACGCCCGCTGTTATAACTTGAATGACGTTGACGCCGAATGGAGAAAGCTCCATTCTAAGCTGGTCAGTAAGCATATTGGCGGCGGCTTTGGTGGCATTGTAGTATCCCTGCCACATCATAGGAAACTTTCCAGCAACAGACCCGATGTTAACGATGGTTCCCTAGGCGGAGATGAGAAGTGGTGCAAATGCTCGAGTCACTTCGATGACGGCAAATACGTTAACGTCGAATAGCTTCTTTGCTTCGGAAAGATCTGAATCGAGAAGTGGGAGACCGTATACTACCGATCTTATTATCAGGAATATTTCCAAACCCTTGGGAATATCCGCTGCATACCTCGTCCGGAGTTATTAATTAAGAAATCTAAGGATCCGCCAGTAGCCTTTTGGACACTTTCCACTGCCTGTTTGATAGACTCGCTATCCACGACATCGAGTTTCACGATTTCTAACCCAAGGGACCTCAGAGGCCCAACTTTGGCAAGATTGCGAGCCGTAGCGAAGACTCGGTGGCCATTCCTATGAAATTCCTTGGCTAGAGCTTCCCCAATTCCCCCTTCGCTACAGCCAGTGATGAAAACAGACTTCCTCGACATGGTCTTGATTGTCTTTGACGTGAAAATTTTTCGAAGAGCGTGGGACTTCAAACGTTTTGGAGCCTGATAAGGTTTGATGAAAAATGGAAGAGGGGTTTTGACGGGAGATTTGGATATTATGAAATCAGAATTAATATGAGATGGGGAGTAGAAATGTTTTGTTCTAAGAGACTTTAATTGAATCTGTAAAATGTTCCGAATCCACTTGGTATTATATTGATTTGGACCTGATACAGGATTCATCTTCATTTATGACCTGCTTTGCAACGTTTCATGGATTCCAGGATCTCCGGTCCAGCGACATCTGATAAGTGAGATACTGAAGTACCGTACCTTATTTTAGTACAGAGCAACCTTGTGGTGTGAGTTGATAAGGTTGGTCCAATCGACTAAAGCTAGTTCTTAGGCACTCTAACCTTCGACGCATCGCATCTCCCAACAACACTTACAGTTCTGTCATGATTTCCCTTTTCCTTCAACTGTAATAACACGAACAATATTATGCGCTACTCAGCACATTTTGGCACATGTGTGCGATTTGGTGCCGGGAACGTTCAGGTATACAATGGGTGATGCCATATGTACGTTGAATCATGTGGATGGGTGGAAGGTTCAGTTGGCGAGAAAACCAAGGCCAATTCCTTAAATTAGGGATTAAAAAGGTATTGATGGATGGAAAGTCGAAGATTTGTGATTAAAGGGTATGATCCACATAAGATCATCCCGATGAAGATGTCGGTTTGAGAGTTGCTAGGACTGGAATTGGGTGTATAGGGTAGCTAGGATATGATTTATAGATACTATACGGCATGGTAGTCGAAATTCATCGTATGAATACTGAAGTAGTTCTGATACGTTTTCCAGTAAGTCAAATTTTTGATTTCAGGTGAAGCGGAGAAACGATCTTGAAATACATGAATGAAACGTTGAGCAAAATGAGTCAAGATTTCACTTCTAGACGTATAAGCCATGGAAAAAGTATTTCACTACTTCCTTATTAAAGTGCCATTCTAAAATGATGCGGGTATCCACTGATAAAGTCGTTTATTTAGATCGAAAGGATCAGTATAAGTTTCAAGTTAAAAAGTAACAAAGCTCAAACATCGGCAATAAGACTAGCTTGTATAATAAAATTATTGGGATTATTAGAATTATAGTTGTTATCTCGCGCCTCATATCTATGCTATAACCAAAATATAACTTCCCCTTTATCTGATAACTGATGATGCTAGTTGCTTCAATATAATATCCAATATACAATTCAAAATCCAAGTGGAGATTTTAGATCAGCAATAATCGATCACCCTCCCATCCAGACCCTCTTCTATGCTTGCCTTAACCTCACTAGCCATGTCCTTACTCACAAACCCAACCCCAAGCTCTTGACTTGTATACCAACTCGCACGATCCATATTCCCACTCCCAAGCACCACTACTTCTCCATCCACAATTGTGAGCTTGAGATGTGTCTTAACCGGCTCATCCATCACGGCCGCAACGCCTTGCCTCGGGCAATAGTACCCAATTCTCAATATCCCCGGTTTTTGCGCCTGGGTTTCGGGATCTGAACTTAACGTCCGTTGGTATGATTTGTGGAGGTTGCGGTATTGGTGGCGTAATTTCCATACCTCGAATTCGGTGATTGTTCCTGCTGTGGCGAGTTGCTCGAGGATCATGAGTAGGCTGCTTGTCACGATGTGAACTGAAACCCCTCTTTTGAGGGCGGAGACAAGCGCTGAGAGGACCGGAGGAGATGTAAAATTAGGGCTTTGGATGAAGATATTGTGGTTTGCGGTGTTTAGGATGTGGAGGATGAAGGTATTGAGTGGCGTATGCGGAATCTCAGGTGCTGACATCCACGGAAGTCGGAATCGAGGATTGATGTGATGAGATGAGGGGAGTAGTATGGTTGGTATTGGGCTTTTGGGGGAGAACAGTGTCTCTTTTATCAAATGCAATTCTGGTATGTCGCCTGCAACTTCCGTATCCAACTCCAAAGGACTATCCGGGAACAACATAGGAGGCAGGGAAGCTCCTCCTCTAGACCAAAACGCTGACCAAAAGCCAAAAAGCCTCTCACAAATATGCCCACGCACCTCGACGCATCCCTCAAACCAGCCCTCCCAGCTGACATTAGCACTCGGAATGTATGCTAGCTGTCGATCCATAAGAATGAATTTAGGATGCATGACACTGAACGGTTTTACAAAGGTACTCTTAACAACTAGATTAATGCCTGTAAGGTCATCTGCAGACGGAAGCCCTAGGCTCGGCCATGATGGTGGAGCGTATATAGTACCATCTAATGACGAGGTATGAAATAGCTTTTGAAGAATTGAGCGAGATGAGAAGCATATCCGGACTTGAATTTTGCGGTTCTGGGCAATAGCCTTGGAAGATAATTTGAGGAGTAGTGAAGATATTGCGTCTTGAGATGGTGACTTTGCCCAGAAACAGGTTACGATTATGAGTTCGTGGTTGGTTTCCAGGCAGTCTGAGAACACTTTGGTGAGTATCTGTGAGCCTGTTCCGAGACTGAACTTTTCTGGGTGGGAGGAAGTGATGAGGGTCCGTGGACTGGATAGATGGGCGTTTGAATTATTCCAGCTCTCCTCCGTGGGGATGTTGGCATTGTTGAGCCAGCCGTCTATTACTGCGTGATTGGGTAATGAAGCCATTGTATTTGGATTTGCAAACGGGTGAGTTGTCCTCAGCAAAAGTGTAACCGATATATGTCCATATTAGAGATTTGAGAGATCGTCTTCTAATTCGCGAGAGATGATTATCGGGAGCCAAAATTGTGGTATTGTTGTAATAACGAGAGAATGAGATGTAGTTAAGGGTTACATTCTTGGTTCTGCGCGCCATTCTTGGCTTTCGTGCTCCACACTCCGCTCCGTGGAATGATCACAGCTGGCGGGGAGTATTAGGTAATCAGGAGAACCATTTGGTTAGACATCACGCTCCGGAATAGCTTACCCTATATACTTTAATATGTACGAAGTACAACTGCTCATCATTTAATGAAGGAAGCAATCAATTCAATACCTTCAATTCCATGTACCAACTTAATCTCGATAACTTAATACTTCCTCATAGGTAGCTAATAGATGCTTTACTGTTTCGATGTAATTGCTCAGGGTTAGTGGCAAGATAATGCAGGATTTGTAGGGTAGTTCGAGTCCGACATATCTACAAGGAGACTCGAAATTAATTTTATTGTTAGATAAAATAAATATGGAAAAGGAACCGTCTGCAAGTAAGTCTGTTACTAGAAGTATCAAAATTTAGAGTTATAGTTGAAGGTAAAAGGCATAGCATGAAAGCAGAGGTATTGATCTATTATTTACCAGTAAAAGAAATCTGCCATTTATAAGAATATTAGATCTTAACTCTGTATTGTGTCCGTCGTGGTTGTGCCTCAGTGGTATAATACGCCTAAAGAGTTATTACCTAGGAATATACCTAGGTACGAAGTAGTTACACGTGATCCAACCTTTACAGAGTCACGTGCATTGTCTCTCTTTCCCCTCTATCAATAGCTACGCGTCTTGCAAGAAATATTCAGATAGGTACTTGATTCTTTTGTAATTGTATTCTACTATTAACGCACAAGATATTCATAATTGCAGACCTAGAACCTTCTTTGTAGTGTTTTTCTACCCCTCTGCCCATAGAACCAGCGTGTAAGTGTATTTACCTCGGCTCAAGCACGGGCGCGTATTGTATCCCGCAACGCAATACACTTGTCGAAGCCACTGAATTGCCACTACACTTCCCCTTATTTATAACATAACCTTGCCCTGCAGTCATAACCACGCATCTACTCTAATTTCTAGTACTGGACTCACTTGGACTGTTGAACCTGCAGCTTCTTTGAACACGAGATAGTACGAGATAGTACTCATCCGATCCGATGGCGCAGACCAAGCCAGTCAGTTTACATCTGATACCCTTGGCTAAGGATACGGTTCTACTCCCAGGAATCGTCCTCAGAATTCCGGTTGCTGCAAATCGACCGGATATCCCGGCTCTACTTTCAAATATATACAGCCAGGCAGCTACGAAGACAACGACTCAGCGGCTAGATAGCATCAATGTCGCATGTGTTCCTCTGAGCTCCCCTCTGCTCAACCGGCATGGCCAGAAGATGATATCCCAGGGCGATCGGAGCCCCACACCGAAAGCACGCTTGGGCATAAACCCTTCAGATGCAACGAAGGACGATCTGTTTGGATATGGCGTGGCGGCGAAGATATCCGGCGTTGAAGGACGAGGGTCGGGGGAGTTTGCTCTGTTGGTTGAAGGAGTCGCCAGGATAAAGATTGAGAGAGTGACGCAAGAGCGTCCCTTTTTCCAGTCGGAAGTTACCTATATATATGATGACGGTAAGTGCTCTGGTCTCTGGACTGCGTGGCATATCTAACTTCCTCCAGCTGTATCCCCACAGGATCTTGCGATTCAAGAACTCTTCGCCCAACTTAAACAGCTATCTCGCGAGCTCCTCACACTATTAAGACTCTCGTCGCTCCTCCCTCGAAGTTCTGGGTCTGCAGGGCTGTCTCCAATCCTCGCCAGGCGGCTCGAACTTTATATTGCGAAGCGGGGCATACAAGACTCTGGGTTGTTAGCAGATTTTATGACCAATATTGTCGAGGCATCGCTGGAGGAAAAGTTACAGATTCTAGCTGCTCTGGATGTGAAGGACCGTTTAGAGAAGGCCATTGCCTTGTTGCAGCGACAAGTTGGAAACATCAAAAATAATGTGAGCATCACTACACTTACCAGCACTTTCCCGGCGAACACCGACTTGGACCAGATGCAGAAGACGGGCAAGCAACGGATGAGAAGGCCTGGCATTTCCGGTATGCAGCTACCAGGAATGGGAGGCATTGGGACACCTCCTGATGATGAGCAAGAACCAAACGAAATGGATGAGTTAAAAAAGAAGCTCGACGCTGCAAAGATGCCGGCCGAGGCTGCAAAGGTTGCTTTCCGAGAGCTCAAGCGACTAAAGAAGATGTCCCCGGCTCAGGCAGAATATCAAGTCACCCGAAATTATTTAGAGAATCTGGCTGAGATACCTTGGACAGTCGCCACAGAAGACCAGCTTGGTGTGGAAACCCTATCCCGAGCAAGAAAGCAATTCGATGGTGATCATTATGGTTTAGAAAAGGTCAAAAAACGCTTGCTCGAATATCTTGCAGTTCTCAAACTTAAACAGTCTATCAACCAGGATGTGAACATCCAAATTGCAAAGGCAGAGGAGGAGAAGGCTGCAGAGAAGGCCGAGATCTTGAAGAGAAAACGGATGATCGACAAGTCACCCATTCTGCTCTTAGTCGGGCCGCCGGGAGTTGGGAAAACTAGCTTAGCAAAGTCTGTTGCTACGGCTTTGGGGAGAAAATTCCACCGCATCTCCCTTGGAGGCGTACGAGATGAAGCGGAGATCAGAGGACATCGCAGAACATATGTTGCAGCTATGCCCGGGCTGATTGTCCAGGGGCTTAAAAAGGTTGGGGTCTCAAACCCGGTCTTCCTGCTCGACGAGATTGACAAAGTTGGGTAAGTGTTATTTAGATTTTTCCCGATGACTCTGGTGACTAACCCCCTCATAGAACATCTAATTTCCATGGTGACCCATCCGCAGCCATGCTGGAAGTTCTTGATCCTGAACAAAACCATTCTTTCACGGACCACTATGTCAATATTCCATTAGATCTAAGCAAGGTCCTTTTCATCGCCACTGCCAATACCCTTGATACCATTCCTCCAGCTCTCCTCGATCGTATGGAGACAATCGCGCTACCAGGCTATACTACTCTTGAGAAACGGCATATTGCTCTACAACATTTAATTCCAAAACAGATCCGAACAAGTATGTATAATACACCAATGACGTAAATGGGTGCTAACAGCTTGCAGATGGTCTCGGGGAAGGGCAGGTTGAGTTCAACCAAGATGTCGTGTCCAAGATTATTGAGTCGTACACTCGAGAATCTGGCGTTCGGAATCTCGAGCGTGAAATTGGCTCTGTATGCCGTGCAAAAGCTGTAGAATTCGCCGAGGCAATGGACTCTGGGCACCTAGGTATGCTCTTTCACTTTTATATGATATTTTACAATTGGTACTAACGTATGCTTTCAGAGAAATATAAACCTCAACTATCGGTGGAAGATATTGAAGACATTCTAGGTATCGAGAAGTTTGACGAAGAAATTGCGGAGAAGACGAGGTAACTACCCGAATCCCCTAGATTCATGTCGGATGTTTTTTGTCCAGATGTACAACACTGTACATTCTGCAAGTGCTCGGAGGAAATCATCTGCACAGATTCTATATGAAACCGTACTAATAGTCTCGGTAGTCGCCCTGGTATCGTGACTGGCCTTGTGGCATACAGTTCTGGCGGGAACGGCAGCATACTTTTCATCGAAGTTGCTGATATGCCGGGTAGCGGCAGTGTGCAGCTGACTGGCACATTGGGGGATGTGCTCAAGGAAAGTGTCGAGGTGGCACTTAGCTGGGTTAAAGCACATGCGTACGAACTTGGATTGACAAGCGACCCTTCGGAGAATATCATGAAGAATCGTAGTATCCATGTTCATTGCCCATCAGGAGCAATTCCCAAGGTAGGTACTGCTATCTGTCACAAGAAATGTTGGCTAACCATAGTCAGGATGGACCTTCTGCCGGTATGGCACACACAATTGCTCTTATATCCCTGTTCTCTGGCAAAGCTGTACCTCCTACCATGGCAATGACTGTAAGCTGCGTCTAATTGTAGTCGTGGTTTGATAGCACTAACACTAGATAGGGCGAAATCTCACTTCGGGGCCGCGTTACTGCTGTGGGAGGCATCAAGGAGAAATTAATCGGAGCTCTCCGCGCAGGCGTTAAGACCGTACTGCTACCAGCCCAGAACAGAAAAGAGTAGGCGTCTTATTCGAATCTCAAATTTCTAATACTAACGGTTAATTAGTGCCAAAGACCTGCCCCAGGAGGTTAAGGATGGTTTGGAGATCATCCACGTCAGGTAAGTGTCCCTTATAAGATATCAAATTCTCTGGTTCTAATATATATTCTAGACATATTTGGGAAGCCATGCGCCACGTTTGGCCTGATGCACACTGGCGGGGCGAGGAGAACTTTGCGGGTATCGAAAGCCAGCTGTAACTCTATTCTAGATCCCGCTCGCCCCAGCCCAATATTTACATACAGCAGTTACAGGTATATATGCTGGTTGCTAATTCCTCTATATAATCAACTGCGTTGCTTTAAGTTGTAGCGTTTGATGCATTTTGCAGCGGTGGAAATTTGATGATCAACGACGCTATACGGGGAGCGGCGTTAGACAATGTATTTACCTCTGATTGCATCAATTCGATGTAAACAAACAAATTATATATATAATTTCCCTAGCTCGCTGCCTACATACCGTGACTTATGTAAACCGTCTGCTAAGGAGTACATATTTATTCTGTCGATTTCTACATATACACTTATTTACCTGTAATTTATGTATTTCCTCTTGGAATCAATAGGCCACAACTCCTTATCAAGCCAAGTACATGAAAGTAACACCACACACCGCCCATCCACCCAGCCCAGCTCCGAGAACTACCAAGGTCCAAATCGTCACTCTGTCCTGACTTCTGACTTGGCATCGGGCACAACTTAGGCTTAGGCATGGGAACCTCCAGTACGTACCCACCGCGCTCCACCACTGCCACTTACTTAAACCCGCCTGCATATCGGAGACTTTTACTTGCTGGCAACCCAGCAACTCGCCTTGTTGCAACCCCAATTTCCCCCCCTCCCCTCCACTCCTGTGGTAGTTTCCGAAGAGCGTTCATATCTGTCGGGTGGTGGCTTGCAGAAGCAGGGTGTAGAGCAGGATTATTTCCCTATCGCCTGCGTTGCATCGCGGGGAGTTAAGCACAGAGGAGGCGGGAACGGCGGCGATTGGGTTGGCTGGGAGATCTACAAGCAAATGTACGAAGTACGGAGGATGTTACCCCGCAGATGCACGATGCACAAAGCCGAGTCGTGGACTTGGATTTGGAAGTCTAGAGGCTGGGCTGGGAGGGATGTGCCGTGGAGGCGTTTGAGACCGGTGGATGGTTTCGACATGCCTTATGCTTTGCGGGGAAGCGTTTGGGTCAGCAGAATAATGGGGGCGTAATATAATGTGACTTAACCTATGTTTATTTGCATGTGAATCACCGAGTCCAGGCTTATGCCATGTTTTAATAATGGTGAGACTTAATAGTGGATAGTTAAAAATAGATGTTGGCTTGCAACACTACTGCGTTTATTTTTTGAGGATGGAGTCTCACATCTTACATGTATTCAATTGCTGCCCACATCTAATAGTCATAGTTAACATGCCAAATTAGAATGTTATACATCAATGGTACGTCCAGTACCTATGTATACAGCACCCCAGAGCCCAGCGGCACATCATGAACAGAAAAGTAATATTCAGAAGGTAAATAACGTATCACATACCTCTTAAACAATCAAGCGCCTGGGCTATAACAAATCCTGCTATTTCTAAAGATAGCTTGTGTTTTATATTATTTCCATTCCACAGGTGCTCGCTCTTGTTCCGTAGTAAGACATGCTTGCCAACATGCCCACTATCCATCCAGATCCAATTCCCAAATTAAGCTTGAAACGTACCTTAACAGACTTACATTATTTAGTTGCCACTCAACTAGAAGTAATTAATCCGAGCAAGAAGCCGGGAAATAAGCCCACGCAACTCTCCTCCGCAAGACGTCAGAGATCATGCCACTCCCACCATCGCGGTTTAACTCTCACCAATGCCTCGGTGCTGGAGACAAACTGCGAGCACGTTACATTACTTGTAGTGTACAACTAACTGGCTACTAGACAGCCCCTCACTCTCTCATCCAACCCTACTAGTGCTCCTCCTAATCAATTGCGGGCCGGGACCCAACAACCCATCGGCGACCTCGCCTCATCACACAATCACCCGCTCCAACTACGTTTTCATATCCTCTCCATGGTTCTAGGTGATGGGAAGCCAGATCCTGCGATGTTTCAGTATAGCACGGATATACTTCAAGGATGATCCCCTTCCTCGGAGCCTGCCCGAGCTTTTCCCAAGGAGGCTACAGGCGCGAGAAAGGCGTCCGACACCGTAAAATAAATCCCCTACCCTTTCGTACCGAAAGAATGGCAACACGAAAGCACGGCCTGCCGTCGTTTTTCCTTCGCCTTCTGCCGCGTGCATCATTTTCCGAGAAGCTGGTGGGACCCCTTTTCCGAAATATGTGAGACATGTTTATCTCCCCACCCACCGGTCCACCACCAACCCCCTGACTATATGCCGCTCAGTTTTTTTTGGGGATCGTGAAATAACGCTCACACCGATCGTGGGGCAGAAGTTATTCATATTCACTTGGGAGTACCGCACCGCCGGAGTGTAGCAGTCTGAGACAGACGTGAGCTAATTTCCTTTTCTCTGAGCTGGATGTCCTCATCCGAACACAATTTTGAGACCAGTTTGATTAGTGCTGTGGCTTGAAGGCACATCTTTCTCGGACTAAGAGAAATGAACACTTGGTCCTGACTGAACGGTTCGCCTCCCAATGTGATGTGGTTTTCGGGAAGGTTGATTCGTCAAGTGCTGAGGGGGCTGAACATAACAAATAAGGCTCGGGCAGCAGGATATCTCCGGTCAGCGCCCTACCAATTAATATGATAAGAGGCGTCAATAGACGCAAACACCGTCCCTCATCACCTTCTTGATTAGATAAGAGCATCTCAACCACTTAGCTTATTATTGACTCCCTTTGGATAGAAGACTTGGTGGCTTGTAACTAACGCAGAGCCGATAGTAATGGCAAACCGACTCGCGGTGTCAGACCTGCGTCAGATAGCAGCTCCACTTAGGATGAGACCTCCAAAAATTGTGGTGCCATGTCTTTGGCATATTAGTTGCCAAGACTTCGGCCATACGCACTTGTGGGAACGAGTATTAGTTAAGGCCGTACGGATTCTGGAGGAAAGCGATACGGTATCGGACCATAACGTTGATCGGCACTATTCGTAGTTAGGACCAATCTGTTCCCTGTGTTCACTCCCGGAATCCATATGGGAGAAGGGATGCTCCATGGAGTAGAAGCATTAATCATTAGTACACGTTACTTCCTATGCCACATATCTGCACAGAGTGGTGGTGGCAGTGAAGATCTGCAAACCCGTAATAATACTCCGCAGGTATTTGGTTTGCGCGAATTTTGGAGCAGTGACGCGGCAGACTCCAGGCAGAGTGGTTTACGGAGTAGCTAGTCTCCATAGCTCTTAGTATTAGTTCCCTAATAAGTTCCTTCCTCCATTGCTTGAAATTCTGTTCGCAAAAAGTCATACGGAAACTGGAACCGAGTAAACGAGAACCGAGGACAGATGCTCTGGTTTTCATCCATATTGTAGAATATGTGGAATTATTGAAGTATTGCGCCACGCTAAAGCATACAGCAGTATTGTATTGTGCAATGCGACATTTGGAGTCTAAAATGGGTTTATTGGTCATTAACCAACAAAGTGGGGAGTTATGGGCAGACCGTTATCTGGAATAATCGGTTGAGCGGGCTTAGAACAATGTTGAACCATACTAGTATTAGCTCCGTCTCTGAAGGCGGGTATAACTTCTTGTTCTGATGGATCCCAGGCACTTGCATTCTGAGCATAGAGAAGCATGGTAGTGAAAATTTCCAGATGATCCTCTGTCCTGCGAAGTTTCGTCCGGTACGGTCCTCGGATCATCTTCAATATTGAATTTGGTGTAATGTTCCGGGTAGGGTACCAGCCTTGTCTACCGTGTTTGACGGGAACGAGGCTGAGGTTACTTGTCCCACCCATCGATATCGATATTAATGCTAATATAACCCACGAACCTCGCGATTACCGCAATACTGATTCTTAATACGGGCATTATGGCGTAAAGAGTTGACGATGGCTTGGTGACGGCATATAGATATAGTTGAAAAGGTATTATTGAGTCCGTCCGCCGGTGGTTCAAACGTTCTGCAAGGTACGAGCACTCGCAGATGCGAGACCGTGCCATGGGAAAACGACTCCCTCTTTCGGAATGTGATCTGACCAGACCGAATCGTTATCAAACAAAACTTTGGTCTGCGTAACTGCCGGCACATAATGACAGCCCTTGTGTTATACCGAGAAGTGCGCTCCAGCCTCTCATGCGAGTTGTTGTTTTCAGTAAAAGTCGATGTTAACACCGTGCGCCGCATTGAAATTAAAACATGCCCCATGCCCCTGCTCATGTCATCATCAGCTATAGACAGGGATATATATTATTATCAGGGAGAGAGGCGCCTCTGAAAACGTCAGTACTCTGTATATCGCTGGCGGGGCTTCGTCGTCGTGATCGTCAACATCGGGGGCCCTTCCTTTCGCTACCGAAAGGACATCTGGACTGGGTCGCAGCGGCCGCAGCTTGCGCCACTACTTGAGGACGACACTTTGCACAGAACCACTGTGCCGGACAATCTAATTATGGACAAGTACGGTGTCATAAGTGACAGCTCTCTCGGCGCCGTTCCCGAGCGCTGGTGTTTTGCTCCGTTGCTCCGTAGCAAATCGAAGCCAGTGGCTAACAATGTTGCACAACAACACTTCGGGATCCAATGCAACCTTCCCATGCGAATAAAGTTTGCTCAAGTCCCAAGGCAGCTGGGAAACTAGTGGGCGAAACTCACAACACCAGATCCCCATCTTATTCGTGCGTAGTACTGTGGTACCCCGTCCGTAGTGTCGTAAGCCTTTCTCATTCCTCCATATTGCATGAATTTACGAAGTACGCACAGAGGCTCGGGAGGTCGGGGGCCACCGGGCCCCATCTTGGCAATTGGGGCTCGTGTGAAGTATTTCTCCGTCTGAAATGAATCGCTATGCTTTCCTTGGCGGAAGCATCGTTCGTAAGATGCTCAATGCATTGCAGTGTCCGAGTGTGTTGTGTCACGGAGTTCTGCCACATTATTTGATATTGGAACAACACAGTATTATTATACTTGGATGTGCGGAACAACCTCCCGACTGATAAAGGAAAATCGCTTTACTTGTTCGGGGTCGGCTGTCCTTAATATCCTTGTTCCCTACTGTATGGTCGTCATCTCAATTACTCCGTAATCAAACATGTCGTACAGTACACGTTTTTCCAGGCTCCGCGAGCCCCGGAGCGGCCTAATCCGCTTCGTAAGGTCCGCTCGTGAGCCGGGGATTCGGGAGTCGGGCGTCAGTTCGAATAAGGTAGGGCATCCTAGGGGATCGGCAGGGTGACGATCCACACTGAATAGACCACAGCTAGGCAGTCCCATATGGCAAAGCACGTTTTCTATGAGATGTGGAACAAAGGCCTTGTCCTAGAGCTGACTAGCATAATAATAGGGGTTCCATTGATGTCCCCTTTTTCCAAAGCAAGCAGAGCCTGGAGATTAGATGAGAAAGATCTTCTAGCGATAAGGAAGGTTGTACGAGGCACAAGTGAGGCGCAATCAAGACAAGTACCACTTCTGCCACGAGGCTCAGGGAGGCTGGGCCCTGGGCTCATGCGGTTGTGCATAACAAACAAATCAACGTGGTATAGATGATTGTCAGGTAAGGCCGGGAATGATCAGGGGAGGAGTCTAAACCACTTTATTTTCATGATCGTGGCCATCACGATGTTTGAAACTGATAAAGGCCTAGTAATAATTTTCCGCTCTGGCGGTTTGATGGTAAATTATCAAGAATTGTGGAACAATCGTGCTCGAGCTTCATCCTGACCCCCCCCCCCCCCTAAGTATTTCCGGAGCGGAGTTACAGGGTATGGGTCTTCCTTATAGAAAAAATTTCCGCGAGTCGATGGAATCATTTTGCCGCGGCGTGGGGAACCACCTTGATTGTGTAGTAAGCTCCGTCGCCCAGTCTGCATCGGACCACCGGCTTGAGGTTTCTCCAGCAAAAATAGAATCATATCGAGGGTTCGATACGTCGCGTGTTCGTAGTACCATCGTTTGGAACGGCTCTCGTGCGTTTTGGGTTTGGCGAATGCAACCTTGCTGGCGCTCTCCACGGAACCAAGTACTTCTCAAGTCTGGAGAGACTCAAACGCGACCCCACCACCAAGGGTGGACACGCGGAATGTTTTTGCGCTTGCCAAAGCAGCCGAGAAGCCCTCATTGGTGATTTGGCTCCGCTTCAGATGGACGCATGAAGCTCATGAATCCTGTCTTAACCCGTGCTGGTTGCTGTCATGACGAGAAGGGAAGGCTGTAAGCACAGCAATATTGTCCAACCCGTTTCCTGGGAGGTATAAAATATGCAGCCTTGTGTATGGCAAGCATGGGAGCTATTGGATGGATTTCCGGCAATACAATACCGTGTAATCTGCACTGAATGCGACATATTTTCGTCCAATATTTTGGTAGAGAACAGATCAGTGTTCGTAAGTCGTCACCCCTGGCGGTACTCGTACATCGCTCTAGAGGCCGAATATATGGAAGTCAGAATTCTCCGTAATTCCACGAACCTTAGCCCCCTTATCAAAGAGTTATCGCAAGCTTCAAATCGGAACCCAGTAGTAGCTCCACAAGTATAGTCGGCGAGCAACATATTTTGCTGAACGTCACATGGAGGAGTTGTCAGAGCGCCCGCACCGAGGGTTTGGTCGCGCAGAAGCCATAGTGCACTAAATGACTAGATGCGGGACAAGGAGGTTGAAGCCTCCAAGCCCCCCCAAGCCCCCCAGGCATAGAGCACAGAGCAACATTTGTGTACGGAGTAGGCAACCCGTTGAGGCACCTTAACCTCCTTAGGAAATTGAGATGCAATTCCTTGATGATCCCTGTCTAGGCTTATGGCTGGTAGGCAGCCAGCCAAATTTGTATCCGCCACTCAATCTCTATGCTCATCCTGAAGGTGCAGTGCTTGTTCGTAATACGTGATAACAAAACTCGTCAGTCGGTGTTTTCCATGCGAGGAGACGGCGGTGTTTGGTAATCTATTTTGAGCGCATCCTGTGCGGACGCTGATGCTGATGTTGTCGCCGATCCTGTCGCTGGCATGGATCTTAGACCCAAGCCCGAGGACCTAGTCAGGACAAACCAGCAGCACGCAAGAAACACCAGCGCACAGCCAGGAACAGTTGGGGCCTCGGGCTGGGATGATAACCGTGGAACCATGAGAGATGGAGAGAGAGGATCCGTAGTGAGTCTGTGACACCTAAACACAGGGTCCAGGGAAACCAGATGACTGTAGTAGGGTCCGTACGAGCACTCTGTACGTCGCTCTCGGCCTTGCTAGCCTCTATGCTCTGTATTGTACTTCGTACGAAGTATAGGAATTTACTTTCGCACACGGAGAAGTACATTCCCTGGCAAGTTGCCTGCGATGCGAATCATAGGATGCCATGCAGCTGAAGGAGAGCCTCGCCTTATCGACATCTACACGGTGGTGTGTCTTTTGAGCCTTTTATTCCTTGGGGATTGGAGGACGAGCGAGGTGCCACCTGTAGATCACTGCTCAAGAAAACAGAATTGGACCGGCCCATTCCCATTTTCATATCTTCGCGCTTCTGCCGCCAAATAGGAAACAGATCCGAACAGACAAGATAGACCGCATACGGAGTAATGGCTCGACTTAGAGCAATTAGAGTGTACTTCGTACCTACTTCGTATTCAGCCTTCTTTGTCCTGCGCCACTTTGGTCTCTCGTCATGTTGGATTCTGGATATTTTGCACCATACAGCGCGCAGCTGCCGCAAATGTGTACTCTACCTCCGTACAAGTAATCTGCGATCCGCAATCCACCATCTGCAGGCGCCCGTCCAATGCTGGCATTGGTCTCGGGACGAGGTTCGAGCATGTCAGGCAACCTGTGGGAGCATCAGTCACTGGAGGGGTGGGCATGGGCATGGGCCTGGCAAGCGGCATCAGATGAGGATCGCCCAATGGTCGGACTATTGTTTCTTGATCGCTAGGCCATAGCAACAGATCGCATTGCGCACCTCGCCGGCCGACCGCCTCAACCGCGGGGCGACTCTGTCTGGGCTCTGGCACGAACGCAGCCCTCCAATAATAGAGCCAGCGGCCCCAATTGGCTTGGGGGACGAACGGGGGTTTGTCAGTGTGTGTCATGGTGATGTTCGACCGTTGTTGAGGAAACTGGTATAGTATGTAAACCAGAGGGGGAGTTGAGAAAAGCGTGGGACGAGCAACTCCAGCCGTGGATGACGGGATAAAGAAGCTCGTCAAGGAAGATTAAAATTCGAGATGGTAATGCTCGCGCTCTAGCAGCTAGCTGAAGACTCGTATCGTAGCCTGGGTGGGCGAAAGTTCGGGAGTGAGGCGTTTGATAGACAGAACGGAACGGATCATTCCCTTCTCTGACGCCCAACTTGCGCCGACAGCTAGAACAGAACAGAACAGCGGCGGGATGCATGAACGACACTTGGATCTGTGCCAGCTTTTGCTCGATGCTGTCGGCGAAGGGACCTGAATTGGAACAGTATAATGTGCGGCATATTGCGTTTGGTAGTAATGTAGAGCGCATTGTTTCGCCTGGCCATGGCCCTCGAAGGCACTCGCGCTCGCACTGGCACTGGGCCTGCTACTCAAGTACTGGCGCTGACAATGAATGGTGGTTGCAATGCCAGTTCATGCCAGACGTGGACCTGGTGAGAATAGGGAAAATGGCAAAAGGGAATAGGGTGTGAAAGGGGAGGGGGAGGGGGAAAGGGGAAGGGTTGGATTTAGATGCAGTCGGAACCATAGCAAGTCCAGAAATATTTATTTATATTTATGACGACCGTCCGAGTACACCCCACCACCAACATATATATATATCCTACAGATATATAACTACGTCCTATATCTACATCTTCCATTCCCCCTCTATTCTCATAATCTATTCTCGATATTCTATATATCCTACTGGATACTCTATAACTCTATCGTGCAGCGTCTCCTGTCTACTTTTAGCCCTGTGTACCGGGCCTACGCTCTCAACCTTTCCTCCTCCTCCACAACTAGTCATCTCCACGCGCCGCCTTGAAGCTAGATTGATACTACTCTATATTCAACGACACGACGACCTCTATTATTTCCCTCTCGTCTCCTCTCCCCTCCCCCACACACTGCGGGCCCGGCCGAGAACGACCGCGCTCAAGCACTGCGGTTCACGACGCGGACAGTGCTCGGAAGATATACGCTTTATTGCATATTGGAGGTTGCTGCAGTTAGATCTTGATTACTTCGTCCATGTACTGTACAGTGTATGGGCCGACTTATTGTATGTACGTACTGCGACTCTCTTCTCTCGTTGCCCTGGCCTTTCTCCTCTATCATGATTCTTGCCGGCCAATGTTTACTCGCCGCAAGTACTACGAATGCCACCTGTACCACGCCTTTGTACCCCCTTTTTGGCCTGCGAGTCGGCCCTCTGCATCCCCAGCATCTCCTTTTCATCACCTGCTCGAGGCTTGCTCGCCCTGCCAGCGCCCAGGGGGCTTGACTTCCCCGCTGTTTCCCACTGCCCAGCGTCCCCAGACACTGCGGGAGCTGCAGGTTGCAGCCCTTTGGGGTTGGATGTTCCAGTGAACTAAACTCATTCATCCGTGCATGCAGGACTGGCTGTGGACTGGCTGTGTACGGAATCTGTTCAGGCTGCGGCCGCAGCGCGCGGCTGTTGATGGAGCTGGCTCGACCCTCACCCAGAGCCATGCCAGAAAAGCCTCATGTCCAAAAGTCCCAACGGCCCTGAGCCCAGGGCCCCGAGGCCCGAGGTCAGGGTCCATGGGCCCATGGGGCTGTTGAGTTTCGAGCTTCGGGCTCCGGAGTCTGGAGATTTGGGCCCTGGAGACCATGTTTGCGCTGTGGTCACTTGTCGGCGTGTTTCTCCTTGAGTCCTGACCCTGAGCCCGAAAGTCACCCAGTGTCTTGCCGCTCGCTCCCCCTTTTCTCGCCCTTCAGGCCTCTGGCAGCTGGCTCCCCTCCTGCTTCAATACTGCCCTTCCCTGCCATTCCCCCAGACAAGCCCCAACGTCCCCCCCCAAACCCCCAGACCACCGCCTCCCAAGCACTGAAGCAGCGGAATCTTGGAGACCTAAACTAAACTTCAGCAGGGGTTCGACACTTAAATCCAGAAGATCTGCTCCCGACTGGCTCTGGCAAAACAGGCGACTACACCACCGCTGAACCCTAGCCCCCCACCCTGTAGGAGGCTTCGGATCGTTCATCGTTCAGTCGTGTTGTCGAGTAGTAGTCTCCACAGTCTGGCCACCGAATTCCCAGTCGTGTCAGAAACCAAACCGCCCCAGAAGCCCGCAGACGGCGTGAACGCCTTGCCTAGGTAGTTTCGTCTCCCAGCACCCAGGTACCAAGATACCAAGATATCAACGTCCTGGCGAGCTGTCCAGCAACGGCTTTACCTCGCCGAATTCCGATTGTGAAGCTCGTCAGGTCTGTGTGCTTCTCTACTCAGTACTCAGTGCTCAGTAGTGCTCAGTAGTGCTCAGTGCTCACTGCTCAGTGCTCACTGATTAGTGATGCCGGTCCTAGAACGGAGTCCTACCACCTCAAATTACAGTTAATACTTCGTACTCGTACCAACACCATCCTTCCCTTCAATCTCACATCCTCGGGCTGGAGTCGACTCCACAGGCAAGCTTTCTGGCGAACAGATCTTTCAGTCCGCCGCACCCTGCCACGCCGTCGGCGAGGTGTTGCTCCACCTTGTCCCGCTCCGCTGCTTATCCACTCCCTCACCAACCCAACCGCTCTATCAGCAGTCTGAAGCACCGGGTCTTGCGCCAGACGGCCTTCAATCATCATATCCAGGCCCCGTTGAACATCCTCGTCGTCTTTTACTTGTGCTTCCGTGCCAGCATTCGCATCCTAGGACGCCCCACACGGATTACGCTACAGCTATCGGCGCCTCTGCGCCCGGAGCCAGCCCTTACCCATCCATGCCCTGCTAACGCCAAAGCCTACGCCTACGCCTACGCCTACCGTTACCTGGTTTCCTACCTCTGTGTTCGTTCTGAGGGACCCCCCGTCCGGCCTAAGCTGGCCCTGCCCTTCCGACCCGTACCACACTTTAAACTCCCCTCTGCCTGGTCCGTTCTTCCAAACCCAGAACCGCGTCTCGCTATCCTGGCAACGATTTATTCCTTCAACACCAACGATCTTCCCTCTATATTTGCAACTGCATTACTGCAACCATACTCTTGCCGTCGGGAAAAATCCACAGAAGCTTCTTCGAATCTCCTTACTTTTTAACCCCGAGAACGGACAGTCGGTACTTCGTACATACGTCGCACATCCATCATTCTCTTTTTTTTGCTGTTCGCCGAACATATCAACAATCCACATACTGGTAGCTGCAGTATTACCTGCTATATATTGCTATTCGATATTGCCTTTGCCGTTGTGGAACAAGCGCACTCAGACACCCGGAGGCATTTATTTAGACTCTTGGATATTTTGTTGGAAACTTAGACAAAAGCTTGAAGTTCGCTCCAAGTCTTCAGGGCGTATCCACCCACCATCTATCTTGTGGCTGTCCTTTGGGTCCGAACGGCTGCCATTTGTCTTCTGGCTCGATATCCAAGATACAACAACCTGAGAAAATTAGGACTCCCAATCGAAATTTCACCAACTCGCGGTTTGACGCACAGGAATTCCAGAAAAGTGTCGGGAAGATTTGTATAGTCTGCTGATTTTAGCCAAGAGGACACTCAAGGAAATTATACGATATTGGGCGAGGACTAGAACGTTGCGAGCCAGATATCGAGCTCCTTGAACCAGCATATCCGGGATTGATGCGATCACTTCCATGCAATTCTCAACCTCACACTCCAATTCTCCTCCGTCCACCGTACTCGGCGAGCGTCGAGGAAAATCAGATCTGGCGCGGTTCTCTCTCGATCTGAGCTGGGGAAGAGTGGCGTCCGATTGTGCTCGCTCAAGGGCATACCCCTCTCCGCCCATGTCAGGGTCTCCACCACTCCCACCAAGTCGTAACCCTGATTCCAGCGATCGTGGCCATGGGGGCTATGGACCAAGTGGACAAGACGTTTTTCAAGGGATCCAAACGCCCCAGCCAGACCGACCAGATCAAAGAGCGCCATCGTTGAGACCCTATCAACCCGACGTACCACCTCCAACAACATTTCCATCGTACCGAATGGAAGAACACCATCCACCATTACTACTTCCATATCAACAACGGCCACCACCTGCGCCACAATTGATACAGCAGCATCCACATCCCCATCCTTACCGACACCCGCAACCTCCCGCTTCATTCGCAATGTCTGACAGACCACCAACCAGAGAAGGGCCGGAGTTTTCTTCACCTAAAGCACAGAGGAAAACTAAAGGCCATGTTGCTTCGGCCTGCGTACCATGCAAGAGGGCCCATCTTAGGCAAGTTTTCCCGTGGATCCCACTTGTTAATGGGAAGAGATTTCCAGGCTAACTTTTGCAGATGTGACTGTAAGTGTGTTTTTCTCCGAATATAATTTAGCTTTTCCGTTCCGAGCATGGCATATCCAGATATGTCACATGGAAATTGGGATCTTTTGCCTCGCAAACCGCGGGGTCCAAAGACTCCAACCCGATCTAGCCGGCCAAGGTGCGGCAGCCGTGTTGGTGGAAGAGCAATATGGATGCAAGTGCAACCGTTAAAGTCGTCCAGAAGCAATTATCGGGTTCCTCGGTAATTATTCGGAATAGGCCGCTGTCTTTTCGTAGGAGGCAAGGAGAGACTTCCTCCGAACCTTTCTTGCCGAACTTTTTCGATAGGTGCCTCTCTCGTCGCCGCCATTGCAGCTCGTTCTGAAAAGCATTCCTAAAACTGAGAGCCATTGGTTTGGCATTCGCGGCGCAAATCCAGCTTGTTGGCTGTTGATCATTCAAACTTGTATATCTCGAATAGGGTTTTCATTTCAGTCGAGCTCAGTCCTCCAATAAAGGAACCTCGCCAACGCCCTAGAAGTCCTCAGGCTCCTGCGTGAACTAGTATCTCATTCCTGTTCTCTCAAGGCACTATACTGCTTGTCTAATTAGCGATTTGGAATTTGCTGACTGGTTGATTGTAGCACAACGTCCATGCTCGCGGTGCATGGCTAACGGCAAGGAAGACTCCTGTGTCGATGTCCAACATAAGAAAAGAGGTCGGCCAAGGCTGCGGGATGAACGAGAGGAGCGATACGAAGGCATGGGTTCGGCATATTCACACGCTCCTGAGGCCGGCATGCGACGTCCATTGCCATTATACTCGTCGACTGACGCAGCCATGGGCACCTCATTTGGCGATCCACTTCAAAGGTCGGGATCGTATAGAATTTTGAAGTCTCAAGGCGGTCAAGCAGCGCCCAGATATATGGATCCTGCATCGTCGACGGACGCAAATCTGTTTGGTGGGCCTATAGTTCCAGCGCCATTGATATTACCATCGCAAGAACCCCTCTGTGCCTACCTTACCATGGAGATGCAGATTGCGAAAGTTGCTCAGAGCTTCACAGAGGCGGTTGATTTCCCAGTGCTAGTCACGAAAAATCTCCAAGACTTGGTCCCTGGAAACGACCGCGAAAGATTGGTGCGGCTGCAGCGAATTTTCGAAGACGAACGACGACAGAGGGAACCAAACTACCTTCCGCCGATCTATAACTTTCAGGAAGATAGGGTTATCCAGTCGGTGGGTTTCGGTCCGGACGAGATCGGTCATGTAAGGCTAGATCACCTAGAGAACCTAACCTTCCAAAGCCCGGACGGACAACAACGGACCTTGCAAGGGCGGTTTGGGCTGTCGAAAAAGGACTCGACATATTTCATTGTCCTGGTGCTTCATGTACCCACGGCACGGCATCCATACCCCCAGACTTCGTTGTCGCCATATCTGGCATATTCTCGAGAGCCTTATTCTCGAGAACCACAATATGGATACCAGGCACCGCAACAACCATATCCTCAAAGCCAGCAGCCGCCTTCATTCATGGCTAACCCGGCGCTTGCGGATCCTCGGGGAGATCCGATGGCATATCGGCCACCTGGTCCTCCTGGGCCGAATATTCATCCACCAGCAAGTATGCCGCCATTCTCTCAACCGCAGATCAGGTCCGACTATGCCCAGAACCAAAATCCTTATCAGACTCCCCGGAGCGAGTTACCGATGGGGCAAGCGCGGCAACATGATCTCCAGTTGCCCCCAATTCGCGATCAACGGAGTGAGGGGCCTTCGGCGGAGCCTGGGCGCCGAAGAGACGATCGTCGTAGTCGGGTTGACATTGGTGGCCTCTTGGAAACCCCCCGTAGCGCCGGGGGCCGATGAAACCTGAAGATGGCTCTACCCCTCTCGGGGTATCCCTTTCATTTCATCGCTTCTTGTAAAATACTTGACGTCAGATATCTTTCACATTTGATCGAGATACCACCATTGCTGTATATCTTCGGGTCTTTGCTATCTGTTTTTTGCGGTCCGAATTGGCCAATTGAGCGAATCATAGCGCCGTTCTTCATTCTGCATCTGAGATATCCTTGTTCCGTGTTTTTGTGTCGGCGCCAGTGCCAGCGGGGGGCGTTAATGTACGATAGGGGGGGGATGATGCTAGCAGTGATGAAAGAGTAGTCCTAATGAATGATTGACATGATTTGATTCCCGCTGATGATTTCGTTTTGCCGGCGGAGGTGTTGTTTTCGCGCTGCTTTGTCAAGTACTAGTAATTTCGGATGCGACCTTCATGTTAGGGTATAGTTGTTTTCGGCGCTTCACTCCCATTGGCACCCGTTCTATAGGGGAGTAGAGGAACGGCAAATGCTGGCAGTACAAGCAACGCGGTACGATAATGAACCAGGCCATGGTGGCCTGCCTTTGTATTTATACCTGTCCGACGTCCGATACGAGGCTGGGGTTTAGTGGTGTAGGGTAGGGTTAGGTAGGGTAGGGAAGTGAAGCGGTGTAAACCGGATTATTGTTACTGTCCACATAACTTAAGTGCCGTGTTGCATTTGCATAGCATTGGGTCTAGTCCCAGGAAGAGCCAGAGCCCAGAAGTCCAGGTTCAGGCTGATTGACGGCGAAGAAGCGCGTTCATAGGTACAGGTACGGGCACATGCTCCCAGGTCCCAAGCCCAGAGACAGGTACAGGCACAGGCATTGCTACGCCGTCCAATGACAACCACACCGCTGATTGTGATGAAGGCACATAAAGATAAAGGATTAATGCTCATATATCTATAACATATTGATATAGGCCGAACTCTGGTCTAACACTATATGATAACTATGCGTACCGCAACTCTGCTTAGTAGATATAGGGAGATATATGTCTATAAATAAATACACGTTACAGTTAACGATATGCCATCCGAGACCTCTCATTGGCCCGTCGGTTCCACCCGGGGGAAATTCTCCGATACAAACTCCACGTGATCGGCAACGTACATTCGGGAACCCAAATCGGGACAAGCGGGAGCGGGAGAAACTCGGGAACATCCCCGCATCTCAGACCCCTGTCAGCCCCTCATCCCCCCATTCCCGAGAACCCCTCCATTGGGCCCCTTGTGGGGTTTCGTCATCATATATATATCGAAAGGGCTGAGCGTCAGCAACGTCCATTGTTACTACATACATCATTTTGATATTACTATATCTGCTCTCTGCTATCAATTGATTTCTCCGTTGCTTGCCCTATTATTCCCTTAAACACCCACACTACCAGCTACTAAGAGAGGAGCTTACCAAGCCCCACAACAACAAGCAACAATGGCAGATACCACAGCAGCAGCAGCACAATCATCTGCCTACCTAGCAGCCCAAACCGCCTCCCTCGAATCCCAAACTCCTGTTGCCCCTTCCTCTGCCCGCGCTGCCCAGGTCCCCCTCCAGAACTTCGATCTCCCCGTATTTCCCCAAGAAGCCTTCACCTCAGGCTTAACATCCCTAATCCTAACCTCCGACATCAAACTCGATGAATACACCTCTCTCCTCGACCAGGCATTCTCCATCCCCCCACTACCGCCCAGCATCACGAGCTTAACCCTGGAGCTATTCTCGCTCGGATACCCGCCTGCGTTCCTATCCGAGCTCGGAAAAGCACTACCGAATCTAAAAGCATTGACGCTGTACTCCCAGCTTTTCGGCGGGACAACCGAACACTCCCGGGATGACGCCGTTGCGTTCCTGAAATCCCAGAAGGGGTTAAGAGAGATTCATTTCTTGGATGTTTTCACGTCCCCAGGACTCATGGGACGGCTGGCTGAGTCGCTTGGTGATGATGTCAAGTTTGTGGAGCTGAGTTATACATTCAGGCACTCGGATCCGGTCGGGTTTAGAGGTTCTTTGCCTGTTACGGAACTCGAGAATCTGGTGAGGAAGGGATTGGTTGCTTTGACGGTGGGGATTGTTGCCCCTGACGTGACGCCTGATGAGGAGGATAGGGAGGGAACGGAGGTGGGCATTGTCCCTGTTGTGCAGAAAGATGGGAAGGGCCTGGTGGAGAGATTGAAGGGCGGGGATGGGGACGAGTTGGTCATGCTGGATATTACGATGGTTGAGGTTGGCGTGGAGGATGTCAAGAGTATTTTGGAGAAGTGCAAGAAACTGAAGGTTTTGTCTGTGAGTGTGGGGCTGGTGACGGGATGGGATGAGGTTTTCGAGGGTTTGAAGAAGGACTTGGCTGGCCTGGAAATGCTAGAATTGGTGGGCGTTCCAGGAGAGGGGTTGGTAGATAAGCTGACAGCTGGGGAGCAAGGGGCGGGCCAATTGACCGCAGAGATGCTGACAAAGGTATCCGAGGTTTGTCCCGAGCTCAGTAGTGTGAAGACAAGTATTTTAAGGACAAAGGGGGAACATTGGATGAGAGAGAGTGGAGGATCTTGGAAAAAGCAAGCTTAGTTGATCGGCCGTCCTCTGGGCAAATTGTTCCTCGTTTCGAACTAATACTACTAAAGAGTAAATATCTAAGCAAATTCCTCTGCAATTCTATGACCTATCCTTTATAAGAGGTTTGAATTTTAGCTTCTATATCATTACGTCATGTGGAGTAATTATCAGACTCTGATTTGGACCTCTACGTCGTTCAGGTTGAAAATCTAGTGTTTGTTTCAAGGCGCAGCGGTATCAGACCTCGCACTTCAATAATGGTCATAATTAAAAAAGCTCAAATTAGCATCCGATGGTATGACTTAAGCCCAAGTTTTCCGCCCGACCCTACCCATACAATTACAAGAAATACAATAACCACTCCCAATACCACTACCGCCACTACTTTCAAAAGGGTATCATAAACCGACAGGTATCCCGTGTCTGCTACACGAAGAGAAACGCAAGGAAAGAAGCTTGTTTTGGCGTACATGGAATTGCCAATGTGATATCAATACCAACAACACAAGGGAAATTACAAGGTATAGTTGAAAAGCAGTCGACGGCTTTTAAGTCCTAAGAACATAAACGGGAAATGATTATTTCCGTGGGGTCTCGGGAACATCCCAAATATTCTCGTCCCTTGCCTCCTTTGCAGGTACCTCATCATTCTTTGGCTCCTGTGCCGATGGCTGGGTACCGACGTTTGGATTTGGAGCAAATGGAATGACGGAAGTACTCGTGAAGACGGGAAGATTGGCACGCTTCATTGGGGAAGGGGTAGATGTGTTGGGAGGGAGCCAATGGATGGGCTGTTGTCGTGGTACAGCATCTGGAGGGGGCCCCTCTGGTTGGTAGGAGATAAAGACGGGATCCAAGGTACGGGAGGAATCTGGCATAGGCTGATCAGGCGACGAGTTCATGTGAGAGGTGGTGGGTAGATGATCCGAGGGATTTGGAGGAGAACTCGCTGGAAGGGGAACTTCAGTTGGTTGCTGGAGGTACGGCGGGAGAGTTGCTAGCAGAGCTGGTTGGGGAGTGGAAGGAGATGGTGGGAGATAATCGCCCATAACGACTGGATTAGAATATAAGGGTTGCTCGGGGTTGTATGATGGTTCAGATGGTGGTGGAGCAGGGGTTGAGCCATCTCGACTCGGCCGCCGTGCTGACCTAGGTCTAACTGCTTCAGTTGGAGTGCTCTTCCCAATTTTAGGGCTTAGTTTGGCTTGTAGTTTCGCTTCTCGTTGAGTCTCGGTAGTTAGACTTATTTTAATCTTCTTCATGCCAGAAGTGAGGCTGTCGACATCCGAAGTTTGAGCAGATGGCTTAGTAGAAGGGAGTATGGCCTTATTGGCTCTAGACTGTGACTCTATGCTTCCATCTAGTGCGGGTGCTTCAGTCGCTGCATCACCCAAGGGTGATTTTCGGCGCACGCGAGATGACTTTGCAGGTGCAGCGCGAGGCTGCGCTGGAGCACGAGTCTTTTTAACAACAACCGGGGGAATCGAATGACCCCGAGAACTCATGGACGACTCCGGCCGAATAGTTTGTGAAGTACCTGGTCGTTGATATGCGGTCGTCGTGCTGTTTGACGGGGCTCTTCTATGGCCTCCTGGTCTCGGTGCCTCGGGTGCGGCGGATCCGGCGTTTGAAACCAAGCTCAGTCGCCTATTCGATTGACTCGTGGGCTTGGTATAGCTAGGCTGGGGTACCGGGATGGGTGTGGTGCTTCTAGTAGGCGGCTACATGTACTGTTAGCACGAATATTCCGAGTGAAATACGGACTGGTTTCTGGGAAGACTCGGCTCATCTTGAATACATACCTTGTCAGTTGCTAGGTTAGCTGCACCAGCAACTGTCCTGCGGCGGGTTGTCTTGGGTTTTTTCACGTCGTCCTCTTCAACAATAGGTTTTGCGGGCTTGCGAGCACGTAGGGCCATCCTTGTACTGGCCGTCTCGCATGGTCCATTTACTGCGGTGGCTGTGGAAGGGGCCTGTAGAGATTGCCGGTCACGTCTTGCACGAGTAGCCTCTGCTGAGAGGTCCTCCGGCTTGCAGCTCATGGTTTCCCTATCTGTTGGGATAAGCAACTTGCTTAACTCGTGTGCAGCGACAGTCCAATGGACTTCCGGAGGCGGCGGAGACGGTGGTCTTGACATAGTTCGAGGGGAGCCGTTGCCCATAGACATGTTTGAAACACTTCGTTGGGGTCTTGGAGAAACGACCTTTGCGATGAACGACTGGGTCGGGGAGGAGTATGTTGGTGGAGTGCCGGCACGGGGCTTCTTGGGCTCTGGAGCTGGTGGAGCTGGTTTGACTGTGGCATCTAGCTGCTCAAGCCGTGGCAGAGACCACCATAAAGGATCGTATGCTTGCGTCTCCAAATGGAGGGATTCAGTAGTGTAACTTTCAACGCCATGATATGCTCCAATCTTTTGGCCCATCTCGTAACCAAGTCCGTTGTGACCAGGTTCCTGTTTGACCACAATTGGAGCGCCGGAAGCAAGGCCACTTAAATGACTGAATACACCACTGTATAAAGCTCTGTCGCTATATCCTCCTTCTAGAACGCTGATAATCCGACCATCGACGGAAGTTCCTTCTTCTGCCGCAAGTTTGACTACATCTCGGGCTATGCGAGCGTAGAATTCTGTTGGTACATTGACTTTGTGACGCTGCATACCAGAGCTCTCCCATTCACTAGCATCGAAGCCCGCAGAGAAGAAAATAGCTGCTTTCGGTTTTGGGCCGTTCGATACTGCGTTTAAACGCTCAGTATGTGTGCGCAGGAAATTGCGTGTTTTCTCTAAAATTATCGAGTATCTAGCTTCGTAGAGTTGCCAGAACTCAGCTTCTGTCTTCCACGGCTGTAAATGCACATTCCAGATGCTTTGGCCATGGGCATTTTCAATGCAGAGACTCGCCATTTTGACCTTTTCTTCATCGCCTTGCTCGCATGGATAGGAGTTGATGTCGTGAAGACTAAAATAGCCAATTGAAGTCTTCTTCCAAGGGAGAGCATTCTTTGGTAGGTTGACTCCACGGGTATTGTGGTCCCACGCAATTGCCTGGGATCCATCACCATGATGAAGGTCGAAATCGATGATTGTAGCATGCGTTAAGCCATGGGTGAGAGCTGCATGGGAAATGCCCACATGCACATTGTTGACCCAACAGAATCCCGACGGGTAGCTAGCTGAGCAATGATGCCCTGGAGGTCTTATCGTGACGAAAGCTCGGCTTGGGCCTTTTCTATTTGCAGACCCCTGAAATACAGCATCTACACCTTCACATACTGCACCTAATGCCCCCTCCATTGCATCCAGGGATTCTGAGCAGAGATAAAGGTCTCCTTCGTGGAATTTGGCAGGCTCCTCTGGCTCGCCACTTCGATCCATTTCCGGCCGAACAAGCTCCTTCCCATTCTTAGCCAACTTTGCCTCGGCGTCACCGCACATAATCTTCAATTCCTCCATCCATTTAGTGCCATGAACATTTGTTACCGCCTGGGATGAAAGAGGGAGTCGGCGTGTGGTCTTGCGGATTTGGAATGGCGTGGTCGGAATCATAGAGGGGTTATGGTCAGGGTGTAGGGGATATAGACCATCGGAATGCCGCTCTCCAAGACGAACGTATGCCATTGACAATCCAAGTATACTCGCATGAATCCGCTCCGGCCTCTCAACTATGGTGCTGAGAGATATTTTGGAGGTACGAGGCCTAGAGAATCGATGCCCGTAGCAAGAATCGTGGATGATGGCAATAGTATCTGAATTTCTTGTATCGTCTTCTAGCTTCTGAAGCTCTAGTTCCTTTTCGAAGTGATTATGGGCAATGGACCTCGCAGTATGTCGTGGGCGTTGTTCCGTTTCATCCCCGATCTCTGGAAGGGCGGATCTTCCTGCCATGGTCGAACCATTCAGATATTGATATTGCGCCGAATTGGATCGTCTTGAAGGCGACGGTCGGGGCGGCGTACCACCTCCAACACCATGTAGAGAATTCATGGAGGCTTTTCTCAATAAGCTTGGTGTAGAGGATGGCGCATCGCGGCTCATGGCACTGGGGCTGCGTTGAAGCGGGCTTCTAGGGGGTAGTCTGTCATTTGAAAAGGAGGTGGAATTCTCGCGGGACAAGAAGGATCTTGGTGAAGGTTGCGGTGAAGGCGAATTCGGTAGTGCAGTTGAAGCTGCCGTGCCTATGGAGAAACGTTTGAGTGAATTCGCAAACGATGTGCTGCCGTTTGCTGTTGTTTCTCTCGTACTGTTATGATTCGATGACGGTGATGCCATGGCGGAAAGCAACAGCAACTCACGCAAAGCGCAAGCCTCACCAGTTTAGTTTAGACGTATCGGATATGTCGCTTTCTCTTTATCCACCTTGTGTTCAATATGCAGAGTTGGGGGGACTATGCAGCAATCGCATCGCATTGCATCGTCAAAGAGTTGTTTTGTGTTTAACGCGACGAACTGGTTAAACATTTCGACGCGCCTAGGGATCCCTGTCATTCCAGCCCTATGCTTTGTCTAGGTACAAATATGAAGTGCATTGTACATGCTCCTCCGATTGCGCCTCTAAAATGCCTGCTCAAAAGAATAAGTCTCGCTGTTCTGTCAGCATCTGCAGAGTTTTGTTTGTAACTTGTTATATCTTCCCATTTCTAAGAATAAGCGTTTGCTTGGACATTTAGTGCATATGCAAGCAACAACGCTTGACCCACTCTAGTACAGCAGGACGAGACACCACTCAGTCGTATCTACGAAGTACATGACATAAAAAGATAGGAGTGATAAAGGAACAAAGACATCTAATCTAGAAAAACTCTAGGATCCTCAGAGACCAATCCCTGAAGTTGCTCGAAACCAACTGGACCGTGGCAATTATTGTACTGTTTCTCATTACTATGTCCCATCTACAAGGTCGTTTGGGTAAGCTAAACTAGAACGCCCTACGCCTTATGCCTTGTAATCCCAAATCTTGGTATCCCTCCCTGTTACCCACAAGCTCCCAGTCATCCTAGACATATACTCATCATCTACACATATACAGCAAAAGCTAAGCTTAGTACTCCTCAACGGCGCAATTAGGATGAAGAACATAAACAATGTGTTCCGCCGCGGCGGAACTCCGCTCGCCATCTTCACCAATAAGGCCTTGCCCTCTAATCGCCATTAGGATATTTTCCTTCAACGCCGTTAGTATATGATGAATAGTGCCAGTGCTGGGGATGAAATAAATACCTTCACCATTCTCTTGACAATCTTCTTCGTCAACGCCTTCTCAGCATGATAATCCTCCTCGCTAGTTAGGTCGTCCTCCTTCTGCTCCAAGTACCATTCCACAAGCTTCTCGCCATCTACGCCCTCCCCGCTGCTCATCTCGTCCTCGTTGACGCGCTGGACCAGGAGATTCACAACGCTAATATACTTGTCATATGTAATCTTTGTCTTCTTGCTCGGGCCATCAGCTGTGGGGATGGGAGTGCCGCTCGCATCGACTGTGCCGCCTCCATTTCCGTCATCACCATCTTCATCTTCGTCGGGGCCATCAGCCATGGGGGAGTCGCCATCATTATCTCTACGGCTCGACGCGGCATTGTCGCCTGGCACCTCTTCTTCGTCTTCATCAACGTCGACATCATCCTTCTCAACAGAGATAATGCTTTGTCGGAGAAGATTGAATGCTTCAATCACCATATGGGGTTCAATCTCCTCGACACAATTAACCTTAGCAATCGCCTCTGATAGACGGATTAGGGATTCAAGCTGTCGGACAGTGATTCGGTAGCTGTTCCGTCCGATACCTCCTTGGGCATCATCACTCCGAAGCTCCTTATATTTCGCTACCAGAACCTCCCTGGCTTCAGGCTTAAATTCAGGTTTGAATGTCCTGGCGAATCGAATATATCGTTGCAACTGCTCCGTCGAGAACTCGGGCTGCACGGCTTCGTCTCGCAGCTGATGAATTCCAACGATGTGCTCAGCGAGGTGGCGATCCACAACCTCGTTACATTCATCCAGAATGACAAAGAAGAGATCAAAACGAGACATGATAGGAGCAGACATATTGATATTAGCCCTCAACGTGGTCTTGCGATTGTACCGACCACCGACCGGGTTTGCAGCTGCCAAAATGGAAGTCCGGGCGTTTAGGGTAGCTTGGATACCGGCCTTTGCAATGGAAATAGTCTGCTGTTCCATGGCTTCGTGAATCGCAACTTGATCGCTGATATCCATCTTGTCGAACTCGTCAATGGCACAAATTCCGTTGTCCGCCAACATCAGGGCACCGGCCTCGATAGTGAACTCGCCGGTCTCTTCATCCTTGACCACAGCAGCCGTAAGACCTGCCGCAGAAGATGCCTTGCCGGAAGTGTATACCGCACGAGGTAAGAAAGAGCAAATATACTTCAAGAATTGTGACTTAGAGGTGGATGGGTCGCCTACGATGCAGATGTTGATATCGCCTCTAAGCGCCATGCCTTCGGGTGTAGTTTTACTTAACCCACCAACTAGTTGCAAAAGGAGACCTTTCTTGATGATATCGTGGCCGTACACCATAGGTGCGAGTGAATCGACGAGCCGAGCGTAGAGGTGCTTACTGTGGACCATCTTTCGAAGGTCATTAATTTCTTCTTGCGTCATGGATGCAAGAAGGGCTGCTTGAGCTTTCTCGCCAGGTTCATTGGGATCGATAGGCGCAGTTTGGTTGAGAGATGCCAGGAGATTATTCGACTGGCCATTGAGCTGCTGACTGGTTGATGAGCCAGTAGTCGACGTATCAGGCGTAACCATACAAGCCAAGAAGGCAAGCTTATAAGTGAGATCACGGACACCAAGGGATTTTAGTCCAGTAACACCATTCACCTCTGCACTTCTATTCTGGTTATCCCGCACAGCTGTTGGCTTCACTCCTGGGAGGCCAAGCTGGCTGACGTCCGGTACAACGATAAGAGTTCCCGTGAAGATGCATTTCTCTCCAGCTTTTGCGCGCTCAACGATTTCTCCACGGAGAATAACATCCAGCGTCCGGGGCATGCTTCCAGTGGGAATTTCCGAGCTATTTTCTTGAACTCGAACCTTCTGCCAATCAACAAAGGTACTCTGCCTGATGTCTAACCTCCATGCTAGCCGGTTATTGCATGTTTCGTTTGGACATTGCGTGGGCTCAGTATATCGAAATGTCTGCTCAACATTCGGGATGGTATTTTTACACGACTCGCAACTAAAGGTTGCAAGTGAGAGCTCCGGCCGCACTTCTGACGTCCTCGTGACAGTGCCAGAAATAGAGAGAAGCTGGCCAATGTTGGCCGTCCTGAGATGACGGACGCGGGTAACAAGGGGCAAATTGTAGAAAGCCAACGCAAACAACTTATCAGTCTGTTGGTTCGTGGTTTTGTCGCCTTGAAAATCGGATTGGCTGGCCGAGGCAGCATTGCTAGCTCCGGATGAAGTTTGGTTACTCGAGGCTGTAGGTTGTCGATGCTCTCTGAAATACCGAGGCTCGTGTTTGGCGATCGAATTATGGAGCGCCTTAGTCAAAAAAGGCAGATATCTGTAGTAATCCGACACCACTGCCGAAGACAATTCGTCTGCATATTGGGAGAGATGCCTGTAATCGACATATAGGGTCGATAGCTGGTAGGTTCTCAGCCCATGGATCTGGGCGATGTAGTATTTATCAGTCGTTGCGGCGGAAGATGGAGGCGCCCCAGAAGACGATGGCTCCTCGACGTATCTAGGAGAGTTAGATCTATCATAACTCGATCGCAATGCGCAACTCACGATTCGAGGAAGTCTTCGAATCTAGACTGAACGACCAGCCCGACTCTATCCACAACTCGAGGAACAGCGCGGTCTTTTCTCCTAGGGCGACCTGTTCCGGTTGGGATCTGATCATCTGCGAATCCCTCATCGTCACTTAGAGGGGCGACACTCTCCGAGGGAGGGCCTCTTGGTCTGGCTGACGATCCGCGAAGTGTTTGACTTGCTCTGGGCGTACCGGCTGTGCTGGAACCTGGTCCAGCATCAGAGTCAATGGCATCAGACATAATGACTGAAGCCATCTTGTGTAAATAGAGAATTGTTGCGATGCGGCGTTCTGCAATGTCGATGATTCTGGCGGGTGTTCGAGAGTTGCGAATTTGGCAGCGATAAAACACGTCGTCGCGTTGGAAAACGCGTCTAAACTGCATTTCGACGCGACTTCCGGCCACCGTAATAGATTGATTATTTGGCGATCATGTGATCCGCCCCCTTTCTCGGTTCGGTGGGCGACTTCAAGTTTGACATAAATGTGAATATGTAAGGTACACAGTGATCTTCCAGATATAGTATCAATAGATGATCATTTTACTCTAGGGGAGAGCATGCCTAGCCCTCAAGTACCAATAAAGAAAATTAAAAATTACCCTTTTTAGATTTCTATAATTCATACACCAAAAGCTCAATACTATATAAAATAGGCGGTGCACTATATTATGATGATTATTTTCTACCTAATTTGAGAACATTCAGTACACTCCCTCTATATACTCTGCTGTAATAAATCGTTGTGTACGCTTTGAACTCAGACATTGCTACTCGCAACATACGAGTTTGCGAATAATCGCTTCTACTTAAGGCTCGCTACTGGGCTGCCTTGACACTGATAACCTGAAAAGCATATGTTGACACAAACTAGATTCTGGTAATAGCTAAAGGCCTTTAGTAGGAAATGATTACTCGCGGGACTTTTCTTCTCCTACTATTTATTTAACCCAGAGAATGAAGTGTTTCTTCTAAGGAACTTGGATAGACCATGTAAAGTTAGTCATATACCTCTCCGCTTGAGGGAACTTGAGGGTACGTAGGCACAGGCCCAAAAAAGGGGACGTAAAACAAAAAAGACAAAATACAAATATAACAAGAACGAAATCGGATCTATTCGACAAGAGATGTAGACCCTACAACGGGCCGAACTCTATTGCCATTTTGAAGGCCGAAGCAATTTATTTATGTTTTTTAATACCTATCTAAGTGTCGAATTAGACTCCTTTTTTTATTTAACGCGGCGTGTTGTTTTGGTTCTTCTAGCGAAGGCCAAATACGGTGTAGTTACCACCGGCGAGGTCACCGCTTACAGGCGGTGACAAAAATTGCCTGGCTATAACTCCCAACACACTCTATATAAATTAAAATAAGAGTTTTTGGTTTTTGAGGGGTACAAGGGCGGCCACTTGGCTGAGTGGTTCAGGACGAATTGTACTTTCGAGGTCAACAGGGATTTAGGGTACGTAGGCACAGGCCCCAAAAAGGGGGACGTTAAAAAACGACAAACTACGAAAATAAAAAAACAACAAACTACGAAAATAACAAGAACGAATCGGATTAAATCGACAAGAGATGTAGGCATTCGACACCGGGCTAAACTCTTTTTGCTTCCAGAGTATATGATAATAATATTAAAATTGATTAATTATATTTTACTACCTTTTCCACCCTCACTAATATTGAGATTTTTTTTTATATCGCGTATCGCGGAAAGTGGAGGTTGCGAGTTGGCAAGCGAGTCTGCGTATCCGAATTGCCTTACCTGATCAGCCTCTGCCACTTGTTTAGAGGTTATAGGGCATGTAGGGTGATTCACTTCCCCCTTGAATTCCCACCATATAGGGTAACGATGATCAAGTCTCAGGAGCTTTCAAAGTAAACGATGCCGAATCAAGATGTATGAAAGCTATGTTAACCTCTCCGAAAATGGCGAGGAGAAGACAACAAAAATTATCCTATTCCGCCTCCAGCTCTAGGTAAGCGTCTCAGGTCACTCGAGCTATTTGAAATATGCGGCAACGCAATAGCCAAGGTGATATAGTAGACCGCTTAACTGCTTGAGATCTGCTGTTATTAGATATCGCTGATTGAAAATGATAAGGGGGTAGCTGTAATAATCACCACTGGCTTGTCAAAATCCTTAATCTGTGAGCAAAATCTATCTCCCTTAAATACCGGCAAACTTCAACACGACGAGCTTATTTAAATATTTTAAACCTCACCAAACTGCGTTCGAATGTTAAGCATGTGAATAGGGTGGACAAAATGTACCTTACTTGTAGAGAGTGTGACTTCTTGGGCCAATGGTGAGCACGAATAATACAAAAAAGGGGAATAACAATCCGATTATCCTGGTATATCCCATATGCCAAAACCTAAACGCCATCCCGCTCCCTTAAGCATCCTTTATCCCACATTCGTCTTTCATTTCCTCCTCGCTATGTGAATGAATCTAGTCTCATCAGCAAAAGCACTCACATATGGAACAGCATAAACGTACCCGCTCCGCAAACAAAACCCATTCCTCTACGCCCTTCATATAAGGATCTGTCTCATCCGCCAGAGTCTCGTGTCCCCATATCATGATATCATCAAATTCGGACATTTCCTCCACGACTTTGACTCCCGGAACCTCCTCGGCATCTTCATCGCCTTCGCTGCCTTCATCACCATTCTTTACCCCCGGCGATTGTTCTTTGGTGGGCAAGATGCGGTCCGTTGAGGTGAGGACAAGTCCCCGGTATCCTTTTGGCACTTTCAATTTCTTGCCGTGAAGCTTTCTTCCCCGGAAATAGGCGGTCGTTTTGCCATCTAGAAATATAATACATGTTAGATCTAACTATCTGCGGGTCAAACGGTTACTCGCCTGAAGTGGTTTTTGGGTCCCAGTATCTCTTCGAGGTATTGACTGGTCCGTTATGTTGTATTCGACAGGGTAGAACATTGGGCGTGCATTTGCCTTTATGGCTTTTACTTTTTTGGATTGCGAACATTGTTTAGGGAGCTTGATATGGGCCAAGAACGTGATATTATAATTATCAATTCTTGCTCATGAATACTGTCGTCGCGTTACGCTTGGAACACGCGACGCGTTAAATGCCAAGCCTCGGCAATCTAGCTAAGATCCCGCCCCTGGTTCATCTACAACCCACCCGCTCCCGAATGATTATGAACTTTACATCACAAGACAATATCAACCATGGTTAGATCTAGCAAATTTTAGGGTTTATTCTTCTGTTATCTCTTAAGCACTAACATATGGGCATGAACTCACAAAACAACACCTGGGAATGGCTAATAGCATCACTGATATGGATGGAAACTTGAAGAGCGCTGCAGTTAGGATTGCAGAGTTGATTTTCCAGAGGGAGGCCTTCTGAGTGCGGTGTTTGCTTTGGAGATATGAGTTTTGTGGAGGAGGAATCTGTAGGGGGTGCGTAGATGGTAAAATAAATTGATTTATAGACGAGCGTGCATAAAACTCACCGATCACGTTGTGGAAATTGGGGAAAGTAGACAGGATGTAGAGTAATATATTGGTACTATCGATTGAATAAAAGGAATAAGCCGAGAAGAGGATCCGCCACAGCAGGATTTGAAGGCCAGATCGAGTTGAAGCAGATAGATTGCCGAGCCTTCCTAATGCTCAAAGCATTATCTGATATAGTGACTTTATCGAAATGTTAAGAGGTTGTCGGAGGGATTTCGAGATATATCATTTATACATACACCAACTTCTTAAAAGAGGTGGGATGTCGGCATTCCAGTGTATTGCCTTGCCTGATGATATATATGAATGCGTATGTAAAATACGAAGACTTCATTCGGAAGTATATCGTCCCCGATGGATACGTGTAATCCATCAGCCAACTTGTAGACGGCATCACCGAAGGTTCGGAAGACACGCTGATCATGGACCATATTGAGACTGTGCGCTATCACTATACAAATATCTTGTGGTAATGCACGGAGGGGTTAGAGCGCATTTGAATCCCATATTTTGATCAGCTCCCATGATTGAGCACGGCGTTGGCGAGAAAGAGGTGCAGGTGCTTCTGCGAGAGTGCAAAATGGGTGACTTCACTTCCGTCATCCTCTCAGTTCATTATTATTTTGATAGTATTGTTTTTGCTATTATGTGGCTAGATTTGCCACGAGACTTTGGGAGCTGCGGTCGTCACCGCCGTAAGCTGTGAGGGAGCGATAGTATTTGGTGGCGAGAATTCCACTTTGAAGTGGATTGTCGTTAAGCACCGGCAGCTAGATGGAGACGAGGGTCTGATGTTTGTCTGTTGCATAGGAGGCAGTATAGCCATCGCCAGCAATAAATTCAGACACCATAGCGAACTCCATGACGCTATTACTCCTTGATCCATCCGTAAAAGTTGAAGCTATGAGTCGAGCATTAAGCAATTTGACTGGCAAGTGCGGCGAGCAGGATTGGGGGATCTTAGACCAAGCCATGAGTTTTAAGTGCTTTCAACGCTTGTTTTTCTTCTTCTTTTTCGTGTTGGATTTAGAGCTTGAGGCACCAGCAGTGCGCACCGGGAAGCGCTTAGCATGGTCGACATCGAATGCAGACTTGTGGCGTCTAAAGAGGAGCATTGTAGCTCGAGCATCTTCAATACTGGAATGCTCGCCGCCTTGGATTTCCACTCCTAACACTTCCTTGGCGAGCTTCTTCAAGCTGGGTGTCCTCCCCTCAGTATACTTCCTGAAGCCAGGAAACTTGGAAGTGTCTCGAATATCCCTTTTGGAGTGATTTAACATCAACGCCTCTAGGTCATTCTTGACAGCATGGCCCACGATGACTCTTTCCTTCAAGATCGTAGCAACAGCCTCCTGAACCTCGTCAAACTCCGTCGCCGTCGCCATATTTTTCGGTGACACACCACTGACGTGGGTTCTCCAGTCTGTGACGAACTCTTTCGGTCGGACGAAAGAATCGTATACAAGTGTTCCATGGAAGTTGACAATGCTAACTCTTGCCAAAACCGACCGATCCTCTTCACCACCGACTCCAACCATCTCGCAATCAATGCCCACATATTTCCCAATCTCCACATCTTCGCATAATCCACCATTTATGGCATCGATTTTGGATCCGGGAATTGTAGGATCCTTCAAACTGCCCCCATAAGCATCTGCTAGGTCCCTCGCGGATATTTCGTTGTCTTCGGCCCATAGTGCTAGAGCTGCTGATGTTGTGGGTTCGGGTTCCGTGGATTCCACATTGCCAGAGCTGGAGGCGGCACCCATCCTGCGCTTATTCGAGGTGCGACGTAATGTGCCAGTCGCTGGTTTGGCCGAGACTCCCTCCAACCTTCGTCGCTTCGCTATGCTATCCTGCGTTCTCTGAGAAGGACGGGCTTTCCTTTTTTTATCCGCGGTGGTTTTGGATTCTTGTTGCAACACAGCTTGCAATTTTTTCCAATTGCTGGAGAATTCCGGTGCCATTTCGTGATGTTGTGTTGTGCTATCGCAGCATTTTGAATGTGGTGTTTGGGGAAGGTTCCTCCAACTAAGTTTTTCTGCTTCACATGCACTGGACGACGTTGTAGGCGAGGCTTAGCGCTAGACCACAGCCTTATCCTCTCGCTATCCTCTATCTCAACCTTATCGCTAGAGCCAGGACAGTACATGGTCGCATTCTCACTTCAAGTCGCAAATCAATTATACAGCGTTCATTTCCATCAGATCCATCGCGATTTTCATCATGGCCGGAGTCGCACAGTCTCAAGAGGCTGCTGTGGGTTCGCCTGCGCCAAAGCAGAAGGGGAAGGCGACCGTTGACACCTTGAGGTGAGTGTCGCGATTTTGCATATTGCCACGCTAGAACTGATGGTTCCTACAGAATAGGTTGCGTTGCTATGGTCGAGAAAGTGAGTTTGTTACCATCGTTTATTTGCAAATCAATACATTTTCCTCTCATGCACATCGAGTTAAATTTTGCACTTGAATCATTCATTATTATTTTGTTTCGATTTAATACTTCGTACTTCCCCAGTTCTTAGTACCATACAAACAATACTAACAAGGCTTTAAAGGATGGCGCATCTAGACGGGCAGAGATTTTAAGTATAAAAGAGACTAAAAGTGGCCGACAATTCTACTGCAATTTCGACAACTTCAACAAACGTCTAGATGAATGGGTTCCTGTGGTTCGGATAGACTTCAACCAGGAGGTCGAATGGCCAAGCCCAGAAAAACAGAAGGAGCCGAAGAAAGCTGCTACATCGGTGGCGAAGAAGGCCACTGCAGCTTCGAGGAAAGGGCAGAAGAGGCCTGCAGCTACAAGAGAGGTCTCCGTCGCCTCAGAAGGCGAGACACCGCATCCCTGGACTGAGTTCGTCGAGTCCCAGAAAGCCACCCCCGACCCTGAGGCGGACGACAAGCTTACCCTTACTTTGGAACTTGATGCAACACCTAATGCGGACGATGAAGATGCTATGGATGTTGATGAGGCAGCGTCTCAAGCAGTGGCGACTAAAACGCAAGCCCCTGAGCATTTTAGCCGCGAAGAGGAGATAGAGAAGCTGAGGACGGGAGGTTCCATGACCCAGAACCAAGCCGAAATCTCACGTATCAGAAATATCTCTCAAGTACAGTTTGGAAAATTCGAGCTCTATCCATGGTACTTTTCTCCCTATCCTGAAGTCTTTACGCAGGAGGATCTCATGTACATCTGCGAGTTCTGTCTCTGCTACTATGGCGATTTGAAATCCTTTTCAAGACACCGGCAAAAGTGCACATTGCAACACCCTCCTGGGAACGAGATATACCGAGACGATTATGTCTCGTTCTTCGAAATCGATGGCCGTCGGCAGCGGACTTGGTGTCGAAATTTATGTCTCCTCTCGAAGATGTTCCTCGATCACAAGACATTATATTACGACGTGGACCCCTTTCTCTTTTACGTCATGACAACCAGGGATTCTAAGGGATGTCATCTCATCGGGTATTTCTCGAAAGAAAAAGAAAGTGCAGATGGTTATAATGTTGCCTGTATCTTAACCCTGCCGCAATTCCAACGCAAAGGCTATGGACGCTTGCTCATTCAGTTCTCATACGAACTATCCAAGATCGAAGGCAAATTAGGCTCTCCTGAGAAACCCCTTTCTGATCTGGGGCTTCTCTCATACCGACAATACTGGACTGAAAACCTCGTTGAGATTCTATTAGAATATAACGCCCGAGAAGAGCGATGTAGCATTGAAGCCCTTGCTGCACACCTGGCTATGACGCCGCAGGATGTGGAAAGCACACTTCAGGCTCTCAAAATGCAGGTCTACCATAAAGGAGAACACAAGATCGTGCTCCCAATGCATCTTATCAAGAAACATGAAGCCCTGAAGGAAAAGCAGAAGACGAAACCAAAGAGGACCATTGATCCGGCAAGGATACAATGGAAGCCACCGGTCTTCACGGCAAGTACTCGCACTTGGGGCTGGTAGGCTTTTTAATGAACCAACATTTATGGTATTTGTGGCTATTTGGAGTACAGGGAGTTGGGGAGGGTTAGCGGCTAGAGTCTTGTGTTAGAATTAATGAAACTTTATAAAATTTATTTTGAACTTAAGATAGAGATAACAATGCCTGTGAAGCTAAACAACTGAGACCCCTAAAAGCCGACCGGGACGAGGCTGAAGTCTCGCTTAAATATGCCACTAAAGGAGGGGCACAACTTGCACTCCGAGTCACCTCGCCGCCTCGCTTTCTCTTCAATTTCCACATCACCCTTCACCCAGACGCCGACCAAAGGACAAGAACAAGAGCCATGGCGGACAACCCACCTCCAGCAGAGCCCTCCAAGAGCGCTCTCAAAAAAGCCGAAAAGCAAGCGAAAATGGCCGCGGAAAAGGCCGCCAAAGCAGCGAAACAAGCCGCGCTTCCAATCGTGGGAGGGAAGAAAACCGACGATATAATTGGTATTACGGTCTCGAAAGCGGATAACTTCTCAGCATGGTATCAAGAGGTTGTGCTTAAAGCGGAAATGATTGAGTACTATCATGAAATTTCGGGATTCTTCATCCTGCGGCCTTCGTCCATGTTTATTTGGAACACAATCAGAAACTGGTTCCAGGAGCGCATTGAGGCTATGGATGTCGAGGAGGCTAGTTTTCCGATGTTCTTGTCCTCTAAGTCTTTAGAGAAGGAGAAGGATCATGTTGAGGGGTTTGCCCCCGAACTTGCTTGGGTTACCAAGGCGTACGTTCCCCCTCCACTCCCCTTGCGATCATAGATAGGAAGCTGATAAGGTATAGTGGTGATAAAGACTTGGAGGTTCCAGTCGCCGTCCGTCCTACTTCCGAAGCTGTCATGTATCCATACTATTCCAAGTGGATTCGAAGTCACCGCGATCTCCCTCTGCGACTTAACCAATGGAATAGTGTTGTTCGGTGGGAGGCTAAGCAGACAACCCCATTTTTGCGTGCGCGAGAGTTTTTGTGTACGTACATATGCTCTTGGAGCAGAATCTCCCTTCCTGGAATATTTCTAGGGTTCTGAGACATGCCTTTCTCTAACGACATGCCTATATCCTCCTGAATCATGTCCCAAAACTCATACGGCTTTCTTGAATGAACAATACTGACTCGGAATTCTTATAGGGCAGGAAGGACACACAGCACATTTGACAGATGCTGGAGCTGGAGAAGAGGTTCTGCAAATTCTCGAACTCTATGCGGGAGTATATGAACAATTGCTTGCCGTCCCAATTGTTCGTGGCCGGAAGACTGAGAAGGAGAAGTTTGCTGGAGGATACTACACCACCACAGTCGAGGGCTATATCCCATCCAACGGACGTGGTATTCAGGGCGCCACATCGCATTGCTTAGGCCAAAATTTCAGCAAGATGTTCGACATCACAGTCGAGGATCCCAGCCCAAAAGCAGGAGAAAAAGCCAAACATCTCTATGTGCACCAAAATTCGTGGGGATTATCAACCCGTGTTATTGGTGTCATGGTCATGATCCACGGCGATGATAAAGGCCTCGTCCTCCCGCCCCGAATCTCTAAGATACAAGCAATCATCATCCCCGTTGGCATCAACAAAAACACCACCCCTGAGGACAAAACCAAGCATTACGACAAACTGCAGGAACTTAAGACCACCCTTAAGAAAGCCGGTGTTCGTTCCGACTACGATATCCGCGACGGCTACACGCCTGCCTGGAAATTCAACGACTGGGAGCTGAAAGGCGTCCCCCTCCGCCTCGAGTACGGGCCAAAAGACGCTGCCAAGTCCGTCGTGTCCTTCGCGCGCCGCGACACCGGTGAGAAAGGCACAATCTCCATCGCTGACCTTGCGACCGAGGTGCCCGCACTCCTTACTACTATCCAGAACGACATGTACACGAAGGCCGAAGCGTCCTTCCGTGAGCACCGTCTTGTGATCACGAAGTGGGAGGAGGTCGTCCCTGCGTTGGATGCCAAGAACGTAGTCATCATCCCATTCTGTCTGGCCGAGAAATGCGAGGATAAGATTAAGGATCTGACGACCGGGAAGCCGGAGGAGGCCGAAGGGCCCCAGGAGTTGAAGGCGCCTAATATGGGGATGAAGAGTCTGTGTATTCCTTTTGAGCAGCCCGAGGGGATTGTCAGGGGGGAGACGAAGTGCTTGAATCCCGAGTGCGAGGCGTTCGCGGAGAAGTGGTGCATGTTTGGTAGGAGTTATTAAGAAGGCCAAACCGAATGAGGGGGCTGTGGAACTGTCTGTCTATGTCATGAGAGAAAGGAAATGCATAATGGAGTGGAGGGACCTGGCAGACTCTGGCAAACTGATGATGACTATCAAATGATGGATTTATGAAGGTCGTGATTTTGGGTGTCGGGGTTGGGGGGATTCCAATATGCTTTTGCTCGCTCTATGTGCAAAGGGGAAGTTTTTAAGAGAGCTCTTCAACTCGATTTTGCTAGATCCAGACTCTTAAGGAAGAGAAAATAAAATAAACAATAAACAAATGATAGATACCAGAGAAACAAAGCAAAAATCTGTATAAAATAAACGAATATACGTGAAATTCTTGTAATTTATTACGCATGTTGTTTTTTCATGAAACTTGTTCCAAGTTATTCTATTAAAGGGGAACCCCGTAGGCTATTAGTGTGAGATTTTTTAATAAATATCACACTACGTAGGTAAGGTAGGTAGGGAACATTCCCGTCCCCCTATCCCCTTCCCCTTCCCCAGAAAAGCTGACCGTCTAGAAATGAATGGGAATCGTGGCTTTTTGATCGCTTTCAACGCTTTTCCTGCTCTGCTCCCTAATTCCTGCCTGCGCTGCATCGCAAGGGCTATCCTATCCGTCCCCTTGTGGTTTTGTGGCCATAGACATTAGTTAGGGTGTTCCTGCTTGTGCAGTCCGTTTGCCCCCCATCGTCAAGTGCATCGTTCCGAACTTCTCGTTAGCCGATCTGAGGTTGTTCAGATAAAGTCGGCCGAGTACGAGAAGCCGCGGAATTCCTCTTGCATTGCCTGAGATAAGACTATGGTATTGTGTTAGCTTAGGTCCTGTGGCTTTTTCAGGTGGTGTTATAAACTTACCAGACTGGACAGGCGTTAGTACTGGAGTCACACTGGTGAACTCGGAATCGAAATTGCTCGTGTCTGTAGCACTTGTAATCTGAGGCTGGAAGGGCGGTTGAATCCTCTTGTGGTAGACATCATCCCAGTTGATGTTTCTGAAGAAGGGCTGGCTCATGATTTCTTGGGCATCAGTTGGTCCGCTTCCAAGACGCTGGTCAGGCTCTCTCGTGAGCAGCTTTTGAAGGATTGAAACGGAATCGCGCGGCATGTGAATAGGGTATAATGGCTCATCCGCAAGAATTGCGTCGTAGATTTCGTCTTCGTCTTCACCGCGGAAGGGAGATTGTTGGAGGAGCATTTGATAGATAAGAACACCAAATGCCCACCAATCAACAGCGCGCCCATATTTCTTGTCCAGCAAGATCTTAAAGAGTTAGTTGGTGTTTATAATGGGGCTAAAAATTAAGACTTACCTCGGGAGCCATGAATTCCGGAGTACCACAGAAAGTGCTTGTCGTAGAACCAAAATACATCTCTTCTTTGCAAAGACCATAATCCGCAATCTTGATGTGGCCATCTAGCGTCAAGAGAATGTTGTCCAACTTCAGATCACGGTATATAACGCCATTTTCATGGAAATACTTTAATGCTAGACAAACCTCAGCAGCATAGAACCTGAAGGAATTAGCATCAGGCCGGCCAGGGGAAGCAATTAGGCAACTTACTGTGCACGTTTTGTACCAAATTGACCCCGCTGAATATGTAACATAAGATCACCACCACTGATATACTCCATGACGAAGTAGACTCTAGTCTCTGTCTGGAAACAGGCATGTAGACTGAGCAAGAATGGATGCCGCTCCTTGTTCGCAATTAAGAATACTCGCTTTTCGGACCGGGTGCTCTCAACCTCATCATTCTCGATAATGAACTCTTTCTTTAGAACTTTGATGGCATACAGCTGCTTCGATTGTTTTGTTTCCGCAAGCATGACCTTACCAAAGTTACCTTTGCCGAGAACAGCTAGGAAATTGAAATGGTCCAAGCCAATACGACGGCCAGTTCCTGGTTCGTTGGCTGCGGGTGCAGCCTTTTGAGGGACCACAGCAGCCGATACAGAAGGCGGTGCTGGCTCTGATATTGGTGCTTGAGCTAGAGTTGGCCCAGGTGCATTGTAATACGCAGCGGTCGGGGTTTGTTGCTGCTGCATTGGCTGCTGCTGAGGTTGCTGGGCTTGCTGAGGCTGCTGTGGTGGATAACCGCCAATATTAACATACGCTGCTGGGTTGTAGGCTGGGTGCGAGGGGGCCTGGGGTTTAGGAGGTGCGCCATAATCTTCGGGATGGGCACCAAGTTGACCTGAGGGGCTATAGCCACCAGAAGACATCCCGCCAGTATAGTCAGTCGAGGCACGCTGGTACGGATCTCGTTGAGAAGATGTTCGCTGCCCAGACATCGCGGCACTAGCAGCAGCCATCGCCGATGAAGAGGACGACCGATCAGCACCGGGCGGCCTTTGAGGTGACGTTTGACCCTGGGAATACATTGTCTTTGCTGCCTCCGTGGCTTGGGGGGACGATGCCGGCAAGCTTCCAAAGGAGTTGATCCTATCCGGGGCGACTTGCTGAGCACCAGAGTCAGTAAGCTGGCCTTGCTCTGGGGTCCTGCCAGACTGTGGTCGTAAAGTACGGCCACTCATTGTGGGTTGAGCTGTCTGTCGTCGCTTTTGATTTCGGATACCGTCAAGAATCACATTAGCAACGGCCATCGACATGCCGCAGAAATCTGGGACAAGGTGCACACATTGGGCGTGACAAGTAAGACTGCATTCTACACAGCGTTAGCCAGATCATCCATCTCGTCCGAACAACGTCAAACATACCAGAACATTTGCGACAATTCTTCTTGCCAAAAGGCAAGATATAACCACAATGGCAGCACCAATTCGCACTCATATTCGAAAACTTCTCGAAACGATGAGGAATACGATGATTGATCTTCTCCTCGTCAGGATCCGTCTCGGCGTTGGACTTGCTTATGCATTTCGTGACAACACTTGAATAGCACTTAGTATGGCAAGTATATTTGCAGTCCTCGCACTGCATGCCAGCAGAGTACTTGAGGAAATCGCCACACAAGGCACAACGCATGATGTTGTAGAACTGTTGCTGCACGAATTTGTGTCCGTACATCTCATGAACCTCCTCCTTGCGTTGTCGTATAGCTCCTTTTCTGTTAAGTCCAACATCGAAGGGTCTGCGGTCTTTGGCTTGCTTGGTAAAGCTTATGGTTAGATGTACGGCACCAGTGGGCTCAAGGGCAAACCACGCGTCAATAGGCTGAGGAGCTACTACAGCATTAGGAGCTCCCATCATAGGATTTGGCCCACCGCCTCCGGAACTTTGTGGAGGGGCGCCATATTGAGGCTGCGTAGGGTTCATATTAAACTGAGGGGGTGGCATGCCTGGCATACCACCACCACCACCATCCGCCATTCGATCCGCAGAAACCCAGCCAGAACTATTGATCTCGGCCTCGATTTTCTTGCGCCGCATCTCTTCAACGATATCGGATAATCTGATCCACAAGAGACCAATGGGCAGAGGGTGGTCGCTGGGCTTATCGTAGACAGTAAGCTCGATCTCGTTCGCCTTCTCCACATTTATATTGTGAAATTCGTTGTCCCATCTATCAGTCCGGGACGTCTTTGTGCGTGCCACAACGTTGTCTTCAACCTTGAGAGCAACGAACGTTTCCGGGCCCCGGGCAAACCGGCCGGTCGTAGCATGATCAACATCCTTGACAGCGTGTACCCGTACCGTGAGAAGTCCTGTTAAAGGTTTTCGCATATTTGGTGTATTTATGCTGTCGTCTAGGAAAAACACAGTTTATTATCGCTGTCTGGAAAGGAGTATCAAGCCAAAACTTACCATCTGGGGCATCTGCTGTACTCTCCATATCAATATGAAGATCCTCGTACCGTTTGAGCGCTTGCTTGAGAAGTTGGATTTTCTGATTGCTCTCAACTCTCCGGCCTGCAGCATCTGCTCGACTCTTTCTATCCCCCTCCATCTGGTACAACTGGACCATTTTCTCGATACCCTTGAGATATTGCTTTTCGACATTGAGTTTGAATTCGAGTTGTGACAGCATAAGCTGGATCCGAGGGCCCAAATGGGGAGTATCGTATTTGATGAGATCTGCATTTTATACTTAGCACGGCCAAACACACATATCAACCACGCAACTAACCAAGCTTTGTAAAATTCGGACGTGATTTTGGCATGCCAGTGCCAGGCCCCGGCGGGGCGTAGGGATGTCTAGGAGGCATCATATCACCATGTCCCCCAACCTGCTGGTAGTCTTGCTGGCCATAGCCGCCTCTATCTCCACCGGCTTCCATATAACCACCTCTTGAGTCTTTTGGAGGCGGCGCAGGCGGGGCATCTCTGTCGTTCCGGAGTCCAGTACTGTGAGGTCTACCTTGGCCTCCACCGCCTGAGCCGCCAGAGCCGCCAGATCCCATACTCATGTTGTCCACGCCTTGTCCCAACCGGCGCATCTGTAGTTCTTGCATCCGTTCTTCCAGATACTGGATGTTCCGGCGGCCCTCGCGCATCTGGGTGTCTATCCTGGCCCTGACCTGCTCATTCTGTGTCTGCTGCCTCATCTGGTTGGCGGCATTGAGCAGAGCCCGCTCGCGCTCGATCTTCTTGTAGACCGAGCTGAGGGCGTCGTCGTCATTATTCATGATTGCGGAGGTGGGCGCGCGACTCTTCACGGCGCGCCGCGCAATAGGGGATTATTGCTGTTGCTGTCGGTGTTATGAGGAAACACCAAAGGGGTCGTGTGGGTTCGGTGTATTTAGGAGTATATAAGAGTATTTAGGCGTAGGTGGAGGTGGAGTTGGAGGTGTAAATAGCGTCGTGGTCGTCTGTCCGTCACCTAGATAGCGAGCCTGGGAGCTGGAAGAAGTGGGGTTGTCGACGGCTGATTGTTTCGTTTTCAGTTAGAGATCTGGGAGATTGGGATTGGCGCGGGAGCACCAGGTGCGAGAATGGAGAATGGAGATTGCAGTAGAGAACGGTCCCTTCGCTATGAGCCCGCGATCAACACACGAAATGCAGATGTCGCGCGGTGGGGGAAGATCCCTCGTGCTGTGTTTCGAGCTATTGTTGGTATATTTCTGATTTTGCGCCCACACGCGAGCGGGGAGGAGAGGAGGGGGATATTCTTCAGGAGCAAGCTGAGCTGTTTGTTCTGCTGCTGCTTGCTGGGCTGGGCGTAAGATAATAATCCGTGCTTAGCCACCCTAGCAAACCCGCCTTTGAACGGTTACCTGGGCAGGACTTCGTACATGTACATGGGCTTTGCAACTGCGAGATGCCCGAGCATGAACGAGAGACCGCGGAGGAGCTGGGAACTTGCGCAATGAGGCGCAGGGTTGCGGTTTGGAGTGGTGGAGTGGTGAAGCTGTGGAGTGGTGGTGGAGTTTCGAGTTGCCCAACACGCAGACAAAGACGAGTGAGTATATTGAGCCTGGGCTTGAGAAAAGATTCAAAGGACCGAGGGAGCAGGATAGCAGGATAGCAGTATCAACATGGGGTTACCCGGTACAAATAGCCTTTGGATTCTTGTCTTTGGTGATTCCACATTCCAGCAACCCATTTACTTCACTCGATCGGCAAAACATTGATTGCATAATAACATGGGAAGACAAGTACAGGTACTTCGCACAGGTATAGATAGGCACAAGTAAAAGCTAGCATGAATGCTATTGTATTACGAAGTACACTATCAAGTTAAGTCCCTGACTCTCCATTGTCCCCGCCATCAGGGATCCCGTTTTTTGTTTACTTTTCGGTTCTTGTATGTACTAGGACTTCGCTGACTTGTGCTACTTTGTATTTACTGGATGTTCCCCTCACCACATTGTGCGAGAATCTCCCGATATGTAAGAGCGATTACATAGGGGGTTCCGTCATCCGGCCAGGGGTCAAATTCCTTATCATGCACAATACGATAACTTGATATCAAAAACAAAAACTTGTACTCTGTATATTCACTTCAAAATTCACACAGACTTCCGTTGATGTTTCATTATATCAAAAGGGGCGTCGTGCATGATGGGGATACCTGGTACTTGGTACTTAGTACTTCAGGACTTCATCAGGACTTCAGGACTTCATTCACGACTTCGCAGGTCGAAAAGCAGGGGCGCCCAAGTCCTTCAGCCACACACGAACAAGGTAGCCTCATCTTGAAATTGAAGAATGGAAAACGTCGTTAGTCTATATATCTACATCACCGCTAACATCTTACGATGTGTACTGGCTCTTTAGCAGCTTCGCAATCGTCGTCAGCTGGATATTGCTAGTTCCCTCATAAATAGCCCCGATCTTGCTGTCTCTCCACATCTTCTCCGCAATGCCCTCTCTCACGAATCCCATGCCTCCCATCCATTCAATAGCCAGGCCGCTGACCCGGCCAGCAACTTGGGATGCATAGAGCTTAGCCATGGCAGCATCCTGGACAAAGTTCTCACCCGCCTCCTTCTTTCGGGCGGCGTTGTAAACCAGTGCTCGGGCCGCTGCAATTTCCGTATAGGACTGCGCAATCTGGTGCTGCATGCCCTGGAAATCGCCCACCAATTGGCCGAATTGCTTTCGGTCATTCCAAACATATCTAGATCAAATAATGTTAGCATGTTTGCCATTGCAGAGACCAACTTAATCGTGCTAAGACTTACTTGGCGGCGTTCTCGAAGGCACCAAGTGCAAGTCCAGTCATTTGGGCTGCGATGCCGATTCGTCCCTCATTCAGCAGTGAGATGGCATATTTATAGCCCTGTCCCTCCACGCCGAGCAGATTCTCCTTGGGGATTTCCACATCGTCGAAGTTGAGAACACACGTGCTGCTAGCCTTGATGCCGAGCTTCTTCTCCTTCTTGGCGATTGAGAATCCCTTCGTGCCCTTCTCGACGATGAACGCGGTAATGCCCTTGTAGCCCTTGCTAACGTCTAGGTTCGCAAACACAATGAAGAAGTCTGCCTCCATAGAATTGGTAATCCACATCTTGCTTCCGGAGATCTTATATCCCGAATCGGTTTTAGTAGCCTTGGTAGCAAGGGCGAAAGCATCGGATCCCGAGATTGGCTCGGAAAGACAGAAAGAGCCTGTACTATCAGCAACGCGTCCATAACGCTGCTAGACAAGATCACCTACCAACTGTGTTTGTAGCAAGTCGTGGCAACCACTTCTTCTTCAACTCGGCACTACCATAATTCAACACCGCCGTATTGACCAGCGTATTATGCACATCGACCATAACACTGACACTAGGGTCTACTCTAGCCAGCTCCTCAATGCCCACAATAGCAGCCGTGAAGTTCATCCCGGCGCCGCCGTACTCCTCAGGAATCTCGACGCCCATGAGTCCCTGCTCGAATAGTTGCTCAACAACGGTGGGATCCATAGCCTCATTCTCATCCATCTCTCGGACCTTTGGCGCTATGACCTCGTTTGCGAATTTGGACACCGAATCTGCCATTGCCGTTTCTATCTCGGACAGGTGCGTGATGGGCGTGGGCGGGATTTCCGTAATGTCAACAGGGTCATTTCGTCGGCAGGTGGTTGTGGATAAGGGTCTCGCACTGGATTGATTAGGATCGTAAGCTTATAAGACCCTATACGTGGGATGTTGGCGAAGGACTTACTGGTGGTATATTCTGCTGGGACGAGCAGTTCTCAAAGCAGGGCGAGCTGTCGAAGCTGCCCTTTGGGCCACTGGCCGCAATGCTTTCACAATGGATGCCATGATCGCGTTGTTGGGTTGTGGAATGGAGAAGAGGATTATAATGGAGACCCCGAGATGTTAAGAGACGAGGATGGAAAGTTTTGATCAAGGTTTAACCAAAATTCCCCAGATATGCAGGTCACATAGCGGTCTGCACGCCTTGAACTCTCGCTCGTCCCTCCCTCCCTTCACACATGATCATGAGCCGTTGCAAACCGGAGTTTTGGTTGCGGACCGAGCCTCGGCAGAAGTTCCGGTTTCGGTCACCATTCCTTGTACCAGCAACGGTCTTGCGACTTCAAAATGGTACTTTATCCAAGTAATAATATAGAGTTCATGGGTTATAATATAGTATGGGAGCTGGATATCTCCGATTGCGGAGCCTCGCTGATTTAATGCAGCAGATATCAGTATCTGCACGATATATTTCGTTGATTGTCACATGCCATTTAAGCTAGAAATCTGACATGAAAGGGCTGGCAACTCTACCTTTACCTAGAACATAACCCAAAGGGTTTAAATGTTGTGAATATTTAGGTATAGTTGAAACGTTTAAGAGTACGTCATCGTTAAAGGAGCTTTTCCCGTCTAACATTTTTAACCGCGAGGAATCATTCACTTAATATAGGAGGGTGCAAGATCTTATAACCTAATTAATTTAGTAAGTCTCCCTCATCTCTATCAAATTATTATAGCCCCGTACTCCTTTTATAGACAGATTTTAATTATAGATATCAATGCACGCCGCACGCTGACAAGCATTAAACAGGGCCAACCCCTCCCTCGGGACACCAAAACCACGACCCATGTAAGACGACCGTAACATATAGAAAATGCCTCCAGAGTTTAGACTCTTCAGAAGATGTCTACTCGGCCCTCTTCCTAGGATTGGGCAGGCAGAACCAGCAGATCAACATAACGCCAAACAGTCCAATGGCAATAGGATGCAACACAAAAGTACCCACAGCCTGAGCTAAGATACCAGTTGTAAATGGAGCAACAGCACCGCCAGAGCTTCCAAATGCACTAATAACGCTCAAACTACTGACTTGTTCCTTCCGTCCGATTGCTCTGGAGAAAACAATAGTTGCGCAGGGGAAGACCGGTCCGAGCAATAATCCAACAATAGCCACAGCCACGGCGTTTCCAATGACGTTAGGAACTAGCCATACGAGCAATTCGAAGACTGCAGCTCCAACAACAACGACGTAGACGAAAACCTTCTCTCCTATTTTCTGGGCCGGATGAGAGAGTAGGAATCGTCCGAGCGTGATACCTGCCCAGAACCCAGCGGTTACATATCCAACAGTAGCAGGGTTTCCGTGACGAGCATTGATAAGGAAAGAAATCACCCATCCAGAAATAGACACTTCAGCTCCTTGGTATGCGAAGACAAACATTGCGCCCAGAATGACGGTCTTCGATTTAAGCGCTGTTGATAGGCTGGCGAACTGTCCTGGCGGCTTGATTTGAGAAGCTGAGGCATCCTGGCCGGTAGCAATAGCTGGTGCCAAGGGCGTGCGAAGCGGCTGGCCAGATTCTGCTTCATAGTGCCAGAATGACCAACCTGCGAATCCAAGGTTGGCGACCGCTATGCCTAAGGGAATTAGGTAGAATCGAGTCCATATGAGGACACCAGGACTAATCATGGCAGTTGCTATAAGAGGTCCCACCGTCCCACCAATCTAGTGTTGTCAGCGAGTGTTCAAAGGCAAGTAAAATCGAATTGTCTACTGAAATAAATAAGACATAGATGGGCGTAGCCCGGATAAGATGAATAGAAAAGATCTTCTCGGCATGGCCCGGAATATATTTTGAAAGATCACTTGAAAGCGGCCAAGTTTGTGTCATGTAATTGATACGACAGGACCATACACACGCAAAGACTGAAGGAGAAATAATTCATAATTCGACCTACCCCATAAGTGCCATGCATTATACCTAGCATGCCCGTTCCATTCTGCAAGTTAGCTGCAAAGACTTGTCCCATAGCCAAAGTGAATGCCATGCCTAGTCCCAGCAAGAAGAATGCTGCGACAATGGCAGGGAAGGGTGGCGAGCAAGCGATCATTATATATCCACAAGTGATGAGAGTTTGTGCAATCATAAGCGTTTTAGCTCTGCCTATGCGAGCACGAATAGCATCAACAAAAAAAGCAGCCAAGATAAATCCGGCAGCATTTGTGACGAAAATAAGCGATACAATGGCATAGCCAATATTATAATGTCTGACAAATGTCAGCAGCTTCACTCAGTTTGGGGAGACAAAAAAATTACTTTTCCATATAAGGAATCAGCGCACCGGGGGCCGAATCGTTCAGCCCATTTCCAAACTGCATCATGCAGACAGCGAGCATTCTGTATCTATTCATGGGTGGGTTGGAGAAACTCTGCACGACATCCACGCCTTCGAATTCATGTTCTGGACTTGGAGGCCTGCTCATCTCAGGGTCGTTGAGGAGCCTAGGGGACTGTGTGCCCGTTGGAGGAGTAGCCCCCGGGTCAGAAGGGCTGCTACGCTTCTGTCCCCACTGAAGATTATCAAGTTCCAAAACATCTATCGGATAAGGAGCCGAATGGTACACTCGTGGGAGCACATTTTTTGGGGCCGCTGGTATTGCGTGTTGTTCCGTTTTTGGCTGGGAAGAGTCCACATCAATAAACGCACCGAAAGCTTGAGAAGACATTTTTGCTGAAATCGCCACACGGGAATCCGGAGAGTTGAGAACGCTACAATGGGGAAGTGGGAATAAATCAATCAAATAGAAAGGGAAACCCTCACGATAAGAGACGTGAAGCCCCAACTGAGGAGGGCTCAGGCTGTGAAATATAAAGGAATACTACAGTAGTGGATTGTGAAAAAAAAAGTCGGATCTGGTGACAATATAACTTATAAATATATGATAAATATTGGGGGAAAAGACCAAGTCGGGAAAACTCCGGGACTAAACAGCGGACCGATAAGAAGGAGGGGGCGATTATGTAACTTTCGTATAGAAATACAGTAGCGCTCACAGAGGAGCAGAAGACGCGTTCCAGAGTCCAGAGTCCAGACCAGCCGGGAATAATAGCTGATTGTTGGCAATGCGTGGTATGCAGCCATTGATCCACCGTGGCTGCTTTGAAATCACTGTAGAAGTGTGATCTCGCCCACATCGGATGCACGAAGTACTTTGTACTAGAGCATTTTATTATTTATATCATTCGTCGGGTAACCTTCCTCTCGGCGTCTGTCGGAAATACTTTTTCCCTAGTGTCCGCAACTTTTGTGGAAATTCTGAATGCTTGTAGAACCATCTTCAATTCTCGGTTTGGAAAGGACCAGTATTTGCGCTCTTGTTCAGGACTTACGACGATTCAGTAGTTGCTTTGCAAACCCTTTCGCCACCCATCCCAGTTTACCTGCTAAACGCAGAGCCATGGGCCGTCCAAAGCGGAATGTCATCGCCGCGGCCGATGAGACGTCTACACCGCCTTCAAGCTTGACCAATACTCAATCGATTGCCCGTGTCGTCAAGGCGGAAGGAAACAGCCTTTATACCTGCTCTCTCCCAAACGATAAGACGGTCCTCGTGGAACTCCCGTCACGATTTCGCAACGCGATCTGGATGAAGCGGGGCGGATATGTTCTGGTCGATACCAAAGATGCTGATATAAGGCAAAACAAGATCGGCGGCGAGATCATAAACGTCGTCCGTGACGAGCATAAATGGCGAAAGCAACCGTACTGGTAAGCATCATATCTTAGTAGCAATCCAAGATGCCTTCGCTGAACAGAATTGGAACCAGGCCCAAGGAATATCCGAAGACCGCTGTATATGTCGACTCGGATGAGGAGGAATCCACAGTTGGCAAGATGCCCCCGTCTGACGATTCAGAAGATGAATGATCAAGGATCAGTTGGTTGGACAGTTATATCGATTTCTTACTCGCAGCGCCCTCCCCTTTAGCATGCACAAAGTCCTTGCGTGTTCCCCACCAGATGCTCGCAACAGTGACGGATAGCATGCCGACAACAACCATAGAGCTAGCATCAGTACTCGGATAGACATTCCAGGCCCATTCCTGAGCTGCCCACAGGATGTATTGGAGGATTGGGTGCATGCCGCTTCGCCAGAGGAGGAAGGGCGTTGCCAATGCTATATAGGCATAGAATTGGTAGTGCAACGAGCGCGCAAAAAGCATGCCGATGGCATTGGCGGTCAAGATCGTCGTCAATATGTAATTCGGGCTTATCCGAATAGAAATGGCATGTTGCATGTTCTCCAGTGGTGCTTCCAACCTCAAGGCATTGGCGATAAGCTCGGTCACTGGCTTCTCAGCAGGCTTTAACCATCTCGTCGTAATGAAGAGCACCAAAGTGCTAATGTGCCCAACTAACAACGCAACCGAGAATTCCTTGCTTAGGAAGGTTTCCTCACCCACAAATCTCCAATTGACAGTCCACTTGAACAAAAAGAGTCTCGAGAGCTCAAACGCTCTTCCTAAATAACCAAGTAAATATTTTGAGAACGGATATGCAAGTATGATTTGGATCTGGAGCATCAGCCATGCCTGCTTGACGCTGGCCTGGACACCTCTGACTAGGAAGTGCATTACCCCAATTGCCGGAAGAGCAAGTAGTAACGACATCTTGATACCCAATCCCCAGCTGTATGTCAAACTCCCAAGTGTCCACATCCGGCGCTGGAAAGCATAAATGGCGACCCAGAGGAAGAAAACCGCGAAACAATCGTTGAATAGGCGTAGAATGAAAATGCTATGAAGGCGTTTCGAAAGGATGAGCAAGGGGAATATATAAAGGGGTGCCTGTACACAGATAATGAAGCTATTAGTAAACTGTCACCTATTAAGCAGTAGTTGTGCCCGGAAGCATAAATAACTACCTTTGCCCTCCTATAACACGCCATAACCACAGCAATCGTAGCCAGATAGAGGACACCAAAAATGCGCTGCGCAAGTAGGATATCCCTTCCTTTACTTGTAATATGATACAATGCCCAGTAAATATACACATGTGCAGCAGGGTACACCAGCGGTCCTGTGCCGCCTTTGATCTTGGTGTAATCGCGTTCCCCATGGATATACTGCTCGATTTGCTCCATATATGCCTTCCAATCAATCTCGGTATCTATGAAATACTGTATTAAGATGCTATAAAAGGCTCAGACTAAGTGGCGACTTACATGCAACCTTGGAAATAATCAAACTGCACAGCAGCGCGTCAAGGAGTAGGAGAAGGGGGGCGCCATATTTCGACAGCGGATGAGCGCCCAGCGCGAAATCCTTCAGTCGGCGAAGGACAACAACATGTCGCGGAGTTTCATTTTCTCTAGACATTATTATTATTCTTTGCGTTGCTTGGAGGGTGCAGTTGAGAGAATGGGACAGCGGTGGAAGGACAGAGTAGGAATTAAGATTGGAATTGGAGCTCTGGACTTGAAGCTCCCCCGAGACAGGGCAATGCGGACGGGCTTCGGCAGGAGGTTGCACAGCAGGCGAGACAGCTCTTCACGTTGTTGTCTTACACGCACTCCTCCGCATCGTCCAAACCCCCTACAATTACAACTAAGGGGTTCGTATATACGTACAAAGGGCATAATGTTTTCTTTACGAACTTTCCCGGCTCGAAAAGCAGCCACATCACTCAGCGTACGATGTGTGACACTCTCCCCTCGAGCCTTCACTACTGCCCGGAATACCAAAGTCTCTATCACAAATTCAACATTGCCTCTCCGACGCACTTCCTTTCTTCATCATTCCAGATTACTACCGTTACAATCTTCGCGCAGTTATGCGGCTAAATCCTCCGCCGACGGCCTAATCGAGGAAATCCAAGACCAATACGCAACCGCACGCGACGAATTCGAGATAGCGACTGAAGAAACAGAAAAGAAATCTCTATATGCGGAAGGTGACCGAGCCGCGGCAAGGGAGGAGCTGGATAAATTAAAGGCGATGTATGATTCTGCGTTGATGGGGGAAAATGCGGAGGAGATACGTGGGAGGATTGGACACAGGATCAGGGAGTTGGATCAGGCGGTGCAAGCATTAGAGAAGGCTGGAACGGAAGATTAGATGGGGTATGATATGTATGATATTGGATATATGCCATGGTATAAGGGCTTAAAGATAGCATTGAAGGCATTTGTATGATGAGGATTATTTGGACTCTCTTTGAGGTTGGAACATTTGAAATGTTGTCTATTTGCGTATGCAATACGGCATAAACTTTATATACCCATCAGAAATCTATAGTCTATATGTACCTTCTATACCAGATATTCTAGCACTTTCTATTTCTTTCCCTGCTTGAAATTCTCATAGCCTTCTGCGGCCACCTTAACAACGTCTGTCTTCCCAGCCACGATATCTTTGACGGTAGCCAATATCGATGAGAAGTCCTCAAATACTGTAAATGGGACATTTTCCCTCGCACAGTAGGTGACCAAGTCTATAACATCAACCTATTAGCAAGTGTTTACTCCATTAGGGGTTTCAGGAGGACTTACCACGTCCTTGCTTTGCGAATAGCAAGTCTGTTTCCTTAGCAGCAGACAGATCCGAGACTCCATCTCCAGCGTAGAACATGACGGGTCGGACGCTCTCCGGTAGCTGTGCGTATTTTCGGATCTCAATTGACTTGTCATGTCCGAAATGGCTATTTTCTCAATGTCAGCGCTTTCTTTTATATGTTTCACAAGAAAACCCACCTATCGTCATGGAAGACAATATTCCATCCTCCCTCTTCATTGATGCTCTTCTCGCCCCTAGGTGTAACATCATTGCTCACAATCTGGATATCCTCGGCTTCCTTCCCCAGGAAATTGACCAACAGGGCTCTAATGATTGGCGCCATTCCGCTGCTCAGGACCACCACAGGGACATTATTCTCTCGGCACCAGGTATAGAATTCCTTGAAGTAAGGGTCTAATGTGACGTTTTCCAGCAAATATTTGATGCACTCGTCGTAAGGTGTCTTAACGCTGTCAAGCATTCCTTGGAAGGAGCTGCGGAACGACTCCTTATCAGCCAACACTGCGGCGTTTGACTCCTTCCGTAACCTTTCTCCATATCCAAGGTTGTCTGTTAGGAAGTCATTGGAATCTTGCAGAGTGATCGTCCCATCGAAGTCGCTGAAGAATATGAATTTGGGATTCGTCTTCATCCCGTCGAGGAGAGTTGGGGAGGCTGACATATTGAAGGATTGAGTGGGTGGTTGTGGTAGGTGGTGGATGTATGTATCTGGACAAGCTGTTAGAGTTGTTTACTTTAATAAATACGTCTTCAGAACTAGACTATCTACCATGGGTATATATGCATAAGTGGGGGAAGGCCAAGGACAATAATTGTTAGAGATATTATTTACCGGGAAGTGGCAATCGTACCGATTCAATGCAAAAGAGGGAAGGAATATGAATAGAGAAGAAAAATAACTCGCGCCCGTATACTTTCAATCGAAAAGATCTCTAATAATAATTTCCCAATTCTATTCCTAGGAGCTTAAAGGAAAAACGACTGAAGTGATGGTGGGGTAGAAAATGTATTTGCAGTACACACGCAAGGCCACACCCCACCAACGCGGTGAAGGCCAAGCCGGCAAGACATCATTTCGCACGGGGAGTCGGAGATAAAGTGTCCAACCTCACAAAAGCTTCAACGGCAGTTGGCCAACATCAACGTCCACATCGACGTCCAGAAGAGCGGCCATGAAGCCACTGGCCCGAGTCGTCCCAAGGCTCTTCCTCGACTCAATTCCATTCTCTACGTCTACAACTCCAAGAACACTCCGAATATTATCGTCACACCGAGCTCCCTTCCGCCCATCAATATCAACCTGCCTACAATGTAGAATCCGTACTCAAATGCAGATACGGCGGTATGCCGATTTGCCCAACCAAACATCAAACCCTCCACCGCCTCCTCCTCCAAGAGCTCAAACTCAGGAAACACCTTCTACATCCCAATCCAAATCCAATCCGCCAGAAGAAGACCCATCCGATCTCCCCTCCGCAGAAGACGGCCGGCGAAGCGCGCTCACAAAACGCTTCTCCCACGTTATGGACCACCTGCAAGGCAACCTCTTCATAGCCTCCCAACGCATCAATGACCTAACGGGCTACTCGGGCATCGAAGCCCTAAAATCCAAGATCACCGCCCTCGAAAAGCAATTACAAGAGGCGCAGGAATCCGTCCGGTCTTCGCGCATTGTGTACAAGACCACCATAGCAGACAGGGCATCAACGCAGCGTGAAGTAACCGGATTGCTGGCGCGGAAGGATACATGGACGCCTGTGGACCTGGAGCGCTTCACGGCGCTGTATCGCATGGATCATAGCAATGAACAGGCGGTGCAGGAGGCTGCTACGAGGTTGGCGGATGCGGAGAGGGAGGCGGAACATGCGGCGAGTAAGCTCAGTAGTAGTATTCTTAGTCGGTACCATGAGGAGCAGATTTGGAGTGATAAAATTAGGAGGATGAGTACTTGGGGCACTTGGGGGCTTATGGGGGTTAATGTGCTGTTGTTCTTGGTGTTCCAGTTTGGGTTTGAGCCCTGGAGACGGAGGAGGTTGGTCCATGGGTTCGAGGAGAAGGTTAGGCAGGCTTTGGACCAGGAGAAATTGGCCAATGCCGAGAGGCGCGATGCTGAAAGGCAAGCGGAGGTACCATTAGATGGGATCGTTGCCTCGGGTGTACAAAGGTTGGAGGAGGAGCTGGGAAATACAGATATAGCCCGGAATGAACTTGGGCAGCCGGGCATAGATGTGTCGGACGAAGCAGCTGCTCTCGACGTGGCAGAATTGCATGTGCCCAGGTCTGCGATGAGATTTACGAAACCAGAGACCTGGAAGGCCACGGCGCAAGATCTCGTCAGTGAACGAATTGTGCAGATGCGGAAACGAGATATCACGATTATTGCACTAGAAGGCGCTGCTACGGGAGCGACTATTGTTGCTATTATTGCCACTCTACTTCGCCCATCGTAGGCGAAGATGTATAGAACGATACTGTTAGAATATATACTGTAGATAGACGAAGAATACCCAATCATGCTTCTCCATCCTAGTACGCGTCCTTTCTGTGTTTGTAGCTGGGTACCGGAGCCATTTTGGGAGCGTTCATAGACGTCCGAATTGGAGTACCAGCTTGGAGCGTGAAATCTGTCAAATGGGCCCCTGAAGACTGTTGAGCCCAGAGTTCGATGGCCAACCAGTTCTCGCCGTGATAGTTAAGTATACCTGCAATTAATCAGCTTTGTACCGTAATACCAGGGGGCAACAGTTAGATTTACCTTGAGGAACAGGGAACTCGGATTGCGGCCCAATATTGTTCGCATACTTTCCAAACTGGTATCCATTGACCCATAACTGTGCCCTGTAGTCCGCAACAACGTTATTAATTGTCGTGTTCCCGAATTTGAAGCTGAGAGCGATATCATAATTCTCAGGCAAGTCCAAGTCAAAGCTAGTTTGGTAAAATGCAATGCCAGCTTTGTCGATGCCCGTCTCAGGGTTTCCTGCGACCCATTTCTCATTCGGTGGATTAGGTTGTGTGAAACCCTGACGTTCGGCATATAACCCGCCTTCATTCAAGGGTCCACGTGCTTTGTCGATATATGACTCCCCGCCCAGGTTTCCCGTCAATTTCCATGTAATGTCAGATTGTGCTCGCCCATTAAGAGAGTAGTTGAGGATTCCACGAGGGTGCTTCATCTCATCTGGGCCGACGACCCAATTCTCATCCAGGCCATTGTTGTCTACGACGACAGTGAAGACGTACGACTTTCCAGCTGAGAGGTTAGGGAGGGTATAGCTTGCGCTATGTGCGGTGGCGGCGTCTATTCCTGCCCAAGAGCCAATATATGTTGAGTTTAGCCACACTGAAGAGCCGGAAGCACTTCCTCCTTGCGTCGTAATCTTGAATGTTGACTCGTCTCCTTTGGCTACGAAATGGCCACGGTAGACCAGGACTCCGGTATGGTACCCGTAGTCGGAGGAGAACAACGATGTTGGTGTCTGCAAGGTATATGGGTTGTTGGATGTAGTATGGCTGGCCGCCGTCCATGCAGAATCATCATAGGAGGTTTGAATCTCTGGAAGGTTGTCCAGGTACTTCCAGTCCAACTTCGACAAGTCAGGTACGCTAAGCTTGGGAGAAGCGTATTTAAGGGTAGAAGACAATTCTCCAGTTACTGAATCAGTTGTGAAGTCCAGTTTGTCATTGTTGAAACGGAGTTCCTTGGTGTTGGCGGGCGCTCCGATCACTTTAATTGGTACCGTAGCATTGAGGTCGCCGTCAATGTTCAATACATTCCCTTTAATAGATACTGAGCGCACGAGGTACCCTGCTTCAACAATCACTGATGACCTTTTACCCACGTTTGAGGTGCTGCTCGTTCATTAGCTGACTATACATACCACGAGGAAATCACTTACTAAGTGCCCCATTCATCAGTCCTCGCGAAATCAGGAACCCAATAGTTGTAGGCAGTGTTGCGGTCCAGGATATACACTAAGACATCACCTACCTGTACAACTTGGCGGGTGGTAGACGTCTTCCAGTTCAGAATGACAGTGCCCTTGGCAGATTTGGCGGTGACTCCGCTGCCCTCAACCTGTTTTGCTGTGCTATCCGTGACAATTGCTAGCTCATGTTGTTCACCTGGCCCGCCGTAGACAACTAACACTGTCTTCTTGTCGAACTTCTTCCAAGTAAATATTTCAGCTGTAGAGTAAAGGAGGTTGGTTCCGCCCAAATCGTAGTCAGTTGCATGCCATTTGGAATCTCTGCCGCTTAATGTCAAACTGCCATCTAGCTGAGGGAGCGAGAGAGTTCCATGGCTGGTTTTCAGGTTCATTTTGTATGTTGCGGATGTCGTTTTCTGGAAGTCACTATGTCTGACCACGCTATGAAAAACCAATGTTAGCAAAGGTATGGCTGGGTTTGTAGGACGTTCATACTAGAAGTTTGTAGCGCTTCCATTGCCCAATATTGGAGTGGTGAATATCGTTGAGGAGTCCGAATAGCTTCCCGTCACACCCTTGCCAACTGATGCCGTCAGGAACGCTGGAGAAACCTTGAGAAAGTTTGCTTCAAGCTTCAGCTCGCTGTATTTCTCTCGATTTATTTGGCGATTTTCATCGATACTGGAGCCATAGTCATAACTTGTATAGCCACCTGCATGACCTAGATTTCCCCAGTTTCTAAAACATAAGTCAGCATTTGAATATTTTCATGGACCGACTTTATCTGCCCAAGACTTGGATGCTGTTTGCTCCGGGAAGGGCTGAGGGGAATTCTCTGAGAGAGCTACATACGTTCCGCCATCTATCACAAAATTAGTCTATATTCATTGATAACCCATATTATACGATCGTTAAAAACTTACAGATCATATAAATGTTCAATAAAGTAGCACCAGAAGCAAAATTATTTTTATAGAAAACCCGTTCGAACTCCATATTCAGTAGGACAGAGCATTGAGCAAAACCCTAAACTTTGTTAGTTTAATCTGGAGAGAGAACTAAGGGTACATTATGACATACAAGCCCACCCCATGGATCAAACGAACCGCCCTGAAACTCCATGATAGAGTAGAGAGTAGCGGGACTTTGATCCTCATGGGTTGCATGCCAGTTGGTTGGGAGAGCTCCGGAAGGCCAAGTGTAAGGATGGGCGCAATCGAATCCCAAGGGATAGCCGTCATGAGCGTAAATATCGACATTGGCTTCAGCGGTTCCGTTAGTGGTTTTGCCAGGTGCAAAAAGTCCTTTCGGAGCTATTATCATTAGTACTAGAAGATTCGGTATCCCTTAGCAACCACTTACAGGCGTCATTGCTAATCAATGGTACAACAACTCCCGCATCCCTAAGCTGCTTCTGAACGTAGGCAAAAAATTCGGGATCAGGGAACCCCCCAGTCACCTGTCCGCTTGCCCCTGTGTACTCATTCTCCGGTTGAGCGAGGATAACAGGGCCACCGTTTGTGATCTGTGCTTTGGCAATTGCTTTACCAATGTGTGCCATGTAGTTGTCTGTTGCCTCGAGGAAATCAGGCGCCCGGGTTCGGAGCTGGCCTTTAAGGCGTTGTATCCAGCCCGGAAACCCTCCACCGGTAACTTCAGCATTGATGTACTGCAAAACGGTCAGCGCAAGCAACTCAAAATAAAGTCAATTAACGAACCGGTCCTGGACGAGCAATGAGATAGATCCCGGCCTCCTTTGCGGCGTCGAAAAAAGGCTCAAAAGCGAAGATTCCATCTGCTGAATATGTTCCTGGCTCCCCCTCCAGCAATGCCCAGTGGACGTAGAACGAAACTGCATTGAAGCCTAACGCCTTGACTTTTTGGAAGACGTCAAGCCACAGATCGGGGACTGGTAAACGGTAGGGGTGGAATTCGCCCGAGAATACATAGACCCCTGGTGCATATTAGTATTTATCATCTAATAACTCGCGAAGCCTAGATAACAACTCAAATGGTGTTGGAGGGGGACGGGAATATGGGGTATAAGACATCGTCACGACCAATTGAATAACGGGCTTGTATGGAAAGAGGCCTTCCTTACTTTCTCCATGAACCATCAAAGAGTGCTCATCGTACGTAACCTGGTCACAATGTCAGGAGGGGCAACTCAATGCCTCGGGGCCTGCGAAAGCTTCGAGACTAGACAGAGCTTACGATATCCTGCAATCCATCACTGCCCCGCTCAACAGTCATATGCCTTCCGCCAATTGACAAAGCAGCAGCTTGCGCCGCAAGGGCGATACATGTCAGGCCGCGTAGGAACATCATGGTGGCAGACCCTCTTTCGCAATCGAAAACACTTGACAGGACGGAGGAGTGGCAGGGAGCTTCAATTATACAATTCGTAACATTAAAAACAGAGCTCGCGGATATATACATCATATCAGGCTGGAAATACCAGGTAAGGATCTCGGTCTCTCGGCCCCTCTCGCAGCTGTACAAGAAGCTGCGAGACGTACGCAGACCCGCACAGAAAAAGTCGGCAGCAAAGTGAACTAAACTCGACGATAATCCTTACCTCGCCCAGCAACTCCGCCAGGTACTGTACGAGAGGCTGTATAGTGTATGATATTATGAAGTACCGGGCTTGGTGCGGGGTTTGAATCCCCCGATCGACCTAACAGAAGCTTGAAAAAAGGGGCGGCGCCACTCCCGTAGCCTTGTTCAGAGAAACGTTGTGCAGAAATTCAATTAGATTTAGGCAGGTTGGGTGTCCAGCATGACGATATAGCTATTTCATGGTACATATGTGATGTGACATGGGGGATATGTGAAAAGCGCGCCAATCGGAAGAACTATCTCGACCAACGGAATATGGAATAATGTGGACGCGAAAGAGGAGAGAGCCAGAATTCAGAATTGAATACGGAGTAGTACGAATAGAGCAGGTGAGGAATGAGGAGATAGATGTAGAGGCCGAGGTAAAGAGTGGGAGAATGAAGATCAGGTCCACCGCGATGGATGACGACTTCGCAGAGAGTGTAACTAAACACTTCTAGCTGGAGTAAGCTCAAGTAGTTCTAACACAACCTGAGAACTAATCGCAAGTATCAAGTCTACCACAACCCGAGAATTGCCAGGAAAATGGCAATTACTTGAAAATAATATCATGTAGGAGTTTCAACATGATAAATTTCCTTTGTTTATTTGGTCATGTACAAAGTACAGAGAAATTTAGATTCGCTGCCAGCTGGAAGGGAATAAATAGTCACGTGCCACATCCCGAATCTGCGCTAGCACAATCTCATCGACCTCAGGACAACCAAACACCACCGACGACGCAGCGCCATTGAGAACGCAAATCACCATGGCCATGGCGACCTCCATACTGCGCCGATTCCTGATGCCCTCGGTGCGGATGCCATGTTCATCGACAAGCGCAAAAGCTATATCTCCCGCCCACCAATTACGACGAAATTTCTCTGCCACTCCAACACCATTCGCGACGTTCAATCAGGTTATCAAGGTCCGTTCTGCTCACACACTTTTTCCGCCTCCAAACCAGGCCCTCAGCCTCAACCTCTCTATACATGCGTAATACGTACTTACCGTTTTAACTTAGGGCTGTCGAAAAGCACAACGCGCCCGTAAAGCCGTGTCCCCCGCGCTCCGCGACGTAAAAGCCCCCGAGCTCAAAGGCGTCTGTTTAAAAGTTGGCATCACCACCCCCAAGAAACCCAATTCTGGGCAGAGGAAAACGGCGAGAGTTAGGTTGAGCACGGGACGGGTGATTACGGCGTATATCCCCGGGGAGGGACATAATGTGCAGCAACATTCGGTGGTTTTGGTTAGAGGGTAAGTTTAGGCTTTGGATTTTGTTTTGGGTGGGGATTGAATTGCGGCTAATGTGGTATGCAGAGGACGGTCACAGGATTGCCCCGGTGTGAGATATCATCTGGTTAGAGGGGCTATGGATCTGGGTGGTGTTGGAAATAGGGTTACTAGTCGGTCGAAGTACGGAACGAAGAAGCCCAAGGCTGCTGCGGCTTAGAAGCGGCTGGCCTTTTGTGAAGGTTTATATGCTGGAAACCAATTAAACTTTGGTTGGGCGCGCTTTTCATGCGCCTAGCGGCGTTGAGGAATATATGTATAAATTTGAGCCAGGGAAAAGAGGTCAAAATAGGTGTACCATCCGCTTATGGCATGTCTGAATAAAGGCCGTGTATGAACAATTCATGGAAGTTGATCAACATTTATTTGACTGGGTGCAGAAACTGATACAAGGGCTACTAATAGCTGTCTAATAAATACCTATGTAGGAAAAATCCCTTTGTTATATACTTCACAATATGCGCATAGAGTTGGCTGGTGATGCGCGACTTCAAATTAAATTATCTATATCCCCTAATGGTTTCCCGATTCGTGGTCCATACAATGAACACTCAGACATGGGAAACTTGAGTTCCCTCACTTGGTCAGGGATGGTCTGGTGGTATAAATCCCATGCCTTCCTAGTGTTACGTTTTCTTGGCTCGATGTTTTGAAGCCTACCAGTACAACCCGATGAATTTGTTATCGGCTGCTTGCTTTTTAACACAAGCATTTAATCACGCCAACGCCGCCGTTGCCATGCGGGATAAATCAAACGCGCCAGCACCTTTCATCAAGTACCCGCCCTCCTCACAATACACCTATCAACGCATTTCTTTTAATCCATTTCAGCTTCGTAACCCTCGGGTTTCTTTAAGTTGTTGATCTCGAAGTATCGCGACGTGCCTGTCAATGGTTAGCTAGTGCCCTGTTAATTGGAAGAGGTGGTCCATACATGAATATCCTTTCCAGTCGAAGTTGTCCTTTGGATTGCAATGACACTTCAAATCTATCCTTCTTTGCTCTCCGGTTGGGCAGTGAGTAAATGGGACATGGTAGTAGGCAATATCGTCGAAGAAGTGGATTTCGTCCTTCTGTAGCAGTAGGCCAGCTGCAATCGAGTGGACCGGTGCGTCTCCCCACCTCTCGTAGAAGAATCCTCCATCCCGGTCAAGAGAGTTGAAGTAGTCAATGTACGGCTTCGATCTTAGCCAATTGAGATTACCGATTTCAAAGTTGGACCACTGTCGAATTTGTAAGCCTATGGCAATAATGTCCTTCAAGTCAAACTTACCATGTGGCAATTGTTATAAGTTTCCCCTCCATTATCACTCAAGAATCCCATGGAGTTGTCTTCAGCGATGTGCTCCGGGTGCTCCTTCATGAATTTCTTGGTGCTGTCCCACAGGGTGGGGATGGTCTCCACATACTCATACAAGCTCAAGACGAAGCTGTATTTCTTCTTGTGGTCCGCCATATATTTGAACGGATCATAATCGATATCGCAGAAAAGCTCGACGCTTGGCTCCACACGCCAGTACCACTCGTAGTTCATCATCAATGGTTGCCGGAAGAAGAAGCCAGATTCGAATCGGCACATATGACGGTAACTGATAGAATCTCCGTAGATGATTTGGCGCTGTGCCATGTCCTCGCGCACCTTTTCAGCCCTCCCCTCATCGATGAAATCAGGGAATGACCAATGTTCCTTGGGGATCTGCCCATAGTGTGTTTTGCCCGATACCAAGGAAGTGGTGACCTTCTTGAACGTCTCGTCAAAGGGCTGGTCATTGACGAATACCCAATCGTAGTGGAACTTGCGGTTGAATCGATCTTCAACCTGCCGGATTGACCTCGCAATCTCCCAAATATCTGAATTCCGTGCCAGGGTGACAAACGTCGCATTCATTCTGGCGCCATCGGCAGTCGCAGGAGGAAGCGCGGGTGGCGGGTTCGGAGTCGTCCCCGTGGCCGCAGATTCAGGTGCAGTTCCAGCTTTCACAGGTATCCCCGTCCATGCGGACGTGCTGCCCGATAGCGTGGGTGTGGAGGAAGATGATATGAAGTAGACAACCGTAAGGCCCTGATGATTCGATTAGCAAGGGGTGGAGCAGGACATGGGTTTGATTCCTATCTCGAGAACACGTACGAAGATTGCGAAGAGAATATATCTCAGGTACCGGGCTGATCCCGAAGCCATCATGAGTGAAGTTGTTGTCTGTCAACAGCCGCGGGGGCCAGGAAAGTCGCGAAGGGCGAATCCAAACGTGGCCCTCTCAAGGATCGTCGAAATGGAACAGCCGTGAAGAGAGCTGGCTGGGATTGCCTTGGGTTGCGTATCAATGGAGAACCAAGTGCAAGCAGGACGACAAGAATGAAGAGAATGCAGAAGCAACTGCGATGGATCCGAAGGGGGCGTCAGACCAAGGCAGTCGGAACGCACTAGGGATTGGAGAATTGCAGATTATCGAAGGGGAGGAATGAGGATTAAAGATTAATCAGGAGGTCGATGTCACAGCACATCGTACCAGGATTATTTCGTACTACCGGTACTGAGCTCGTATCTGGTCGCCCGCGGAGAGAAATAATGTGGAGGGCGTTTCCTTTTAGTCCTAAGGCCGCGCGGTGGCCAGTCGGCCGGTGCTGAGCTGCTCAGCTGTCCGCCAAGCGGGTTTGCGGTGACTTGCGGTTCTCGTTTTGCTGATAAAGGCCACTTGTAGTATCGCAGTACAGTATTGCACCGTAGTATTCTGTTCGTGTTCTCTGCCTCCGTGCTCCGTACTAAAAGAAGGGCACAGATTCCCATACGAAGAAGTACTCGTGTTTGCAGGGTCTGCCTATAATAATACCCGGCCTGCCGCTGCCACTACCACTAATAATAGCCTGTAGCCGTCACTAATGCTATCTTTATAAGTTAGAGCGTTTTTCTGCTTCAAGTAATATAATCTGTAGGCAGGTTAGAGCCTTTAGACCTTGGCAGGACAAGTGCTTCGTGCTTTGTTGGTAGCAATACCTGGGCGCTGCGGCTGAGGAATGGTGACTTTGAGAGTCAAGACATAAGGTACCTTACCTTAGACCACCGTTATAATACGTAGAATCTATACACTTTCCCAGTATTGAAGGAAAGAAGCTGTAATCGCACACTACTAAGCTACCAAGGACCCAGTGCGTAGCACCTTTATGAACGGTCAAGAATAATTTCAAATTCTAATTGTCCTACGTACTACGAAACACAGGTTCTGCTCTGTACTACGTAATCCATACGTAGGGTACGCGCCATCAACGCGGGAGGCATTGAAGTCATCTGGCCCTGCACGCGGGGTATTTGAGTCGCTCTCATTCTTCTCTGGCCCTGGGGCACCAAAGAACCCCAGACTTGCCTTGAACGGGACTAGCGCCTCAATTGCCCTGGGCGGACGATTGATTGCGGCTCCAGCAGCTTTCTCCCCACCACCAACCAAATGTCATCAATACTCTGAACCTCTCTACCTCGACCTCGACCTCTATCTCTATCTCGCCTTCAACCTCACCCTCCGAACCCAAACCCTTTACAACTTCAATTTCCCCCCTCGCACTCGCCCAAAACCTAAACGCCAGTTCCCGGAATACCTACCTATTCTATTGTCAGCCTCTTGCTTGTGGTGATTCGAGGCCGAAAGGACTAAAATTAACAACTACCTCGTCCTGCCGCCACCCACCGCATTCACCAAAGCTAGCAACGTTTAGCAAGCCCGTTTCAACATCTTCGAATTCCCATCGCTCAGCGCCGCCTGCTCCTCTGGTGGTTTATATCTATCTGTTTTAATCATTTCAGGTTCTTTCTACATGGAGAGTAGCGCAAGCAGGTTTTGAATGTCCTCTTAAACGCGTTACACAAGCCCTCTTGTTCGCGCCATGTCGTTCTTCGGCTTCGACGCAGCTCTACCCCGCGATCAAGGGCACAACACCGGCGCGCCTGGCTTTGCACAAGTTGCAGACCCCTTTGCCGGTCCGCGCCCGGATGATGATGATGATGCGTAAGTCTTCCCGAGTCGCCGCATCTCACTTTCGCATGCTAACCTTGCTCCTTTTCGCGTTATCAGACTTGATTTCGAGGATACCTATGATGGACTCGGTGACCAATTGGATGAGAGAGATGATGTCTTCAACGATGATACATTCGGCGGAGATGATTTGAGGCCTGCTCCATCCGGAAAGCCGTCTGTGGGCAAAGACTTTGATTTCTTCGGCCAGACAGCTAAGGTCTCGGACGCCATTACAGAGGAACAGCTTCGGTTTACTCGCCAGCAGGCTCCGCCTAGAGCCACCCCTCAGACAACTTCAAACTTCCCCGTCTCGAGACCTGCAAGAAGTGGATATGAGCGGTACAGGGAACCTGAAATTCTTCCAGACATGCAGGTTGACCCGAACTTGTGGGGTGTTGCGCCAAAGCGACCTACTCAGGCTGCTAATTTTGAGTCGCCTGCTGCAGCCGGTCCCTCTGCGGGTCGGAAGATGATGAGTCTGGAGGAAGTTGAAGCGGCAATGAGAGCACAAGCCAAAAAGCCAGCCCAGCAGCCGCAAGAAGCATCCCAGTATGTCCAAGTTCCGCAGCAATATCACGAACCCCATCGGCAACAGCAATACCCTTCCCAGGGTAGTGAACCACCGCGCGACAAGCCTCAGCAAGTACACCCTGCACATCCCAATAAGCCTGTCCAAATATTACAGAAATCACAACCACCTTCTGGTCAACCAACTGCTCCCGCCGCTCCCTCGCAACCGACTCAGATCTTAAAAAATCCTAATCGTTATTCGGCTGAGCAGCAGCGGCCTGCTCCTGCTGTGCAATACCCTGGCCACCAATCACACCAGTCGGGCTCGCGTCATATTATTACTCATCCCCAACAGCTTGCCAATCTATCGGATGAGGAGAGGGCAGCCTTCCTCATGGAAGATGCAAAGCGGGCAAAGCGAAATCATAAGATTTTTTTGCTGTCGAAGGATAATGGATTGATGACACCCCAGGACAAGAACTTTATTACTCGCATTCAGCTCCAGCAACTGGTCACAGCAACAGGTAACCCCAATGAGCATGGCACTGATCCTGCATTGTCCGAAGACTTCTATTATCAGGTTCATAACCAGATTCGGGGCGGACCTCGCCAGCATCCGGGGCAACCTTTGAGCAACTTTGCCCAGACTTATTTATTCCAGACAGGAGGCCGCCATGGTGGTATGCGACGCCAAGCTCGTGGAGGCGACAATCATATGCAACGCATGGAGCAGCAAGTCCAACGAGCTGTTGAGGCTGCCAAAAATAAGCCAAAAAACAAGCAACTGGTGATTGAAGGTAGTTTGGGGAAGATTTCCTTCAGCAACGCAAAGACTCCAAAACCACTTTTGAACATCAAGCGTACCGAGACTGGAGCCGATGCTTCCCGCCCAGGGAGTGCTCCTCGTGACCGCAAATCTCATCAGATCGGGGTCAGCGGTAGCGATAGGAAGACTGTACTAGCTGACATCGAGAATGTTTATAACACATTGATGCAGCTAGAGGATCATGAACGCCACATGCCACCCCCACTTGCTGACGACGACATCAATCCAGAACTCAATGGTCTGCACCAGGATTGGAATGCCAAACAGCAAGAGCTCAATCACAGGCTATGGCGACAGCTCAAGGTCCATGAACCCATCGGTGCCACCACCACCCACCCCTTCATTGCTATCCTTTCCTTCAGCAAGGGCAAGAAGGCCATTCCACGAGTCTTTCGTCACATCACTCACGAGCAAAAGACTACCATATTAACCATGATTGTAATCCATCTGGATCGACTGGATGTTGTTCGTCATGGAATCCTTCAACCTGGCGATCTCCAGTTGAGTTCAGCTATTCGTGAAAATGTGGAGCTTTTCTCGCTGGCAGTGATGCATACACTTTTCGGATATCTCAATGAGGTTGGCTTGGATATTGTTACCGGCCTCTTGGGTCTCATCCTAAACATCAATACTGACATAATTGCTCGAACGAGAATTGGAGTCAGTATGTTGACCATGCTCCTCAGCCGAGCCGAGCTCATCAAGCAGGCTGGAAGTAACGAGCGGGAGTGGGAGCAATGGTAAGTCACCTTCGTTTACAATGGAAGTTTAATTGCTAATTATCATATAGGGTCGGCATTTATAACGGCTTCTTCAATGCTCTTGAACCGAGTCTTCCGAATATCTTCCCTGGTACGGTTAATACCGGTGAGGACGTCTACGTCTGGCAGTTCCTTGCCGCCATCGGCATAGGTGCGAGCCCCGAACAACAACAGAGACTGGTCATGGCTGTCAAGGACCGTGTCATGGAGACGGTGGCTCACGCAAAAACTCTCCCTGCGGCGATGTCGAGCCAACGCTTGGCAAACGTGAATCTCTTCATGCGTTCCATTGGTTTGGATGTGGAATTGCTTGCATGAATCATGGAAAAGGTGTCGGGTTTACATTTATCAGCATATTTTTTCTTCCTGCTTTTATGAGACATATGAAGGGTCAAGGGCATTCGGGCGGCTTGTGTCTATATCATGCGGCGCCATATTACTTTTGCTGCAGCATTGCCATTGCACTTGTTTTCGCGTAGTGGTAACAGCATTTTAGTCTCTTGGCGATTGAACTTTATAACAAACGTGGTGGATAGTGCGCGGTGAGACGGTGTATTAAATGAACTGCATCTTTACGGTCGGAGTCTTCTTTACGGTCGTTGAGATCAAGTGGAAATATTACTCCCTTGGTCTGGATGGATTATGAAGATAAGTCTTGAACTGGTCAAGATCAGGAATATTTAGATAGTAGAGAATGAAATCAGCAATGCAATATTAGGCCCGGAAGCAGGGCAAAAGTGGAGAATGGTCACATGTCAGATTTGATTACACACAATATAGAGAAAAGGACATTACTTACTTGCAAAGTTGGGCAAAGTTAACAATGTGTCTTCTTATGATCTAACTGTGTTTGATCCTTTAATTGTACAGGTGTATTTCCTCTTTTTTCCGAATTTCTGTTTGCTGTAGCGTTTCCCTTATCTCCGACGATGATGATGCTGGTATCTCAGTTGGCGCTAAAGAGACAAACAAAGTTTACTATACGTCATCTCGCGGTTGTGCCTATTAGCAAAATGACAATTGGCCAATTGAGTTTGATATTTTCATTCAGCATCTTATAACACTTTGAAAGCTTCGTTTCTATAATATCCGCTGGTTCTATTTCTTATGCACCGTGCTATCTTTATCTGGACTTCCTAGTCTCAGTGTCCCAGGATGCGTCCTCGACGTCCAGGTGACCACAATTTATCACAAGATGGCTATGGAGGAAACAAAGAGAAGGGGAGACGAAGGGATGATTCGGTTGGATTTTGGAGTGACGAATTAAACGCTACGAGATCGCATGTTTGTAAACATTGGGCACTTGATAGTAAGTCCTCCTCGCCTTTTACCCACTTGCCTTGAGAGCTTCTTGTACGGCATATGCTATCGATTTGAGGGTAATCTTCATGTGTTGGGCTCATGATAACATAACATATTCTAGCTCTTGCTTTCTCCACATTTATCCTAGCGGTCATTAGTCTATACTGGGCAATGCTCTTCCGAGCTGAGGACAAGCTCTCGTCGCTGGTCGTATATATCGTCGATTTCGATAGCCTAGTTGCACCATATATAAACATCAACCCCATCGTGGGCCCCAGCATTGTCGCTACCGCCAAGTCTTTGATCGCACCGACTGGCGCCCTAGGATGGCGTTCGCTGCCTGCCTCACAGTTCAACTTCGATCCCACGGCAATCCGCCAGGCCGTATACGATGATAAGGCATGGGCGGCAGTCATCATCAATGCAAATGCAACTGCTATACTCGAGGATGCCGTAGCAAGCGGAAATGTAAGCTATGACCCTATGGGATCTGCTCAAATTATCTACGTCGGAGCTCGAGATCGGAATGTTGCCAGCAACTACCTCCAGCCTCATCTACAAAACCTCCAGGCCACGGCTACTTCGACATTCAGTCAGACGTGGACACGCCAGGTCCTTTCACGAGCAAGTTCCAATTCCACAATTCTCAACAACATCCAGACTGCACCACAAACCATGTGGCCAGCAATAGGATTCTCGACCTTCAATCTCCGACCTTTCTCACCCAGGGTAGCCACGCCAGCATTGTCCATAGGCCTTCTTTATCTAATCATCATCTCCTTCATGGCCCCTAATTTCTACATCCCAAAACAGATGAGGTTCATCGGCCCGGGCCATCGACGGCTCTATTTCTACCAGCTCGTCATATTTCGCTGGTTATCGACCGTAGCAGGATATCTATTCCTCTCCCTCTCCTACTCGCTCATCTCGCTAGCCTTCCAAATCCCCTTCAGCACCCCATCAGCCCCAGATACCGTGCCATCAAATTCCGCAACAGCATACCATTACGGGAGTTTTCCTGTATACTGGATGCTTAATTTCGTCGGCATGACGGCTTTCGGGCTGGCTTGTGAGAATGTGGTTATGGTTGTTGGACAGCCTTGGACGGATCTTTGGCTTATCTTCGTACGCAATCCTCCTTTTCTCCCTGTAATGTTCTGCCCGAGGCCACAAATAGGGGACTGATATATATGTAATAGTGGCTGGTTACAAATGCCGCGACTTCGTTCTATTCCATCACGCTTGCGCCGGGATTCTTCCGCTGGGCTTATGCATGGCCGTTATACAATAGTACGTCTCTCCCTCGCATTTGGCCTGTTGTGGCCCCCTTTCACTTGACCTAAACCAACATGCATGCAAAATCTAGTCGTCCAAGCTACTCGGACCATCCTCTTCGATTTGCACTCTAAAATAGGACTCAACTTTGGGGTCCTTTTTGCTTGGGTTGCTGTTGATACGGCGCTGTTCCCTTTCTGCTGCTATGTCTTGCGGCGGAAGACTTTACGGAAGAGGAGGAAGGATTCGGGACAGCGGAGTGATAGGCGTGGGGAGATGGACGATGAAGTAGTGAGGGCGGTGTCAGATAATGAGATTGACTAGATATGGAGTAAAATGACTATGTGGCCAGCGGATCCTCTCCGCCGGCCAGTAGATTTTCTTTTTTTAAAAAAAACTCTTTTCTATATCAACAGGAAAAAAGAAGAAGAAAACAAAAAAAACATTATTCTCTCTGACGGGGAATCGAACCCCGGTCTCCCGCGAACTTGTCATATCATGACAAGCGGAAATCATAACCACTAGACCATCAAAGATCAGAGAATGCTTCTTATTGGTGCAAAAAAATTCTATTTAGGTATATGAAGTTTGTTGAAAGTAGGTGGATGGCTTGCCATTAGGCTCGGATAAGAGTGGGGCCTAAATGAAGAACTGGGGGGTTGATTAATATTAGGTGCATTTTTAGGACATGTATAATATGTCGGTGCATATGTATTTCTCGTGGGGCCAGAGGGCATACAGTAGGGGTGGAGATAAAATCCTGAAATGAGGACGTTTCGAAGATAAAAGTCTTGGCATTTAGACTTTGAGATAGCATCGTCTTGAATGCTCTCGAGTACACAAGACGCAAGAAACTACTACTGAGCGGCGTATTTGCTCACTTGCTGGAACCATCGATGGCTACTAATTAAGCTTTTTATTGCTAACCTTCGCTAGCCTCGTCGTCGCCTGGTTGAGCACAACAAGCGAGACAACCGAACCCTCAGAAGAGAAAGAAAAAGGGAATAGAATATAATTAAAGAAAAAAATTGCAGAAGAAATATCTTCACGGGGCGTTGGATACCGAGAAACATTGAGCCCACTACCCACAAGCCTCAATGTTCTCTCTAGCGGAGCGTCCAGGGTCACTCTAGGTTTGTTAGCGGTGGATCTTAGCCACTACACCAACGCTTCCTAGTCGCCTGTCTCCAGTTGTTATAGGGATTCTGCATTATTTTGATATCTATTGATACCAGAGGCCAGATACCAAGGGTGGAAGCTATCCATTGCGCATCGCGTGGAGGAGACTCAACAAGCCTTCCTAAATCACCACTCTTCCACAGACGAGAAAAACACTACCTACTTAGGCAGGTAGATAACCTCCTCCACTCGCTATATAATCAATACCATCTTCTACATTGATCATCTTATTCTGCTCGTAGGGCACATCAATCGTCATTTCGAAGCACAGACTAACACTATTCTTCGTTAAACCGACTACATCTTGGAACTCGGCCCAATCACAATCTTCTAGTTTATGAGGCTCGCGCTTAATCATGATATCCTTAAGCTTCTCATGGTCGTCCAGGACATGGGCCACTCGCAGGAGCTATTCATCGTGCTCGAAATTGGCAGTCCACTAGCCACTAGGGTTGAAAGTCAACCCAACTGTCTTAACATCTCAATAAAGTGTAGCGTTACGTATTAATGTGGTGTGCTGCTCTTAGAGAGCGTGGGATTTGAGGTGATGATTGAATATTGTTTGAGAGAGGGTCCTCAGCTAGGGAAAGAAGACATCTCCTGAACTGCGTTTTGGGAGGAGGGTTGGGATGTTTGGCCAAGGCACAACCGGAGCAGTTTGGCAGTACAGCATGTGCTGAGTTAGCTGTGCACAATATCCCACCCAGTCCAATATCGCAATTGTTACACTTGTAGTTATATTAATGCAACCTTTCTTAAGACTAAGATTATAGTTCGATAAAAAGCTCGAAAGATACCATTTATAAAGGTTCACGGATCATGCCCAAAACAGGGCACCAAATGCCACCACAACGCCAGTACCAGTAGCCGCTGGAGTGTTCGAATATATGCCACCTGGATATCATAATTTATAAAGCCTCTTCATAACAAATATCGAATTGGATAACATGCTATGGTATGCGATTCGTCCCACTGTATGTGGTACTGCCGCATTTCCTCAGACGCCGCCACCTATCAACATGTATATCAATCAGCCATGTGTCCGTAATATTGTAATAAACTTGTACTGCAAGGATCGGTTTGAAGCAAAGGCAAACTGACCGCTTCGTCCCGTATCGACGGAATAGTTTGCAGGTTTGGAAGTCGCCTTCTTGGCTGCTTCACTTCGCTGCATAACGGCTCGCCATTTCAGACCGATGAAGATGGAGCTTCCGGCGATGAATGTGCCAATGAGGAGGGGTGTTCGCTGACGCCTATAGTATCGATTGGAAGAGTTAGCATTGTTCTAGAAGCTTTGCAGTGGTGGGTATGCTTTAAGGGGAGCTACAAGTAGCTTCAATTGGTATTGTAACATACGAGAGCATGGTTCGTGGTGAAGGAGCCATGTTGAATGCTTCTACTGCGTTCAGCTTAGAGGCAGACTGGCTTTGGGAATAGGCTGGATGAGGTACTTTGTAGAGGCGTTAGCTGTAGAATACAGAGCTCTGTAGATACATGGAGTAGTTTTGTTGGGAATCTAGGTCTGGTTGGAGTTGAGGGTACACGAGGGGCACGCGAGTTTTGGCCTCTTTCGGCAACGCACTTGCGGAGGGACGGAGGCGGTGAGTTTGCATATATTCTGAGAGCAGATGCTCTTTTAAATTTAAAAAGATACCATATCACTGTAATCCATGCATGAGTTCAATTCCTTCCTGGCTAACTCCATTTCTATAAAGTTATATCTATTATGATCCTCTCAAGTTGCCTCTTTTTAGTAACATCTTCATTATGCGAAGTCCATTTCCCCAGAATCTCAACGGCCGAGTTAATACGCTGCCGAGAATCAGCCGAAACTACCCGAACGGTTATCTTGGCATGTGCTGAGTAAATGATTATATAATCAAAAAGGAGATCTTTCGTCGACCTTCAAAGAAATCATTGAAGAAAACGCATCAATATCTTGGCCTAAAGCGAATGAATGTTAGTATTATGAGGAAATAAAATACTGCTTAATTGCCTTCGACACCAAACCCAAACAAAACCGAGAGCGAAGCGACCCCTCTAAACCGGGAATGCTGGTGGCCTCCACGAGAAAAGTAGCATTGCATTTTACAGTGAAGAGCGTTTCTGAGTGTGGTGTGGTGGAAGTAATTCGGTCTACTCACAGGAGACTCTACGTTTAAGCAGAGCGCAGATTGCCGAATAAGAGTTTCCGGTCCAAATGCTGAAATATTGTTGTTTACTTCGAATACCTTTGAGTTGCATCCCAGCTTTATTTCAACAATTTCATGTCGGTATCTTGAAGTCAAATACCGAGATTACGAAGTCATCCACACGTTTCAAGTGAAAACCAACCAAACCGTGAGGATCTACTCCGATAAGCGCTGAGGCCACATGCATCATTAATTGGTGGATATCCAACGCTAAGCTTTTGTCCTGTGTACCTTAATATAATTATCTATACACCCTTTATGTACATGTAAAACGGCATAGTGGCTGAGAGAGGAAGGTCGGCGAAGCAGCCGAGATGTATTTATTTACCCGGGATTTTCATTGCATATGTAGATCTTGACTTGCTGGAGCGAAACATATCTTAGTCCTTAGATATGTGCACGTGGATCTTGAAACAACAGCTGAGTAGCTGTAGATATGTTCTCCAAGACACGCAGAGGTTGGACAAGGCTTTTTGCTTCGGGGTGTACCCCTTTATTGGGCAGCTCCGAAACTTTACATATCTTGGGCAACGGATGATACATAACTCATTGGATAGTGGGTACCAAGCTAACTTTAATGTTACTCCCTGTGAACGTTTGACAGGTCGAAACTGGGTTAAATAGAGGGGATATCTTCGAAATAGGCTCAAAGGTAGACCTACCCCTGAGATATTCCTGGATACTTCTCTTGTTATACGGAGTATATATCGTCTTCCCTCTTTCGCTACTTTAGCATCACCCTTTCCATCCATCTTCGATCACTCTTAGCCATGCGTTCCCTACTCCTCACACTCGCTCTCCTCACACCCCTCTATGCCCTCCCGGCACCAGCCCCTCAGCCCTCACCACCAAACATCCCCAGCCCCACAGTCGCCAAATCCGAGCTCGCAAGCCTGAAGGTCGCGGCCCAGGGACCCCAAACTGGGTATAGCCGTGATCTTTTCCCTCACTGGATCACTATCTCAGGGGAATGCAATACACGTGAGGAAGTCCTCAAACGGGATGGCACCAAGGTAGTCACAGACTCGAAATGCGCCTCCACGAGTGGAAGCTGGTACTCGCCCTATGACGGCGCAACCTGGACCGCTGCATCTGATGTAGATATCGACCATATGGTGCCGCTCAGCAATGCCTGGAAGTCGGGAGCGGCAGCGTGGACGACAGCTCAGAGGCAGGCGTTTGCGAATGATTTGAAAAATCCCCAGCTGTTGGCTGTGACGGATAACGTTAATCAGAGCAAGGGGGACAAAGGACCAGAAGATTGGAAACCTTCTTTACGTATGTCGTTTCTGCATTTTATCATTTTTTGTGCTTCTGTATGAATGGCCTTTTTTGGGACTCGATTTCCACAAGTTTTCCTCCTTACCTACTCTCTCCGCAATAGCGGGACAATTTTCGATGATGTAGAAACGGAATTCACAGAGTTGAAGTACTAACAGAGGATTTAGAATCATATTGGTGCACTTATGCCTCGATGTGGGTTAAGGTTAAGAATACGTACTCTCTCACCATTACAAGTGCGGAGAAGACGGCTCTTGTGACAATGTTGAATACCTGTTGACAACCTTTTTCTTGCTTTGAGCTGGGGAATCTCTGGCGGAGAGAGCTTGCAGTGACCTTGGAAGAGTAGAGTATGGAATAGCTATGGAAGGTTGAAATAATATGTTGCAACCCGCCAACTAGGCTTTGCATGGGCTCCCAAGCATCGGTCTGAGAGCATGAGACCATCGTTTCCATGAGATTGGTAGCCGCGAAACCGAAATCTAAATTCATATAGGCTTATTCTTTAGCTTTAAATACAAAGCAGCTTAGTTTTGAAGAACTAATTAACGAGTGTTCAGTTGATACCGCAACTGTGTTAGTGCTATCTACATTCGCCATACTCCTTGTGTGTACTCCGCACCGTGGCTTTAGTAAGGAACTCTCCTTAGTACTCGCACTCTTCAGAAGCTTGCATCTATTGCCATTCCAAAGGATGCCGCTCAAATGCAATCGGGTTTGGAGAACCCACTCGAAGATGAGACCGAGACCGATAAAACATCACTGACCAATTCGCTCCACTAAAGCAATATTTTGAATATTTTTTATAGAGACAGGAGAGGACGGATCTTAAATACCACGAGTGCAGCATCTGCCTTAGACACCACGGAGAGGTGCCGCATTGCTGCGAGCTATGGAGGAACGTGTAAATTAGAAAAGAACACCCCCCAAGGGTTTTGTTGTGGCGGCACTTTAGAGGTACGGTCAGGAAGCACCAGAGGTCATCAGGAAAAAATGTATTAAGTTGGCTGAAAAATCGAGCAAAAATCGTCGGCGAGACGCCATGGTGATGTTAAGGGGCACAAAATGTAAAGGAGTCGCCTGAAATTCGCAAGGCTGAACCTTGAACTTCACGAGGTTACCCAAGTAGACTAGCGCGGGAGGTCCATCGCGACCTGCAGATATCGAGAAATATTTCCAAGTACGCATCACCAGTCAACACAACACCATAACATCACCATGGGATCCCTTTTTGAACAACCAAGAAATGCCGGGACTCTGTGTAAGATATGCCCAGAGCTTATTCAGCTTCACATTGCTAACAAGTGGCAGTCCTCGGCGGCCAGAAGATCAGCGGTTCAGATATTCGTGACCAGAACAGTATGAGCTTCTAAAGCTTCTGCAAGAGCGAAAAGCTAACTCATAAATTAGTTCAAGCGACGCAGGCTATTGCAAATGTCGTCAAGAGTTCCTTCGGCCCCAGCGGCTTGGATAAGATGATGGTGGACGATATAGGAGTATGAACCCCCCATTGCAAAATAAATAGGCCATGTGCTAATTTGTATTAGGATGTGACGGTCACGAACGATGGCGCGACTATTCTCAGCTTATTAGACGTCGAGCATCCAGCAGGCAAGATTCTTGTCGACCTAGCACAGCAGCAGGATAAGGAGGTTGGTGATGGCACAACATCAGTGGTCATTATTGCTGCCGAGCTTCTGAGACGGGCGAACGAGCTTATGAAAAACCGAATACACCCAACCACCATCATTACTGGCTACCGTCTAGCCCTCCGCGAAGCTGTCAAATATATGCACGAAAATATTAGCATCAAGGTGGATCAGCTAGGCCGCGAATCCCTCATTAATATTGCTAAGACCTCCATGTCGAGCAAAATTATCGGCTCAGACTCCGAATTCTTCTCGAATATGGTTGTCGATGCCATGCTAGCAGTCAAATCAACAAATACCAAGGGGGAGATTAAATATCCTGTCAAGGCTGTCAACATTCTCAAGGCTCACGGCAAGGGAGCTCTCGAGTCCATTCTAGTCAAGGGTTATGCGCTGAACTGCACGGTTGCTTCTCAAGCCATGAAGACGAGAATCACCGATGCCAAGATCGCCGTTCTGGATATGAATCTGCAGAAAGAGAGAATGAAGCTTGGTGTCCATATCACGGTCGATGACCCTCAACAACTAGAGCAGATTCGACAGCGAGAGGCTGGCATTGTGATGGAAAGAGTTGACCTGATCCTGAAGGCTGGAGCAAATGTTGTTCTTACCACGAAGGGCATCGATGATATGGTCCTCAAGCTCTTTATTGAAAGGGGAGCCATGGCGGTTAGAAGATGTAAAAAGGAGGATCTCCGGCGGATAGCAAAGGCCACCGGTGCTACTCTCATCAGTTCTCTGTCAGATCTGAATGGCGATGAGAAGTTTGATGCTTCGTCATTGGGATATGCCGATGAGGTTGCTCAAGAACGGATCTCCGACGATGAGTGCATTCTGGTTAGAGGCACCAAGGTCCACACTTCCGCATCTATCATCCTCCGAGGGTCCAACGACTACCAGCTGGACGAGATGGAGCGATCCGTCCATGACTCTCTATGTGCAGTTAAGCGGACCCTCGAAAGTGGCAGCGTTGTCCCCGGCGGCGGTGCTGTGGAGACCGCACTGCACATCTACCTCGAGGAATTCGCTGGCACCGTTGGTTCCCGAGAACAACTAGCCATCGGCGAATTCGCCCAAGCACTCCTCGTCATCCCAAAAACTCTCGCTGTCAACGCCGCCAAAGATTCATCTGAGCTCGTAGCGCAACTCCGTTCCCGCCATGCCCTCTCTCAACGCATCCAGGAAGGCGACGCCAATGAGGATGAGAAGACTGTTGCCAAGAAGAAGAACTACAAGAACTACGGTCTGGACCTCACGAAAGGGAAGGTGGTGGACGAGATCAAGGCCGGTGTATTGGAGCCCAGTATGAGCAAGATCCGGCAGCTCAAGTCGGCGGTTGAAGCCTGCATCTCGATCATGAGAATCGATACACTTATTAAATTAGATCCTGAACAAAGGGGAGAAGATGATGGGCATGGTCACTGATGAGATTGTTGGGCGTAAGATGCGGGACTAGATGCTTGTAATATTATGGGCTAGATATGTGTAAAAGCATCGAATAAGAATTGCTCCATCTTACATAATTTGTGGCACGCCGCGTAATATCTCTCGGGAAAACTTATATCAGCTATATCTGTTAGTAACTATACCGTCCAATAACTAGAGAGTTGCTTTTAAGTTTGTCAGAGCGGCAGACGTGCTCGCAATAATGCATACCGAGGTTCCTCCCGAGTGGCATTTCTCATTCTAAAGTCAGACGTAACCATACGATGATGTTATAAAATTGTTGCCATGCATTCTTCGAGATCTTTTGTACAACGGCTTCTCTACAAGCAGCCTATTCTATAGCCGCAACCCTGTCTCCATTCACCGGAAACCCCTCTCATCTAACTCATCTTCATCACCTCCCCCTTCCAACAAAATAAACCCCAGATTCCTCACACATATACAAACCGGCCCATATCTAACCAATAACAAGTGACTGCTCCTCGGGGAAATCGTACTCTGGGATCTCGAGATTGAGAGGAGCAGGTCCCTTCCTTATACGGCCGGAGATGTCGTAATGGGAGCCGTGGCATGGGCAGAACCATCCTCCGTAGTCACCGGCTTCACCAATGGGCACACATCCCAAGTGCGTGCAGACGCCTGTAGGAGATGATAGTTAGCATATACTTTCAGTGAGGGAAAGAGTTTGACTCGGACGGAATCACGACAACTTACCAACCATGATCAACCACTCGGGCTTCTTAACACGATCGGAATCCGCTTGAGGATCCCGTAATATCTCAAGCTTGACGCTCTCAGCCTGCTTGATCTCATCCTGGGTCCGGTGGCGGATGAAGACTGGCTTTCCTCGCCATTTGATGAGAACCTAATATCTAATCAGCATCCCCACTCTCCTTAAAAATTCGCATCTATGACGGTACGTACGTTCTTGCCCTCGGGAATAGCAGAGAGGTCAACCTCGACCTTGGCCATAGCCAACACATCGGCCGAAGCGGACATATTGACCAAGAAATCTGTATGCAGAAACAATATATTAGCCAACATCCGACCTCAATCGCTTCATCTCCGTAGCCAAACTCCCAAAAATTCCATTGCGAGCTCCACATGCAGCTTCTCCCATCTACCGCCACCATGCATGCTTTCCTCCTTTCCCTTCCATCTCAACCAAGACGTACCGTTAACTGTAGCCTTCGCCCCCGCCGCGGTCAACGCTCCCATTGTGCCAACCATGAAGTACTGCATGGCCAAATTGCGATTGGGCCCCTTCTTGCTTTTATACTGGCTGAAGTTGGGGACCTGGCTGGCAGCATCGTGGCCCTTGAAGGGCGAATCGAACGAGCTTGCCGCATCGGATCTGCTCGTCGTCGAGGAAATGGCGCGGACTGAGCTTGCAGCCAGCTGTGTGCGCTGTGGGAGGGCCCGTAGCAGTGTGCGGGAGGCCATCGTGAGCAATCGCGTGCTGTTTGCCTGATGTTGGGGGGTGACGGGGTTGCTTGAGGTTGTGGTGACCTGTTGCTGTGAGGTTTTTGATGGTTCCGGGCACAGAGGTTCGGCTCGGTAAGGTTAGGAATGCTTTGCGGATGACAATTGGAGACTGTGATTGGCTGGCTGGAGTTGCCGCCAAAAGCCCTCCCGAAAGCTCCCTAATCTTGTTCTTATGACGGAGGAACATCACCGACGTAGCATAAATATTTCTATTAAACCTGATATATTTATCATTTGTATGAGCCCTAAGATAAATATACGACATTTATGCCCTGCTCAAAATCAGGTGTGCATTTAAGGAAGCCTCTTTGGGCTGCATCATGTGGCTAAAATACAACACGCTTCGATCGTATAACGGCAGAAGGGAAGGCTTAAATTAAAGCCGTAGTTTCCTAAATCTAATATACGGCACTCACGGTTCCTGATATTTACTTTTCTAGGACTGGGAGTTGAAAGGCCTTAAGCCAACCAATGTACGGAGGAGTGGCGGCAGAAACACGGTAAAACGATTCTTCCACGTGACAATTCTATTAAAAACTGATTTCAACATAGCTCATGTCCCTGGTATCATGTATCTAAGGTGCAATTTTGCAAGACGTGTTGACAGCTCTGCTTATAGCAAGTAAACTTTGGGTATTTTGGCAACTCCCCCCTCCAACAAAGGAAAAAAGGCAGACTCTAGGCTCAAATCACCCCGACTCCAAGCTGCGCCTGCACCGCATCTCAATTCAAATTCAAATTGGGAACAAACAACTCCACATCCATAACATCATAAAGACCCGTCCACCAATTCTGTCATCGTGAGTAATGCTTGGAGTGCCCACTCAAGCATCTTCATCAATGACAGGCGTGTCGTCGATCTCCAACTCGCCTTCCAGAGACATGATATAGTTTCTTGCGCAAATGATCATAATCGCCAGTGCGAATCCATTCCAGACATCCATATCCTTGTCCTTGAAGTCAAAGTGCTGCATATGACGGACCTTTGCATTTAGATCAGTCGAATCAAGAGTAACGAAGATGGCCAGTGTCTTGGCGACAATGATGCCATAAAGGAGGGGTGGCGCTCTTGTACTCGCATCATTTTGATCATCTCTTCCTTCGTCGCTCGAGACACCAAAGTAATCACGGTACTTCTTGGCGAAGAAGTTCATCTTGGTGCTGATATCCAAGCTAATCGAGTCGCCTGATTGTTTGGGGCGGGCTCTGACGACGCTGAGGACCGGGAGGAAGCGCATCTTGTCAAAGCCACCATCCCTCTCAGACCACTTGATGTATCTGTTAATCTCTTGCTCAATCAGCTTTTCGGTTGGAAGGCCAACAGTGATCTTATCCCTGACACGGACACCGAGACTGAGGAGAGCTTGCAGAGCTTTTACGCCTATTTGAGAACCGTTAGGAAATCAATTCCACATACTAGTACCTGGAATGACTTACCATGGCCGCTAGGTTTACGATTGTAGCCAACGAAGGCGTCATCGTCGTCCTCAGTAAATAGTATCTCAGGCAGAGTGGGAAAGTCGATCTTCCAGGTTTGGGGGATTAACGGCTCGAAACTGCGAAGAGTGAGTCTCTCAAAAAGAAAGAGCGCATCGGTATGCCAATCTCCAGCCTTTCTAGCCTTCTCGATGGACTCCTTTCTCAAGGCCAACTCCGCTTGCCTAGCAAGGTATTCCTCTACCCTAGCGTCGAGCGAGGCATTTGGGTCTTCTGCTTCCTCCTCCTGCTCCTCTGCCTCGGAATCTAATTCCTCTTCTTCCACCTCGTCGGACTCTGTGATGGCGTCTTCCTCTACATCCTCCTCCTCGTCAGGCTGCTCGTAGTCTCCGTCACCTTCATAATCCCCCTCAACTCCGGCCTTCCTAGCAAAGGAGTTGCACTGAGATGCAGAGTCGTCTGGTTTAAGCTCAGAACCATCCGTCTCAAAGTCGTCTTCTTCACGAAGCCTTTTGCGGGGATTCCGAGAACGAGCAGTATAAGCTGCCAGGGAGGCCGGGTCCAACGTTCTTCGTGTCCTCTTGTCTTGCGGGTCGGAGTGAAAGGGGTGATCAAACTCCTTTGAGTTTGCGGGAGTCGAGACCGTAGGGCCAATTGTGCGGCGGCGCTTCGGGGAGAGGTATCCGACGATCGAATCTTTGAGTCGATAGATTGTCTCCATTGTGGCTGATAAAGCTTTCAGTGGAAAATTATCGAAGAAATGAAGTCGGTCAATAAGCTGCGTCGCGTAGAAGAGGTGAGCGAGTAGTGTGAAAGGTGAGGTTTGAAAGGTGAGTTGCTACGTCCTCAATATGGGTGATCGTAGGTCGTGGTAGATGGTGAGGATAGGATCGAGGTCGATGGTTGAAAGAAAGTCTCTTGAGTCTCGCAGACTATAGCCAAAGCCGTTCCAATAGGAAGCTCTGGTATTGTCATTTTAGATTGTTTGCGGCGATTATCGTAGCCACAATACCAGTCAAGTCCATTGTCATTGTCGTTGTCATTGTCTCCCATTGATGAGGGTCGAGTCCCCTGCTAGCGGCGGTACAATGTACTTCGTACAATCCCTGTACCCCAGCTCCGTACAACGGTCTTTGATCCTTAGATCAAAGGGAAAGAGATTCAAAAGTCTTCTTTATTAATCTCATGGTTACGGAAGTACATCTGATGTTATTGCAACTCTCCGCATAGAACATGTGATCAGGGCGGTGGTCGCCGCAGAATTAAGGGGCAGTGAGTGAGTCAGTGATGTTGGAACCAACACAACCCGGCTGTACAGCGCAAGGCACCTCATACGCGGCCGAACCTTCTAATTTCGATGCGGTTTTCAGAATAATATAACTGAAGCCCATTGATAAATCAATAGCATCTTGTGTTTTATTTCTAAATAATGGCGGTTTGTAGTAAGGGGCATGTAGCAGTACTAAATCGTGGCGAACCGTGGTGATATATAGCTCTCGTCGTATTCCAGCACCCGCATTATATATATTCAGATAGTGGAAACTACATTAATAAAGAAAGGCACTTTGGTGGAGCGGTCTATCACGATGCTTTGCTATTAAATCAGTCAAGTATTTCCTTCGGGATCATCAGGTCGAATCTGATAAGCGTCGTTGAAGAATCATATTTCTTTCTTCTTTTTGCCGCTCTATTTACTTTCGTTGGCAATTTTGACGGGTTTATGTTACTTATTTAGTTATAATATTTTGCTGCTGTTTACCCTGAGCTTCGCCAAAGCCTGGCCGAGTTTGCTCATACTCGTACTGTACCTTTTCCAAACTTTACTCAGGCCTCACACATCACAAAACACCACACTAAGCAATACAACCAGAAGCAAAAAGCTCACATTGGAGATACATTATACGTTCCCTATGGGCAACAACACCGAATCCTAATATGCTACCTCTACCTTCTTTACTTGATTTCCAAGAGCCGTCGCGAGACGGCCCTTCAACGGACAGTAAACTGCAATATAGCAAACAAGGTACGGAGGTACGGAGTACTTGTTCATCAAACACAATAGCTAAGAGAAGAAGCAAAAAGATATATCGATTGACACCTGTGAGACTCGAATTAGTACAGCAACATCATACTACTCTACTATACTCCACACGATAAAACGGCAAGTTTTGGTCTAGGTTGCTTATAAAAACATCTGTATTCCAATCATATCTCATTAACTAAGCTAACAGACATCGAACAATATCCTTACAAGCCTACTTATGCTTTGAAATCTGGACCAGTAGGACCAATCGCCTAAAATTATGTCAGTTCCGAATTATATGGCAAAGACATTCAGGGAACATACCTTCGGCTTAGCAACATCCTGTCGATGCCCAGCGAAATTCATCAACCAGAGATCGTTATTCGTCCTAACGCCCTTGGGGCCACCCAAGAAGTTCTGCGGGAAGCCAATATCAAAAGCATTCGCGCCATCAATCTCCTCGATATCTTCATCCGATAGAGCCACGCCCAAGCCGTCGATATTACCCTTCAGATGGTCAATTTTGCGGCCACCCACGATGGGGAACACGTATGGAGCTTTGTGCATAACATATGCCAACGCAATGCTCGTGATTTGCGCCTTGTGTTTATTGCCGAGCTTCTCGAGGACTTTGCTGATATTGACAGCAGCCTCACTGGGCGGGCCGGCATTTCGTCCCTTCTCTTGGCTCTTGCGCTGCTCCTCGGACTTGAAAGCTCCACCGCCCAGTGTTCCCCAGGGAGCCATCCCCATGCCTTCAGCTGCGCACATCTGAATAATATCACGCTCGAAATCCCTATACTCAGCAGACCATCGTCCCTGGTAGACAGAGAACTGGCGGAGTCCATTTTGGCGCGCGTATTCGTTGCACTTAGAGACAACCCAAGCGGGTGTGTCGGAAACACCAAGATAAAGAACCTTGCCTTGGTTTATCATAACGTTAAGGGCCTGCATCATCTCTGCGACGGAGCAGGTCCAGTCGTACCAGTGAACATACAAAATGTCGACGTATGAAGTTTGGAGTTTCTTCAAACTAGCTTCCAGTGAGACGTGCAGCGATTTGGTGCCATTGCCCCCGGTGTTGATGAGGATCTCCTTCTCCCCGCGGCCGGCTCGGAACGCGGTTGTGAATTTAGTAGCGATAACCATCTGGTCGCGGTTTTGCTTTTTGGCCATCCATTCTCCGATCCATTTCTCGGATTCTTCGTCCTGGGTGACCAATTAGTCGGAACCGAAGAAAGTGCCGTCTCAGGATTATGGTACGTACTTGGTAGTTATTAGCCGTGTCGAGGAAGTTACCGCCCTGCTCATAGTAGTAATCGAGGATTTCATTGGCGGTTTTCTGGTCGCATTCTCCCATAAAGTCAACCCTGAACGTTATTAGCCCAATTTAGGTTGGGTAAAGTCCACCAGGTCTTACCAAGCCTTTCCAAAATTCATGGTCCCAAGACAGAGGGGAGAGACCCAGATAGAGGCATTTGGTGCTAGTAGCCTATACTGTCCAAGAGGCTTCTTGGGTGGAGGTGGGGGTGGGAACACCATGATGATGATTGATAATGATGATACAAGTACACAGTTGACAATAGAATCTTTAGTGGACTTTGATGTGGAAGCTGCAGATGAGTTTAAATTGAGAATATACGAGTAGATGAGAAGGGATTGGAGCTAAAGATGCAATGCAATGCGACGCCTTTATATACAAAATAAAATAGCCATGACGAAAGATGATCTAATCGTTTCTGCAGATTTCGGCTTTAGACTTCGAGCCATCAGCCATTGCCGCCCCGGAGCATAACGGCGATAGGGGATTAGTCTGCGTTGCCTGCAGTAGCTCCCACCCTACGCGTATCAGCGTTCACGTAAGCTGCAGCGCCATACTCCAGATCTGCTAATCCCGCAGGCCCCACGTCCTCGCATTGCCTTCGCAACGACAGCGATGACGATCAACAAAAAAACCCACCAGAGTGCATGATATCAGCATAATTAAATCGGTTTCCCAGGTCGCCCCAACTCCGCGAGCAAGAATATTCTCGGACGGTTAATTACCCCGTACGGAGCAAGCACCGGCCACACGAAGCCAGAAATCGGGATACCGGTTTCTACGGAACAGGTCGAGAAAGCCCGGTTCCACATGACCAACCGACACGCATCCCAGTAGATGCTGTTGAAGCCATATTGAAACACCGGCTGGACTGGTTCCCTAGTAGAGCTGACGCAAAATGAGGACCAACATAACCCAATAACCCTGGCCAAACGAAAAGGATTCCTATTACCATGGATCTGAAAATCGGCGAGTTGGCTTCGAGAACCATTAAGCCCATTCGATAAACAACGTTTCCTAAAATCTTAAAATGAACTCTCAGTATGATCCTTCGAACGTGTGTGGTGCTTGCTACGTCCAATAAGCAATGAAATTATAGAAGACAAACCCATAGACCAAATAATCCATTATATACTACGCTAAATGCTTTCGAACGTATCTCTGCCACCTAACCCTAAACGCCCCATACCAAATGTTCAGCAAAATCCAAATCGCAATGCACTCAACGGGTATCTCCTCGAAACACCACCCTCACGTTAAAAAGGAGCCAGAGTCCAGAAAGCCAAAGCGATGATCAACGCAGCGATATTAGGTCCGTAAAATATCCCAGCGATCTTTTTGTCGTCATCTTCGCCGTTGGCGCCGTTTTCCGAGTTGGCTTTGGTGGCATTCTCTGCGCTATTAAGCCCTTTGGTCTTCATGCATGTCATTTGGGCCTCGGCTTCAGTAATAAGACTGCCATTGCCTGGGTAAAAGAGGGTGAGGATCGGTGTGATACCGAAGAGGTTATTATAGACCGATGTGGATGTGAAGTCGCCCTGGGGAACTATTAGTGACATGTATGAGGGTAATGATCCGAATAGAATATTTACCGGAGTATCAGCAGAGTTGACAAGTGCCAGGTCATACTGCTTAGGGACAATTGGCCAGCAGTTTGAAGTTGAGTTCTGGGCAGTAGTAATAGGTTTAGCTGCCCCACTACCAGAAAGTACTGCAAAATATTAGCCTGTGTTTTTCCTCAACTACAAATGTCTTTAGTACTTGCCTTTAACACTTAACCCCTTCCATTTGCTGTCGGTTGCAATGGATTTGCAGGCATCATCCAAGTTTTCCTTGAAAGCGGTCTCGAGCTTGCTACAGGCTTCGACATTTCCCAGGCCCTTCACATCAACATTGGTCGCACGTTTGACCAAGGCATTAACACAGTCGGTGCCTATTGCCTCTTGACAAGTCCCTTCCGATTCCTCAATGACGCGGGAGGAGCCACTGAAAGAAGCCCGATCGCTGACTTTCCCAAAGAAAACAGCACAAGCACCGGTTCCAGTAAGATTTGTGTCTGGAGGAGTTTCCAAGGTAGTAGTTCTTGGTAAAAGTTCGATTGCTTTTGACGTCCGTTACGGCAACGCCCTCAGTCCATGACAGTCCGGCGAGAGAATTCTGAGGTGACTGGGATACGGGCAAGACGAATGGTGTGGAAGGTTTTGTCGACAACGGTGCACTGGACTGTGGTTATGCTACCAGGGCCTGTTGGGCAATCAACATCTATACAACCAACGATCGTGGAAGAAAGGCTTTGGCTATGGACTGCGTATATATGCCCCACTACGACGGCAATAGTTAAAAATACCGAAGGCATGTTGAAGTTTATGAGGTGTAGAAACGGAAATGAACCAATCGGAAATAACGACTAGCAGTGAGAGATGAGAGGAGATGACGATGTCCTTGCCAGCGTAAGGTAAATCAGGTACGAGCAGTTGTCTATTAAATCAAGGAGGAAAGAAGTGAGTAGGAGAAGAGATGCTATCAATGATGCGCCTTGCCATGAGAGATAGACAGGAAAATGAATTGTGAAACCGGTTTGCTCGTTTTGTTCGTACAGCTGAGATATATGGATGACCTCCTAGCATACTCATGGGCCTCAGGTCAAGTAAACGGTCAGGTGCTTGACAAGGCATTTAGGTCGAGGGCTGAACCACTGTTCGTCTCGAGATTGTGAGTAAATGCTGGAGTGTGGGGTTTATATGGGATAATAATGTGGCTCTTTAGTGCCGATACATCCGCGAGAGGCGTAGGAAGTAGACACACGCAGCAATATAGGACGACTGTATGTACAGGTGCCTAGTAACAAGGTACATATACTTAGTATCTTGGCTGCGCCGCGCCGCCCCATTATAATTTCGGATTGCTCGATTATAGTACGAAGTACGGCCATATAAATTCTTGAATTTATCGAAATTCGAAGATTCGGGCAATGTAGTTAGTAGATCTGAGAAACTACCCGTATATGTACATTGTTAAGAACTTGTAATCTTTGGGGCCACGATTCCAATTTCCAAGGAAGGCTCTTATGGTGGCGGTGGCCAGCTTGATAGTAGTAAACACTGGGCGTAGCGCTCATAAACGAGCTTCCGCCATCACTCCACGTGGATTCTGACGAAGGCGGGCGCCGTCGACAGAGAAGGATTCTATCCAGTCTCAGCAGGCATTTTACGACCGAATGCGTAGACAACCAGAAGGCTCAAACTGACAGTGATGGATTTTAATAACCAGCGGTCAGTCGTTCATAAAAAGAAAGGCTGACTTACTGGCTTGGGGACCCAAACGAGAACTGGGGTAAGGTCACAGCCAAACAGAGGACAAAGCACATTTTCCAGTAATAAGACATCACCTCTACAACGCTTTCCAAATACCAGCCCTGGCCAACCCCGACTATTGCGCATTATTATCCAGACACGTCGTAAGGCGAATTCCATGCTACCTGGGACTGTATGCAATCACACCATGCATCATATATCATACATCATACCCCGTACTAGTCAAAGGATGCGGGTACATGCGGTGCACGGCGAATAAAAGCAGAAAAAGAATAAACATGGCAACGGAGCCGGCCGCCATACCCGAGAGCTTTTATTCCTTGCCCTCCCCCACTTTCCGCTATAAACCTCCCCTATTCCCCGCTCTTTTCTTTGATTTTTTAGAGTTTCTCTATAATTGATTTACCTCGCGTTACATTATTGTTGCAAAAAAAGGAACATCTGTGACCTCCACCGTTTTGGTGTGGCGAATGCAAAGAGTTGGAACTTGTACAGCAGAGGACAGCTGCTTTATAAAAACCCACTCGAACGATGTCGGCGGACCAGTAGCAGTCGACCCTTCTCGCGATGTTGAAAAGGCCGGAGTAGGGGGTTGCAATGATTCAGAAACGGGTAAAACTGTAACTGACCCTGAGAAAGGCGCAACAACTCCAGACGAAAACCGGCTCTTTGGATCGAACGAAAATGAAAATCAGGATACAGAGCTTGATGACTCGTCCGTCACCGGCCAGGATGACAAGAACGACTTCCCAGAGGGCGGGCTGAAATCCTGGAGTGTGGTTGTTGGTGCTTTCTGCGGCCTGTTTTCCGTCTTCGGCATCATCAACAGCACCGCGGTCCTTCTGCAATATATGCAAGAAAACCAGCTGAAGGACTATTCTCCCAGTGAGATAGGATGGATCTTCGGGCTGTCCCTCTTCCTGACATTCTTCTGCGGAGCACCCATTGGCCCAATATTTGACGCCTATGGCCCGAAACTCCTGATTTTCTGTGGGAGCATCCTCCTCATCGCTTCAATGTTCCTCTTAGGCCTGTGCACCCGTATGTAATAGCAGCTACACCTTGAAGGACCCTTCACTAATACATCAACTAGAATACTGGCACTTCATCATGGTCTACAGCGTCCTCAACGGCATCGGCGGCGCTCTCATCAACACGCCGTGCATCGCCTCAGTCGGCCATTTCTTCCTCGTCAAACGGGGCAACGCCACAGGAATAGCCATGACTGCCGGCAGCATCGGTGGTATTATTTTCCCCTTGATGCTCCAGCAGCTCTTTCCGGCAATAGGCTTTGCCTGGGCAACCCGGTGTGTTGGATTCATCCTCGTGTTCCTCCTAGTGATAGCCAATATTCTTGTCCAGAGCCGCTTGCCTCGCAAGAAAATCGGCAGTTTCAAGAAAATATGTCCGGACCTGACGGTCTTTAAAGACATACCATTCACGCTCGTCACGGTTGGTATCTTTTTTATGGAATGGGGGATCTTCGTCCCGCTAACATATATTACATCCTACGTGATAGCACATGGTCACAGCACTGCGTTCGGGTTTCAAATCCTCGCGATTGTGAATGCTGGTTCTTTCTTCGGGAGATTCTTCGCTGGTCTTGTCGCAGATATGATAGGGAGGATAAACACCCTCACCCTCACCCTCGCCATGTGCGTAGTTGCCTGCCTGGCCTTGTGGCTTCCGGCCAGTGATTCCACCGCCATGGTCGTCGTCTTCTCCGTTATTTTTGGCTGCGTCAGTGGGAGTAATCTTAGCCTGAGCCCCGTATGCGTTGGTCAGATGTGTAAAACGGAGCATTATGGCCGATACTTCGCCACGTGTTGGATGTTTGTTTCTTTTGGGTAAGTTCAGTTACACCAAGTCCCCTTTCTCGCCTCGAGCCATCCTCAGACCGAATAGTTTACTAACCATCTTCTGCGCGTATAGGACATTAACCGGCCTCCCAATTGCTGGACAGATCCTCACCGCCAATGGGGGCTCCTACGACGGCCTAGTTATCTTCGCTGCACTGTCCTACACTGTAGCAATGTTCTGCCTTATAGCGGCTCGAGTTCTTCGTGTCGGGTGGAAGATAACAGCTGTGTACTGAAGCTGTAATATCTAGAATATCTCCCTACCTGACTATCTACTATGTACAAATCAATTTTTGTAATCTAATAGGTATACATATATAATATAATATTCTATATACAGACCACGCCCGCCGAAACAGCAACCAAAAAATTTAAAATAGAAAGCAATTAAAGAAAAGAAGATAGCAAAAGAAATATCTTCACGGAGCGTTGGATACCGAGAAACCAAGCTGTACTACCCCCTAGCCTCTTGTTGTCTACACTCACTGGCTATTTCTCGGCTAGCTTTATCAAGCTTGGAAAGAACGACAGCGATGTAGTATCGTTTCTCGTAAAAGAATCCAGCTGGTAGGAATGGCCGGGCGGGTAATATATGTTTAATCAAAAGAATTTTTCGACGACTTTAGCTTTATGATAGAATTCATACCAGTAGATAAGGGTGACTGTCTCATTGAAGCTGCAGAAAATAGGAGTTGGATATATATTGATGATTTTCTCAATATCAAATCATACAGTGATTTTACACGACGATAACCCTCTGTCTACCGCCCCGGGGACACCAGCGTATATCCTCTGTATTCATTCCATCTAACATTCGTTAACATTCCTTAACAAGTCCAAATCCCAACAACTCCATCCCGATAGCCCTCAACTAGATAGCCATCCTTAATCCTAACTTTATCAACAATGGCTGGGGTTTTCCCTTCCTCCGCAGCCGTGACGCCCGCTCCACAATCCCAATGCCGGCCATCCGTCTTATCGTACACTTTCGCCACGTCTTCTCCGGCGGCGGAGACAATGCGGCGAGTATCAAACATCATGCTCGTTATGGGAGCATCGTATGCATATGCATCGTGGATTGCTCCTGTTCGGAGATCCCAAATCTAATAATAGGTTAGAAAGACCTGTAAGGGGATGAGGATAATGGGAGTACTGACCCGAATACTCCGATCTAAACTGCCAGTGACCAGGTGTACATCGTCGAACTGGAGACATGTCACAGGACCGGTATGTCCAACTAGACTTCGATGAACTTGGCCACTCCTCAAATCCCACAGCCGGACCATGCCATCAGCTGTACCGCAAGCCAAGGCAGCATCGAAGACTTGTACGGCGCCAACGAAATCCGCAGATGCATCTGCGACTTTTCCAGTTTGCCGCCATGTACCTTCGCTGGAACCCATAGTTGCCGAAGCCTGAGCTGCTGCCCACATGACATCCAAAGTTTGCACGCATCTACCCGTCTCCAGATCCCACTGTCGCAATGTCTTGTCTGCTGAGCCAGAAATCAAGGTGTCGCCTTTAAAATGTAAAGCTGTAACTTCGTCGACATGAGCTTCTAATGTGAATACCGGACAATCTCTCATTGTTCCCACCGGGGGATCAAATAGCTCCTCTTCTACGTCCCCAAAAGCTAAGGGATCCTCTTCATCTCCGCCCTTATTAATGCGGTTATCAGGAGGCTCATAATGGGCTTTACTGAGATCCCATAATCGAATCGTCGCGTCCATTGAACCTGTTGCAACGATATTGTCTTCTACTTGCAACGTCCGTACCGATGCGGTGTGCCCTTCAAGGAGACCCATGCATCGTCCAGCGCTCAGGTCCCAGACTCGAACACTGTCATCTAATGCGGATGTAACCATCGTTCCAAATGGAACATCAAAATCCAGGGCGGTGATCATGTCATTATGAGCTCGTATTTCTCGAATCGTGGATCCCGGCTCGAAATGCTCGTGCAAAATTGGCATCGATTTTCGGCGAATAGTCTTATGTCGTTTCGATTTGGTGGGTGTGCTACCTGGCGAAGGAAGCTTTTCATATATCGATTCCGACATAAATGAAGCATCCATTGCGTGATCGTCCGTTTTTTCCAACTCAACGTCAACCTCAGCCTTCAGCGCCGCGGCATCGTCGAACAGTTCCTGGGCTTCTTCAAGCCTATTCTCAACATCAAGTACTTTCGGCAAATCAGCATCGATCTTGTACGCAGAAACAGATATACCAACTGTCATGCTCTAGCAAAGCTTCTTCCTGTTCTAAACCCGCCAACCGGTCTAGCACGATCCTCCGGGTGTTGTTGAGATTGGAGATTTTATTGTCGATCTCACGAATCTCGCTGCTTGCCATATTTTTACGGATACTCATCATTTCCAGTTGGTGGTTCAAGGTATGCTTCTCCTTCTTGAGCTTGTGGATGGGCAGGTTCGAATCAGGCTCTGACTTGTCTTCCTCAAGCAACTTCCTACCCCTCGATACTCGCCTTCGATGTCGTTTGCTTTCCGGGCTGCTTTCCGGTAACGTAGCTTGGAAGCCCTGAAACAACGAGTATACATTTTCATTCTCCGGGATGTTCTTCAGCAGCTCGTCAGGTAGGTAGGTTAGGGCGCGGTATTGTATCTCCGATGTCGACAATGTGGATCGAACCAAGTCTGTCGGGCTTGTTTTCGCGAAGGAGAATACGCTTCTCTGGAGGTTTGGCCTTCGCAGCTGTTTATGCAGATCGCTCATTGCATTCTGATAATGTGTACTGGAGGTGGGATCTACCATAGGCGCCATTAGGTGGCCTGCCGTTGTTGTAACTTTCCGCCCAAACGCTTCCATCCCCCGAGTCTATATTTCATTTCGTCAGCGGGTGGGGATGAGAGGAGGTGGGAATGGGAGGGAGGAATAACATACTGATATTATCGTAGAATCATCGTCCTCTGGCCCTCCGAACGGAGAGGGATCGCGGTTGCTGGAACCGGCCATACGGTTTTGTCTACGTCAAACTAAACATAAAATAGTAATACTAAATAGAGAATGAGGCTCTGTCGGGCGTTAGGGAAAACGGGGGCGAGAAGGCCGTGCAAATGCTGTCACTGTCGCGGTTGTTTATCTTGGTCGTGTGAAGCTTTATTAGCTTTAGCTCTGAACCATGGGAGCCGACGACCCTGGCTTCGCTCAAGCCACATCGGTAGTTTATGCGGCCGCTCTCGGCGTCACACTTTCGGCCGTGCTCCTCAGCCAGAAAGTAACTTTCCTTGTTAATTCAATGCTCGTCTTACTTCGTACGCTGTTGGCATTGACATTAACGAGTCATTCTCAGTTACCTCTTGCAAATCCTACTGCCGTTCGTTACCCAGTCTGTCCCTTCACAGTCAGCTGCAACGCCACAGCCTTTTCCTGGATATAAAACACCCATCGTCCTCTTATCCGCCACTTTACTTTCCTCTTCATTTTACCCCGCTATAAATAAACAAGATGGATTCAGCAATAGATCTTTCTGATGCCTCCAAGGCTCTAGACCTTAAAAATATCCGCTTCCAGCTTATGTATGTGCCCTTCTCGTTCACGTTGTGATCTGCTAATGCTGACAAAAAGTCATTTGCAGCCGGTTGGAAGACACGATTTTATTTCATCTCATCGAGCGAGTGCAATTTCCATTCAACGGCACAATTTACAAGGCCGGTGCAGTTAGGATACCAGATAGCAATCTCGGCTTCCTCGACTGGACACTTCGGGAGAGAGAGAAACTCGACTCCTTAATTCGACGCTTCGAGTCCCCGGACGAGTACCCTTTTTTCCCAGACGCGCTCCAAAAACCGATCCTCCAGCCGCTTAACTATCCCAAGATCCTACACGAGAACGACGTCAACGTTAACGAGAAGATCAAGACGCATTATATCGAACAGTTTCTTCCTACAGCATGTGTAGATTTTGGACGGAAAGATAGAGGGGAAACGGAGGAAAATTACGGATCTGCAGCTACCGCTGATATCGCTTGCTTACAGGCCCTGTCGCGGAGGATCCATTTTGGAAAGTTTGTGGCAGAGTCCAAGTTCCAAACGGAAACGGACAGATATACGAAGTTAATTAAGGCAGAGGACCGGGACGGCATTGGGGCAGCGATCACAAATCAAGCTGTGGAGAACCAGATTCTAGAGCGGTTGCGATTGAAGGCTAAGACGTACGGGACCGACCCAAGCATAGGGGAAGAAGGTCCGGGCAAGCTTCATGTTGAGGCTGTGGTGGCAATGTACAAGGATTTCGTTATCCCAGTCACCAAGGAGGTGGAGGTCGAGTACTTGATGCAAAGGCTGTTACCAGAGTAAAGTGTAGCTTGGGTTGGGTGATAGATATTCATTGCTGCGGAGGACTTAGATATTCACCAATAGCTTTGACTGCCCCCTCAAACTTGCTTGCTTCTATCACGATCATGGAGCCTTGTGGTTTGATCCCCAGTTCTTGAAATGCTCTCTTGCTGTCCGCTATTCCTTCACCCTCGTCTTTGGTATATTCATAGCTTCCTGATGCCAGTGCATGCCGTTTCAGCACCTCATCCTCGGGGTGGAAGTAGAATATCTCGTTCCCAGTATTGTTTGACTTGTTCTTCTTCGTCCTCGGCGCATCTTCCCGGTCGAGGGAAGACTCAACCTCGCGATATGTTTTCGAGATAATGAGATAGTGCGTAAACTCGTAGGGCTCTTTATCTTCAACAGCAGCTTCTATCTCGTCAATGAGCATCGTGTACATAGGTGGGGATATTTCCGAAGGAGCATTGATCAAGCGCTCTGCGAGGATCAGGCCAACACAGGCATTGGCATTTGCTGAAAGCAAGTTGCTGAGGCCTGCCAATGCTGGATTTGACTTTGACTTTTCGATAATGTATTGTGTGAGATCCTTGATAACACTCTTTTCCCGGTGTTCGTGTAGGTTGAGAATTGTGAGGAATGCATATGCGTCAGTATCCTCGCCGTCGACCTTCACCGTAGATCCGACTGTGGGTTGGGAGAGGATGAGATCCGCAAGGGCTGATAAATCGAAGAGCTGCGAGTCCACATCGAATAGTTGCCGGAGGAGACTCTTGGTCCCGTGGAAATCAATATCTGGCTTGAAGTTGAACCATTCGAAATCCACGTTAACCATGTCCACATCCTAAGATTCCATTTTCATCAGCACATAATACGGTAAGGAACGTAAATGGCGGGGAATAGAGTACATCGTCAGATCCACTGTCGTCGCCATCAACTTTAGCAGGAGGCGCATCCGCGAGCACCTCCGGGTCTCTCACTCTTTTCTTAACCATTTTGACGCGACCGTGCTTGAGATTCTAACCTCTTGATCTATCCAGACCGGAGAAGAAATATTTCTCGTGGAAGGATGCGAAAGCAGTGGGCAAGCTTATCTCCACGTGATTGGAGTATTGATAAAGAAAAATTGACCCCGCGACAAGGTCTGAGAGAAATTTCCCCCACCTAGAGTTTGAAGATAATAACAAGAATACCGTCAACGAGAGTTAAGACATTGACGCATTTCTCGTTATTGGTCGAATGCGACTTGGACAAAAATGATTGTTTACAAAGTGTCGTCAAGAAGCAGTCTTCTGGTTGTCACGTAATCTCGGCTAATACCCCTAAATACAGCCGTTACTCTATGCTCTATAAAATCTCTAGCTTACTTCTAATCGATCCTATACTTTGATAAGTGTTTATAAAGTGAGACTATTCACAAAGTATGAAAGTCATATAATAATTCCCTCGTAGACACTAATACCACTCAAGTCAATACCATACGAGCGCTTCCTTGATCAACTAAAGTAACATCTAGAGCTCCATTTGTCGGGTTTATAACAACATCAGTACGCTACTCCTTCCATAAGGCTACCTAGGCAATCAAAGGTGTCATCACTAGCAGTAACCTCCCTACAATTATATTTCCATACCGTTATAAACTCACATACAGTTCAGCAGCATCTGCCTCTCTCCTCAACACCACACCTATCCTGACTCTATGCGTATACGGCCGTGGGAACTACGGGCATTGCGCTCTTAGGACTCTCCTCGACGTTTTGCCCATCTATACACAATTGACTCCTAAAATTGCAACCGGCTCTGCGCACGTGTTGGGGTCTTTTAACTCCATGCCTGGTTCTGCCTGTCAAGTCTAAAGGGGATAAAAGTTCCTCATCAACCTCCGATGTGCCTTGTCCATCCTATGAAAGCTTTGCGCAAACTCAAATAGCTTACCCTTCAAACACATAGCATGTAATTTCAATGGATCAGCTTCCTTCAATAACCTTTTGTAGATCTCCATCAAGATACAAGTCTCTTCAAAAGTTTTACAGTTCATAAATCCATAGTCGGCCCAGACCGGCCGCGGTGGTTCAAACTCTGCTGGTGTATCAATTGCCAGAAATTGTTTCAACCCCCAGACTGATGGTTGGGGCCCTGTTGGAGGAACAGATAGAAACGTTTCAAGATGAGGGAAATCTAGAAAACCTGGAAAATCTAGACGATAGCTTTTGAGCCCTTTTGAGTCCATTAGCGAAATGAGAGATCCGGATTCAAAAGCATACCAGAATTCCGTGAACGTAGCTGTGTTTTTAGTCTTCAGATGCACCGGAATATGGACGTGCGGTTAGCTATTGACGTCGTCAAAAAGCTTTTATCCCCCAAAAGCAGACGTTGATATAGTCCTCCGAGTAATTGTTCATTCCACTCCTCACGGCAAGTGCAGAATCCGAAGTTGTACCAATTTTCTTCGMTCGGGTTGGGGTACGCTGCATGGGTGGCACATGCGAGCATGACATAGCTCATCATCTTGGCTTTGGGCTCCAGCTGCCGAAGGGTCTTATTCTGATCTTCCGCATCCAGGTAGAGCATGGCTTTGTCAAAGAATGTGGCTACTAGCTGCTCAGTAGCTGCCTCGCTCGTCGGCGGCTTGTCTAGGCAACTCGTGTGATTTAAGAACCATGGAAAGTAGCCTCCTCTAGATCGTTCAGGCATCGAGTAGATGTAATCCTTGATATAGGTAACGAGGGATCCTTCAACTCTCCATCTATGAAAGTCTTCAGGTGTAATCTTATCCGAGTAACAAATGCCCTGGTATAGGCCTAGGAGTTTTAATTTATCAGCAAATGTAGTGAAATAGTTGAAGCCATAGTCGTCCAATACATCTTCTTCATCTGGTAGCTTGTTCTCCAAAACAGTTTTGAAAAGAAAGTCCGCGGTAGTTAGTGGACGTTTTGAGCAAGTAAAAATATGAGAGTTAGATCTCTTGTCTTCGCATGACTGGCTGCAATACCGATCCTTCCCACAGACACTACATTTTCGTGATGTCAATCGAGAACAAGCAGAGCATTGATCCATACAGTCTGTCTCCTGGCTTGATTCTCCTTCGACAGCCTGCCTGTTTTCGACAGTCGAAAGGCGAAATGTGTGATGTTTCTCGTTTAGCTCCAACCTGTTACAAAGTCAAGTTCGGTTCTATCTTTCAAACATGGCTATTATTCCTACCTTGCGAACATTGCCGCAACTCGTTCCTGCTCTGCTTTCTTTCTCCGGCTCTCGATCACAGGATTGGCTGTAGCTTCCTTCGCCCTTTCCCCACTAAAAACGGTACTCCCGCCAACAACAGAGGTTTTTTCTTGCTTTTTAGGTCTCTGCAAGTCTCTTTTCAACTCTTTCTTCATATCTTTTTGTACCTGAAATACAGCATCACGCAATTTCGCATACTGGGTAGCTGCCAAACCTGTTGTTATGGGTATAGTGCAGGGTTTGAATAAGCGGCCGTGAGATCCTCTAGTTTTGAAGGTGCCGTGAGCTTTGAGAAAATGCGAGCACATGAAACAGCTGTACTTGCTGCACCCAAAATAGCGGACAAGGTGGACGAAGGTCTCGTCGAGCTTGCTAAAGAACATGACCATCTGTACTTCGGCGTGCACGTTGAGCTTCTGTCTCTGAAGTTCCCTGAATTTTTGATCGGCTTTAACTATGGTCCATTTTTCGCCTAACATGGTTTGGATTGTCGGCAAGTCAAGTTGTAAACCAAGCTTTTCAAGAGTTTGTTTGAGAGTGAGTGCAGTTTTGATCGGATCTTGCAAGACCGGAGCACGAGGTATGAGGACAATGCCCACTTTGGCGAAGCTGGGCAGCTTGTTAACAATATCTTTGAATATCTTATAGCAGACTCGAAGCCTCCCTAGAAAGCAGATACAAATCCACAGTTTCCGAGTAGAAGCAGTTGCGCGGGGCGAATCCAGAAGGAGGTCCTTAACCTCTCTTATCTTTCGGAGCCTATAAGCTTGGTTCACGAGGTCGTCGTGTCAGTCTAGTAATATGCTTCCAGGCGGCTGATGATCAAAGACTAAGCCACGAAGAATTGATATCTGTTGCATGACCTCGGAATACTGTGCAGTACTGATGGGTTCCGATAAATGGTTACATTCTTTGAGACTCGATCGTAAATCCGGAATGCAGGTGCTTTCTAGGCGCTGCCTATAGAAACCTAACATATGAAGCCATAGTTCTGTTTCGGCATTTTGACCTTCAGTACCTTAAAAGGGTAGTCAGTACTATGCAGCGACCCCGATGGTTGAGTTACGTACCTTGGCTTGAACTAAACACGCACAATAGATCACTAAGTTTTTGAAAGAAGAGCTCGTCCGCTTTCTGAAAACCTCCATTGCGAGCAATCCAGACGGTCACGGAGTCCCCTTCCTCTCTCATCGCTGAACATGCCACGGAATGGCCACCCTTCTTGTTTGCTGCAAGCTCAGCCAAACAATCTAAAAACTTTCTTTTAACACTGCCGTGGCGAGATTTTGAAATGCGCTGAGGCCGCGAAGTGTCAATACTGCCTGTATCGCTCTCCTCGCCAGAGTCATTGCCCTCAAGATCAGCATCGGGCAACGAGGCTGGCTCAACTTGGCCGCCATTTCTAAGCGCAAGAAGGTTGGCTAGGGCTGTGAATAGAGGCCTATCCAAGCTAGGCAGATTCCAGTCGAAGCTTTCAGTCATGGTCCTCGGTGTTTCGATTGGGATGTGAAGAGTAGAGGATCTGCATCGCTCGCAGGGCTGAAATAGCGTGCGCTGGAGTTACACAACATCCAGTTGAATGGGTGGCATGGAACCCACGCGAGCTGTACCAAGCAAGCGGTATTTGGTATTGGTTGTCTTGTCCCGAGCGACACTTTGATTGATTCCGATATGCCTGCTTGTGACTTTCTCAATTCTTACGAGCAATGCTCTAGAGCAAGGGGAAGAAATCTATTGCAGGTCTAAAGCCCCCGGGTCAGCGTATGCTTTTAGCTCTCAATCATCAAAAACACGAAGCAAATTCAAAAACACAAGTTATATGTAAGCCGGTGATAGGGTTTGTATTTCTCTACTCTCCCACCGAGAAGCGATGACACGCCCAGCCAACCTCTCTCTCACTTTGTCCCTCCTTCGATTATCCTACTTCCGCTCAACCCGAAGCACAATCTCTATACCCCGAATAACCTGTATAAACACATCTCTCGTAAAGATGGCAAAAATACACCTGCCATTTTTTAAAATATGCACCCAGGGGGGGGGTTTCTTTCTCATCCCCTGTCTCTCCTCTGCTTTCTTCCATCACAACAATTGAATACAAGAATGGGGGTATAAAGAAGGAAAAATTTGTAGTCAGATAGGCGTCTGCTTCTGAAAAAGAAAATACATGTGATGTTTTGTTTGCAATTAATTAGAGCTGAATCCTCGGACAGCTGATATGCTGGAGGGCGCAATGTTTCAGCGATTGGCGATGCAAAGGAATGCCATGGAACCATAGGTCTATAATGTAACAGGCGTCAAGGTGAGAAGAAGGTTGTAAAAGAGTGAGGTAGAAGTAGGTTGCATTGCTTGTCTGCTTAATCGAGGTCGTGGTCGAGGAGCAGGCAAAGTTGAGTATTTCGTTCAAAAAAGGCAAAAGGATGCGCAAAACGCGAGAGGCCGCAACTCCAACACCAGAGTAACACCATCATCAATCCGTAGAAAACAATCTTGCAGAGGACATCAAGTCGGAGCGTCATATATTGCCGCCAGGGTGCTGGGCCGTGGAGCCAGTTTCGGTCGAGCCATCACCATCGATTGTCTTCCGCCAATGATCTGGCAGACATACACAAACGAGCGGGAATGCTTTGATTTCACCGCTGACATTGGGTGATTCGTCTCTGCGACCGGAGGTGTTAGAGACACCGCTGTCACGCAGGGCGTTCCGCTTCGCATCCCAGTCCTCTGCTTGTTCATCAATCAAGACTCCAGTCGCCCAGCCATCATCCCAAATACCAACGACTTTGAGCATATCACCTCGTTCCAAGGCGAACTCGTCTCCTGCACGGGGTTGGTACGCCCATAATGTCGCAACTTTGTCCCCCGGATGAATTTCATCCGTCGAGTAGTAGTCCTTGAAGAACGGCAACTGCTCGGATTGCTGGCTGGTCATGCCTTGCGGGGAAGACATATCGCCGCCACTGCCTGAACGTGGGGATTGCGGGTCGTCATATCCAAGGGCCGATCCGCTGGAAAGAGATCCGTTCCGCCGGGCTGTCGGTGGCGGTCTTAGGACACCGCCCTGATTGTTCGAAATCGGGCTGTATTCATCTGATGACGACTCATGATGCCTTCTACTACGTCCGGTTGCATATCCCGCTCCACCACTCGCAGCTGATAGCATTGCGCCATCTCCTCGAGGCGGCGAATCGGATTCGCCCTCCAACGCTGACATACGTGCAATCCGCCCACCTGGAAGTACCTCGTACCCGGGGCTCGCTACTGGCGTTGGCTGGGTGTAAGCCATATTTGGCTTCTGCTTTGCAGGCGATGGTTGGTTAAAAATGCTTCCATTCTGACTTCCCCCTCGGCGTCGTCGTAAACAAAGTAGCAGAAGGAAAAGTAACGCCGCAAGAATAGCGGCTCCTGCTAGCGACCCAATGACAATTCCGGCAATGGCTCCCCCAGAAAGACCCTTACTGGAGCTCGAGGCTGCAGCGGTAGATGACGGCGAAGCTGTGGGAGTCGAAGTTGGCGCAGCAGTTGAAAATGTCATGAGAGCGGTGATCGTAGGTAGCTTTACGCCAGCACATCTCTGCTCTGCCTGGGAATTATAACAGCAAGTCTCTGTACTGTTCTGGCCCCCTGAGCTACAGTATTGGCATAGGCCGATGGTACTGTTTCCAAACCCACAATTGTCAGACTCGTTTGCGGCGCCCTCGATACAGGTACCACTCAAGGAGCTGGCCGGCAGCGCGCAATTGGTGAAATCGGCTCTGATCTGTTTCTCGGCATCGGGACCCGGGTTTGAACAAAGGTCATTATTAGCGACGATAATAGCCTCGCTGCCGGCCTGTTGTGCCTGATTGATATGTTAATATGGAGGGCGATCAATATTAATAGTATAATATGACTTACACATGTAGTGGCGCAGACTGGCCTCGAGTCGGCGGGTGATAGGTTACATGAAAACCGGGAATTTTGTATTATTGCATTACATATTACTGTGGTCGTGAAACGTGCGTACAGGTCGGTGGTTTTTGTCAAGTCGACGTTTCCGCAGCCAAGTAGCGTGCGGTACCTGTATCACTCGTTAGAACCCGAGAGGATAGGATAGCTTAGAGCGAGACATACTTCTCTTGCGCATAGCTCGTGGAGATGTATGTTTTCAATTGGTCGTCGAATGTTTCCGTGCTCGAAACGAACCTCAGGAATGGACTAAGTGCGAAACCTTATGTTAGCGACCCGCGCATAATGAGGAATGATTTAGTGGCAACGTACAAATACCCCAAGAGAGTATCATTGGTGGTCGATATCGACGACGAGCTGAACGCCGGACATTGTGTTGATCCTTTCAGCGAGATGCAATTACCCTGGGCCATCGCGGACGGGGCGACTGCGAGAATCGATAGCAGCGCTGCTGTTCTGGCATTGAAGGGCGCAGTCCGTTGTTTTTGTTGTTTTCGTTTGCGGTGGCTCGAGGTCGAACTCGAACTTGAACTCGAGCGGTCGCTGTGTTGCCCGTGTCTCCCAGCCGGCAGTATTGGACTCGCACTCGGCGATTCTGAGTCGGGCATCACGAAGCCGCTGGCATTGTCCGACGCGGCGAGGTGGGCGGTGTATTCGTTGTCGCTCTCGGCCTCAGAGCATGCCTCCCTCATGTTTGGATTTCGTTGGTGGTTGATGGCCGTCCCTTAGTCCTCCCTCATCCAGGCGCGCCCAGCCAGGCCGCGCACAATGCAGCGGATCTCCCTTCTAGCCCGGCGGAAGTAGGACCAAAGTGAAATAAATATCCTCTCCTCGCGATTCCCGAATGCCGTGGCCACCGAGAAGCGTTGAGGAGGGCGAGACGAAGGGAATTGCAAACGAGTGTCGGGGAGGGACTATGAAGGAGCGTCGAGGTGCGGTGGAAAGAGGAGAAGTGGAGGCAGAGTAGGGAGTCGAGTCGGGAGGAGGACAGGACAGGCACGAAACACCACGTTGAGAACGCCGCGACAGGCCTCTGGGAGCAGGGAAGGTGCTGGACTGGGCCTCCTGGACCTCTGCTGGGAGCCAGGACTTCAGGGACTTGGGCGAGGACGAGGAAGACGTGGAAGGGATCCGTCTCCGTGCAAAAGGTCAAACTAACTGCTCCGAGTTACGCTGGACGGCGCCGCGCAGTCAATGGAGTCAAGACTGGACGTAGGTACCCGTCGACCTGCTGCTGCTCACCAATAAGGGGGCGGCTGGAGCGTTGTTTCGGGGCATGAAAGCTAATCAGCATGCAAAGTAAAATTAGACAACAAACTCAGGCGCCAGCACGGCTTTTTTCTGGCGCGGAGGGGCTGGGCAGTGGACAGTGGGCAGTGGGGAGGTAGAGTAGCGGCGGTGAGTTTCTGGGCGGTTGCTTCTTGAATCTTCAGGTTCGTTTCTGCTTGTCAATAATTGAAACCAGAGTGTGGTGAACTTTGTGGGGAGCGAGAGAGAGTTGTGTCAAGGGAACGAAAGGTACGGGAAAGGTTGTTGAAGCCCAGCGCCGGCAGCAGAGGCTTCATTACTTAAAAGCCCCCCGAACAAAACGAGGCCACGGGCACGTTATGACATGCAGGTTCGTCAGCTAATAATAATAAGACATCTGCTTAAGACTTATATCCTATTCGTGATGCGACTGGGTGTTGTGAGCATCCTCAGAGCAGTCTGAGACTCTCAGACTCTCTCGCGGTCTCCCCACTGCGGTCAAGTCTCTCGAACCGTACAAAGCGCGACGAAGTACATGTACACGGGACCTATTTTCGGACTTTGCATCTTGGACCTCCCATGTATATACCAGCATGGCATTTTATTGGTTTCACGCGTTCGTGCAACGCGCCCAGCCAGTTCTAAGCTCGTGGATAAAAGGCAAAATGAAGCTGCGGGAGCAAGCGAAGCAAGCGACGCCTCAAGAGTTGCAGCAAGGTGTTGAAGGTGTTGAAGGTGTTGAAGGTGTTGAAGGTGTTGAAGGTGTTGAAGGTGTTGAAGGTGTTGAAGGTGTCCAAGGTTCATGGCAACAAATAATCCTCCATGTCGAAACCTCCAACAGCAAGCATACCGGTATCTAGTACAGAGCACTGTACAGCCCAGGGCCACTGCTACAATAAACCAAACCAAACCCCCTCCAAACCCGCCCGGAGTTTGGTACCGCGATATAAGGCCCTGCTAGACGCCGTTTATGGTTCGCAAGTGTCATATCTTTATATCCCATATCCTCGACTCCTCGCTACCAAGGAATTAATGCTTCAACTGCCAAAGTTCAAACAAGCATAGCATGACCTGGACATGGGCAAAGGCTTTTGCATCAAGCTGGCGCCCTCCCCCCCGCCTCGTACAACGTCCACGGTACGCTGGACTTCGAACTCCAACTTCGAACGTGTTATGGATTGCATTGGCCAGTGCATTGATGGCATGGCGGTGCGTCCCGGCTACCAGGCGTTGCAATCGGTGGGTGCTGAGGCAAGCTTCCAAGATTGAAGATACCTAATACATACGAAGTGCTACGTACTGTACAGTACACTCGGGCATGTGTAGTCCGAATACGCTCAGGATGACTAGATGAGCAGGCAATGAACCTTACAGAAGCATGGTGCCTCTACTCCAGGAGTCAAGATACGCGATCAGTATCTTTCAATCTGCTTAGCGACTACCAGACACGTCTGGGGGGCTCTTCCTGTTTTAGTCTCCTGTTTGAAGTTTGGAGTTTGGAGTTTGGGATTTGGAATTTGGAATAACCCTAATCCCACCGCCCAGCAACGTGGGTACTGACAGGTCTGGTTCTGCAATGCGCTCCTACGAACTGGAAACCCTCTGTTTACCCCGCGTTGTCATGCGTACATGCGTACCAGACTTCGATATCTCTAAGACCTGCAATTGCAGACTTATGTGATGACAAGGTCCGACGCCTCTACGGGCCGGAGTATTTCAAGAATTGGATTCGTTCGCAAACTGCATGTTCTGTTCTGTTCGAATTCAGCAGCACAGATCTTTCTCATCTTAGACCGCGGTTTGAATCTTATGCAGCGCTGCGCGCTTCTTTTCTGCATGAAGCTTCATGTACCCGTCTGGGGTGTCTCTCGGGGGTCAGCCTTGGGTGCTCACCACCACGACCCTCACCAGTTTCGCTTTCAGAGAAGAACAGACAGCTCAGCCTCCTCTGCTCTCTCGGTCGTTTGGCCTGAGATCCACGGGCGCCGCCAACGCCCCTTACAAAAGATGGGATTAAAGTCCAACGCTGTGGGGCTTTCCACGCGTGGTCCGTTGCCCTGAATACCAACGCCATCACGGCGAAGAGCCCAAGGGACTCCAGGAGACGCTGATCGCGAGCGCGGATTCGTCGTTTGGACCCTCGCTGACGGGAAACAAGGATCTCACGGAGATGAATGGTAACGGTAGCGGGTTGCCAGGGGAGAGCTATACCCGGCGCTCCCGGGCTGATATTCGAGCCGATTATAGGGTTGATAGGACACGGGAGTTTGATCTTTCGGTTTGATCGACCGACCATACCGTTGTAAGTCTGCTTTGTCGAAATGCACGCACACCTAGCTCTTGAGCTTCGAAAGGATGGGACGGTAAGTTTCCTGCCGCTGCTTCCTCGCCTCTGCTTCCTGCTTCCTGCTTCGTACTCAAGTATTGATATTTCATGCGCCAATGTCTTAAACATGGCACCAATAGGAGGTGGGAATCGGAATAAACTTGAAACTTATTTGATTAAACTACCCCTTTTCAGACGAGTTGGTACGCTGCAGTGAGCACGCCCGCATGCTACTGCGCAAAGTAATATGATCGTCAGAACAAAATAAAATAACGACGAATCATAAAGGGTAAAAAGAAATGGTGCGAGAGTCGTGGGACCCAATGGTTAGTTATTAATGGAATATTTGCTAATTCGACGAGGGAGGTTCGAGTACAATTAAGTTGTGTGTTGGACATTTGCATACAATTTTATACAGAATGCTGCCACGGAGTACATAGGTACGTAGGCATGAAAAGTATCCCTGGCACAACTCTCAATATGTAGTCACCATCGAACATGTTCAGAAGTTCAGACACCCACTCTAACGGTCGTCTACTATCTCCTAATCAACAACCCCCCCCCCCCCCCCGCCACTGGGTACGAAAAAAGGAAGTGTAAGCACGCCTCCCGCGATCCACCAAGAAGCGCCCTAACCTGATTGAGAACTTCAATAAAAACAATCCAATTGCCACTGCTTTTCTTCTGCACAGCTTCGGGAAGGATGCGGCTCCATCTTCAGCGAGCGTCGCCTCTTCAGCTACCATGTGTATCTCAGACGAACGTGTTTTCTTTTCGTCCTTCCTCGGGTGGCAATACGTGGCTGACGCCGGCCAGCTTTCAGTGTTCTTTCTCCTCTCCTTTAGGACATTTTCGCTCGAATAGGGTGAGGTGTCTTACTTTTTCCTGATAGAGAATGTGTTAGTGATAATAAGTATCTAATATTAGGATTAAATATCACTGTATTCGTAGCTCTATACGGGGTATCCGTCGCCTTCCAATAAAGCGGCTTGCTGGGAGTTAGTTGTTGAGGTGGAGTGAGACGTGACTCGGCTCACTTAGTATGCTTCTCGAGTAGTATTAGTTTGCTAAGTGCAAAGGTCGTAGAAAATAGCTATAGCATTAGGGAAGGAGCATCTATCTTACCATATCGCATAAAGCTTTTCGTTAATATATTAATCCGTATATATTTCGAACGGTAAGAATACATCATGACGGCAACGAAAATTGATACTTCTTTTTTGGTAGGAATAATAGCTATATTACTTAAAGTAAGTTTTAATGAAATTGTATGATTTAATATAATTGTTTTGCTTACTTATTTTATTCTGTTGGAAGGTTTTCTTGGATCAATGATCAAAACTATATTTGTCGAATAAAGAAATATAAGATTTATGATACTTTTAAGCTCAGAAAATAAAATTTACTCCTAAATATACCTAAATGCGAGACATTTACTTTTGAAAATAGATTACTCCGTCTATGTCCCATTAGTTCACTCACTAGTATTGTCGGATGTACAAAACACATCTATATCCTCATTTCTTAATAAACTCTTAGCGAGTCGTGACAGATATAAACCCAAGCGGATGCCGGGGAAAGCTCCGCTCCATATACTAATCAAAAGGAATAAAGATACGATAATTAAATAAATTAGTTAATCTGAGTTTGCAACTACATCATAAGCCGCACAATGATTCCATTAATGTGGGCAGAGTCAAACCGGTGACCATGACGTATACCGGCCTGCTTCCGGGACGTAGATAGTTAACTTTAAGCAACCTCCTAAAACGCACACAAGCACTTCTATATCAATTTCAATATTTTTCTTGAAGTTCATTAGACTTCCGTCCAACCTTCCCGCTCAGTTAAATCTATATCTATAAATTATAGAAGGAAAGTTATATCACAACTGCTGTCATTATGTCTATGGGCAAAGAAGGACGCGGCAGCGGCAGTGGAATGTCCAATGTCGGCAACTCCCAGGCTTACGAGGCTGGTGATCAGGTAACGGCCCCGAGAGGTATGCAGGAGGAAACCCGGGATGAGAAAACGCATGTGGGACATACTCCCAGCCAGATCCTGTCAGAAGAGCACAAGAAGCACTGGGGGCATAAACACAGTCAATCTGAAGAAAAGAAGGTTTGTGTTATTAATTTACTTAATGGAGATGTTGGAGGAGCAAGTGTGTTAACGACGAATACAGATACAGAGGAGCGCCAAAGAGACGCAACAGCTAAAGCAGGATCCGACATTGCCGGTAAGCAATTAAGGAGTGTTGTAGCATACCTCAACTTCTTCGCACCAAACCTGGGCATATACTTTACATACCTCTAAACCTGACTGGCCTTCCCCAAATACCTTGCTTAGCGGAATATTGCTGACTAGATGTACGTCTTAGGCAACGGTGCATGGGAACAAGCCGTCCAAGGGTGCTAGGATTGACGCTCAACTGCAAGCCGAGGAAGAAGAAGAGCTGAGGAAAAAGGGGAAGCTTCCATGACGAGTTATATATGAGGGATATGCTCTGGTGGCATGGGTTGAGTAGATAGGCATGGTAGTATTATCTGGTGCTTTGGGTTGAAACATGGCTGGAGCGCTGATGAACTGTGCTATATCAACCTAAAACTCGAAATAAACAAGTACTTCTTTACTTTCCGTTGAGAGGAGGGAGCTCAATGATCATTGTATGTGGACATACCGATCGGGTCCAAGACGTTTCACTTTCTTTTGATAGACGATGTCTCGTGTCAAGTGGTAAAGATTGAACAACAGGACAGCTCATTAAGGGAAGCAAAAACAAAGTTAATAGGTCACGGAAACTTTATTAAATGCGATGGATTCGCCACATGCAATGGGAACCTAGTAACTCTGACTGGATTAAAGCAACCACTCGGTACAATAATTATTCTGACTTTATTTACTTTGAAGACATCTACTTAACAATGGGCCTTCTGGCTACGGTACGCTTCCAATCTCCTAGCACTGGAAGAAGTACCTGCTTCTGTGATCCTGTCAGGTGCTAATGCGAGACTTTGCATGACGCTCGAGGCGGACCCCAAGTACTTGTTTCAATGCGTGTGATGGGCTAAGGGAAATTACCAAGGCAACTTGAGGAGCCTGTTTATCAGAAAGCACATAAGGAGCTGCTTCGGATCCTTGTATTTAGACATTTCTTTTTAGAATGATGAAGCAGCGCATGAGGAAGACGTAGGTGGGATAGAGCGGTTAGATAAAGCTACGCTAGCAATGCTAAAAGCACACGACAAGGGGCAGAAAGAACGAATGTGGACAGGTAATCCGGTGGAAGAAGGGAAGAAATGACAGTAGATAGATCAATACCAGAGCTGCGGAGGAGCATTCTCTTTGGACGAGGGACAGAATTGCCACTTGGCATCTGTGTAGAGTTGACAATTGTTGTAGAGCCACGCTGGATGGTAAAGTAATAATACTAAATACTGTTATTTGTACAGAGTAAAGGATTCTTTGGATATATCAAAGCCTTGTGGTTGTGGCGAGATTTAATCTGGAAGTTGTTAAAATTGTGTACCTTAGGTAGATAACTGCTCTACTTCGTACTAAGGTACCAAGAAGCTATATTGGTCTCTGTACCCAACCGTACTAGATATTGCGGGACCTCCGACTGATAGAGCACTCCATGCGATATCTCCACGATTCCTATCAGTTATGAAAATAGCTACCCCGATACCTGTTGTAACTTCGTCGCGATTACTTCTAGTTTTGCTGGGCCGGCTTGCAGCTTGAGGGCATATTGCGCTGTCCCAAGCTGCGTCCTTTCTCCAAGCTCAATGACTTCAACTCTATTCAGATGACCCCCGAGCTCCGAGCACCATGGGACAAGGCTTCTCCCTCGTTGCGCTCGCAGGCGGATCCGCGAATATTGATGTGCCCGAGCTCTCGGATCTTGTTTATGAGAAGTCCATGGGAAATGCGCGGTTCATGAAAAGTATACGTGCCCGGCACCAAGATGGAGTGGTCGTTGTCAAGGTCGCGGTCAAGCCTTATCCCATGAGCTTGGAGAAGTACAGGCGCGGGATAATTCGTGAGTACACCATGTCCGTTTCATCATTATCATTATATTGACATGATACTGCAGAAGAGAGGAAGGCTCTGGCTGATGTTCCCAACGCCCTTGCCTATCAACGAATCGTGGAAACCGAAACGGGCGGATACCTTGTTCGACAGTACTTATATAGCTCCCTCTACGATCGACTGAGCACGCGACCATTTCTAGAAGATATAGAGAAGAAATGGCTTGCATTCCAGCTCCTCTGCGGCCTCCGCGACTGCCATACCCGAGATATCTTTCATGGGGATATTAAGACGCAGAATGTTTTAGTCACCTCGTGGAACTGGTTATACCTGTCTGATTTCTCATCGTCTTTTAAGCCTACCCAGTTGCCAGAGGATAATCCTGCCGACTTCCACTACTTTTTCGAAACTGCTGTTTCGAATACAGGCAAGAGGCCCTGCTATCTTGCGCCGGAACGGTTCCTACCTGCGGAGGAGAACCCAGATCCAAATGCGCCGGTAACATGGGCCATGGATGTGTTCAGTGCTGGCTGCGTGATAGCAGAGCTCTTCCTGGAGGCCCCGATATTTGATCTGCATAACCTTTTCAAGTATCGAAGCGGGGAATTCGATCCCGTCATTACTCATCTTAGTCGGATCCCGGATAAGGATATAAGGGACTTGGTTGCCCATATGATCCAGGTTGATCCGGAATCAAGATACTCTGCTGAGGAGTATCTCGAATTCTGGAGCAAGAAAGCATTCCCAGATTATTTTTACAGCTTCCTCCATCAATATATGGGCCTGATCACCGACCCGTCGTCCGGTAGGGCACCTATCTCGGGTGCTTCGGCCAATCTCGGAGAGGCAGATGAACGTATAGATCGCATATACTATGATTTTGACAAGATATCTTATTTCCTAGGTTATGGGAACGAAAAGCAAACAGTTACGAAATCAACTTCTTCTGGACCTGGCCTAGAACTCTTCCCTGTGCATCTTAACATTCCGAACAATGAACATCAGGCCTCTATCATTGGGATCAAGAACCTGATTGATGATGGCACTCTTATATTTCTAGCCCTTGTTACATCATCCGTCCGGAATACTGCCCGGGCGACAGCTAGAATACGAGCATGCGATTTACTTCTAGCTTTTGCTGAAAGGTTGACTGATGAGGCGAAACTTGATAGAGTTTTGCCATACTTGGTTCTACTGTTGAATGACAAAGTGGATACCGTCAAGGTGGCTGCCATACGCTCTTTAACTCAGCTTATGGCACTCGTGACTGTGGTCTCTCCAGTCAACGCGCACGCCTTTCCCGAGTACATTCTACCTCGAATGCAAGCATTTCTCCCAGGATCTCCATCCGAACCTAGTCCTCTGGTTCGAGCGACTTATGCCGCATGCCTGGGTAGTCTGGCGACGTCCGCCTCGAAATTTCTCGATATAGTGGCGACATTACGAGCTGATGGATCTCTTCCCACTGCTGATCCAGAAGTTGAGAATGGTGTTGGTGGAAACCCTGTTTTTCAGGGCCTGTTCGATAACACTCGGGCTGACCTCATCGAGATATTTGAAAGCCATACCAAAGCCCTTATCACAGACTCTGATTCTTCTGTCAAACGAGCATTCCTTGGCTCTGTGCCTGAGTTGTGTATGTTCTTTGGTACTGCGGATTCCAATGACATTATCCTAAGTCATTTGAATACCTACTTGAATGACCGAAACTGGATGCTTAAATGTGCCTTCTTTGAGACCATCGTTGGCGTGGCTACTTTCCTAGGCGGCACTAGTTTGGAGGAGTTTATTCTCCCGTTGATGGTACAGGCGCTGACCGACCCCGAGGAATTCGTCATACAGAGCTGTTTGCATTCCCTTGCTAGCATGGCCGAATTGGGTCTCTTCCAACGATCAAAGATCTGGGAACTTGTGGATGTGGTTGCGAGGTTCACTATGCACCCCAATATTTGGATCCGGGAAGCTGCAGCAATGTTTCTATCTGCCTCCAGCTTTTTGTCAACCGCAGACAAGTATTGCATCATCTTGCCTCTAATCAGACCTTATTTAAAGACACCTATCAAGGACTTCTCAGAACTGGTGCTGCTCGATCATCTGAAAAGGCCATTATCGCGGCCCCTGCTAGATCTTGCAATCAATTGGGCTTTGAAAGTCGACCGAGGAATCTTTTGGAAGCCTGTTAACCGCCTACGAACGTTTTCTCTTGATTCGAATAGCTTGATACCCACCATATCCACGAAGGAGCTGGGGCACAATGCTTTACATAAAATAAATAAAAACGAGGAGGACGAGCAGTGGTTGGCAAAGCTCAGAAACATGGGTCTCACTCCAGAGGATGACTTTAAATTGCTTTGTTTACGAGAATACATCTGGCGTCTTGCGCCTTCCAAATCTCGGGAGGCTGCTCAGCATCCTACATATCTCAACAATGTTATAAACCTTCGCAGTATTGGCATTACACCACAGACGGTCATGTTTGATGATCAGCAAATTATAGACGAGCCAAATATCCAAGCTAGGAGAAGGTCGAATGCAGATGCTAAGGGTCAGCACACCATCGCAGATGCGTTACTAGATGCATCAATGACCATTGATGATTCAATTGCGAGACGGCGCTCTGCGAATAATACACAAAGGACTCGACTAAATACTCACGGCGGCAACTCAGCCGCTATGTCTAACGGCCATGGCCGGTCGCCCGTTTCGCCTTCCTCGGCGCAGTCCGCATCCCCTCGAGACTCCGAGGCTCCAGGAACAGCTACAGCACTTCGGAGAAACCCTGGTAGTCTTGCTATTCCATCGAACGGTGCTCATAGAGGTAGTGATGACGAGAATGGCTCAATACCCGAAACAATATCGAGCGTCAATTCTCGAGATATGAGGCATAGAGCTAGTGCCATCAACCTGATGGGTCGAAAGGATTCATCAAAAACATCACCGGAAACTGGCATGACCTCCGCCAACGCCTTTGGCCGAGTGGAAGGCCCGTTTCCCCATGCCACTGGGGGCTATTCAGCTTTGACGTTGGCACAAGAAAGGGAGAAGGAGGCTCAAAATCAAATCAGGTTTAGAGGAGCTCATACCTATACCGGCAATGACCCAAGCATACTCAAAATGCTAGATGCAATGTATGTGGACAACTACCCGAACGATATTGCAGAATTTGGACCGATGATCGCGCCCTCTAGCCGACGGAAGGCTATTAACAAGAGTTCAAGCCAAGCCACCGATCAGCCGTGGAAACCTGAAGGTGTTCTTGTGGCGACATTCTCCGAACATACCGGGCCAATACATCATATCACAGTTGCACCAGATCACGTATTCTTTCTTACCGGTAGCGACGATGGTTGTGTAAAGGTATGGGATACCGGGCGGCTTGAGCGTAACATAGCCCATCGGTCGAGGCAAACCCACAAACATGCAAACCAGACCAAGATCACCGCACTATGTTTCGTTGAGCATACCCACACTTTCATTAGCTGCGGCAGTGACGGTAGCATCAATGTAGTTCGAGTCGACTGCATCCAAACTGGCGGCTCGATGCGATATGGCAAGCTCCGAGTATTGCGCGAATATCAGCTCCCAGAAGGCGAGATGGCGCTTTGGGCAGACCACTTCAAGATAGAAACCAGTTCCACCTTGCTTGTCGCGACAAATCGATCAAGAATTCTTGCAATCGACCTACGAACGATGAGCATTTTGTATACACTGGAAAATCCAGTCCACCACGGTACACCTACTTGTTTCGTGGTCGACAGAAAGCGACAATGGCTACTATTAGGAACTTCACATGGCGTTTTAGATCTTTGGGACCTGCGTTTCAAAGTCCGCCTCCGGGCCTGGGGTGTTCCAGGTGCTACCTCAATTTACCGGATGTGCATACACCCTACTAAAGGCAGAGGTCGATGGGTATGTGTTGCTGGTGGTAGCAAGCAGGGCGAGGTTACTGTTTGGGATGTCGAGAAAATGCAGTGCAGAGAAGTCTATCGATCTGGAGGCACTCGAGATGGCCCCAAAGGTTACGATCCTTGGCCAGTTGACGAGGACCGCCCTGAGGGTATGCTTGGACGCTTTGCAACCGCCCTGGAACCCAATGGATCGAATAACTCCGATCGTGGGTTCCATGCTATGATAGCAGGCACCGATAATCACGATGATAGCCGTGAATCGAAATACGGCTTCATCGTCACCGGTGGTTCGGACAAGAAGATTCGATTTTGGGACGTATCACACGTGGAGAACTCAGTGATTGTCAGCGGACTGGACGTGGAGGAGCCAAAGCCATCTTTTACTTCCACACATCCTACGGCGTCTCTGATTCTCAACACCGAGCGAGTCCCCCGGCCAGGTCCCACAGCTCCGAACGCAGCTGCTGGCTCCCGTACTTCGGGCACAAGTAGGTCTTCTAGCACAAAACCACCGAGATCTACTGTGATCTCGCTTCAACAGCAACAGCTGCTGAAGTCACATCTTGATTCAATTCTTGATGTTGCTTTATTAGAATCGCCGTATGGAATGCTGGTATCTGCTGATAGATCTGGCGTTATATTTGTCTTTCAATAAGAGGTTGAGAAGCATTTGCATGGCGTTTGGAGACTACATCGGCGCTCGGGGGTGGGTGATCAGAAAGTGGTAAGCTGGTATTCGTATTGCCTAGATATATAATATGAACTGGACCCCAAGGTTGGGATCATGAATATTTGCAAAAAATATCAATAATTATTACAAATATTTTGAATGGCTTGAAGTAAAAGTGTATTTAATCACCTTCCCTCGTGCGTCGAGCCTGGTTTGGTACTTAGCGTGGATGACTAAGCGCAATAATTCGAACTTCAGAAATTGGTGTGATCTCAGCCTTGTCAACTTCCCACGACTGTACAATACAACAAGCGCAAATCTACACCAATCCCTTTCTTTACGTCCCCCCACTCATTGCGCAGTATATCCACATCCACAGGTAACCCGCCATCATGAGACTCACAGCTGAGCTCATCCAAAACTCCCTCTCCTACCTGAACCCGCTCAAGGAGCGAGAACTAGATCTGCGAGGTGCGTGTATGCTGAAAAGAACATGATACTACACTTTGAGGCGAGCTGCGTTGATATCGAATCCTTTTGGAAACTACAGGACACAGGATCCCAACGATTGAGAACCTCGGTGTTGCGGGGGTACGTTTTGCTCCCCTTGAGAGTGAAATCCATGTTGGACGCCGAGCTAACGGGATTGCTGCGATTAGCCTCATGACGCTATCGATTTCACCGACAATGATATCCAGATGCTAGGGAATTTCCCGCTGTCGCCACGGCTGCGAACCCTCTTGTTGGCACGCAATAGAGTCGCCGGTATACAGCCTACGCTTGCGAATTCGCTGCCTAACCTTACGACTCTGGTTCTTAATTCGAATAATTTTGCCGAGCTGGCGGATCTGGATGTTCTGTCTACGTTTCCGCGACTTACACATCTGGTCTTGATGGAGAATCCAGTGACGAGGAAAGAGGTACGTTTGCGTCAGAACCGTCGGAAGCTATGTGTGAGTATGGGCTGATATATGTGCGGATTAAGCATTGTCGACTTTGGGTTGTTTGGAGATGTCCTAGTGTGAGGTTCTTGGATTATAGGAAGGTAAAGGATGTGGAGCGGAACAAAGCAAAGGAGTTGTTCGGGACTACTGAGGAGCCGTCAGCGCTTGCTTCAAAGGTTGGTTTACTGTATAACATTATCACATCTCAGATGGTGGCTGACAGTATCCTACAGATTATGGGCATCAAATCACGGACATTTGATGTGCCATCAGCGAACGGTGTCTCGGCGAATCTGAGTTCAAAGAATTACCGCGTCAAGCTTACCGATAAGGAACGCATGAGGGTCGAGGAGCTGATTAGGAATGCGAAGAGTTTGCAGGATATTCAACGCTTGGAGAAGGAGCTTAATGAAGGACGAGTACCCGCTGCAGCTCAGGTGCATGATGATGCTATGGAGGAGTAGGGGGTTTGCACATATGCTGGTTTGGGTGGGTAGCATATCATGGCGTTTGGGTTACGAAAAGTATAGGCGTCAGCCGTTCCATGCAGGAGAGTATGCATCCGAAGAAATAAATTCACATGGCATAGAACTACAGTTTCGCAGAGTCGTAAGGTGCCGTGATTCATTCCCTAAGCCGTGCTTTTGAGTGTGGTAAAATGCTTCATACTAAAATTACATAAGACGCTTCAACTCATCTCCGCATCCTGACTGGTGCTCCTCCTGGCAACCCGATTTTCCATCTCCAATTGCATATTAGGATCCGCCACGCTGCTCTCTCTATCAGCAGAGCCTGCTCCTCCATGCGACGGAAAGCCATTCGCACTTCCGTTCATAATAGGTAGCGTGACATCGAGCGTCATCTGTCCGGCCTCCACATTGCTGTTCTCACTGTTGACCGTAGGATGACCATGGCTCGTTCCTCCTACTGCCGCGGTGGGAGTCTTCTTCTCTCTCACTTGCTTATAGGGGACGGTGCGGGGGACAACGTCAACCAGGAATTCTAGGTTGTCGAGGCGGGCTACAGCGTTTGCTGGCGTGTGTGTTAGGATGTAGGAGTAAGGGGCGATGAGAGATAGGGGATGGATAAGCCGGTATACGGGAAAGGATATGGGCACTTACAGAGATCACGGTATTGGATATTCCGTCGCGGCTTACGCTCTGATTTTACGACATTGTGTCCTTGCTCTGCCATATATTGAATGAACATCTCCTGTTGGGCGCCGCATTAATTCCCGTGTTTTAGATTTCGGGAGAGACGGTGGATTTACGCACGGTTGCTATTGTGATGAGGAATGAGGCGCTGCTGGCGCACGTGGCGATATCTTGATCCAGCGCTATCATCTTTTTTATCCGAGATACTGTGGTATTAATTAGATATGCGTTAACACGAGTTGAGATGACACTTACGAGGCAGCTGTGTTGAACCTGCTGGTTCCCGTCGAGGGGGAATGGCGGTTGTATTGTAAGGCATGTTGGGAATGAAAAAGTGTGCTTTATTGGTTATGGGCTTTGTTTGTCGGCCTCGGACTAGTATCTACTGAATGGGAGGTCCTTTCTAGGCAATTGGCCCTGTGCTTCTCCTTGATTCTGCAATTTTATGTTAGCCTAAGCCTGGCCTAGACTTCAACGAGGTGGAATGGTGGGATAATGGTGCTCTGGGGGAAACGGTTTCATAAAACGTAGATCTTTAAAAGACCATGACTCGAAGATTCTGTGCATAAAGAAAATATGCAAGGGGATCGAGAACTATGACAAGTGAAAGAGCTAGGAAAGGGTCTTTAACATCGCACGAGCTACTCAGAGCGGGTAGGTATCTATAAATTATGGAGTCTTGAGGCTAGAAATAGAAATGGCCACTTGGATTATTAAGAAGGCTGCTTTTGCTTGGTCTTTACATGGCGGAAGTGGCCACTAGGCTGTATTGTAAAAAGGGTAGCTATTGAAGTCCACTCGATAACCCTTGTCATCGTCCCCCCTTAAAGATTTGCAACGAAGCTCTTCGCAAAGGAAAAGAACACCGATAAATGGACTTAATAGATGGAAAGGTCACGTACCTGGATATGAGAGGGGTTGTTGTTAATATGGATCTGAGATTGCGTTCGTTGTTGGAGAGATGACAGGACAAAACAAGGGGAGAGAGCGCGACATGGACGCGAACAAGGAATTGGCTTCGGAAACGGCTTACACATGTATCACGTGCCAACAGGTACCTTTATGCTGCTGCGCCTTGTGCATATCACGTGGTAAGATATATATGTTTTTGTCTTTTTCGTTACAGAGTACGAATACGAACACTGCATACGACTCCGGTTAGTTGGCGGAATATACTGTACTGTACATCGTACTTACGCTGTGCTCCGTATGAGTACTCTTGTTATCATTTTTGTCGTTTTGGATCCTTACTTGTTACTTGGTCCTCCCTAACCGTTCAGCTATGGATGATCAGTAGGAAATAAACCTTGTGCAGCCACCTATCTACCTTAGGTACTGTAGCTAGGTAACTTACTATGTTCACCACAGACCCGATAAAAACAACCCGGCGATCCTGGCCAACCTCGGTCAGCATCACTGGCCCACAACGCCAGACTCGGCCATACCGGTCCCTATATATAGAATGATCCAGGCCAAAACAATGCTACACGCCCCTACTTTATATCTTCTCGATCTTTGCATACTGCTCAAGTCTAGAAGCTGTCCAGATCGCAAACGTGGTAGCATGTACCCAATTGCACTCTAGGTTCCATTTTTCTCATTGAGCGTCCAATGCGTTGAATATAGAATATTTTCAAATTCCTCAGTTGGGAACACGGGGTATAATCTCGTCCACCCAATATGGCAGATCAACAGCCTTGCCCTCAACAGCACGAGGTTGACCAGGGGATGGCTCGCGAACGTCAAGAAAATGGGCGGCCCAATGGACGCAATTCAATTGGGAATGATGAGGTTAGAGAAGGCGACGCAACCACGTTGAAAATGCCAGCAGACGGTGGAGAGAACACCGAGAAGGCCGAGAAAGTGGGTGTGACGCCACAAAAGGAACCGTCTATGTTAAAGAAGGCTTGGGCAAAGCTGGGAATAACCCCTCCTCTACTGATGATGATGCTGAAGTAAGTTTCAAACCGTCTACAGTTTTCTGGCTGGGGCATTGACTAACAACGTGTTATATTTCAGGGGGAGCATCGCGCCAGCTATCGGTGTGGTATGCTATGCAAAGGTCCAATTGAAGAAATAGAAAAGTTTGCTGACACTTAATAGGCATTTTATCAGGCAGATTCAGTTGCACGAACGTTCGCCACGCTGGGCTATCTTGTGCCTATTATCTCTATCTTAAGCATTTCTATTATGCCACGGGCGAAATTCTTCCAGACTCTCATTCTCAACGTCCTTGGAGTCTGCATTGGGTCTGCGATTGGCCTACTAGGTATATGGTCTGGTATAGAGGCCCGAAAACACGCAACTCCTCCTGGTTCAACAGCGCTCTATAATTCGTCCCAGTCCGCTGTGTGCGCTATCTGGCTATTTGCTAATATTTATATCTCGAACTGTATGCGGGCGAAGTTTCCCGCGCTTCAGATTCCCGTGATAATGTACTCAATTTTTACGAATATTTCATTTACATACGGGCCTAACTTCGCCTCCATGAAACAGGGGGAGGTCTTGATCAAGCAGATCTTGATAGCCTTCCTTACCGCTTTTGCTCTTTCTACCGGCGTCAATTTGTTTGTTTTCCCATTCACCTCACGGACTGTGGTATTAAAGGAGTTTGAAGGATATTTAGGAGTTGTAAGGGGTGCCCTGTAAGTTTGCCGTTGCATGGAACATTCTAAATTCCAAATCACTGACTAATTTTTGTTAGGAAAGCACAAGTTGCCTACATTGAGAGTCTGGAAAGCAGTGATATGTTTTCTAGCTCGGCCTCAGGAGACCAGGCAGCTGCCAACGCCGACGCAACGAAGCAGCAGGGGAAAAAGAAGAAGAGCAAGCATAGAGCAAACGAGCAGCCGAATCGTACCGAAACACCAGAGAGCAAGGCTCTTAAAGGGGCAGTTGCAGCGCTGAAAGGACTCCACGGCAAAATATACGGCGACCTCCCCTTCGCAAAGAGAGAGGTTGTGTGGGGAAAGTTGCAACCGGAAGATCTTGGTCAAATATTCATTTTGTTCCGCGGCATCCTCGTCCCCCTGATAGGCATGTCAACTATCACCGATATATTTGAGAGAGTTGCTGAAAGGCGGGGGTGGACTGATGATCCAGATACGCAATCCGTTAAGGGAGAGTCTTTTGAGCGTTCTAGCGATACGGATAAGGACAAAGAGAAGGAACTATGGAATGTGATAATGAAGACCTTGCACAAGCCTTTTGCTGCTGCCACGGCTGTGATGGACGAGGGTTTGGAGCATGCCGGGCTAGCGCTTGAACTGATCAAAGCTCCGAAGAAGGCGAAGAGGGATGACGTCGAAAGCAAAGGAACAGGTTCGAAACCTGGGGACCCGGCGTTTGGAAAGTATCTAGACGAAAAGTTGAAGGAGCTTTATGACAGCCGAGGGCAAACCCTAAAGGCTTGGGCAAGAGAGAAAGGGTTTCCAGAGGATTATTTCGATACATCAAAGGAACCCTCTCCAGGCCACCATTTGATACCAGATGAGTTAGAGCGTTCCCGCGACCAGCAGCAGTTATACCTCATCCTGTATATGGAATTCCTGGTAAGTCCATATTCTCTAATTATGGAGCGCAATTTCTCTATTTTGGCCGCCATCAAATGCAGTTCCCACCTTTACAACATGTAGTCTCAGAACCAAGCTAACCTATCGACAACCTAGCTACACTCTATTGGACAAGCTGTATTAGATTTGGTGAAATTTGCGGATAAGAAAGTCGAGGATGGTTGCATGAAGAAAAATCGCCTTATCTTTCCTAGCTTTCGACGCCTTCGGAAATGGGTAATGTCGATAGGCAAGGAAGACACCTCACTGGATAATGAATGTTTGTTCACCCTCCTGAAACGGCTCTGTTTGGTGCATACCGTGGAGTAGAAAGCTGACTTGGTTATAGCTCCGGATTCATTGGAATCTGGCGGCAGAAATATTTTCCTCGGTGCAGGCTTCAACCCCAAGAAGGATCCAGAGCATCTCCCCCCTCAAACGGCCTGGCAGCACTTCGGAAACGGCATCAGGGTAATTCCTCGATTCTTAGGATCACCGGAGTCCGCGTTCGGGTTTCGAGCCGCCTGTGCGACCCTAACAATCGGCATCGTTGCGTATTTGAAAGACACCGCGCTTTTCTTCGTTAAAAACAGGTTAGTATGCATGCTACTTAAAATTTGAAAGGGTGAAACTAATGGGCCCTTAAAGGCTAGTTTGGGCTATGATTATCATCGCAATAGGTATGACACCGTCGGCAGGACGATCGATGTTCGGGCTCATGGGAAGAATGGTGGGAACTGCTTTATCAATGTGAGTATATTAAGAAGATTCTCTCTCCATTTGCCCTGAACAATTTAAGGTAGAGATGGCTGCGATTTTCATCTAAGCTCCGCTCGCCACTCTCTCTTACCTGGGCTGCCTATACCTAACTCTGAAAATTGGAACTAATTTATGGATTTTGCAGGGTCATCTCCATCGTCATCTGGTATATCGTAGACAAAAAGACTCCTGGAGTTATCGTCATGCTATGGTTCTTTATATTCTTAGAGATGTGTAAGAATTATTTTATATGTTCTCTTTTAGCGGCTTTTGGGCTGTCATCTACCACGATGAATTGGCACAGCCCACTGTCGATCTCTTTACTCGTCTACTCACCCTCATCTGGTGACGTCTGGCAGACAGATGGCTGACCTTATTTAGACTTTTTTCTAAAATTTCCTCGCTTTCTTCCCATCTGGCTGGTCTGTATGGTTACGCAAGTCCTCATCGTCGGCTATGAACTACAGGTGGTGAAGATTGGAATTGTTGCATCAGAACGGACCGGTCAACCTTGGTATCCGATCTACAAGCTGGCCCCTTACCGCTTAGCCTGCGTCGCTGGCGGCTCATTTGTTTCCTTTATATGGACAATATTTCCGTATCCAATCAGCGACCGTTCCTGGCTGCGTAGAGACCTTGGTTCAACGCTCTACCTATTGGCCAACTACCATGCGGTCGTGCATAGCACAATCAAAGCGAGAATTCACGACGTAGAAGGAGATATGGAGCTGAAAACTTCTCCTGGGAGGAGGCTTGAGAAGGTTCGGTTCAAGATCTTTGGGAAGCTACTGATGCTGCTTCCATCGCTACAGGGTAAGAAGCCCTTTGAGACGAACATGTGTAAATATCTGGGGACTTGAGCTAACACAGCCCAGAGCATGCTGAATTCGAAAAATGGGAACCGACTATCGGCGGAAAATTTCCACGGGTAAGCGTAATAACTAACATTGCTTTACCAGTCTTTCTGACACTATTCACAGGCAACATACGAAAACATCATTCTTCGGGCCACCAAGTACGTTGGATTTTAATTTCTCCTCGTTGATTTTCCCTCCCACTTTTATGAATACTATACTCACTTACCTATCTATTTTTAGCATCATGAACTATCTTTCTCTCATCATTTATGCCACAAAATCATTGTCTAATGAACGCGGCTCCGGATGCCCAACCACCATTCCCGCCAACCGACAAACCTGGATTAAAGAGCTAAGCAGCCTCATGCGGAGGGTAGGCCCCACCTCGCACTCAGTAACATCAGTCCTCTCCATGCTCTCCGCATCCGTCAAACAGGGCTCGGCACTACCACCCTATATTCAACATCCTGAGCCTTTCAATCTCACCAAGCGCCTGGAAGCCCTCAACAGTGGTATCCTTGATGCGCGGCATGTGGAAGAGCTTGGATATTCGGCGTATGCTGTAATGCAGGTTGCGAGTAGTCTCGTCAGTGATGATCTAGAGCGACTAGTTGATGATGTGAGGGATTTGGTGGGTGAGACGGATTTTTCCTTTATGGTTAATGACAGCAATAGTAGTGTAGACAGCACTGGCTCGGAAACCGGGGATATAAAGGGGAAGAGAGATTAAATTGCATCGTTGAGAGTCAGCAAATAGCGTCTTGGTACATTACGAGCTTAGGGCCTACAATGCACTGTAGTTGGGGGCCGATCGTCATTCCCTAGTCCGCCCAGCACGAGCAGTTGGTTTCAGTGGGACGACCTGAATCCCTGATATCTTAGTACAGGGTAACTGTTAGGCTGTGCCCTATACCAAGAAGCTGATTATTAGCTAACTTTAATATCACCCCGAGATCCTAGTACCTTATTTGGGAAATGATTTATGCCATCATAGCCCTCTACTTTTCTTTCTTACGTTGACATAAAAGTATCAGTGGCCTAATTGACTATTGGCTGTACAAACAAAAACGGGCGATGAAGGATTCAAATGCCTGTTTATTCAGAATCGCATCTCAACATTCAAACCCCATCACTCCAGAATGTTATCTCCAAATTCTAAACACAGGTTCCAATTTAACCCCTTCGCCGTTAACCGGCAACAGCTCAACATCGCTAACAGAAACTGAGCAACGCTATATTCATATCCTCGATGGTCCAAATAAAACTCCCGGGTCAGGTTCTCTTGGGGACGATGATCGAGTTATGATGCACGAATTGTTCGAGCGAGCTTGGAAGGTAAGCAGAGCTTGCTTCAACTATCATTACATTTTCGTAGTTTTCTCACCCACGAAATAGGTCTATAGATTGCTATCAAAAGCATCCACCCAACTGGAACCTACATGCGGCCAATTACTCTCTATAATATGATCTTTGAATTTGGTTGAAGACTAGGCTCAGAAGGGAGAATTGTCCCCTGAGCACAGAAGCACCCTCGACGATCTCGTGTCGTGGATCCACACGACGCTTCTTGAATTAGAATATGCATTTACTGACCTTAAATCGAACCCAAGCCAAGTGGGTTGTACATCAATCAGAGATAGGAGATTAGACCCGGCCAGTCGGCTTTCCGGCTTTGTTGAGCGCCTACAAAGGTACCTATGCGGTCCGCTGCTAGGAAATTTTCTTCTACCATATCATTAATCCGATAAAAATCCTTGATTTTGGTAATGTGGAAAATAACTAGTGCCTTTTCAATGCCCGGAGCTTAAATTGTCATCAACTGTGCGTTGGAACGCACACTTACTAGATCGGATGAGTTCGATTCTTGAGCGTGAATAATGGTGGTACCATATTATGTCTACGGACGAATATTTGATATATAAACTACTCCGGATCTTGAAGTAACCCCTTTCCCTATCCACCCTGGGTGTTATAAACGGAGTCGGTGATACAAGAGCATTAGATATTCACTTTTTTGATGCTCCTAAGCCGTTTAAGTTAGTTATATTTTAGGGTCTTATCTCCCACCTAATTTATTTGGATATTTTGCGGATGCGGGAGGATTTCAGGGCTTGAATTAAAAGAAAACCTCGTGCTGACATATTGAACTGTGTAAAGGGATCAACAAGACAAGATTGGGGAGATCTTGGGCGAGATTTATGAAACTGGATTATCACGACCCCCTTCCGGTCAAGCGTATCAGATTGGCTAGCTATAGAGATAGAGCTCCAAAATCGAGGGATTTCCAAAGAAATTATTGACGAGGGGTTCGTCTCTATCAACGGCGGCGGGCTCGAGGAGGGGGAAGTGGAATAGGTGGAAGATGAGCTTTTCCCAGACTACACCCCGAGAACAAATCAGCCACCCCTAGAGGAGAAGTTCCAAACATTAAATGAAGCAACCAGACATATGTCCCTTGGCGACCCTGGAGAGCAAGTTGGCATGTGCTCGAAATCGGATCCCCCACCCTATATCTTTGAAGGCGGAAGCGACCAAGCCATAGATGATTCAGAATTCTCACCAGTCATTCAAGAAGCCATAGATATTGAAGCTAGTCAGCGATTTGGACATATTCGAAGTCGAATTTAACATTGTTCAGGATATGGGCAGCGACGAGCAATTAAAGCTTCCAGTGGAACTCGAGCTAGCGAAAAAGAGCTACTACAGAATTCTCTCGTATATTTTGGGTATCTTGCAAGAGATGTCAACCATTTTCCCTAGGTGGAGACACGTAACAAGTCAGTGGATTTTATCGAGCTTTCCTGGGAAGGAAGAAAGATGGATATGCGCTCTGCCTGGGTCGAAAAGCAACTCTCTACACGGGATGAGATCGATGACACACTGCCTTCCTGTAGAGAATTTGATCACTCGCAGCACGCCATCAGTCGTCAAGCAATGTTAGGATTGGAAAACTGGAAACAATCCGAAAAGATTCTCTCAGGAAGGGAGAGATGTGATAAAATCGAGTTTTCCGTTGTTTCTGCCACTAATTTGCCCAAACCGGCCGTGAACTTTAGGGCACAGCCGAATGTATTTGCCAACGTGGTCTTCTACGGTCCCAGTCGCTGGGGAGGCTTCCGCCGGTCGTTCGAACTCAAGACACAGGCTACCAGAAGACATCGAACCTCACCTAGAACCATACGTTTTCGATCGAAGTATCACCAAAATCCAAAGCGACTGACGACTCAAAATATATGAACCATGTGGCTGGAAGAGATAAAAGAATATGCAGTGCAAGGTTCCCATCTTCCTTCATTCCCGGAGTTGAAGCAAATTTCCTGGATAAGAGCTTGATGTATGGTTATGATGTAGGTCTCAGTCGCATGTCTTATTATGGAAGCACTTGGCTACAATGGTATCGGAAATCAGTAATATTTTTTTCAGGCTCCCACAGCTACTTCGGGGAAAATTACGAATTAGCTAAAATCTAAAATCGCTCTAAAAAGGTTAATAAACTGTATTTTAGAGACCTTCTCCATTATAATAAAGCTAGAACATAGAAATATATCTAAATAAGTTAATAATAATTATAACTACTGTTTTGATATCGATTCAGAATTCGCGCCGATTTATTTTTCCCCCGAAGTAGCTGTGGGAGCCCGAAAAAAATATTACTGATTTCCGATACCATTGTATCCGACACGGCCGCCGGGGAAGTTGTTTCGGCGGGATTATGCTGCAATTCCACTGTCGGCCGAAGAGAAGGAGGTTTCGAAGGCCAAGAAAACAAGGAACTTGGATGCACCACGGCCAAATAGTAGATAGTAATATGTTAAAGCCATGAGAGCTGTGCCATTGCAGGTGAGGCAGTGGATATTACAGCCATGATGTATTATATTAGCCAGCGAGCGGGGATTCTACGATATCTTGAGGTACAACAGCCAATCTAGAATGTTGTGGGGAATATAATAACTCAATTATATATTCCTAGAAGCCAAATCACTTCTGTGCTCGGTGTCATATGTGGGTTTCTGTTAGCTGACGAATAAACTTCAAGTCGTAGTAAGATGAACTCATTTCAATGTCTGAGGCTGGTAAAGGCGCCGGGAAAAGAGCACGTAATATTTAGATGTAGGAGCTGTGGGATTACGACTAACGGTTTAAGGGAAGCTTAATTTCTCAATTGAGCTTGTTAGGAATTCACTATCTAACCACGGCATTTTAAAATTCAGTTGAGGAGATGAACATTATGTCCCATAACGGAAACTTTTGATCAGAAGGGGATGCAGTGAGGAAACAGGTAGAATTAATGACTTGGAAAAGGGCTACCAGAGGCAGGTTAGACCCATCGCCGCGACTAGGGGACGGCCACTACCCAAACAAGCTAAGTTACATCTTGAACCATTCGTGATCTTGCGCAGCTTTCGCAGTGAGGCGGTCCTTCGGATCGAATTTTACGAGCTTGCCAAGAAGATCCGAAAACATCTCTATTTCATCTGCAGAAATATCGCGACTAAAAGAGTCCCAACTTGGCCACCCAACCTCGTACCGGAGACCCTGAGCTAACTTCCCCTGTAATGACCCAGAGGGATGAATATCGCGGTTAGATTCTGGTTCCTCTGGGACCACGTTGTCTTTGGCGAGGTCGTTCAGAATGGAGATTACACGGCCCTGGGAGTCCACTTCGTCCTTGTACCATTTCTTTCGACTCTCCCAGGTTGTCGACCACCACGGTTCGGGAAATTTTCCCAGTGTATTAGCCATATCGCAGAGATAGGCATCGTCAGTGTTAGCCCACTTTCCGAACAGGCGTCCTCCGGTTCGAATCTCAAACAATGTGCAACCCAGCGCCCATAGGTCACAGCCGAGCCCAAGTGCCTTGTCTAACATTAACTCAGGTGATTGATATGGTTCTGGAGTAAGAGCAAAATCTCTAGGCGGATCCGTGACCTGGAATGATTGACCCAGATCAATAACGCAAGGTTGGTCGCTCACAAATTTGAGATCAATCGAGGTTGAGTTCCAGTCTACCGGGCGGACAAGGTATTTTGGGGCCGTTGGCTCCGTAGGGTTCTCGCCAGACTGTGTCAGGACTCTCACCTTTCTTGGTTCCCCGAGCATGTGAATTATTTCATCTTCTGAGAGGCCATCGAGGCCAGAAGTTTGTAAAAGTATATTGAACGGAGTGAGGTCTGACGGGGCATTAGAGACATAGGCTTAACTGAGGTAAGAAGAAGGTGAAATTGCTTACCACCGTGACATATTCCATGACCGTGGAGAAAATCTATGGCCTGCACTACTTTGAGGCAAATATTTCTCAAAACCTTGTCGGGAGATTCAAACTTGCGCAAAATAGGAGCAGTGACTGTCGGACCAAGGACTGGGTAGACGAAGCAACGGTGAGATCCATTGGGGCCATCGATCTCGAAGTGATCTGAAGGCAGGCATATGTATTTTGCACCAGCCTCTTGATCCATGTCCAAGTGCAATTTCCCGAGCATCTTGCTCACTCGCATTTCGTCACAGTCATCCCCCACCGACGCACCCGATAACAGCACCTTCAGCGCGACATACTTGGTTATTTCCCGAGATTTCATATCCCGACAAAGCCAGACGTTTGCGAACCCCCCACTGCCTAGCTTGTGAATGATGCGGTATCGACCGTCTCCAAGATGATCGCCAAGATGAATAGGATGATGGCCGCCCAACCGCCCATAAGTCAAGGCAGATTCGATTTCACCACGGGATGATTCTTCTAGCACCAAGTGATCCGGCTCAGGTATGCTGATTGCAGGAGGACTGAGTGTAGGCAGCTTAGAAGCATGCATTTTGATGGAATAGAGCTGCGTCGGCGAATCAAGAAGTACTCGTGGATGGCTTCTGAATAATGGTCTCTGTGCGCTGAGTGCTGAGCGGGCTGTATGAAGAAAAGTAGATAGTGAAGTAACAAACTAAAAGCAGTGATGAGCAAGGGCAGAGCTTTATAGGGGGAATAATGAATGAAATTGAGATTGCGGATAGCAGGGTTGCTAGGGAACGAAGAGGAAGGCTTTGGCGGACAGATCTCTAGGTATCGCATGAAAGGGTCTTTCAGCATTACCACCAGAGCAGCTAAATTATTTCGGGTCTTTATTGGTCTCAGGTTTCCCGTGTCTCATTCCTCCAGTATCCGTTCGGTTAGACACTTCCGCGCTGGGTGAGGGTCACCTTGCTCTTTATTCTATGGCATGTACATAGTGCCGCTCTCCACATCTGCCGGCAACTGATTAATTAGTAGAATCCGTTTGCTTTGGAGGCGGAATCCGTTTGCTCGCAAAAGCCACGGGCGGTTGGAGGCTTTTATGCTGCTAATGTGTTGTTCAGTTGTGTATGCGCATCTGCCCATCGCTTGTTGTATGACAGTATGAGTTGCCATTTAAACCAATACAAAGCGCTCATGCTCATGCCCGTGCCAATGGCTCATGGCCCATACCCTGTTAATACCTTTGAGTCTAGACAGGTAAGACCCGGCTTTAAACTGGAGAATAGTTAGTCAAGCCAAGCCGCAATTCCACTGGCGTATACCGTATCAATTGCAGGTTCAACCACTACTTCAACCTCCGTTTCAGTCACTAGGTATCCCTTCATTTTGATCTGTATCCTTAACATCGTGCGTCTAAGTATGTTACAATAGGCGGCGATAAAATTGCCACGTTCCATGGGTGAGGAGCAGATTTCAATTGCCATCGTAGTATTGATAAGCCGTGCTCCCCCGTCATAAAAGCGATGATTGAAAGTAGAATCAGCCGTAAGGTCTCGGGATGTTGCTGTGTCTGGAGCCACTGCACCGCTAGCTGACGAATGGCCAACTGACGAACGACTGAGTTTCGGACCCTAGAAACGGTAGAGTGCATATTGTATTTATGGCGTAGTAGAGTAGCTGGCATTGACATTAGTACGACGACAGAATTACTAGAATACACAAGTAGTCCATAGTGCTGGTGTTGGATAACCGTGTCCCTCCTTGCTTTATCACTCTTCTCAAGATCCCTCACACAGAACTTTCAAACAGTTTATTGCCCCCGAAATCTTCATCCCATTACTAGGATGTTTTCTATAAAAGTAAGCTATTCTCCATCCATCACATCTCCACAGACATCCATCTTTCTATACGAAATTGGACAACTAGAAATCACTGCTGATAGTGTCCTTCATCGTAGATTGTGTGGGAACCTCCAAAGCCCACCGACGCAGACGATGCAAGGATGGTGCATGATCTCGAGAAGATTTGCGAAGATGCGGCGCGAATGGCATGATGGAGGGTTGTACATGTGCGGTAAGCAATTGCCACTTGCACCCTTAAGGGTCAAACTTATTCAGACTTTCTATTTATGCCCATCACGGAGCCTGTTCAGCCCTCCATAGTTTAAATAAAGCCTGGACTAACTGGGTCTTGGAAACAGCTCAATTCAACTCCCTACCCTCCGCACCCGATATGTCAACGGCCAGTTTGTAACCATCCCCACTGATGGCCATATTGTTGTTCGAATGAGCAACGACCCCGAAGCGAACGAAGACAATTGGCAAACCGATGGTTATTTATATTTTGTCCCCAGTGAAAACGGTGTTTCTATAGTTCTGGCCCATCCAAGCCAGCGCCGGGACCCGGTCCATAGACCGAACCCAGAGCTCCGGGACCGTGCCGGTAGACTAGCCGGTTTCCCAATTGTTGGACTTGGAATCTGGAAGCAACGATATCAATCTTAATATATCGGTTATATCGGTCATTTGGAATGACATGCTGGTGAATACTTGTCGTGGGGTTGGATATTTCGGGGGTGGGAGCAAGGGGAAGGAAATAAGACGGGAGTTTTTTCTTGGGGCGTTTGTTTTGAGTTGGAGCTGAGAGAGCTGTCCGCCTTACATTTGGGGTTGGAAAGAGGGTAGGAAGCAACTTTCTTTGCCTGGCTTGGACTTCCAGCTGGCGTTCTGCTACAATTTTCGATTCTCAAAACTAAACACACATACGGTTTTGTCCGTTAGACACTCTTTTGAATCTAGTCATTTGACCTATCTGCACTACCGAAAAGAGTTGGGGAGTGTCAAGTACGGGAAGTTGTAATATTAGGTAATCGGTAATCGGTATTAGCCGAAGCCCCTTTTTGCACCATAAACTCACCATTGACAGCTACCAATTAATCGTGGTAGCACAAACTTTATAACAAATATAGTATGTAAGACAATTTTTAACCTGTTTCGTATGATTTACCTACCTAGGTATTCAAACTAGTCTTATAATACGTGATGGTAGATCTATCCTGCCGGTGCATTATTACGAATAGGAAAAGTGGCGCCTTCAAGTACAAATCCGTAGCGGAAAATCGACCCACCCACTCTACGCTCTAGCAACGTATAATTCCTACTTATAAAATTGGAAGGGTAGTTCGAGAGCCGATGAGAGTGAGTATTAAATACACTTATTTATATTATAAACAGCTCTCAAATATACTAAAATTTTGGGGGTGTCGCAAGATTCAATTTCAAGTACTGTAAGTAAACTAGTTGTTATTCTATCGGCATCTCAAATTATACCCTACCCAGCTCAAAGCAGATACTGTCAAGCTAGACTTCCTCGAAATATGGCTAGTGGCTTGCGTCGGGTGACACACCTGAAGAATTGGAAATATATTGGGACTTATAGGTCTTGGGTCCTCCAAACTTAAAAGCCCTTTGAGCATAGTGTAGTATCTGTAGCAAAGACCCGCGATGTTCTCACCACCTCCTGCTTTAACATTGCGGAAGCCAAGGAAGTTCTCGAGCACTCCGAGGTATTCAAGGATCTTGCCTTCAAGTAACCTCTGGCGCGGTGTCATCTGCGTAACTAAGCCCAGCGTTACAGCTGTTAAGAAATCATGAGCCCAGTGTCTTTACTGCCGCCAAGTGTTATCTTACCGCCTCTCACAAGATACACGGGCATCTTGCACGGCGTCATAAGCTACCAATAGAAGATGTCCGCCCTTCAACAAGGGTGTCGTTGTGTGAAATGTTGGAGGAATAGCCACTAGGAGCAGCACGCTGCGCATGATAAATGCTGCGCCAGAACTTACATGGCATTTATGCCAAACGTGGTTTGAAGAAGCGGCGATTCAACAGCGGATACCCGTCCTGGAAGAGAGTGGGGAGCGCATTTCATTACTTGACAATTCACACGTTGCTATGCTTGCGACAAGGGAATTCGAGGGGGCAAATTTTGATGGCCATCTGAAAGCCTGTCGCTACCACTGATGCGGCCGCTGTCGGTAGTCTAAAATTGGAGTACAAGATATGGCGGCATCAGTCCGAACTTTCGAATTCGATGGCCATGGCAAATCTTCTCTCTACTACCACTGCATGCATCCATAACATAAGGTACTCTGGGATTTTCAGATTCTCCGTTGGCACACCCACAGATTTGAGTATCGAATAAATGGCTAGTAGATAAAACTGGACTCGATGTGCGACAAGCTCTATCGACCCCTTCAGATGGTAAAGAAAGCTGTGGATATCGGTGAGCAACACGACGACGTCGCAATCAGCTGCTAGTAACTGTGCGATTCCCAATTCTGGTACGAAGTATCCTTAAGATGGCGTCCGGCCAGGGCTGTTAGTGGACAAAGAAAACACAACTGTTAGCATGATTTCCAATACGCACAAGAAATATGTACCTTACCTACCTACCTTGGTAGTAGTGGGTGTCATAACTGGACTTGCATAACACTTTGCTGGGTTTTACGACTTGGCTTCCGCCACCTTCCATTACTTCGTATGCACCTATGCTTGATTTGCATTCACTAATATCCCTTTGTATGGCTAATCCGGATATGATTCGACCTTGTTGACTATACTGAACACACCATGGATGCCTCTTGCCTTGTGTTGTTACTTTCAAAGAAAGCAAGACAAGAACGTGTGCCGGTAATTGATTCCACATTCCTTTGACGTTGATGTAACCGAAAGCCCTCGACAGGTCACAGGCGGACGCAACGAACCATGGTTATACGTTGAGCGAATCACTCTGTCTTGTTTTTTGGCGTAGTCCGATGTGTCAAAGAAAGCACTCGTCCCCTGGATTGTCGCGCCCAGGTTCTGAGGAATGCGCCAGGGTCCCGGGGCGTATTGAAACGCGGCGCATCCTACACCCTGTTACCAGTATAAGGCTTGGATCGCTGGGATTCTCTGTCGGTACATACAATATAAATATGATATTGCCCATGACGCATTTCTGGCCACTCGTGCTCCAGAACCGAAAGTATCTTGCCGTATACTTCCGATGAGGGCGTTGGCGAAAGAGAATTGGGTAGGCTCAGCGATGTTTTGTCAGTAGCAGGTCAGTACTGTTTCAGCCAGGCATTTCCCTCCAAACCAGCCAAGAAAAAGAACGACATATGTGTTTGCCAGTTCAAACACGTCTGCTAGTCTCCGACGGGTATTTATAATTACTCTGCTTCGAACGTAATAAATAGAAGTTAGACAGTTCTTTAGTCCATACAGTATGCACCTCGACAAACTCTCTAGCACATATTATTTAGCATTGTTTATCGGAAGGCGTTATATGGTTGGTAAGGTACATAACACGTCATGGTGCTAAAGAACCATATTTTCCCACGACCCTGCTTGAATCTCTTGCATTTTTTCGGCCCAGCTCCGCGCTCAGGCCGGCAGCTTCTCATAGTGGTGATAACAGTTCGGCAACTAGCATAAGGTATCGTAGCTACAAAGGAGAATGATTCAGAGGTGTCCGGTGCGCGGCCGCGGCATATGTGTCTTGCGTTCTCATGCACCGTGGAATTTGCAAACGGAGAAGGGTTCATTTTCAGCCTTCAGCGGTGAGCAACTGTTGCCTGTTTGTTTGCGAGATGTGCCGAATGTGTCACCAAACCTGGCTCTAACTACCTGACTTGATGAAGTTGTTTGAAGGCAGGCGCTGAGTGGGTAAGGTATTCATGGCGGTCGGGTATCGTGCTCTGTACCTTAGTCGTGGTGGTCGACACGCTGTTGACGGCGGCCGCTTGTGGATAGGGGTAATTAGGCAGAATTGACGAGCAACACTAATAATGTAAGTATAGTTACCTAGTCGTTACTGTAACAAGGTTCAAGCTCTGGAAATACCCCCACGGAACATTGGTGACCCGAGCAAAAGCAGCAAACCTAGCACTGTGGCTCTGTTTGTATACGAAGCAGAGCAGCAACACTGTCTCTCAGTGGCATAGTAGGTAGGGTACCTTAGGTACCAGGTGGGGACGAGTTATTAAAAAAAAAACGCAATACCGAGTACCATTTTGGATTTTTGGTTAGTATAAAGCATGGAATTTAAACAATTATTACCATCTTACTTACCACTGGATATAAACAAGTGTGATAAACATCCGGTCCCGTTTTTGGGTAAAGAACACCCCACCGATGGACGATTTTGGTGGTGGGGTCGAGCAGCAGGGCCTACAAAGTACGAAGTACTGGTGGTTGTATTTCGCAGTGTTCGGGTCTCAATGAACCGATCGAGAGTTGGCTGGGGTTCCATCGGATCGGTGCTTAGACCTCCTCAACCATGATAATCCGAGCAACCAAAATGTTTGTTTCTGTTTTCCATCGTCATCGAGGATTCGCTCCTACCGCTGGATCTGAACAAATGCGGAGTAGAAGCACTAAAATGCCATTCTAACGGCCCCAAGAGCACCACGGCTGGATATTTAGCCTAAACATGTCGCACAAGAGGCATAAGAGGCCAACAATGTTCCCTTATAATTGATGGAGCAGTTTTTGGATTTCCCAAGGGCGGAGTATTGGTTGACGAGCACGTTAGTATAACGATGTTATCTTACTATCTGGTTCTGATTTCGGCTTTCATTGTTCAAGTCCTGGGCCACGGTTCGAATCGGAATTCAACCTACCAAAACCCAATTCTCCCTGGCTTCCACCCTGATCCGAGTTGCATCTTTGTGCCAGAATGGGATGACACCTACTTTTGTGCCTCCTCGAGCTTTCTCGTCTTCCCAGGTATTCCTATTCATGCCAGCAAAGACCTGCAAAAGTTCAAGTTACTGGGCAATGTTTTAAATAGACCGGAGCAGTTGCCGGGCCTTAACACTGCGAAAAGAGCAACCAGCGGCATATGGGCTTCAACATTGAGGTATAAGGATGGCACGTTCTACCTCATCACGACTCTGGTCTACGATGATTACCCTAAGAACGCAACCAACAGATTCGACAACCTTATTTTTACCACACGGGATCCCTATAACTCCAAATCTTGGTCCGATCCAGTACATTTCGACTTCCAGGGGTACGACACTTCTCCTTTCTGGGATGACAACGGCCAGGTCTATGTTACGGGCACATATGCCTGGGAAGTTCGACCCGGTATCCAGATGTTTCCGATCGATCTCAAAACTGGAAAAATGGGGGAAGTCACCAATATCTGGAATGGTACTGGAGCCAGCGCCCCGGAAGGGCCCCATATTTATAAGGATGGATTTTACTACCTGATGATTGCTGAGGGTGGGACCGGCTCTGGGCACATGGTGACAATGGCTCGGGCAACGAACATCAATGGTCCCTACCAACCTTGCCCAAGGAATCCGGTCCTGACGAATGGAGGCACAGACTCATATTTTCAGAACCTTGGCCACGCGGATTTGTTCCAAGATGCTTCTGAGAATTGGTGGGCCGTTGCACTATCCGTCCGTGAAGGGCCAGATGGGAGCTATCCTATGGGACGGGAAACGGTTATGACTCCCGTAACCTGGGATAAAGGAGATTGGCCGGTGTTCACCAAGGTCACCGGCCATATGAATGGTTGGCATCTAGAGTCTGGCTCGCCAGTCAGAAAAGGGGAGGGCTCTCTAGTTGATTCATCAGCCACCATAAACTTCAATCCTAGATCATCACTCTCTCCCGAATTCGTTTATTGGCGATTTCCTACTGCAAATAATTATGCCATATCGCCCCGGGGGCATCCAAATGCACTTCAGCTCCGGTCTTCAATTTCCAATCTGACAGGTCACGATGGACGCTCTGCTGAGCCCCTAGGCCAGACGTTTATCGCCCGCCGGCAGGTCCACTCCTTGTTCACATTTAGTACAACATTTGATATCGGAGAGCTTCAGAAGGGTCAAAAGGAGGAACAGGAAGTTGGAGTCAGCGTATTTCTTGATCAGGTAGGATAAACCTCCCTCGTCCACAGTTGAATAGGTGCTGACAAAATGCAAGCTTCATCATTATGACCTAGGTATTGTCATGCTACCTCAAACGGGAGCAAAAACAAAGCGCTCAAATTCCAACTCACATGGCCCCGCTGTGGTACCGCACTTCCGTGTCCGAGGCATCACCACCGTTCCAGAGTTTGTATCATATGATTTGCCTGCTGTGCCGGTTCCTGATGAGTGGATTCGTGACAATAGCATCACCTTAGAGATCGCGGCTCATAACATAACCCACTATGCCCTCTCCGCTGGACCATCTGGGAGGGGGAATAACAGAAAAGTCATTGGATACGGCAATGGTCTCGGACTGACTTGGGGGTTTACTGGTACGTGGACTTTAACATCTCCCTCCGTATTGCTCGATATTTTCAATCTTCTAACATACTCTATACAGGGGCACTTCTTGGTGCCTATGCGACTACCAACGGAGGGAAGGGGGAGTTTGAGACATATGTATCGGATTGGAAGTATGTTGTGCAAGAACAAATTGTTGGTAATTAAGGATAATTTCCTGAACTAGTTGAGTTGGTTGACTTAATGGCTAGTTAGGGTTGAGAGGGAAAAGATATAATTCAATGAATACTCCCAGATTTAAATCACGGGCAAACAAGGGCTATCTCCTCGTTCTTTGATAGCTTTTCTACGTTGAAATAAGCTGAGCGACTGAGAAAGACTCAACCAAGCAGTTAAAATTCTCGTATTCCATAATAAACGTGCTTGCCGCCTATAATACACATATTTCTTTTTTCATTCAGGGTTTACATGTAATACTCCTTTCTTACCGCCGAGAGAGGGTTGCTTTCACGTGACCTAAGCCAGGGGCTCCGAGGCTGACGATGCAGCCACATTTAGCACGTTCCAGGCTGTCGGCGGAAGCCCATACTCTGTAATCGCGCGGCTCAACCTTAAGCATACAGCCTTGATGATCTGCACAACCGCGACTCAAGAATAATGATTTGGGTGCGAATAGGGTCATGAACTCCCGATCATCCTCCGTTAATGTGCCCACGCCAGGCCTTTTGCGACGACCATCTGTTGGCTCCCGATTGTCCTTTGCGGTTTCGAACGCCGAGCTGGGCGAGGCTACAACAACCCCCCACGCCGGAGAGCACCAGATAGATGAGGAGATCGAGAAGATTAAGAGATATGAGGTATGCGCAAAGATCTGGGACTTATGTTTTGCTGGGGCATATGCTAATATGTGCGTAGGACTTTACAACGATAGGTACATATCCATTCCTCCTTGTTTTCGATGCGACGCGTTCGATTGACTGGGCTGGCTAGATTGGGTACAAGATGCTGCGAAAGAGCAATTCCGGCGCAAGGTTCGGCGGAAAGAGACGGCAGGTTTCTTCGAAAGAGGCGGACGCGCAGGCTGGAGATATAGGATATGGCAATCTTACGAGGCAGCCCAAGGATGGATAGTGGTGACTCTGATCGGTAGGCCCCGAGCTCTGAAGATGATCAATAACGGCTGATTTCAGCAGGTGTTGCCATTGGTGTCAATGCGGCATTCCTCAATATTATAACGGAGTGGCTGTCCGATGTGAAGCTGGGGTATTGCACGACGGCTTTCTATCTGAATGAGAACTTTTGTTGTTGGGGCGAAGACAATGGTAAGTCCGAATATTGGATAATATGACTCGTAGCTAAGATTGTTCTAGGGTGCGACGACTGGCATCCATGGACCTCTCTTGCCCCAGTTAATTACGTGCTGTATATTATATTTGCTGTATGTCTATCCCCGTGCTGCTTTTTGAGTTGATTGATTAACTATTTCAGACGATATTTGCTCTTACCTCTGCGAGTTTGGTAAAATCATTTGCACCATATGCTGCCGGATCGGGGATTTCAGAGATCAAATGCATCATAGCAGGTTTCGTCATGAAAGGATTCCTCGGGTTCTGGACACTGGTTATCAAATCTGTCGCTCTCCCGCTTGCCATTGCCTCGGGACTCTCCGTTGGAAAAGAAGGGCCCAGTGTCCATTATGCCGTATGTACCGGCAACGTTATTTCGAGGCTGTTCGCAAAGTACAGAAGGAACGCCGCCAAAACTCGGGAGATCCTTAGTGCCTGTGCTGCGGCAGGTGTTGCGGTGGCTTTTGGCAGCCCTATTGGAGGTGTATTGTTCTCGCTCGAAGAGATGTCATCATACTTTCCCTTGAAAACGATGTGGAGGAGTTATTTTTGCGCTCTGGTGGCGACAGCTGTACTTGCGATGATGAACCCGTTCCGAACGGGCCAGTTGGTCATGTTCCAGGTCCGTTACGACCGTTCGTGGCATTTCTTCGAAGTCATATTTTACATAATCATTGGAATATTTGGGGGATTATACGGTGCCTTCGTCATAAAGTGGAATTTAAGAGCCCAGGCATTCCGGAAGAAGTATCTCACCAAGTACGCCGTACTCGAGGCGACATTGCTTGCAACAGGAACTGCTATCATATGCTATCCGAATATGTTCCTTCGGATAGATATGACGGAGAGCATGGAGATTTTATTCTTGGAATGCGAAGGAGCGGAGGACTATAATGGGCTCTGCGATGCGGAGAACCGATGGAAAATGATCCTCTCGTTGACTATTGCAACGATTATCCGGGTTTTCCTCGTCATTATCTCATATGGATGCAAAGTACCGGCTGGTATCTTTGTGCCGTCGATGGCAATCGGGGCTTCATTCGGGAGAACAGTTGGAATTTTGGTGCAAGCTCTCCATGAGGCATACCCAGCTTCAGTGCTGTTTGCGGCTTGTGAGCCGGATGTTCCTTGCATAACGCCCGGGACTTACGCCTTCCTGGGAGCAGCTGCCGCCCTGAGTGGTATTATGCATCTTACAGTATCAGTCGTGGTTATAATGTTTGAGCTTACTGGGGCTCTGACTTATATCCTGCCAACGATGATTGTAGTTGGTGTTACCAAAGCAGTCAGCGAACTCTTTGGAAAGGGAAGCATAGCAGATCGAATGATCTGGTTCAGCGGCTTTCCGTTCCTGGATAACAAGGAAGAGCATACATTTGGCGTGCCGGTGTCTCATGCCATGACGAGTGATGTCGTTGCCTTACCAACAACGGGTCTTAGTCTGCAGAACTTGGAGCAATTACTGAGCGAGGATAAATACCAAGGGTTCCCTATCGTGGAGGATCAGGCTTCTAAGATACTTGTTGGGTACATTGGGCGTACTGAACTCCGCTACGCCGTTGACCGTGTCAAAAAGGACCGCTCCATTAGTCCCAACGCAAAATGCTATTTCAGTCCCCCCACGTCACTTAACTCCGCGATGCCAACAACACCCGGCCCAGTCGTCACATTCGATGGAATGGAATCCTCATCTGTGGATTTCAGCCGCTTCATCGACTCGACACCGGTCACAGTACACCCTCGCCTCCCTCTAGAGACCGTCATGGAACTCTTCAGGAAGATTGGCCCCCGAGTTATTCTCATCGAGCACCGCGGGAAGCTCACCGGCCTCGTGACTGTCAAGGATTGTTTGAAATATCAATTCAAAGTCGAAGCGAGCGAGAACCCGAGGGATGATAGGCATCTAATTGAGAGTCAAGAACGGCTCTGGGGTGTATTAAAGAAGGGGGCTATTTGGGTGTCGGATCAGGTTCATCATGTTTCGAGGGGAAGGATTCGCATTGGAGATGGACCACAGGAGGAGTTTATGAGGCCTTCTCCGAGAGGACTTCCGGATCCTACGTCGTATATGATGGATGGGACTGAGGATGGCGTTGACGACGAGGTGGAATTAGAAGATCGGTAAATACCTTGTAAAGGCTTTGTTTCTAAATCTAAAATGGATGGATATCAAGATCTCGCAGAGGACATCGGTCTATGGAGAAGAAACAGAAATGTGCTTTATGCGCTAATCGCTTACTCGTCCCATATAACACTCGTCACGTCACCGGTGACACCCACTTCAGCCACAAATTTCCCGAAGGTCCCGTCACTCGGATTTCTCTCCATGATGACGACTCTACTGCTCAGCTGCAATCCTACAGCCACCAGAGTCCCCTTCTGATTCACGGAGAACTGCCGTGGGAAGGAGCCACCTGCGGGGGCCGATTGGCGGAATGAGAGCTTTCCGGTAGTATGATCGATGGACCAGCTTTGGAGGGTGTCGGAGGGGATTTTCGTGCTGTTAGTGCTGTCGAAGTTGGGGATGCTAAAGAGGGTTGCGTTACGGGAAGAGGTCAGGAGGAATTTATTGTCCGGCTGTGGTTGGGTGTTAGGTCCCTACTCCCAAGAGAACGAGTGGGTTTGGAGCAAATGAAGTGGGATAAGAAATGGTGTAAAAAAGGAATTAGGACTTACAGAAATAAGTGCTTCCCCAGCAGCAGCTCCTACAGGCGTTGTCTGATTCCCATATATCCCAGTGGTAAACACTTCTGTGAAATCCAAAGTCTTGTTGCCGTATGTGACCTTATATGAAGTCACGTTGTTGGAGATTTCGGAAACCACGAAGAAGTAAGTATCTGCTTTTGAAGCTAGACACTCCTGGTTCTTAATATCGGCACAGCCGGAGACAGAGAAGGCGCCGTGGCGCGGCCCCGAGCCGGGTGGTGTGCTGAAGGACTTTGAGGGTGTTAGGGCGCTGGTGGCGGGGTCGATACTGAAGACGCGGAGGAGATCGGCGCCTAGGTCGGGGACAATGACTGGAAGGGTGTTAGTGTGTGTATGTAGGATTTGAAGAATATGGGAAAGGAAATATGGGCAGTAGTGAATGTAATTGGGGATCGACAGCCAATGCTGCTGGGGAATACAGACTGAAAGAATCCGTGGGGTCAACAATTGCCTCATGAGGATGAGGTGCATCTTGACGACCTGGATTGGTGCCAGGAGCGGATAACTTGAACGTAAAATTCTGGAGTGGAGAAAGACCACCGGTGGGGAGGATATTCCAGGTCGTAACAGCTGAGCCACCACTATATTAAACATTAGTCTCTGCATACCAATTATTCTAAAAGGGAGGATAACAAACTAATGAGCAGCCGCCATTGCCTTTCCCTTATTGTAAACTACTGAGCTCACAGGGCCGCTGATCGTCGTATGACGATCAATAAGCGTAAGCTCGCCACACGGCGAGGTTCGATATGAAGATATCGATCCATTTGGAACCGGCAATCCTTCATCCATACAATACACAACACCTTTGCCTGGCTCCTTCTCTAGCCACGCAGGGCTGGGCGCGGAGCCTCTATTCGTCGCCACGACAGCGAGAGCATAGGAGCCGTTGTCACTCTGGCTCAACCGCAGCGACGTGATATCTCCACTGTATGAACTGACATAGAGATTCGTAGCCAGCGCCGAGGAGGTCACGAGACCGAGGCCGCCCAGCGCGAGACGGAGAGGGGAGTAGTACATGGTCTGTAACCAACAGCGATACGTAGAATCCGATATTGAAAATTGATTGAAGATGGCGAAGACCCACGAAAGTATTGGAGGCGGAGATGGGAATTGGAAGATGGGAACTTGCCACATATTAAATCTAGAATAGTGCAGGGGAGCTTTTATATTGTGGGGGTTTCGCAATTTCGCATTCAGGAGGATTCACGGTCTGATGTGTTGGTCAATATCCATGTTGCATTGCCGGTAACTATTTTGGAGACGTCCGTGATTCACAGGGGCACTTCTACCGTACTAGGGTTATCGGCACTGCCCTGGGGTAGTACGTACAGATATTACTAGTCACAAGTTGCCCAACGTTGTGTTAAAGGGCGATCCCATTCACGGCTATTTCTGTACAATATCTAGAGGATTTCAAGCCCAGGATTTTTTGACAGGGTAAAAATGCAGGTACTAGACCATCTCACAGCTACGAGCAATAGCCACCATAAACGACACCCAAAGGTGTTTACGGCACAATGTTAGACTAGGGTAGTAGTATTATTAGGTTATCCTGATATCGATTCTCAATTTTAGGATCTCGTCAGATTTCCATTCCTCAATTGCGCCCGAAATATAACCAGAAGAACCCTGCCCTTCCCCAGGGAACATCCATCACTATTGCTACAACTGAATTCACAAAATATACTCCGTAAATGCAAATCATTAATGCTCCCTCAAACGCTAAAGCTGGCCCGAAAGAAGAGCTTCGGTAGCTGCGTGATGTGTTAGCAAACGATTAGGTATTTTGGATTGGGACAAGCGGAAACATACCAGAATTAATATAAGCTCTCCTAGCATCAAGTGAAACACCAAATCTCTTCTCTAGTTCTAATTTGATGCTCTTCTTCGTAACACTCATCAAATCAGCCGTCTTCAAGATCTCTCGGATCTCGGCAAGAATAGTGTCATCGCTCGGTAGACCTGCCAGGTTTGAGAGCTCAAGATCTGTCTGTCCAAAATACTGGCTGCCCCCGAACTGGCTTGCACGGCGATCACCTAGTCCCATAGCTTCCGACGGTGCAAGGGACATCCGGGAACTGTAGACATTGGAGTTCTTCGCCTCGTATGGATGAGCAGGGCCACCATACTCAGATGCCGCAGCATGATACTTGGTGCCATATGAATAACCGGATACCTCTGAGCGGTCATCCCGTACGGTCTGTGCCTCCCAAAGCTCGGCTTGGTATTCTTCCCACTTCTTGTGTGGAATAGACTCTGGGTCAAATTTTCCTTCGTCCGTAATAACGATCTTCTTCCCCTTTTCTCCAGTGACGACGCGAGTGTTACCCCAAGAGAAATCGTCCATATGCCAGAAACTATACAGCGGAAGGGCGAAGGAGAATACCCCAATCGCGAGAATATATAGCAGCATCCAGCCAATCATCTCCCACTTCCGGCGAAGGATAAAAATTATAGCTTGTAAACCGTAGATAGCGCCAAGCATGATGAAAGCCGTTATGGGAATGACACTCGTATTTCTAGCCACGAGAACGACTAAGTAGACGAGATAGGCGACAGTGACAGGCTGAATAAGTGTCGAGAGTAGATCGACGAAAACGATAAAACGCATGCTGAAGCAGCAGAAACCGCAAAGTTGCGACAAGGGAATGAGTTCGATAAGGTTATGAACTGTCGAGTTAATCCACCGACGACGTTGGGAGAGGAAAACAGCCCAGGTGTCAGGAGCGATGGTCCAAGCATGTGCGCTAAAAAGGTACTTTGTTTTGTACTTAGGATGGTTCTTGAGAAGCAGGGTTGTCAAGTATCGATCTTCGCCCAGGTGCAGGAGGTTCTTCACATGGAGCGTATCGACTCGGATATTTGCGTAAGACTCAACAACTTCTCGGCTCACGAAAAGTGGCTTTCCAGTTTCTGCAGCTCGGACGCGGTACATGGTGAAACAGCCCGGCAAACAGGTGACACTGCCAAACAAACTCTCAAATGCTTTGGTTAGGTTGTGGGATATGTAATACTCGTAGACTTGAATCATGGTAACGTAGGACGATTTCGCATTAGAAAGAGCCGTTTCTCCGCAGCAGCCGATAAGCCTAGTGTCGTCCAAGAACGCGGAGACCATGCGAGATGCCGAATCAGGCGCAACGACGGTGTCTGCGTCGATTTGCAGCATGAACTCGTAGAACGTTGGATTGACGCCGATAATGTTGCGAATTTGGTGATACATCTCTAGCTCAAGCGGGCTCATGGAAGCATTATAGTGGACCCTGTTTAGGAATCGCATCATGACCATTTGGGAATCACGCTTGCCTCGATTTCCGGGGCGAGAAACTTCGGAGGGTTTGCCCACTTTGACAACAACCATGAAAGGCACAATATGACCTTGCACTTCGTAGAGACCGGAGTAGACCTTGCCCATATTGTGTTGTTTCATACCTTCACCCAAAGATTCAAAACTGAGGGGTTCGGGATCGACTGTCTCTGCAACACCAAGAATATCAAGCACGATGCGAGGAGTAGGGCGATCATTCCCTTGACCAATAATCATACCATCGCAGATAACGACGATCAACTTGCGCTTGTCATCATATTTCATCCTTGCCGCGGAATCAAGTGCACGACGAACTGAGTCCTCATCTTCAGTGTAAACGGGAATCTGACAGATAACAAACTTGTCCAGATTCTCGGGGACATTCTTGCCTCCAAATTGAAGGGCTGCAAAGAACTTGAAGCCAATAACTGAAGCTAACATAACAGAAATGGCGAGAACGAGATATTCGGAGAACTTGCATTTAACGGAGTTTCGGGTGTCGACGTCCCCAACGTAGAAGAGGTTGTCCATGCACAATTGCATCCGACCGCGCAAAGCTGGGTCGAGATTCAAGGCATTCCAGTACTTGGTGACATCCCGGCCCGGCGCGCTCTGAAAAAGTTTCACAACTTCCGTATCCATGAAATTGATGTTAACATCTGTGGGCTCCGCTTCACCCGGCTTGACCTTAATTGGCCGGGCACCCGCAATATACTTGGTGAAATCATAGACACGGTTATTGAGAATGGCGATGGCTTGCTGCTTGCCACGTAATGTGCCGATGTACTCTGGTGTATAGCCAATATTACCCTTTTTGTAGCTGCTTTTCAGCGACTCCATCGCCTGGTAGAACCAGTGGTCCCGAGTGTCGTTGGTGAACGCTCGGAAGTCATGGAATTTGTAGTTGAGATCGGTTGTACTGATGACGTTCGCAGAACCGCTGGTGTTGGTATTCGTGTAGTCAAGCTGAACTGACGGGTCAATGGACCCATCCACACCTTGACACATGGCGCTGACTTGAACTGGGAACAAGGAGGTGGCATCCAACCCGGCATAAGCAAGAAGCAGCTTCTCTTGAATGATATTAGGATAATGATGCGGGGCGAAAGCACCCAAATCGAAGACTTGACCACGAACTGCAACCAGGGCGCCGGATTTGCCTTTACCGTCATAGGAAGACAATTCTGAGGCGCTATACACGTTCTGCTTTGGGCAAATGAGCATCGGAAAGATCACGATAAAGAAAGCTGCGAAGAGGCAAGCCGCCCAAATCATCATGTTGATAGCAAGCTTCTCTCTCCACGCCATTCGGACGTCCTTGCGGGGCATTCGACCGATCCACCGGATTAGGAAGTCCGGGATGAAAAAAGTCATCATGTAAACCACTACAACCCATCTCTTTCGACTGGCGCTCGTCTTCACCTCTTCGACCTCAACCATGGTCTTCTCATTGCCCTTTTCTGCCATCTGCTCCCTTGTGTCGAGATTGCGGAACATGTCGCCTTGGCCAATGGCAGATGCACCAGCATCAGACCGAGAGTCAACATCATTGCTGCCGAAATAACCCGACTTCTTGTCTGCCCCGTAGCCATACCCACCAGATGACGGCGCTAGGCCTGATGGAGAATTAAGGAGCCGTTCTTTCGATGCAGCATAGCCACCGCGGACATCTGGAGTGAGCATGCCCTCCCCTCCATCTTCAGACACGGCAGGGTATCGACCTGCAGTAAAGCCTCGTTCGCTCAATTTCGCGATCTCAGCCCAGCAACGTTCGCTCAAGAAGACTCCTGTGCTGCCAACACGAGCTTCATTTGCTGGCCAACTCTTTTCATCGACTACGATTTCGGCTTTCTCTCGTTCGCTGCCAATCAAGACTGTATCAGCATCGGCCAGGCCAAGAAATTCCCCAAATGGTAGGAACAGACTGAAGTCAGCGTTGCGCAGTCGTTGGCTGATCTCTGCAATTCCAAACGTTTGGATCTGCGTTCGTACGCATTTACTGTCGAATTGATTGGCGATTCGCCGATCGTTGGGCTTCAGACAGAACACAAAATATGGATTTGTATTCGGGGCAGTGAGAGACTTGGTTACGTTGTCGAGGGAGGAGAGAAATTGACCGGCGGCTCCCTGGTCGAGGTTAGGACCTCTGCGTCCGTTGCTGTCTGGTTGCGAGCCCTCGGTGGTATCTTCCACGGATTCACCGAAAAGCTGCTTATCACGGGTCCCAAATCGGCTGGGCCTGTCTCCCTTCCTCCGCATAACACTCGGCTTTCGTAAGGGTTTCGAGCTAACTTGAGCTTGCATAATAGTCGTCTTCTCTTGAGGGTGGACCACGGTCTGCAAAGCCTCCTGTCCGAAAAGCTGGCCAACAAAGTCACTCTTAGTCGAACCGATCAGGTTCATCAGGTCCCCCGAGACAACTTCTCCGTTCTCCTCCACCAGCCCGGCAACTAGATACTCCACCTCCCCGGCGAAGTGCTTGACTGCAAAGGAAGCTGCAGCATTGTGGGTCGCAAAATTGCTTCCAGGTAATTTAGCTGTGGCACTGCCCACAGCGATGGCAGGATTCTTGCCCTCAAACCGCTTCCGAAGGCTCTCTAGTAGTTGAGTATCCGTCCGGTTGCGCCTCGTTTGGTCGTCAAGAATGCTGAGTAGACCGTTTCCATGTTTGAGAAGACCCTTAACGGCATCGGAGTTGTCGAAGTAGCTGGTAGCAGCAACGGTGACCTCCTCGTTTTCGAGTATTTCTGCCTTGTTTTCAAAGAAGTTCTGAAGTGTAAAGTTGTATAAAGCCTCTGTAGCAGCATTGTTAAGTAACTGGTCTAGGGTAGAGTCGGTGGAGCGTTGCTGGGAAAAACCAGGGAAATCGATAATCGAGATGGTGTTTCCAACTGTATCCTCCACCGCGCAGAGTCGTTGATTAATGCTTTCAATTACGTACGCCACCAGGAGTGAGTACAGCGTTCTAGCAAGCTCATCCGCATTATTCCTCGCCCCAGTGGGATCAAGCATGACCGTAACGCGCTCGCGCGAAAGGATTTTGGTCTTGTAACCCAAAGTGGTTTGCAGATCTTGAGCACTCACCCCTAAGAAGGCAGCAATAATAGTGAGTACATCCTTGTTCTTCACTGCAGTGGTGTTGGTAGATCCCTCGTGTGAAAACCCGCCGCTATCATCTCCATTTGCCGTGGTATCTGCGGTCGTCTCGAAATCAAGCTGGCCAATATGAAGTATGCTGGCTAGCACTTGGCAAATCTCCGCTATCTCACTCCGGGGGAACTCCAATTTCCTCAAGGCGGTCTTAAATAATTGAAACCCTTCGGCGTCATTAATGCCGATCTTCAGCTGGGTAGGATGTCCAAGATATCTCCATCTCTTCTGCTGGGTAGACTGCCTGACGCTGTGCCCGTGGGCATGGACTGCTGAGGAAATGCCTCCGGCCGAGTCGAGCCCAAGATGAGTTTTTTCCGCAGCGCTCGTACCAGCCAGGAGATAATATAGCACATGAAAGCTGCGTTCTCCCGTTGGGACCGCTGCCACCCTACTCCTTTCCAATCTGTGGTCCAACAGTTTCCCACCAATGAGTGTTGGGTTGACTGACGAGGAAGTGTCATATTGAAGCTCGAAGAATAGGCCAGCCTTCGAGGCCGTCGGTGTCGTGGCAGTTTTAGTGGTTGTCAGGGTGTCAAAAACGTAGGCAGAAAGTGACAGTTTGGTCGATAGCGGAGTCGAAGACTTATTAAGGAGTGCGGAGAGCAAGTGGGAACGGACGGTCGTCTTGCCTGAGCCAGATTCGCCGCTGGGAAATAATTAGTAGGGGTTCGTACAACTACAATTCAAGGGACTCCCAAACTCACAGAAACACCACGGCTTGGTTTTCCGAGCGTGCCCCAAGTCGCGTAAAAGCCCGATCAGCCAGATCTTCCGCCTCGCCCATGGCGGAGCCCTCCTTTCCTCCATCTGGCCCCTTTGTGGAAGAAGCATATGTATTAAGAGATATTAACGCGTGAGCTGAGAGCCGGGCCGTTGGTAATGAGACATGGAATCGACTCGCGAGATGGGCTGTCAGGTGAGTATCGGATTGAAGATGGGCTGGAAGGGCTGGAAGAGAGGCTTGTGAATGAGCCCCTCCGCCGCCTTGGGTGTTCAACGCCATGTCGGATTCGGGGGGTTTGGGTCGAAACCCGTGGATGCGATCCTGTATACCAGTATATATTCCTAGGTTATGAGGACAATAGAGGCCTGTCTCGTAATCAAAATGTGCTGTTTGTGAAAGACACTCCCTAAGTCGGCGGTGCGGAGTTCTGGTCTGCCGGGTCGAATTTCCAAGGGGAAGGGGGGGGATGACCAGGAGTCGAGAAGCAACACTCGTCGAACGAGAGAGTCAAGGTACTATGTAGCGAGTGTAGGAAGAAAAGCGAAAGTCAAAAGCGAGTGTCGACGGAGAGCATCACAAGTACAAGCAGATGTATCAGCAACGAGGCGATACGAAGGGGGAATGGAGAATGGAATGTTGAAGTTGGACGCACAGGAAAAAGAAGCACGGGGAGTAGTCAGCGTGTTGTCTGTCGCCTCCCGGGCCTGTTTGGGTTGCCGTAGCGAGTAGCATGAGAGACAAGTACGGGGGCTACGGCGGTCCATACGCATCTGCGCGGCCATATTTATTCTATTTTAGGCCGAAGTAGTTCAGGGGCTGGTTTTTCCACTTATGACTTGTCTCTCATATTATACTCCGTACACCTCATGAACACGAGCAACTATCCACTATTGTTCGTATACGAAGTACCGTACTTGCAGAATGAGCGTCATGCATTTCAGGGAGCCAGTCTCTGGGTGGTGCACAGCCTCACACCCTCTCGTTACAGTGTTACACTATTGCAGCGATCTGCTCCATACTACTTCGTACACACACACAAGGAAGAGAAGTGCTTCCGAGCCTCGACCGCGACCGGGCTTTGTTACTAGTGAATCGTGATGCCAATAAATAACAACAATCCCAGCTGTTGATCTGTCAAGTCAACTCGGGGTCACTCGGTAGATTCGCGGTAGATCCTGATTAAAGGAGAGACTTTTCTTCTATCTACGAACTAGACATAGTTAAGCTCCTAGCAATTTTAATTAGCTCTGGTCTTAATGTTGTGTTTGTGACGGGTTTCCATCTTCGGAGTACTGCCTGTAGAGGAGGGGCGCTAGAACGGTTGGAAAATTGATTAAAAGTAGGGAGTTGGCACATCGAGGTCCAACTTCAATCGGGCGATACCTTGGACTCACACTGTATTGTATTGACAGACAGAAGCCCAAGATCTCCTCTTCATCGCCAGATATCCAGTGTTTAAGTATCCACCTTGATTCTTCGAACGATATTAGCAAATCCCGGCCTGGCCATACCAATGTGCACTTCCAATTCTCATTCTACGCCGTATGGCAAAAAAAAAAAAGCCTCGAAGCGCATGATTAAAAAAACCCCGATTACGTCATTATAAGGAGTTTCGAATAATGTATTGAAACGGCAGCTTGATCACGATATTGGCATCCGGGGCGTAGACAAGTCCTCGGGAAGCAGCTTGCCCAATACTGACACAATTACCTACTCCGTAGTTTGTCAGGAACAGAGTAGTAAACTTCAAATGGGCCATATTGGCCCAATGGAGCAGAAGAGTACCGCTTACTGAAAAAGACCCGTTTATACTATACTTACTACTGAGCATACAAATCACAATCACGATAGATATATTATTATTATACGATATAGCACGGAGTACTCTACTACATAGTATATACCCCTTTACTAGGGTCCGCCCTAGAGCAAGGATCATCCCGAACCAAGATTTCGGCAGCGGAATCTAAAAATAAACTCTCGGGAGCGCCGCTTTGAAGCCGAAAGGCGCCCGGCCCTAGTTGGCGGGAGCATACACGGAATATGATTGGTTGGTGATGCCGGGACAGGCCGGAAACCTCGTGTACCGAGGTAGCACGAGCCACGACGTAAACAAACCCATAAAAGCAGCAGCATCAACACACCTCCTTGAGTGACGGATGGCTACAACAAGCCTTTGTAAGTATGTACGTAGTATAGATTCTAGAGTCTAGGGTAAAGTACTCGAGTTCGAAGCACAGAGCAAAAAAAACTCACACCCCAGTCTCAGGGGGCGCCAGTTATCTGCGCGTCCGACTTGTTTACCCAACCGTAAAAGCGTTGGCAGGCACCGCCACACCTTCTGCCGTAGAACACTCCGTATTTTGCGTGTGCGAAGTGATCGAACCAGGTTGGGACTCGAAAGCCGCTATGCCTCTCCGTAGACTCCAAGTGCGTGCTACGCCAGAATTCCATTCCAAGTGTTGACCTGACATTCCACCGCCCGAACGACCTCGTTTCTTCTCCCCCTCTCGTCACTCCAACTTTCTGTATTTCGAGCCTCTTCTCTCTCGTCAAGCCACCTCACTCGTTTTGGTGTGCTCGCTTTGCTCTTTTGCTCTTCATACCCCTACTCCTTTTAATACACACCACTCGTTTTCTCCCCTCATCTTCCCCTTCTCAAACGAAAACCGCTCAGTATCCGGCCCATCCTCATCCTCGATCCACGGCCAATCCCCAACGCACCGCATCTCTCGCGCCCTTCCATATCCCCCCCCCCAAATCGAATGCGGCGTGTTTTGCACTGATATCTCGATTTGTTTTGGGAACGCTCGCTTGACCTCCGCGAAAAAAGAATCCGATCGCTGCTTGGTGGACACAGTTAAGGACCACGAAAGGCTTAGGAGCTGGAGGCTGGCCACAAGTCGCCCAATCTTTTCAAGATGGCGGGAAACAACCGCTCGTCGATGTACTCGATGACGTCCTCAGTAGCAGGTGGCCCCCGAAACGCCATTGCGACCGCTCAGCAATCCACCCAGGTGTCTACGACCACTCTCCTGAACGCCGTCCATACTATTTACACATCCGGCCAACCCTACCGACTAGACGCCAGCACCAGCTTGGTAGTCAATACTTGGTTGACAGCTTCTCAAGCTGATCATGAAGGACGGGCTGGTGGCACCGTTGATGCTGCGCTTGCGGCACGAGCCTGGGAGCATGCTAGACGTCGTGCCGAAGACGGTTGTATTGTCTTAGGGTATGATATATTTGTTTCTTCCCTCGATGTTTTCTAATCTAACAATTGTCTAGGGCTCTCCATCCGTCTACGCCCTCTGTTCTGGCACCATTCCTAGCCACACTGCCTCTCTCTATGCCTTCCTCACTATATACTGCTCTCAATGCACTCCGGCCTTTTACCCACGCCGCTTGTCCTCAGAACCCTTCAACCCCTCGACACTCAGCCCTCGGCGTGACGTTGACGCTTAATCTCACCGGCAACCTCACCGCGGCTGCATTGTCGCTGTCAGAAGGCGGCATTGACACCTCGAAAGGCTTGCTTAACATTCCCGCAGAAGCCGGCTATAGAGCCTTCGATGTCTTCTACTACCTCTTGACGTCCGCCTCGACACCAGCAGAACGGGAATTTTTGGGGCTGAAACATGCCTCAAACTACACCCTTCTGGCAAAGTCTAGCACGTACGACCCGCCCTCATATCTGCCAACCGCGGACGATGCGGCCTCCGCCGATGACTTCCGCGCCGCATTGAAAGAAATTGGGATTAAGGGTGCAGCACATCGAAACCTGATCTCGATTCTAGCTGGGCTTCTGAAGCTTGGTGACACTCTGGACTTTTCACTAGACGAAGATGCTTTGGAGGAGATCTGTGAGGATGTGGGTGGCTTGCTTGGGCTCGAGCCGGATGTCCTTGTTAAGCAGTGTACAACATCGGAGCGGGAGACTCTGATTGGCGGGTTGTACGAGGCACTGGTCGATTGGATCATTCTTAAAGCCAACGAGGCCATCAGCAGTGATATGCAAAAAATCAAGGATGGCGACTCATCTAGTGACGGTGGACCCGGGATCCAAACCCCCAATAGTGAGGAGGGTAATAGCGACACGGTTTGCATCACGGTGCTCGAAATCCCAGACCCTACCCTTGGCAAAGGCGCTGCAATGCGAGGTGTTTTCGATGATACCCAAGGCATCAACTCTGAAATGAAGGAGGATGGTGTTGATGTGGTTCCTGCCGGGTCATCTGTGCTGCGGGAAATGCAAAATGCACTCTCAGAGGTCGGTCCTGACCTGGGAATCATGACTGGACCTGCCGCACGGGAGCGAGAGCATGAACGCGAAAAACGTGAAGTTGTCCTAGAGAAAGTAGGTAGGGAAGGCGAAGATGATGGCTTCTTAAAGAAACTCCTCTTCCCAATCGATGGCGAAGGCGTAAACCTCGGCCGCGCAGGACGTCTTGACCTCCAGACAGTCCTTGGAAGCAGCCGTGTATGGTACCATTTGTCACTTCACCCTACCGACGAGTCTCCAGCCAGTCTTGCTGCGCTTCCGTCAACCACTTCCGCATGGTCTGCTGGAACTGTCTCGCGGCAGTTGCGGGCATGGCGTCTCCCAGAATGGGCAAACCGCAGAAACAAACACCTAGACTTCACCGCTGACTTTGACTTCGATGAATTCTGCCAGCGATATGCCCTGCTTGGTTGCAAGGATGGCAGGGATGGCATTGAAAGCTGGGTTATGGAACGTGGATGGAGTAATGGAGAAGTCGTCGTTGGCAAAGAGCGTGTATGGATGCGGGAAAGTGCTTGGTGGGAGGCAGAAGGAATGCTTGATTTGAAGCCCACGAACGAAGGAGGCTTCACCAGCCTTGGCGGTATGGTTGGTGCTGATACGCTTGAGTCGGGTTATTCAAACGGTCAGAATGGTGGTGGGTTCTTCCCTCCTATGATCGAATCGTCGCCGCATGGAAGCCGAGATCAGCTTGTTCAGAACCGCCAAAGCTCGATAACCATGGCTCGCAGTGGACTTGGCGCTCGCTCAGTTGCCCCTTCAAGAAACATTAGCGGCGGCGATTACGGCCTTGGGTATAAGGGTGACGACATGAAAGGCCAGGTATACTACACCAACGAGATGGGTGAGTTGGTCAACGGCATGGACCCTGAACTCGCCGAACCGAAGAGCATCACAACTGAAGAGATGACAATCAGCCGCCGCATCTGGGTTGGCGTGGTGTGGGCGCTGACTTTCTGGATCCCTTCCTTTCTGCTTCGTTACATTGGTCGTATGAAGCGGCCAGACGTCCGTATGGCCTGGCGCGAGAAGCTTGTGTTGGTCTTCTTTATCTTCCTTATGAACGCTATGATCGTATTCTGGATCATTGAGTTTGGAAGGCTCCTCTGTCCAAACTTCGATAAAGCTTGGAATGAGAAAGAAGTCTCTACTCACCAAGGCGATAACGATTTCTATGTCAGTATCCATGGGAGAGTCTATGATATCTCAAAATTCTGGAAGACACAACACAGCGATATAGCGATCAAAACCTCCAAGGACAACATGCAGCCATTTGCCGGCCTGAATCTCGATGGGTACTTCATTCCACCACTTACGGTTGCCTGCCCGGGACTTGTCACCGACGACACTCTAGTTCTATTGTCCAGTCCCAATACCACGGTCATGTATCCCGATGCTAAGCATTCGGCTGGCAAACTCTACCCTGATCCCAATAGCAAATTACACGATATCACCTGGTATGGCTCGGTATTTCTGCCCCGGATCAAAGAATTCTACAAGGGGGATCTAGTAACCAAGAAATCCAAAATTACTTCTGAAGGCCAGGATAATAACCGTTACTGGTTCATACTTGATAACAAGATCTACGACCTGATAGATTACTTCTATACCTTGGACACCCAGGGCAATTTGCCGATTTATCAATTTATCGACCCTACCGTCGCCAAGATCATCACCAACAACCCAGGCCTAGATATCACCAAGGACTGGAACGAAAACTTTGACAATGCCAACGCAACGCAACAAGTCCTTCTCAAGAATACATTGAACTGCTTCAACAACGCCTTCTACACCGGTATCCCTGATTTCCGCGACTCGGTTAAATGCCAAGTAAATAACTACCTCCTCCTTGCTTTCACAGTCATCTTGTGCGCTGTCATCTTGGTCAAGTTCCTGGCTGCTCTCCAGTTTGGTTCTAAGCGACGTCCACAGCCCCAAGACAAGTTTGTTATTTGCCAGGTCCCCGCCTATACCGAAGGCGAAGATTCATTGCGGAAGGCTTTGGATTCATTAACTGCTCTGCAATACGACAACAAGAGGAAGCTAATCTGCGTCATTTGTGACGGCATGATTGTAGGAGGTGGTAACGACAGGCCAACGCCCAAAATTGTCTTAGATATCTTAGGGGTTGACCCTAAGATTGACCCTCCCGCTTTGCCCTTCAAGTCCGTTGGCGAGAGCAACGAGCAGCTCAATTACGGAAAAGTATATTCTGGTCTCTATGAATACGAAGGCAACGTTGTCCCGTACCTTGTTGTGGTCAAGGTCGGCAAGGAATCTGAGCAGTCGAAGGCAAAGCCTGGCAACCGAGGAAAGCGAGACTCTCAGATTCTGCTTATGAGCTTCTTGAACCGAGTGCACCACCGGTCACCTATGTCCCCGCTTGAGCTAGAAATGTTCCATCAAATCAACAATATCATTGGTGTCGACCCTGAACTATATGAGTATCTATTGATGGTAGACGCCGATACCAGCGTCCGGGAGGATTCCTTGAATCGTCTAGTGGCTGCTTGCGTAAATAACGCCAAGATTGCAGGTATCTGTGGTGAAACCAGTCTCGAGAATGAGGAAAGGTCATGGTGGACTATGATCCAAGTTTACGAATACTTCATCTCTCATCACTTGGCCAAGGCCTTCGAATCACTTTTCGGCAGCGTTACTTGTTTACCTGGATGGTGAGTTGTTTCCCCAGACCTCAAGAAAACATGTGCTAACACTATATAGCTTTTCCATGTACCGTCTTCGAACAGCTGACAAAGGAAAACCTCTCATCATTTCGGACGCTGTCCTTAATGAATACAGCGATTGCGTTGTCGACACACTACACAAGAAGAATTTACTGTCCCTCGGTGAAGATCGTTATCTCACCACGCTCATGACCAAACATTTCCCATACATGTCATACAAATTCATCCCCGATGCGTATGCCTGTACCGCCGCACCCGAAACATGGAGCGTCCTTCTATCTCAGCGGAGAAGGTGGATCAATTCCACAATCCACAATCTTGCTGAGCTAGTTTGGCTCAAGGAGCTGTGCGGATTCTGCTGTTTCAGCATGAGATTCGTTGTCTTCATTGATTTATTTGGTACCATCATTCTGCCAGCTACCTGCGCCTATCTTGTATACCTTATCTACAGGCTTGCCACGAACACAGGCCAATTCCCCATAATCTCCATCGTCATGTTAGCAGCTGTATATGGTCTCCAGGCTTTGGTTTTCATCCTCAAGCGGCAATGGCAACATATCGGATGGATGATCATTTACATTTTAGCATTCCCCATCTATTCTTTCGTCCTCCCTGTCTACTCCTTCTGGAACCAGGACAACTTCTCGTGGGGTAACACCCGCGTTGTCATAGGCGAGAAGGGCAGCAAGCAGGTGATTGCAATCGATGATGATGGCTTCGACCCTCGCAGTATTCCCCTCCAGCGATGGGATGACTATGCTCTTGTTAACAACCTTCCCGGTCGTCGCGGCGTCCCTGTCGAAAAGAATTATGACAATTACGAGGACACTTACGAGATGGATGATATGAAATCCATGTACTCGTCCGTCAAGCCCGCCTCAACAATTCTTACAGGGTTCCCTGGCCGTAGTGGAGCCTTCGTGCCACCACAATCGCCTGGATTTGGCGGAATGCGTCAATCGGTCTATTCAACACCGTACATGGAGCAACCTGGTGCTGGCGCTGCACGCCAATCGATGATGTCGCTCGGTGGCGGACTGCAAGATCGTTCCGCATCCCCTTATCAAGATTACCCGCAGGCGCGACCAAACATGGGTATGATGCCCTCCTCTGACAATTTCCTCAACGCTTCACGCAGCACAATTGGATTCACAGGTGGCGCCCGCACCCCCCTCGGACAAGACGCAGCTCCAAGACCCGTCAGTCAATTCGATTTCCAGCGAGGCAACAGCGGGCCAGATGACATGATGATCGTAGAGGCTATCCAGTCCTGTCTGAGAGAAGTGGATCTGGATACTGTGACCAAGAAACAGGTCCGCGCCTTGGTCGAGCAGAGATTGCAGACCGAATTAGTGGGAGAGAGGAGGACATTCCTTGATAGAATGATTGATTCCGAGTTAGCTAATATGTAGTGTTGGGTATTGGTATATTAAAAATCTTTTTCGTTCATTGCTTGTTTTTGTGCTCTGTCGATATAAAGCATTGTCCCCTGATGATGAGATGGCGGGAATTCATGGAATATGCGTGGGGCGTTGAAAGGGGTGTTATATTCTTGTTTCCATCAATCTGGCATAATACGATGAATGTGAGCGGAATCATAGTCAAATAATTACGTACCCTCTTTAGGTATAATACAATTCTTTTGCAAATTAAAAACCTCAACATATGTAATCCTTACACAACCTATTAGAATTGCATAGATGATTAAAGGTGCTACTTGGAAATTGTAGGATGGTTATGTAGGATAATCAAAGCAGCATACGAAGTATAGTGCCGTAGTACGAAGATCTACTTAACAACGATGTCCTAGTTTAAGGGGTTAGGGGTTCGTTCGGGGAGGGCCGACGCGATTTAGCGTTTAGCGAGTTCTGAAATCGTCCACATTGTTAACCGATCCCCGCCCAGACCCGACCCGACGTCATGCAACTAGACTCTCAATGCAAATGCATCGGCGGAACAATATATTCATCAGTGTACTAATTTACTCACAGTAAGGCTAGGCTTTCCAAGGTATTTGTCGAATTCACTGCTAAAACGATGCTAGATCTACCTCTACTCGATACTGGATCGTCCACAAATCAATGATTCACAACCACAAAGTTGAAGAACATCAACCTCGAATACAATCAGTTTGTCTAGAAGAGGGAAGATATCTGAGAACCTCTCTAAACCAACAGGAGGGGCGCTCAAAGTGTCATTGATTTGCCTAGGGAGAGGAGAGGTGGGGGATTATGGAAGGTGCCACCATGGTTGGGTTATCTCGGGCAGACTGGAAGCTCATAATTCTGTGTTTTGACACATAGACCTACACCTATGGCACATAGGATATTTTCTAGTAAGTACACGCTTTTATTTTCTATTTTCTATTTCCTATCTTCAAACTCCTCCTCCTCTGACCCCAATTCTCACAATAAATTAGCGATAACGTTGATGACGAGGGAATTACCCATCCGCCACATATGCCACCCCCATTACCATGCAATCCTCGCCAACACCCCCGTGGGCCAGCCCCGAACCCCCAACTTTCTCATTTCATCCATAACCAATATCCCTAGCGCCAATGGCAGCGGCAGGAACCAAAACTCAAGCGGGACACTGGCAGTCCCAAAAATGGTCTGAATCCCTTGCTGTTCAGTCACAAATACCGCAATCGATAGACTCATTGCTGCACCTGCCAGCAACCAGGGATTCCGTCTCTGCTTTCTCACCGGGTCAGCCTGCAAGATGCTTAGCCGTTTGTTGCGGATACTCAGGATGTTACCCCACTGCAGAATCACGAGGGTCACGAAATACACGCTCTGCCCTACGGTGTTGAATTGCAGGAGCTCGGCGGCTGAGTAGCCGTAGAACCCTTCGCTGTAGCTCTCGAATGCTAGGAAGAGTGAGGAGGCTGGGATTCCGGCGTGGCGGTACATGTAGAGGAAGAACATGCCGTGTGCGCAGACGGTCTCCATCAGTCCGATGAAGAGGTAACTCTGTGCGTAAATCTTAAAGTTGATCAAGTGGTCTTTTTTCGCATTACGTGGCGGCAGGGAGAGGAGATCGAATTCCTCTCGCTCCATGATCAGTGCGAGGGAGAGAAAAAGATCGGTGAAAACGCAAATGATGATCATGAGGAAGGTGGAGAGCGGCAAAGGAACGCCCAGGTAGACGTTCAGCAGGACAGGCCAGATCTCAGACCAGGAGCCCGCAGGAAGGAGGTAGCTGATAATTTTCTGAAGATTCTGGAAGACGAGACGCCCGAGGCGGATGGCGTCGATGATGGAATCGAATTTGGCCAAAAGGACAAGGTCTGCTGCTTCGAGGGCTACATCGCTACCGGTCACGACGGCGATTCCGACATCTGCAGCGCGAAGGGCGGGAGCATCATTAACGCCATCTCCGGTCACTGCCACAATATTGTCGCGAGCCTTGAACTCTTTCACAATGCGGAGCTTCTGCTCTGGGCTTGTTCGGGCGAAGACTATTTCTTCGTACGCGCAAACACTATCCCAGTCATCGTCCGTAAGTCCAGAAATTGCTGGCCCTTCGAGCAGTAGACTTTTATCTGTAGGCGCAGAAGGGAAGGTGCGGTTCCCTAGCGCTTCATCGGTGTCATTGCGGCGCTCCATGATGTTATAGGATGTATCGGGATCACCTGGATTGGTGAAAATGCCAACTTCGCGGGCGATGGCCGAGGCGGTGAGCCCAAAATCACCAGTTACCATGAAGAATCGGATACCGGCGCGGCGACAGGCTGCTACAGTCTCCGCCGTCTCCTTTCGAGGAGGGTCAGTGATGCCTAAGACGCCGATGATGGTCAAGTCGGTGATTTGGGTGTCTCGGATTTCATCGGCGAAGGCGTTGGATCCAAGGCCGTTCTGCGGTGTGATATCGCGCTGACAGAGCAGAATCACCCGCTGACCGCTTCGTGAAAGATCCTCTTGAAGTTCCTGAAATTGGGCGATTGCAGGATGGTCGAGGGCCTTGATGCTGTTGCTCGAGTATGACCAATAGGTAGTGCAATTGGGGAGCAGGACGTCTGGAGCGCCTTTTACCAACATTAAGAAGTGCGGTTTAGACGTGTTTGAGCCGATCTTGTGCAGTGTCAACATCCACTTGCTCTTGGAGTTGAAGGGAATTTGGAAGGCTCTAGGGAGCGTATCACCATTTGCTCCCTTGCGATCAAGTCCTTCAAGAGCCGCGGTTCCAAACTTTAAAGTTGCACCATCGGTGGCATTACCTTGGGTATCACGAGCCATTACAGGGAGGCCAATGGTCAGAGGGTCGAAGGCTGCATCATTGCAAAGTATTGAAGCACGAAAAAGCTCCTCCAGCGGTCTCGAAATCTCCGAAGATGAAGACAATGCTTCGGCGACGCCCATACGCTTGTCTAGAAAGCCAACAGTAGTAACAACCATCTTGTTCTCAGTCAACGTCCCCGTCTTATCAGAGCACAAAACGTTAACACACCCGAGCGTCTCAACCGTCGACAGCCCTTTTGGCAAAATATCACTGCTCTTCATCCGTCTCGCAACGATCATCATAGTGAGAGCGACCCCCACGGGTACTCCTTCTGGTATAAAAGCAACCACACAGCCCATGGCATTGTTCAACATACTGATAAGGTTCATATAGGTTGGGTGCTTAACACGCAACCAACCAACCCAGGTGAGAATTATGGCACTGGCGAGGATGACGGTAAGGCACACGATAATCCTCACGAAACGGTATATCTCGCGCTGAATAAGCGTAGGCTCGTCTTTGACCGCGTTTGTAGCGCTGGCAATCCGGCCCATGACCGTATTGCCTCCGGTAAGAATAACAACGCCAGTCGTGCTACCATTGGTTACCATCGTGCCCATCAATGCTACATTCCGTGTCTCGAGAAAGTTTGTTTCCGTCATATCGATGGCTCCTTCGACTTCATCTGACTCCCCAGTGAGCATAGAGCGGTCAAAACGGACGTCGCCGGATGTATTCAGGAGCCGCATATCAGCAGGTACTTTGTTTCCAACGCTGATCTTCACAATATCTCCCACGACGAGATCCAGAGAGCTGACTTTAACCGTTTGGCCATCACGGACGGCTAGTGTCTCGGTGGGCAGGAGGTTCAGAATTGATTTCATGGTCTTCGCTGTCGACCAGTCCTGAAATGCGGAGAAGGAAGCTTGGAGGAAGATGACTATCATGATGAGGATGGCCAAGCCGAGATTATATGCTGCTGGGTTCGGGTCGCCCAGCGGGCGCCAACAGATGAAGAATACGATCACCCCAATCCACAGGACCGAGCAAAAGCCACCGAATACATAATTGAGGATCCTCTTTGTGTAGTTCTCGCGGCGGGCGGGGAATGTATTCTTGCCATTCTGTGTAAGTCGAGCCACTGCCTGAGCAGTGCTAAGACCTTGGCCAGGGCTTACGTCGAGCCTTTCGCAAATTGCATCGCCAGGTAGGATATGGAAGTCAAGGTTTTCAAAATAATCCTTCTGTTCCGCCTCTTCCTGTGTCTTTTTCGTGTTCTCCTTTTTCGTTGTTAGGTGTTTCAAGTCCTCTGTGTCTTCCTCAATAGCTTGAGATTCAGCGATGTTAAAAGAGAGTGTGCGAAATTCGATGGGAATTCCTGAAACAGATCGGGTGCGACTATGAACGCTTGAGATTGAGTCGCGGCTGGCAGAGCGGCGTCGGCTGCCAGTTGCTCTCTTCGATCGCTCATAATGCTCCTCTGGTCCAAAGTTGATGCGTTTTGTCTGGGGAGGCACCGCAGCCTCGACGTCTTCCGTTTCCTGGGCATGTCGACCCCTGTCAGGGGATGTCATGGCAGGAGTTTACTTGCCGGATAGATGCTCAGGATCTGGATGCTGCGCTATAACAATAGGGCTTAAACAGGAGAATGATATGAAGAGAAGTCTACTGGTCTCGATCCAACTACTCTGGGGGAGGTTGAATTTATCATCGCTCTTCTTCACCTAGCAGCACCAAATACAGCCATCAATTACCTCCCCCCCATCTACCTAGGTACTTGAAAGTGGGAGTCTTCAAGGTCCGTAACCAGATTACCGCGAACACGGTGAGTGTCGAGCACCAATGGCTTCACAAAGGAGTATCATTGCAGAGGGCGGCCAAAATCCCTCATCGCCGTCATTGTGTTAGATAAATCCCTCAACCGTAAATCCCTCAACCGCTCCAACCTCCCAAAAATGACGACACATGACCATCCTAAACAATATCCCTCAATTCGCTATTATAGCTTCAGCCGCATAATATCGTGAAAAACAAGCGTTGTGAGTCTTTGGCCCGAAAGCAGTTTTCCAGGTGGATATTAGCAACGTACATCAAGCTAGAATTGGAAAATCGAGGCTTGGGTGATTATAGTTTAGGGCTAAGGGTAGTGTGGCAAGCTTGTATTAGAACCCGTTGCACTGCCCCACGATAAGACGGTACAGCTAACAAAGCGCAAGTGCGAGGGCGTGGCTACCGAAGGAAATGGTCCAAGTGGGAAATATTTCAGGCCATATGGGATGCTAGTAATAGGCTTACTGGCAGTACCTATTATCTATTACCACGTAGGTAATTACCGCTCTAGTTGTCCAACTCGCTTAATATGATTTGATTAAATAGGTGAAACATAAAAATCTAGGAATTACTCCCTCGCAATAGATCTTACTTTATTTTTTTCATTTTTATTTATCTCACATCTTGAACATATTCCCCCTAGTCCCCCAAAATTTCCCATCCTCATATCCACAAAGCTATGGACAATCTACTATTTCACTAGCTGTCTTTCTCTTTGCTGGCTCAAAGGCCAAAAGCCCCCTTAATACGCATTACGCGCCTTAGCCGAGATCAACGGCCTTAATTTCATCTCCCGTTTTGGTAGAAGGGCGTAGTTTTACGTATACCTAGGCACTAGGGGTAGAACACCCTTACCATTTTACCTCTCCGCAGGTAGGATATAATTTGGTGGATAAAATGCACCCAGGCAGGCGGACGTACCACATGGAATATTGATAGTATTAGGTAAAGTGATGCCAAAGGGTGGTTTAGATGCTAGGAATATGAAGCCAAGGCAAAGTGGTAGGTATGGCTTCTCTACTAATATATTCTTAGGAACGGTCGTTTTAGTATAATCTCTCAATCTCTTGAAACCTCACAACCTCTACAAATAGGGAACCCTTAAGTAGCAAGCAACTCCTAATGAATTTAATATTCTAGATAAGGTCAGAAATCAAGGAGTCTGTGGCTCGATAAATAATGTAATTCCAAATCTCAAAGTCACGGCAGCTGAAGCAGCCGATCTTCACCCCCACTCAGCTCGTCCAAATAGAGGGCCAGGGTCGATGTCAATCGCAGCCGTAACTTGACTAGCCTCCGCAAACTTGACCCTAACTGTATGCCACTCATAAACAGCATGTTCATCAAAATGATCAACGTCCCCCTTGAACTCTTCTAGTACTGTCGCCCACTACGTTACAACGTTTACTATCTTGTCCCTAAGACTACGCTCATCGAGGATGGCGAAGCTCATCGAGGATGGCGAAGGTCATCGCAGACCATTTATGCGTGCCTATATTATTAGGAAACTCCTTCTCGCATGTTGGAGTAGCTTCCCATAGCATCGATAGACCAGCCGTCAACGCCACTAGAAAACTCGGCGACGGGTGCTTCAGTGGGGTCGTCGAGCGTTTTCTGGTCTAGATCCCCCACCTGACTGAAAACTTTGCCGTTCATCTCTTCAGTAGGCTGTGAGTAGTGTGCATAATGTATCAATAAAGGCCGCGGCGCCGCTGTTTGCGGCATATGTTGGTGACATGTGCTTCTTGTGCCGCAGCCCCTTACTGGGCCTTACACGAGTACATAGGCGCCCTTGACCAATACATGGGTAACTATTACACAACATACTTTTAATTCTCTACATTTTTTTAAAGCCACTGTCTCATATTTATGGTAAATGCCAAGTGCTGGGAATGCCATAGCTTCTGGTTTTTCTTGTAGCTTATCCTGAACATTTCTAAAGAGACGATGCAAAGGGCGCTTCGTTAATGTAAGTCTGTAATGAGAGAACATGACAGCAACAAACGGAAATATAGCAGATGCCAGTTAGAATCCTATGACATGGCTGGGCCCTAGGTGGGCCCCGCTAGGCCAACATTGTACAATTCATCTCACAACATTTCGACAGCGCGGCAGAGTCTTTATCTGGGATCACCCCAACATTTTGTGACAGAATTCGCAAGCAAAGCTGGCGGAGTCAAGATCACTAACAGCGCATTATGCCTTGTCAACATCCTAGGCTTATTATGATGAAGCGTCTTTGATATTTGGAAATCGGTAGGATGTCTTCCTTGATAGTACAACAACCTTAGCCCCGGGAAGGACATTGAATAGGTCTTTTCCAACCATCTTGCTACTCGTACAGATCAGCGAATCAATCGTGAACATTTTCGAAGTCAATATACGTGTTGGCTGGTGATCTTATCATCTGTGACACCTTGGTCACATTTCTCAAAAGTACCATCGTTCCTCTTTTTATAATTTCTTTGCCTAACAATATTAAAAATGTCGTGACTCGTCGCAACCAGAATCTCCTGTTCGAGAAGAGGCATCCTCAAAGAAATCTAATGATTCTAGTCTTGAATACAGTAGTTTCGCCGTCTCTTCTAATATTAGAAATAAAATCCAACGTGAAAGGGCTCTACTAGGAGGTAGCAAAATCAGAAACGAAAGTTTAGTTCAGCTACGGTCGGTCGACGAAAGGTATATCGAAATGGATATACTTCTAGCAATCATACTATGCTAGTGTCTCAATCTCAAAAGCGATTGGCAAACTTTGGTTCAATCGATCTAGTTCTGAACGGCTTGATACGATAAAGATGCAGATTAAGACAGCGACAGATTTGAGCCTTAAATCTAGATATTGAGGCACACCTAGTTGGCTAGTCTCGTGGAGAAATCGGGTTTGGAGTACTGTACTCTGGTGGAAAATAATGTTGGCATATTGAATGTCGATGACTTGGTTTCAGCAAGTCGATGGAATTGGAGTTGGTGTGTCGTTGCCGGGTTGGGTTTGTGTAGAGGAAGAACAGGAGGGAAGCAGTAGATCAGGACCCCATATTCAAAAGTTAATGTCAATAAATTAAACGATTGTACCCTCCCTAGGTCCGAATCACAACAAATTTTAACCACTTAACCTTTGCTTTCATCGAAGGCTTTAAAGCTGAATATCCAGGCTTATGTCTCGCAATCAGAATGTCAAAACGTGCATAGTTGTTGGAATTTGCTTTATATACTCTATAAAGGTCGTTAACGATAAAATCAAAAGAAAGTAGCGTGATTGGATTACAAGTAGAATGCATCGGATTGCCCCTTAGCGTAATGTTCCTCTCGTTACTTTGTAATACTTTCTAGTCTTTACATTGCAGTATGTGCAGCGACGAGCTAGCATCGAGCGACATTGTCTCAAATGTCTAAAGCATCGCCTCGAATGAATCAATTACTCAATCCCAAAAGTTACGTAGGACGAGTATTAGCGTAACGTCAATAGTTTGACTATATTCTAGTCGAAAGCTCCTAGCTCGGACCCTTTACTAACTCAAATCCTACAACCTTGCTTCGAACCATATCTAATCATTTTGAATCCGTTGGCGCTGAAATCTCGCCGCCGACGTCAATATCTGTCGACCTAGCAAGGCCCCAGCCCCAAAACAGAATCAGCCGCCTCACAGTCACCACGACCGTAAAAGCCCAAACGAGAAAGAGCACCATCAAGGAACTGCACATAACACCCAACACGAGCCCAGTAGTCACAATGTTCACAAATCCCGGCGTTGTACCCGAGGCCCCTGCTCTGCCAATTCGTGGAATCGCCCATCTATAGATGACTGCGAACCAACAACCGTCTAGGAGCTGTATTGCAAGGAGGACAGCATAAAAAATGGAGAGAATGATTGTGCGTCTCCAGCTTCGGTAACGGGAAACTGGACTAGGCATTGATGATAGGATCAATTGGCAGGGTATCCATAATGCGGTGATAGCCGTGAAGGCCACAAAGACGAATACGTTTGGTTCCGGGCATATTGAGGAATAAAATATTGGGGGCACTTCTCGGTGTCGATGTGTCGGCATATTTGCGCGATTCGTGGGCGGGTACGAAGACTAGAGAGAAGCTCACAGCTGGGAGGATGTCGATAGTTTGCAAGTCGCCGGGGACCAAGTCGGATACCTAAGAGGTAAAAGGGTGCTAGGCAAACACCTAACTTAGTAGTTGGTAGGCTTGCTTCAAAACGGATACACGTGTATTGATAGACAATACTACAATCGAGGATCTATTGCTGTAGTAAGTCGGAGACGACTGGTACAACTCCCCAGGCTCGGTGCGTAAATTACAAAAGCCTTTATCGGAGGGGTTGGTCCAGTTGGCGGGGGTTGGGCGCCCGAAATGGGAGCGAAATGTGACATTGTGCGGCGTTGGTGGAAGTAATCCCAGTCAAATCAACAACCGCTCAGCCACAGATGGAACTTGGGCAACGAATGATTTCTGCTCAAGCACTAACTACTGCGACGAGTATATCATACCTCAAGTACCCCTTGAGAAAGGCAAAACAAATGACGAACTTGGGTTGATCAAAGTCACATGCCTAGATAATGGCTTGTACTTCTATCAATCATCTCGTTTCAAGCGCAACGCGAATGGGACCTAGGTATTTGTTAGAGCTACTGACGATTGCACTGACGGCGGTTTCACTTTTGCTTCAGAGAAGACCCCACAGAAAAGTACATACTAGAGCACCAAGGGTGGATAGATTGGGTTTCTTTGATATTAAACCGTTGCTAGAGCGAGTGAGATGGCGTGTCTCATAGCACTGGTTTGTGTTTCTAGAATTCGCATCGCGAATCAACTAACAATATTAAGAAGGCAGGAAGTAGAACATAGGACATTCAATTCAAGTTTGATTCTAGCCTTGATCCTGATGGAGATTGCTCCCACTTGAGATACTTGAGATGTAGAGTTGCAAGCGGAATATACATTTTCGCTCCTTGAACCCCTATAGGTGCTTGAAGTATCAAAAATAAAATATTCTCCAAAAGCTAGTAGTTCGCGAAATGCCCAAAGTATGAATCTGTATGATGTTCGAAATTGAGAATCGGGAGATTGACACTGCACTTTAGACACAAATAATGAGAGATTGAAAAGAATTATTGCACTAGCTTTCGAATGACGAACGATGTTGGAGCAAGGAAACTTCCTGAATATTCTCTAGGGAATGGTGGTGTGTTGGAGCAATCGCCCACCGCCCGGGAATCGCCCCCTAATATTCTGCCAAGATCGTCACGTCATCAAGGATGATCGAGGGATTCCCTAATAATACTCCTTTCTAGGAATCCAAACGCTCTGTAAATTGAATAATGATATCAAAATTGTTCGCAACAAAGAAACCAACCATGACTAAACGAGTAAGTCTGACCCACTAGGAATCGACGGGTTCCGTTGTATTAAAAACTGCACCCTGCCTAGATATTCTTTCGCGTCCACGGTGAAGTGCAAGGTAAGGAGGCCCGTTCAGACCCCAAATTCAACACCTCTTTGACCTTATTGCTAGGGGTTTCATACCGGTATCTGCAACTTGAAATATCCGATAGAGCTCGAATACTGATAGAATGTCGAGATACTTTACCCAGAAGAAGGCGACATCTTATGGTCTCACTGGATGGGTGAAGAATGCCCGGAATGGCAAGGTAAGTAGCCCCGTTTTAAGAATAGATCAAATCGCCCGAAAAGGCTCTTATTATTTGGCAGGTCGAAGGCGAAGCCCAGGGACCTGATGGTAACTTGCAGAAGCTATTGAAGGATCTCGATGCTGGCCCATCACTAGCTCACGTGACGAAATTGGAGAAGTCTGAGATTGAGGTGCAGGATGGCGAGACGGGGTTTGAGGTCAGGCATTGATTTGATATTTCGATCAAACGTTTGGGGTTTTCTCTTCTTGACTATGATTGCTAATATCGGAGCCGGAGTTGGAATCGGAGTCGTTGGGAGGCCATGTTCAGGTATCACATGCTGAAGGTTGAGTAGCTCTTACTTCGTGGAGTGCAGCTTGGAGGCCGGTATTGTTTTCCTCTGAAGCGATTTCATGATATGGATTGAAAAGGAGAAGATTAAGCCACAGCTCTAGATTCCGCTTTTTCAGCTGCCGTGAATCAGATTCCCTTCCCGCTCTTGGCGTCCCGCTCTTGGCAATAGACTAACAACAGCTTTCTCTCCGGCTCCCGACTCTCCTATTCCATGTAGTATTATTGGCAAGTTATGAGGCAACGTAAGAACTAGATGTAGTTATATTAATAGGGACGTGTTATCAGTTATAGCTGCTTACTGGCATTTCAGTTAAACCGTATCTCTTATCTTGCTGATAATAAAACACTCGTTGAAACCTTCTAGCACCCGAACCAGTAGCTAAGTACCTCCGTACCTCGTGTTAAAATCGCCCAGGTGGGTTAGCGGTTCCATGTTCCGCGCAGGGTCTGAGCGATATCGATAAAAATACATTTCTTGCCCACCAACCGGTTTGACACTTGGGAGCCACCAAGAACTTTGACCAGACGGACTTCGTGCAACCCCAAGCCATAGAATCTCCACAACCAGCCGGCCACTGGCAATGCATCTTCAGCCGTATTTTCAGTAGTGGGTTCCGGCCGCCTTCTCTCGGTGTGGTCGAGCAATTCTTCCCTTCTTCTCCCTCATGCTCTGTTTTCGCTCATCTCTCTTTGTTCCTCCAGTCTCCGGGGATTGCTCCCTCCGTTCGCTTTTACTAACACCTTCTCGTCACTCGTTGAATTAATTGATCGCATACGGGCATTTTTGGATGCCGATTTCTGTTCTTAATTTCCTTATCTTCCGTTTCTCCTCGAGCACAATACGACAAGAGCTTATCAGCTGGATCTCAAATACGAGTTCTCCAATTCCTGTCCCAGTTTGCTCCGGTGTGTCTATCGCCGATCAGTTCTGCGACTCTTACAGAAGCACTTTGGCCCTATCGACATTCTCTCCTCCCTTACCTCAAAATGCGCTTCTCAGCCTCAGCCCTGCTTATAGCAGCAGCCCTTTCAGTACCCAGTACAGCCGCAGAGACCACGTTCCGAAGATCAGATAAACGCGGCCTCGTCTTCGTCCCCAGCTCAGAACATCCTACCGATAACCAGATCTGGGTCCAAGCCAACAGCGACCTGTCATGGTACTACAATTACGGCGTCGCCCCGTCACCGGCATACCAGAGCCAAACACAGGATCAGTTCGAATTCGTCCCGATGTTGTGGTCTCCCTCAACAACTTTCCTATCTCAGGTTCAAAGCTTGATCAGCGGAGGCAGAAACATAACCCATATTATGACCTACAACGAGCCTGATGGAACTTCAAGTACGGGCGGCAGCCAGGTGGACCCGGTAACCGCGGCGACGAATTGGATAAGCCAGGTGGAACCGTTAAGGAAGCTGGGCGTTAAGGTGGGGGCACCAGCAGTGACTGGTGCTCCTCAGGGATTCACATGGCTGAAGAGTTTCTTCGCTGCCTGTACTAAGCAAGGGACAAATTGTACAGCAGATTTCATCCCGGTTCATTGGTATGGGAATTTTGGTGGACTGGCGAGCCATATTGGGGAAGTTGTTGGGACGTATGTCTACCATGTTCCATGTTGCCGACGCGTACTAACATATAACTCCTAGATGGCCAAACACATCCATCTGGATAACCGAGTACGCCCTCAATGATGCTTCCCTGAGCGAAACACAAGACTTCTTCAACACGTCCGCTGAGTACTTCGACCGCCTCGACTATGTCGATCGATATTCGTACTTTGGATCCTTCCGAAGCGGTGTTAGCAACGTCGGCCCAAACGCTGCTATGCTGAATAATAAGGGCCAGTTGACGGATATTGGCAGTTGGTATCTCGGAGGAGCCGCCACGGGTAATCAGCCCGGCGGCAAGTCCGCCGCATCGAGGTTGGTGCTGGGTGGGTGGAGTTTGTTCGCGGGTGTGCTATCTCTGGTTTTGATACTCTGAGATGCTGCAGTAGATTTTATGAATTACCAATTTTAGGGTCGAATAATATGATTTTGGATATAGCGATGGGCTAAGCCGTTCGGTGTATATATATATATATTTACAAAAAGGGGGCTAGGCGTTGGGGTAGGGTCTTGGATATAGGGTGAATAGGTACTTAGCTGCGGCAGAGTGTACAGATACCTCCTCTTGGGCAATTTCTTGTAAGAATGGTGTAATAGATCTATAACGCTTATAGAATAATATGCGTTAGTGGAAGTTGAAAGAGAAATCGGAATTTTAGATGTGAGAAATCGTGTGTGGTCGAGTTTCTAGCACTGCCCCTGCTCCATCCCAAGCGTTATTTTCACTTTCCACCTGGGAGTTTATATAAACCAAGATTGGCATTCATTCATTGTGCCATTCCCGACCGAAAGACATGCACCTCCTTGTCACTTATGGCCTTCAGTAGGGTAAACATCGGCTTCCTCACCAAAACCGTGACAGCGTCGTGTTCGGAAAAGCAATATAAAGTTACGTGGAGAGGTCCTGAGACTTGGAAACATGAAAGGGGCAAATATGTCATTAGTATAGGGGAAGGAGTTTGGAGTTTAAGCGAGCAAAAAGGGGAGGGATGGCATATGGAATACTGTAGCTACTGGAAAAACTGAATTTGAAAACACAATACGACACAGTCACACAGCATTGCAATTACTCTCCCTCTGATATTTCTCAATTTGAACGCCATAATTCATAATTTCCGCTTCCTCGTATGATCGTCATTCAACCATTTATATCTACTTCTCTCAACCACATCACTGCCAGCCCTCAATCTAGCCCGCCACCCTTCAACCCACAGCCACGCCAGCTTCCATTCATCTTTCACCTCATTCCCCTCTTGTTTCTCAATGCCTCCCTGCTTCACATCTCCAAAGCCTACATAAGTGATATTTCTAACTTTCAAAGCGGCGCCAGCTATCCACCTTTTCTCATCGCTTAGTCAATACCCATCCCCATCTGCGCCGCCAAGTAAAGGCGCTTTCTCCTCACGCGCAGGGTTGTGTATACTGTCCTTTAACCCCGCGGAACCTACTCCTACTAGTTTCGAAAGACTAGCCGCGGATGGAACAGATCGCACTGCCTGAGCGGAGGAGGACTCAAAAAGGGAGCGGGTACGCTGGAAGAAGCTGCTATTTGGTAGAGATGGGGAGGTTATGGGATTCCGATCGGCGCTAGCCTCAACGCTGGGTTGATCTTCATGTAGCGAATGTGTTTTGGAGAGCGGAGGGTCGTAATACCCGTCGTCGAGGGAGTGCGGTGATTGGGATGTATCGAGAGCTGGGAGGCCAGGAGTTCTAGTTGCCTTCGATAAATCGTACTCCTGATCCTTAGTTACTTCAGGAGAGCTATGAATCATGCTTTCGGGGCTTTCTTGGCTGTTCAAGTCTACGCGACTTGATTTCGGCGTAACAACTCCACTGTACAGTCTCGGGCTATACGGCTCAAAACCTGCCTGTAAAGGAGAGGCTTGGGATTTCAAGTCCTGCTCCTGCTCGTGCATATGGACAACCCCGCTTCGGCCCTCTGGCCAGGAAGACGAAATCAGATGCTCGTTCTGAAGAACTTCCTGGGCAATGTCGAGAATTTCATCGATGGGGGTGGTTGGTGTAGAGTCTGCATCGTCAGAATGAGCGTACGTTTCAAATGATGGAACGGTATCTGCTGTGTGGGTTCGGATGTGGAATGTGACATCGCTCTCGTGAAGTGCTGGGTATTTTGAGGGGTTCGAAGGGGCGGCGTGATGGAGGAGGCTTTCCTCGTCTGATAAATACTCGTCCTGAACGGTTCCATTTGGTGCATTATGGCTGAAGTCATAGCGATCAGCTTGGCTTGTAGACTGGTCATGAGGAGCCTGGTTGGAGGTGTCGCCAAGTTCCCTCACTAATGATATATCCGGTCTGATTGCATCAACGAGTGAAGCGAAAACTCCTCCTGGACTGGGATGATCTGCTCTTGACTGCTGGACTGTAACTGGACTTCGATCAACGGCATTGTCTTGTAGTACTGCTTCTAATGTTTTAGAAGCTGCTTGTATTGCAGCGTTTTCAGGGGCTTGCTCGTGGCCATTAGATAAATCCGGCATACTTTCTAGGGATTTGGAATGGGTTGTATGTGCCGCGGCTTCTTCAGGATGTTCCTCTGGTTGGTCCTCTTCGTCATCGTCATCTGCAAAGAGATCATCGGTATTCAACACGGTAGCAGGTGATTCCTCAATATTTTGAGAGTTGGTTTGGTTAGACATGTTTGCCACTGGCGTGGCAGGACGCTCAGATATAGTTTCCGGTGCCGTTGGTGTGATGGAGCCATCAGCCTCCTCGCTGTCTATATCCGGAGTTGCTGGCTCTTTATGGCCACTCTCGGGCTGCAAACCCTCTGTCTCCGTCACATCCCCCCTCTCTTGGACCAAATCATTCTTGAAACCATTATCACTTGAGATTTCTGTAAGCTCCTCCGTAGCTGATACCCCAATCGATTTGCTTTCCGCAGCTACTATATTCTCTTGCAGAAGAGAACTGTGATCCCCTCCATTGCTCTCGTCCTTTTCCTCAACAAAGTCGTCAGGGATCCTGCCTTCCTTTTCTTCTAGTGGAATATCATCTTCATCCGATGAAATATTCTCTCGAGCGGTCACTACCGATCCCTCGTAAGACACGGAGCCGTCAAAATCTTGAGGCTGCTCACGGTTGAGGGTTTCCTCAGCAACTTCCTCGCTTTCTTGCATTGAATCGTGGTAAATTTTATATTCTTCCCTAATCAATGGCTCTTCATCGACTGAGGAGGTTTCAGCAGTTACAGACTTCTCATCATTTAGGCCATGCCTAGGGATTGGAGACTGTTCGATTTCAGCAGGAGTGGTTTCGTGGGCTGCTGACTCAGTTGGACTTGAGTGCTCGTCATAGAATATTACCGATCCGTTGTCTGAGGATTGTTCATGGTTAAGAGAAGTGTCGATAGATATCTGATTATCTACTTCCACATCTTTTGGGGCAGTTTGGCAGTTAAGCTTTTCCTGGCTGGTTGTAATTTCATTGCTCAAGATACCTTCATGGCTGAAAGACTTATCATTAGGAGAGGATCCATCAATTTTCGAGATATCTTCGGTCGTTATGAAAGGTCCAGTTGGACTTTCATCGTTCCGAGGGGAATCATTTAGAACATCTTCATTGCCGCGCTGTGCTTCGGCAATTGGCTGGTCTCCTCCATGAGCGGGAAAATTTTCATGCCCTAAAGGTTCTTGAGCCCCTACGTTGAGTTCTTCCACTGTCGAAGGGGCTTGTGCCGCCTCTTGAGAGTCGTCGAAACTTTCCTCATATTGAGCGATATTAGTCGACTTTGATGGGTGCTCTGGCTCCTCGATCTCAGCAGCTGACACGGCGCCAGGTTTATTCTGACCCACGTGCTCAGATTCATCATGCGTGTAATCCGTGGTTGTATTTTCATCCACATCAGATGTTACAGCGCCATTGACTTCGGAGGCGACGGTGGTTTCCTTGTTCTCTTGAGTCTCGCTCACATCTTCAATCGGTGTCTGCGTCTCAGCTTGGTGTTCGACCGTATGTTCAGCTGGACTCACTTGACGAGTATCCTCGTCGGATGATTCTTGTACCTTGAGGGCTACACTCTCTACGGTGTCCGAACCTCCCGCTTTTGAATTTGAAGGTTGATGGGCTGCTCCGTTGATCACTGGCTCCGCTCCATCTGTGTGTTCGGCATCTTTAGCTTCTATAGATGGTTCCACTTGGAGTGGCATATCGGGGCTGGATTTTGCAGGTTGTCTAAGCGTCTTTGCTCTGCTTCGGAAATTAATCACCGGGATGACAGTCGGTTTATTGAGCGCTGCGTCGATTTGTGCGTTGATTGCCTGCAAATTAGTTAGTCTTACGCGGATATAAATTTCATCTGCGGATCCAAACCTTTCTCTTCTCATCCAATTCCTGAAGCATCCTCTTCCCGTCCTCCACTTTTTTCTCCATCTCATCGTCCAACTGCTCCAACTTCTCCTCGACGCTCATATGCAAAGTCTTCTGTTCCTCTTCCAAGTGTAGTTTCCGGAGCCCGTCTTCTTCAGCCGCCACGCGTCGTCGTGCCTCCTCTTCCCTCTCAATATTTGCTCTCCGTTCTTCATCTTCTCTCCTTCTCCGTTCAATTAGCTCTTCCTCTTCCCTCCTTCGCTGGTCTTCTAATTCCTGCTGTAGTTTGGCTCTTTGTACAGCAAGTTCTTGTGCGTCATTCTCGTGCTTGGTTCTGAGAGCTTCGAGTTCCGCTTCCCGCTGCGTCTCCAACTGTTCCATCAACTCATCATGGCCTTTGGTATCAGACAAAGATTCGACACATTTATGTATTGAATCGATATTTGAATGCAACTGAACCACGAGATCCGCTACGGACGATGTTTCTACTGCCATGGTGGGTAATGCAACTCAACCAGCAAACTTAAAAACAATAATAGCATAAACAGTTGACGGTACAATGGCAACGCTAGCAGTTCAGGCAGAATAATAGAAATTCAAGATAGAATGAAGGCTTCAAAAACCACCCAACGAAGTTCGGATGAAAACTTACGGTGGACGTCGACCCAATTCCTGGCACACTGCAGATCGGCCAACCCAACCATGCAAAACAATTACCAAGCATTGATTGATTACGGCCAACAATGCAGAAAATCATATGATGGGGAAGTAGTTCCGTACCATTATGCCGACTAGCCAAGGTCATGACGCCAATGGTGGGACACGCATAAGAGTGCTGGTTTCAACCACGATTTCGAATCATGCCGATGAATAACCGCCCACTTGGGGGAGTGGGGACGAAAACGTCTAGACTTTTGAGTGAGCATTGGCGTTGATTGAGAGGGCCATTAGAATAACAAAATAAAGGTCGTCGAAAAGTTGAGCTGGTTAGAGGCGCTTAGAGAAGAAGTTATCTCTCATCTGAAGCTGTAGACTTAAGCAGAATTTAGCTTGCTTTGCGGTAATCCCGGCTAATATTTGTACCTGATACCCCTGTGTGGAGGAAGGTACCTAGGTAACTACAGTCGGCACTGCACTCCTCATATAAGCGTAAACAACTGGCCGAAAACCATATTAGATGAGATATGGTGGGGAGATCAGAAAGAATAATATTGTAAGGATATAAAAAAGTCTATCTAGAGGAACAGCTTCCCTCAAGAGTAATGTAACTGTCCAAAAATTCCCTATATCTTCCGAATTATTTACAACGCTCAGCAATCCTTCGAACACCGCCCTGAGAAGGGATCTAAAGCATGCATGAGGCTTGAAATCCCATGGTAATGGCATATAGGACATAAGTATGGTATCATAAATAAAATTGTCCTGCTTTGACTCCAACACAATGGGAGTTTATTTTTATTTTTCTAGATCCCTCAAATTCTTGCCAGGCCACCCTTCATTTCCCGCGCTTGTCGTCTTCGGAAGTTTTCTCGGAATTGCATCCGTCTAAATGTGCCCAAGCCAATTGTTGCAATCAACAAGATAGCCCAGACGCCCGTGATGACGGCACCGATGGGGAAGATCAAGATATTGAGGCCCGGAACGACGAAAGGCTGGTCGCCCGTGACGACGAGGGTTTGGATGGGCGGGGCGAGTTGACTCCTTGTAGGCACTACTTGAGTAGAGAAGACGCCTGCGACAAAGGTTGCTTCCTGGGAGGATAGCGTTGTGTTGACGAGTTGGCCAGTCGAATTAACCGCTTTCAATGTAACGGCTGGGACGAGGACTTTTTGGAGAGCATCACTGCGGGGGTTAGCGAAAGATCACAGAATCGAAATGTGGATGAATACTCACGTTCCCATGGGAACTGCTAACAATTCCTTGTTGATTTGACCGACAAACGCGTAGAATTGAGATAGGGTAGGCTCTGCTGGTGACTGTCTCTTCTCAATTCCATCTCCTCGAGGCCACAACATCGTAGCTTCAATTTCTGATCGACGCCCCATTGCGGAGGCATTCACTGCTGAGACCGTCGCTCCATTGTACGTAAGTCCGACGTTGATATCCTTGGCCGCAATGCTCGCAAAATTTCCTGTCGGTGGAGATATCGTATACAGGCGGAGTTCCGCCTGGAAGACACCCGTTGCCTTGTCCAGAAAGGGAAGATTATAGCACACGGCGATCCCCGAGGGATTGCTGGCTTGTCCGTTCAATGACTCCAACGTTGTTGTACACGCTAAGGTCGCCATCGCATCCCATTGAGACATATCCACGCCCGCTGCTGCTGCTGGTGGTGGTGCCTGCCTCCGGTCTATCGGTTGGACGACCTTGTCCACATATCTCCTCATGCTTTCCTCCACCGAATTGCCCCGTGCCAAATGCGCTACATTTCCCAGTGTACCCGCGGAAACCCCACCCGTCAGAAGAGCGGTCACAAGAGTCGCTGCCCGCATTCTTCGTAGTTATATCCACTATAAATATAAATATATGTATGTATTAGGTCGGAGAGCGATCGATATTCGCGGAGCGACGACGACGTCGACGAAAGAGGGTTGATAATCCGGCCGGCGGTTGTATATTGGATTAAGGAATGTGAGTGAGTCGTTGCAGCATCAACTGGCAACGCCTCCACGAGAGACGAGAACAAAAGATAGATGGCGAACCGGGGAAAGGAGAGAAAAGGGGCCTGCCCAAGGATGAAATGGGAAGCCGACTCTAGATGTTTAGTTTCCCGGCGTGGCCTGAGCAGAATAGATTAAAAGAAACTATGAGAAGAGGAAGAGGACAATAATAGAATCGCAGTAGCAGTGGCGGTAGCAGTCGGCAAAAGATGCTGCAGAACGAGGGGCATTATGGGGGTTGGGGTCCTGAACTCAATGGTGTGTTCTTGCTACAGAGACAAAGGAAGAAGAGGCATGCTCAAACCCACGAGAACTCTGACTTGGATGGCGTGGTGGGCGGTCGGAGAGTATGTGGAGCCGTAAGTCTAGGACATGACACTCGCTCTGGCAGATCATTGTCGGAGAGTCGAGCCATTCCAGCCATTTCAGACACGGACCGTCGTATCGTGGGGTATGGTTCGGCTTGATCAGGACGTAGCACGGCCTTGGTGTGGGCCAGCGGACAGGACAATGGGCATACGCGGTCTAGCTACGTCGTCGTACATACTACTACTGTACGTAGGGAGCTGGCTGCAAACTTGCAAGGCCTGCAATAACCATAGCACGCGAGTACGAAGCCCACTCTGCTCTGAGCCTAATAGTGAAACTACTCCGTACAGAGTAGAGCGCGCGGCCATGGCCATGGGCGATGCGACCAGCCTCGGAGGTGCCCATGGTTCGACAGCAGCAAGCGCACAGCATATTGGCCGCGCCAGGATGGGATCATGAAGAATCGTCAGGATAAGGTTTGAGCGGATGCGAGGCTGCTGATTGGCCTGGGCGAGGACGTGGTTGCAGATACGAGACGCGCCTGGTCGCAAGATGAAGCCAGTCGTGAAGGTGTTTGAAGTCTGAGGTCTGAAGTCTGAGGTTTTGAAGCGCGTGGTGTGTCAGATGAGTTGCGAGTGTCCAGTCCAGTGACCTCGCAGTTGGGCTGTGGCGCGCCACTCTGTGGCTGAAGACATCACCACTGAGCAAATCAAAGGGCGTATATCCCCTGGGACCATCTTCAGCCACATCCGCAGCCACAGCCCCAGCCCCAGCCCCCTTTCACGCGGCGCTGTTGGCCGCCGCCATGACAGTCCAAGCGCTGGACGAAGCGGACGGCGCTTGGACTGGTGTTGGTACTCGTAATACGAAGTTGCTGCCAGATGATTGTCGTCTGTCGTCATCTTGCCCTCGGCCAGTCCGCGAGAGATACCGAGTATAGTAGGCTAAATCCTTCGTTGGCGCGTGGGAAAAATGAAGGCCTGGCGACAGAACCAGATACATTGAGGCAAACAACCGCTCTGTACGGAGCAAGTCCCCGACTCTACAAGCCTGAAGTCTGAGGATATCGAAAAGGAGATGGGCAAGGGGTCAAGGACCCTGAATCTGAGCATGCGATGACAGAAAGTCATACTTCGTAAGCCGGAGGAGAAGAAGCCGGCTGGGCACCCCGAAGAGTCGGAAACAGAGAAACGGAAAACTACCACCTCACTGCGCTTGGGCGAAACTGTCAACTCCTGATCGACCCAAGGGGACGTGGGCCATTTTCTCTCTTCCCTGCTCAGTCCCCCAATGCCGGGTCGGCGTTCATCCCCTAAACCACGTTCTTCTGCCGCTGAATTCATGCCGTAACCCACCCTTTGCACGCATCACCCAAGCTACTTGGTGAATCTCGTTTTTTTTTCTTCTTGAAACGGGCATGGATACAAGACATGGTTGCTTATCTTAGTGGCCCAAACTCTAATTCCTCGAGTGAGAAGACAATGGGTTGGATTCCGCCCTAATTATTCGAATAAAACATATTATGACCATCAGCCTACTTTAGGGGTCAAACAAGCCTGACTCTCAATGTCGTTGATGCCCTTGTTGACGATATTTGTTTCCAATCTAGTTTATAGTTTCTGTCATATCTGCCACGCAAGCTTCAGCTCATGGACTCAGACGTCTGTTTCACTGATCTACGGAATACGGAGGTGTAGGTTATGGGTGCAGGGCTCTCTTCTATTTCAGTTGCCTCTCCCATGTCAAGTGATATGTAGTATGTGATATCCACATTTAAAAATTATCCCTGGCTGCGATCTTTCCTTTACCTCTCGTCAAGTATTCTCCATCATTTCAAATATTCAACGTACTATCAATATGGTGACTTTGAAATTATTTTGGGTGTGGTATTTTAAGGGAGATGGAATGAGCTGACTGCGAAACCGTCTGGGTTAGTAGCCTAACGTTTTCAGAAGAAAATATGCCCAGTGTGCGTTAAGAGTCTATTCGTGTATTTGACGGCCAAGTGGCACTGTACACATTTCTGGATATCTTCCCTGTCGCAAATATTATTCAACGCGAGTTACATCACCAGAGGTTTGACTGGACTATCTCAATCAAATCTTCTCCTACATCCGAGGTGCTCGCACGCCTACCATCAGCGTCACTTGAACCAAGATCCAAGTCACAATCAACCCAGCCCAAACCCCAAAGATGATACCTAGTCCGCCAACAAGTCTTGCCCTGACAACTATTTGGGTCAAATACCTTCTAAATTCTGGGCTCAGCAATAACCAGCTGTAGATCGGAATGGCGAAAGTCGGTGTTGTTTGGGGAATTGCCATGCGGTCCTCCAATGCTTCAGCTAGCTTCCAGGCAACCTTGTTTCCAATGCTCTCCCATGTTGCTTCTTCAGCCACCCTCCTTGCTGCGGTACTCATTCTTTTTCTGAGTTCCTCGTCGTCCCCTAATTCTACAACTTTTTGAACGAATCCATCCAGATCTGATGGGGGCACCAAGTATCCGGACGTGCCATCTGCGACAATTTCACTTGGTCCGCCCTCATCCCTCGCAATGACCGGAACCCCGCTAGCCATTGATTCTAGAACGACCAGTCCAAATGTTTCGGTGATTGAGCAGTGCAAGAAGATGTCTCCACATGCATATGCTTTGGCCAAGCTTTCCCCTTTGAGGAACCCAGTGAACGTGACCCTCCCTTCATCGGCCAAGTAGCCGAATTGATTCCGCACCTCTTCTTCTACTTTCGGGTTTCGATTTCCTCCAACAATCAAGAGCTTGAATGGGAAACCTCTCTTATCGAGCAGTTTGACCACCTCAGAGAGGAACTCGAACCCCTTTTCGGGTGCTAACCGCGCAACTGACACCAGTATCAATTCGCCGTCAGGTGCCAATTCCTTCCGCATTTCTCTCGATCGCTTTGAAGGATGGAACATTTTGCCATCTACACCACGTCGCAGACTTACCATTTTCTCTGATTGAATTCCAGCCTTTTGGAGATATCTTTGTACAAAATGGGACGGGTAAAATACCGTTCGCACCGAGGGGTGGCGGAATAGATATCCCTGGACCGATCGAAATACCCATACTGCCCAAGCATCTAGTGGGGAAGGGAAGAGGATCTCGCAATAGCCCGACAAATCAGTCTGGAAATTGAGAAGCACCGGCACGATGGAAGATTCTTGTTGCTGGCGAAGCTGGAACAGGATCTGAAAGCCAAGACTTGCTGGACTGGCCAGATAGATGAGGTCTGGAGGGCCATTGAATGTGCGAGCATATAATTGGGACAGTCGGACAGGGTAAACCACAGATAACTCCGGGTTGTAGGGTAGCGGATATCCTTGAACTCTGACTTCGATTTCGTCGTTGTCAACGGTTGGCGAGGAATCCGAAGTTGTATTGGAGTTAGTACTGATCTCTGGGGCTACGACAGCCACACGCACCCCCTGACTTCTCAGATACTGGACGAGATTCAGAGTTGTTCGGCTCACACCATTGACAGGACCAAAGGATTCGGTGGCCAAGAGTACCCTCTTCCCGCGCAAGCTCTCAGGGAATGCGAGTGTTGTGTTGTTGGAGGCCATCGTTAGCCTTGTCTATTCACAAGGGTCGTTCTAAGCACAGCACAAGAATATTTAAACGAAAGCCAGACTTCGTGGGCTTACGATGGCAGCAAAGTAACCTAGATCGCATTGTTGGTTTGCTCCTTGAGGTGATGGATGGTCAATTAATCGAGCTTTATTGATACTGATCTGGGTAGTCCCGCACACTTCTTGGGCTCGCCATCCTCGGCTGACCAGAACTTCCATTATGTCTAGTATAAATTTCCAGATATGTTATCGGATGATGTGCGAAGTGCCATATCATCTCGAATTTAAAGGTCGTGCGGCGCATTGTGTGCTGTGATTTGTCTGTCTATTGTGTCCGAGTCAACCAGTTTGACGCCCCACGTCAACGCCTGCTTGCACGTGGGCGAATCAATGGCCGCAAGGCTGACACTGTGATATTTCCAATACTCAACCTTATCCTTTTGCATACTCTTCTCTATCTTCTTTTTTATATCATGCCCCTCCATCCAAATCAGCTGCAACCCCGCCAATTCCGTCAAATGATCCGTTAGACCCCCTTTCCTCTATCCTCTACACCCCCCAGCTGGCCCAACGTGTGCCATTTGACTGGTTGTTGATAGCAGAGCAGGCTAGCATATCCATGGTCAACACGACCGCTCTCTTCTCGAGATATTCCGCACGCTCCTGAGCACATGCCCGCTCTGTGGAAGCTTGCATGTTTCCAAGCCAAGCTCTGCCTATCGAAATATTTTGTGTCCTTCGTTCTCTCTTGACTTGTGTCATTTGCCCATCTTATTTTCAATTATTGTTGCAGTTAATCAGCCCTTCTTCCACGCATGTGTGCGTTACATATTTCGAGTTAGAAAGCACAGCTCTTCTCAGATTTTCTTTCTCTTCCCTAGTTCAGCTTATCACCGTGGACTATCTGGATTTCGTTCTCAAATCTGCCCCTCGGCCGAATCATACTGAATTACTTCCCCGCAACATTAAGGCCGTCCTAGATGACACCGCTACGTTGGTAACGTGCACCAGTGCATCTGTGTACCAGAATCGATAGATAGGCGTCGGGCCACAACAACGAGCACAGTCGTTTCCTAGCAAGTTGGCGCAGCTCTAAATATATATTCCATAGAATACGGCCGAGTGCCATTTCCCAGGATCTGTCTTCTACTCATCAATAGTCCAACAATGGCTAGCGCCCATCTACCATCCGCGGCTTCTACAGTCGACACTGATGACTGTCTTGTCGACGCCTCTACAGCTCCAACTACACCAGATGGCAGTTTGACATTCAGTCCGGTTCTGGAAGCCTTGAAGCTTCGAGATGCTCTCGAAGGTGCTACTGCGGGCAGAGGTACATCGATACAGGACACATCTTTGGATGGTGCTATGTATCCCAGTCGATGTGAAATTCGGAACGTTTGTTGTGTTGGGGCTGGGTATGTAGGTATGTTTCTCATCCTAGGTTAGGCCGAGCATTCCAGGGCCATTAAATATCTCCTAGTCGGTATTTATACTAATAATAATACAATTCATAGGAGGGCCAACAGCTGCAATGATTGCATTGCAAAATCCCCATCTAAGGGTGACTGTGGTTGACAGAGACCCATCGCGCATTCGGCAATGGAAATCAAAACATCTACCAATTCATGAACCAGGTTTGCAACACATCATTCGCATCACGAGAGACGGCTCAAAAGCACTGTCATTCTTCAATGAGCCAGCAAGGTTTGATTCATTTGATAGCGTCTCATCAGCAAGCTCAGCTACATCTGAATGCGAAAGCCAATGTGGGGAATTGAGGGACGAAATCTACATCTCGTCACGTAGTCCCAATCTTTTCTTTTCCACTGAGGTTTCAAAAACTCTCAGCCAAGCCGATATTGTTTTCATTGCGGTCAATACTCCCACGAAGAAACGAGGGATGGGTGCTGGGCGAGCTACAGATATGACAGCCTTGGAAGCAGTCTCGAGAGAAATCGCAATTCACGCCAAACCAGGAGCAATTATAGTTGAGAAGAGCACAGTTCCATGCCGAACGGCGGAGATGATCCAAAATACGGTAAGTCTCTAATCAGCCTCGCCCATTTGTACTTAGTATCCTAACATAGGTGTGCGTTTTAGTTCAAAGCCCATCGACCAAATATAAATTTCGAAATCCTTTCCAATCCAGAGTTCCTCGCCGAAGGAAGTGCAATGACCGATCTTCTCTATCCGGATCGCGTCATTATAGGCTGCAGTCCAACTCCCTCTGGACACCACGCAGCAGCTTCCCTTGCCTCGATTTACGCATCTTGGGTACCTCGCCCCAAAATAATCACTATGAATACTTGGTCTTCAGAACTGTCAAAGCTCGCGGCAAACGCCATGCTTGCCCAACGAATCAGCAGCATCAATTCTATTTCCGCAATCTGCGAGGCTACAGGCGCAGATATTGATGAGATAGCCCAATCTATCGGCCTTGATCCGCGGATCGGAGATAAATTCCTGAAAGCCGGCGTGGGCTTCGGTGGAAGCTGTTTCAAGAAAGACATTCTAAGTCTAACGTATCTAGCGGAAGGTCTTGGTCTGCCTGAAGTGGCTGAGTACTGGACACAAGTACTCAATGTTAATGACTGGCAAAGAAGTAGATTCGCGAGGAAGGTTGTGAGATGTATGAATGGGACACTTGTGGGAAAGAAACTCTCTATATTGGGTTACGCATTCAAAAAGAATACGAGTGATACGAGAGAGTCACCTGCGCTCGAGTGTATCAAAATTTTGTTAGAGGATGCACCAGGGGAGATCGCGATCTTCGATCCATGTTGTGAGCCCGCAAAAATCAAAGAGGAGATCAAACGATGGATTGGAAGCGCGGCGCTGAGGGAATTGGGTGGGCCGATCGAGGTATATAATGACGCTTACCAAGCGTGCTCGAACAGCCACGCAGTGGTAATCATGACCGAATGCGACGAGTTCCGGAACTATCCATCATCAAAATCGCCGAAGCTATTCCCAAGCCGGAAAACAGAGCGTCCTATCGTTGTTGATCCAAGACCATTTGCACGTCTTGAACCAACGGAGTCAGAACTGCTCGCGCTGCACGGATATCTCTCGCCGGCGTTGGATATCAAGGATCCTCTGCTAAGATTCGAAGAGGAGCCAGCGTGCGATGATTCATGTGCAATGTGTGCTGAGAAGAAGGGTAAGCTGGAGAGCGTGCGGAGTGGAAAGGAAAATCAGAATGAGAGACTGGATTGGGTGAGGATTGCATATCATCTACAGAGACCCAAGTGGGTTTTTGATGGCCGTGGGGTTTTGGATATCGCTGAGATGGAGAAGCTGGGTGTGCGGGTTGAGGCGATTGGGAAGGTTGGCTGGGGAGGAAGATGAGGAGGCTACTGGTAGTCTACTTTTGTGTAGAGATGATGGTAGTTGCTAGCATTTGTGTTATCTCGTCTTTGTTTGACCATTAATTTAATTTTGGAGGAGTCTAGTTTTCTAGACTAACGGATATATTTTATAGGTACTTAGACACCTATTCTTCCCCTAATACCCTTTGATAAATATTATGTTTACCGGGGCATATATTAACAATAAATACCATCAACAGAAATGCACGCTAGAGGTGTTGAAAAGTAATAAGTGAAAAATATGGGATGTTAAGGACAGTAATATATAAGACGGCGATGTCCCTATTACTAGATTAAGTGCAAGTGCTAGTAGTTACAAAGCGGCCCATAGACAAGCTCCTACGTACCTAGCTAGCATTAGGAACAGTTTTCAAAAGATATAATATTACTTGCCTAGGTACTTAATGTTTTTATGTTGCGCTTGTTTTAATTTATATAATTCTAATATAAACAACACCTTTCACAATACTATCAGCCGTTCCAAATGCATTCTTATATAGAGGCTTAATATAAAAATTAGCACTTAAAACATAGAAATACACAAAGAATTCTCTAGTTAAGCCCCGGCCTTATAAATACAATACTTAGTAGAAACATAGGTCAAAGAGCAAAGTCTAAGAATATGCTTATTAGGCGAAGTTATTTTTATCTTATGCTATAAAGTCATCGGAATAGGTAAATTAAATCATAGAGAGGTTTTACTCTATTTTCAGGGGAGGGAACACCGGCGGGCGGCACGGGAGATTCATTACGTTATTAGCTCAGTGCTCGATTCGAGATCCGAGAGTTGATTTCAACGCGAATGGCCATTCCCTTATACTTGCACTATTTATTGCTGGTATTACACATGCATCGATGGGCGTAGTGGGTGGTGTGATAGACTGCAGCCATTGAAGACTGAAGTAGCCCCTCCGACCTAAGGGCCACGATGATGACATATTGTCCTAACCTAACTCGAACTCATTCAATTCACGAAACCGACTTATTTGGTGCCTCACTAAATGGGTTGCAATCTGGAACAGGGAAAATTTGTGTTATAGCCCAGCTTTATATCCATGTAGTTGAGGGTTATTCAGTTACATCGAGACCTATGATTCTAGAACCTATATGACTAGCAAACAAGTATACTTTTACAAGTAAGTTTAGCATTCTGAAACACATTTTGGAGACCTCTCCAAATATGGAACGAGTTGTGATACTCAAATCTTGACATCCAGGCGCGATGGGTGCGTATCTTAGTGCTGAACGTATTTCGACCCAATACTATAGTCATCTCCATTATTACCCCCCAAAGCTAGCTCCGGAGCCCCTTCTGCTGCACCTAATGAAAGGAGCATAGCGAGCCTAGGATACTGGGGTGCCCGGGGGGGGGGGGGTGGTATAGCAGAGCAACATGCCACCCAGTCATAATAATTCCGAACGAAGTCTCTACCTCTTCGCCTCTCGACAGGGAGAACTGATAAGTCTACTTCCCCTGCATAATTAACATCTGACACATTGGCCTGATGATGACCAACTTAGTAGTCAGGCGCTACGTGACTCTACGCGTTGTGCCTCATGGCAGAACCATTTGGAAGAGTATTGGTAGTACCCTTTCACCAATGGACCCACACCCAGGCCCTTCAGCCCTTCGGTCTGCCAAGTCCCTTCAGCCTCAAGTAGACATCACAGCCCCATCCGTATAAACTTTGGACGGCGATCCCACCACCAAAGTATTCTGCATACGCTCTCCCTAGCGGGAGGCCATATCCTAGCCCCGCAATAGAACTTCCCCCTGCTCCTGACCCTGAGATTGCGTTAAGAGCATCTATGTTGCCATTGCCTTGTGGAGGGAGTTCATCGTCCTCTGAAAAAGTGGTGAAGGAGTAAGACCAGATGTTAGGCAGCACCTCTGGATTAATCCCCCCGCCTCGGTCACGGATACGAATAGTAACACCAGGTGCTGGGTCGTCAAAAGGCTTGATAGATGGATTATAACGGGTTTCGTGGTTCAAGGGGCTATCACCCAGTTTCCGTTCCTGATCAAATGCATTGTGCATCCCTCGTGGAGTTTCCGGGTCCGCTGCGATGGTAATGATCACAGGCTCGTGAGACCGACCAGACTCAACTGTTGCTCGGAAGGTGTTTTTTAATAATTCAGTGATTATGTATTCCAGATGTACAGGAACATATGCAAATGTCGTGGCTGGCTCCCCGTCAATAATCCAAGTTGGCCGTACGCCATATTTGAGTTCGCAGATTTCCGAAACGAAGTTGCCGCAAGAGTTTATAATTGTGGCCGGTTGGAGCGCCGTGTCAATGACACCAATGTAAGAGGAGGGATGATCGGTGGTTTGGAGCTTGGTGTGGCTTTGATGCTGATGAGGTTGCGATGAGAGATGCAATGCAATATGTTGCTCGGCGATTAGCCTGGTACCAATCCTCGCACGGAGATGCTCGTCCAGGAACCGCGTCACCTCAGCTGGGCTGATATACTTTCTGCACTCTAGAAAGCCGCGAGCCAGAGTGGGAATGGTATGAGAATGGGTCTCTACTAGATCAGCCAGCACATCTGTAAAGCGTATCTCGTCTTCTAGGTTCGATATGGTTTTAGAGTTGTACGGCAATAGGGTCGATAGGGAGTGGAGGTAATTGTTGTAGATCTTGGAGATATTCGGATTGGATACGACTATATAAGGAAGGTTTCGTAGGGCTTGGATACGATGTGCTAGGCGGATTGGGAGGAGGGACAGGGTGAAGTTGGCTGATGACAGCAATGCGTCTGTGGAGAGAGGTGGGCGTCCATGTCTGAACTCATGAAGAAGGTTAGAACAGACTAAAAGAGGCACATGGAGGGTAGATGTATAGGTAACTAAGCACATACTTGACAAGATCAGCTAAGCTAAGGGTATGCAACGGCTTGCTTGCGAGACTGGCAACATCTTCGTCAGAGATGACGGTGGAACTGGGCGGGTGTGACCATCGTGGGGTGGGAGGCGAGGGACGTCGCGCAGAGGTTGAGTAGGAATATGAGGCCAAAGGCCGTAATTGGCAAAGATAATGCCCTTTCGCATTACGACACCGCAACCGCAATGGGCGCCAAAGGAGATTCATGGGAGCGGCATTGAGCGTTGTCGTTGTTGTTGCTTCTGCGATGACGGCTGATGTCCATGGTGCTCGGGCGGTGAGTCGAACCTGAATTGAACGCCAATGCCTCGGCTTGATAATGAAGCCATCCTTGTCTCACAATTACAACGGCGATCAATGTTCACCTTTAGACTTCAACGGAAGCATTTGATTCTCTAATGAGCTATCTATGACAGTATCAATATCTGTGTTTGTTGTTCGCTATTGTCTCTGCCTCGCCCGTATGATATCCCGGCCCCACGCCCTAGCAGGTTCTGACATCCTGGTCTATTTCGGCTGACGCGACATGCTTGCTATCAGACATCGTGGAAATGTTGTCTTTTGGGAACTTGATCCTATATAAATATGCAAGTCAATCTCATGCGGCTACCCGTGGGCAATGGAGCTGCTTGGGATCTTGATCTTACGTGAATCCGGTGATGATGGGGCGTTTCTTGGGGAACTTTCCTCCCTGCTCCTGGGCGAATTTGATGGCCCTTTGCCCTCAGTCAGCATCGGTATTGTTTCCAGCATCTGGGCTTCGTTTGAGGACAACGTACGGATCAACGTCTTCAGGGGAGTTGCAGCAAATCTAGAATCCGGCGTTAGTTTGGTCCAAACAAAACAGTTCACTTTCGGTACGCCAGGTTGGCAGATAGGGTCCGTACAATGTGCTTGACAAGGTTATTCTTCTTGGTTTCGTCTAGCTCCTCCTGATCGGTGTCGTCGCCGAGGCCTTGGACTGGGGGGTCTTGCGTGGAAACCATGGTGATAGCTGGTTGGCTATTTGGTGAGACCCAAGTGATAGTAGGTTAACGGGTGGTGTTATTGAGGCCGAGTGATAGCTAGAATGTGGCTGCGAGAATGGTATAGAAGATGTGAAACAGAAGATGAGGCACGAGAGGAAGGAAAGCAGTATTTATTATGGCTGCCCAACAGTCCAAAGTCCAGACAGACGCATGACAACTGTACTTCCAGGTTGCGGATGTGCAGTGGGGGGGCCGCGACGCCTAGCAGTACGTCATCAGTCCTTTATACTTGTAAGGTACTTCTACTCACATTCCTGAATTGGACTGGCAGTCATATGTAATCATGGAATATCAGGCGCCAAGGATTCGAATATAGCAGCCACTTAGTTATCAGTCACTCGATAATCACAATCATAGCGTAGTAAGCCTGCTTTACTTACCTAGGTACTCTATATCTGCTTTCTGATTCTACCACCCCACATCGATGGAGGGGAGCCGAATCACTGTCACGTGACTCATTGAAGAGAGTTACTTGCACTACTATAACCGGGCATAAGGGAAACCCCCCTGAAAGTTATTAATATACCTATTTGGGCTTTAGTAATCGGTGCTCTATAATCAAACTGAGCCCAGGTAGCCAAGGGAAGAGTTCCTGAGTAAAGGTCACGTTTGCGATGGTCGAGCACGTGGAGGGGCAAAAATAAGGTTATCTCGGTTATCGATACGATAAGCTGATAAGACACGCTAGCCGTTCTAAGGAGCTGACCGGCGTCGCATAAACATAATTCCGAGTTCTACCAAAATTTTATTTGTACAGAGAGAGGAGGAGCCGAAGCTCTGATCTGCTTGACGGCGCCACCACAAACACAAAACCATTGCGCAGCACGACAATGGAGGACCAAAAGAATCGCCCTCATAGGGCTCCCAAAGAGAAGAAAAAACACACTGGGGGTCAGAAAACCTGGCACTGCAAGCGTACGATGCCTTGAACAGTTATGCTGACTATCCTAGACCGCAATCCAAAAGCATTCAGTTTTGCCAATCCAGGGCGCCTTGCAAAGTCCGCTGCTCGATCCCATGATGTAGGCTATTCTTGAAAAATCCAAATCACCTTCATATTGAGCTTGCTAATACGATTGGCGCGCATAGATAAAGGAAAAACGTTTCCATGTACCCCAAGTCGACCGAATTCCAGAGGAACCCCCTCCAAGGCTTGTCGCAATCGTCGGCCCCCCAGGCGTCGGAAAGACGACTCTTCTCAAATCCCTGGTTAAAAGATATGCGAAAGAGACATTGTCCGATCCTCAGGGCCCCATCACTGTAGTCACTTCGAAACGCCAGCGCTTGACTTTCGTCGAATGCCCAAATGAACTGGAGGCAATGCTGGATATGTCCAAGGTGGCAGATATAGTGTTACTTATGATAGATGGAAATTTCGGATTCGAGATGGAGACAATGGAGTTCTTAAACATTTTGGCTTCGAGTGGTATGCCGGGGAATGTCTTTGGGATCCTTACCCATTTGGATCTATTTCGAAAGCCACAGACTCTGAAAGATGCGAAGAAACGGCTAAAGAATCGATTCTGGAGCGAGTTATACCAAGGAGCACATCTCTTTTATCTGTCCGGAGTCATTAACGGCAGATATCCTGATCGCGAAATCCACAATCTCTCAAGATTTATTTCCGTCATGAAGAATCCTCGACCTCTGATCTGGCGTAATTCACATCCATATACGGTTATTGATAGCTTCCGGGATATTACCCATCCGACAAAGATTGAAGATGACCCCAAATGTGACCGCACAGTTGTCCTGTCTGGGTATCTGAGAGGGACAAATTTTGCAGCACAGGGCCAAAGAGTCCACATACCAGGGCTGGGCGATTATTCAATATCTACTATGGAGGCCGTACCAGATCCGTGTCCTACACCATATATGGACCAAGCTCTTGCCAAAGCAACAGGCAAAACCGGCCGTCGACGTTTGGACGAGAAGGAAAAGAGATTGCATGCCCCGATGTCTGATAAGAGCGGGTTAAAAATTGATGGTGATGCAATTTGGATTACCAGGGAAAAGGGGTTCAATTTTGACAAAGATGCCGATGGCGAGGAGCGAGGCGAAGGCGAGGAACTAATTGTTAGTTTGCAAGCCGAGCGCAGACTTCTGGGTGAAACTGAGGAGGGTGTCCGACTGTTTAGTGGTGGAGGAGCGATCAAGAGTGTTCCCGAGGAGGAAGATACCGGCAGGAAGCAGCAACGCTCAGCAAGGTTTGTTGAGCGTGAAGATGGCGAGGATGGCGAGGATGACAGTTCACCCGTCGATGATGAAGGCTTCGTCAGTGGTGATGATATCCAGTCTGACGACGACGCGGAGATCACTGAAGACAAACTCGGAAAAGCATTTCGGAAACTAGACGATAAGACTGGCGGAGATATCGCCTTCGCTGATAGTGATTCGGACCTTGGTTCTATATCCGGTGATGATCTTGATTCAGAAGGCGAAGAATCCTCCGATGAGGAAGATGGTGCCGTGCGATGGAAGTCGAATATGTTGCACACAGCTCAGAAGTTACATGGCAAGAAGAGGTCCTATCGAACAGCAGACCTCGCCAAGTTGATGTATAATGAATTGCTCACTCCAGCGGATGCTTTACTTCGATGGAGGGGTGAAGTCGATGAGATGGAGGAAGAGGAGGAGGAAGATATTGAGGCATCTGACGATGAGACGTTTTTCAAGAAAGCTGGGCGTGAAAAGGATGAGTATAGTGAAGATCGGGCGATACCAATCCTTGACTACGACGCGTTAGAGGCGAAATGGTCCGTTGAGGACAATATTGAAGCATTACGACAGCGGTTTGCAACAGCTGATCTACTAAAAGAGAAGGCCGCGAACCGAAGTGGTAGTGACGGCGAGAGCGATGAAGACGACGAAGGTGATGGAGAATTCGAAGATTTGGAGACTGGCGAGAAGCATGAACCAGATGACCTTCAGGCCGAACGAGAGAAGAACGCCCGGAGGAAAGAAGAGCTCAAGCTTCGCTTCGAGGAGGAAGATAAAGAAGGGTTCAATAATGACAAGGCCAAAGCTCGACGCGAAGGGGATGATGAAGGGGAGTTTGGTGAGGACGATTGGTATGATGCGCAGAAGGCGCAGATTCAGACGCAAATGAACATCAACAAGGCTGAATTTGAAGCGCTTGACGAAGCCCAGAGGGTCAATGTTGAGGGTTTCAAAGCAGGCATGTATGGGAAAATCGTCATCGAGGGCATGCCTTCAGAGTTCGTCACTAAATTCAATCCGCGGATGCCAATTATTGTTGGCGGACTTTCTGCCACCGAAGATCGGTTCGGCTTCGTGCAGGTCAGAATTAAGCGGCATAGATGGCACAAAAAGATATTGAAAACTAACGATCCTCTTATCTTTTCCCTTGGATGGAGAAGGTTCCAGACCTTGCCTGTCTACAGCATATCGGACTCTCGAATCCGAAATCGAATGCTCAAATACACGCCCGAGCATATGCACTGCTTTGGGACGTTCTATGGACCCCTCATTGCTCCAAATACGGGATTCTCCTGCTATCAATCGTTCTCGGCGAAGAATCCTGGTTTCCGAATTGCCGCCACTGGGACAGTCTTGAATGTGGATGAGTCCACGGAGATTGTCAAAAAGCTCAAATTGACGGGAACTCCATACAAAATTTTCAAGAACACAGCTTTCATCCGCGACATGTTTACTACATCCTTGGAGATTGCCAAGTTTGAGGGTGCATCCATCAAGACAGTCTCTGGAATTCGAGGACAGATCAAGCGTGCGCTCAGTAAGCCAGAAGGCCACTTCCGAGCCACATTCGAAGACAAGTTACTCATGAGCGATATCGTCTTTCTACGCGCATGGTATCCCGTCAAGCCCCATAGGTTCTATAATCCTGTGACGAATCTTATCGGATGGGAGGGGATGCGATTGACTGGCGAGGTCCGTCGTGACCAGAACATCGCAACCCCCCAGCAGAAGAACAGCTTGTACAAACCCGTGGAGCGTGCAACAAGGCATTTCAACCCCTTGCGGGTGCCTCGTGCTATTGCTGCAGAATTACCTTACAAGTCCCAGATTGTGCGGATGAAGAAGCAGTCTACCCAAACATACATGCAGAAGAGAGCCGTGGTTGTAGGGGGCGAGGAGAAGAAGGCAAGGGACCTGATGCAGAAGATCATGACGCTCAGGAACGAAAAAGTCTCGAAGAGAAGGGCCGCTAAAGAGGAAAAGCGGAAGGTGTACAGGAAGAAGGTAGCTGAGAACGAGGAGATGCGTGGAGAGAGAGAAAAGAAGGAGAAGCAGGAGTACTGGAGAAAGGAAGGCAAAAAGCGGCATGCAGACACTGATGGCGCTGGTGGTGGTAAGAGGCGTAGGTAGTCATCTTTTTGCATTGCCGGGGAGTTATAGGGACACTGTGATAGGTAGACAAAATAGCTTTTGAATCAATATACCTTGGTATACATTGAATTTGTATAAATGGAGAGAACCTTTGTGTTGCTATTTATTATTCGAGCACCCAGTCAATATATTTCATTCAAACCAACTCCCGCGCTGTGCATTAACAGAACAGGCCCCGGTGCTGCGAAGCTATAAGGAAAGCTTTGAGGGTGGATCTGAACTCTTGGATAGAGACTGCGTTGTTTGCTGCCACCCCAATGCCACAGGTGCTGGTAGTGACATTCTGGCTACTTCTCTGGCCGTCTAAACTGCGTTAAAGATAAATGGTATGATAAACCAAACAGAGCTCTCCTTTCCTAGAATTTATCACTGTCCACATTGATTTTAGTAATCAGACATTAAATTCCTCACGGCATGGTGATCCGGGCTGGCTTCCCCCCTTTTCCCTCTTTCCTAGCAGCTCGTTAAACAAATAACCTCGGTAACTAACAGATAACGACAGCGAGCTTATCAATCGACGCCTCAATTCGACAATGACATTCTCGAACTTCCTTAATATAAACTACCTTGCAATTCTTTAATAAGTTTCGATTGATTAACTTCACCCCCAAAGTTACATAGCACCTATCACGACACATCACTAAACGTCATGCCGAAGGCTATCACCATCCAGAAAACCGAGGGGAAACCTGGACAAGTTTATTACCCGTAGGCAGAATCACCTCCCCCCCCTCCTTTGCAAACACCTATCCCCGAATCCCAATCTCCAGTTCCATTACGCCTACTGACGGTTCCTACCACTTCGCAGTCTCTCCCTCAAAGATGTGCCAACGCCCACACCTGGTCCCCACGACCTATTCATCACCCTCCATGCTGCTGCCCTGAATCACCGCGACTTCTTCCTCCGCCAACATCTCTAGTATGGCCTCCACTTAGTAACCAAACGCCCAATTAATTTCCGACTAATCGAATAAACATAGCCCTTCCCCGTCGTTCGAAGTTCCTCTCCTCGCCGACGGCGCCGGTATCGTAACCTCAGTCGGGTCCGCCGCCTCAAAGTCCTGGCTCGGGAAGAAAGTCCTCCTTGTCCCCGGACGAGGCTGGAAGGACTCACCAGATGGCCCCGAGTCACCTGAGGGATATGGAATCCTCGGCGGGACAACTACATGCGAATTGGGTACGGCACAGGAGGTGATATGTGTCCATGAGGATGAGGTGGAAGAGGTGCCAAGTCATTTGAGCAGCGTGGAGGCGGCGGCCCTGCCCTTAGTCGGACTGACCGGTTGGCGGGCGCTCGTAACCAAGAGTGGTAATGCTGAAGCTGGAAGAAACCTTCTGATTACAGGCATTGGAGGTGGTGTTGCATTGGCTGTGCTGCAATTTGCAGTCGCAATAGGAATGAATGTGTATGTGACGAGTGGAGGAAAGGACAAGATTGACAAGGCCGTCGAATTGGGTGCAAAGGGAGGCGTGAGTTATAAAACCGACGGATGGGAGAAGGAGTTAAGAAAGATGCTGCCAAAGGACAGACCTCGTCTTGATACAATTATTGATGGCGCAGGTGGCAATATTGTCTCCAAGGCTACCAGGCTGTTGAGGGTACTGTATACCCAACTTCTCCCACGCAAAACATCGCTAACTTGTCTAGCCTGGCGGGGTTATCGTCCAATACGGCATGACTGTGGGCCCCAAGATGGATTGGTCAATGGCCGCCGTCTTATCCAATCTCGAATTACGAGGTTCGACCATGGGCTCTCGCAAGGAGTTTAGAGACATGGTTGCATTTGTTCAGGAGAAGAAGCTCACGCCAGTTATCTCAAGGGTGGTGAGAGGATTGGATAACCTCAAAGACATCAATGAGCTGTTTGAGGATATGAGAAACGGCACGCAATTCGGGAAGCTGGTTATCGAAATCGCTCAAGATGGCAGCGGAAATAGCAGCAAGTTGTAGGGGCAAATTCTACATCTTTTTAACAACAACCCTCCAAGCTAGCGCAATCGTTTGGTCTCCTAGGAAATGGACTCATCTCCATTTTGTTTTATACCGCCATTTCAAAAATTACTTTCGCCAGAGAAGCTCATGATAGGTGGCAGCATCTATACAATCCGTCCTTCGCAACAGCCAACACACACTTACAGTCTCCACGGCATATTTACAGCGGAATAAATACGTCAGGTCACTCCCAAACTCACGCCCTAGATATTTTATGTTTAGTACACGTGGATTGCCAAGGTCCCAGTCAAGTGATATTAAGGTAGTAGACTCGGGGACTATGTTTTGCCGTGGTGGCGAAAGTATTATTCCGTTTCTCCCGCATAGATGGTAGTACCCCTGGTACAGCCCCGTTGAGCATTCCAATACAATTAAGTTAGATGCTAAGTTCTAAGTTTTGCGTCCACTTGGCGGAATGCATAGCCTCGAATTTATCATTTTGGTTCTTTCGGGCTGCGCAGTTGAGACTTTTGGATATAACAGCAAGGCTGGTTCCACTCCCTGGCTCAACATTTTCAGCATGAAGTATTGAGCTGACTAACATTGATATTACTCCTAAACAGTTTTGGCTACATGGTGCGAATTGGGGTCTTGTACTGTCAAGAGGCCGCTATGAAGTATAGTTGCTTCAATGGTGTAGGAGCTAAACATGGTGATATCCGCTGCATTGCTTCGCAGATATTCCCGGCCACAGACTGCGAAGTTTTCGAACAGCATTATCCTATATTCCAGGGCCATGGTTGCAAGTGTTTCTTAAATGGCATTTGATTTCTGAGGAGATGAGCGATTCCGATTGCCGTTCCATGATTCCCGCAGCTACATTCTCTACGAAAATGCTGCCACTGCCGTAGACACCTAGGTTTCCAGGAGCACTCTAACAAGCTAATGAATGATACTGAACTATCCAAATCATATCAAGGGCTGTGACGGGCGGATGGGATGATTTCGCTACCTAGCTAGTACGCGCATGATTGGAGGATGAGGCAGAACCGCTCGTTGCTATGAAAGTCGCAAGTTGCAACTATTCTCTTTGAGGGCCGCAAACGCTCCAGAGCACCTTCCGTCTGTGGGATATCCTGTGGTTCGACTTCATTGTTTCCAAGGAATAACAAGGTACGCTCTATGCTACTTCGATTAGTTTTCGTTCATAAAGAATATATATTCGTTTTCTTAGGGATGTGGGTCAGAATCTTGCAAACCCTGTTTTCGAGAGCAAACATCGGGAAAATCATCCTCACAATCAATGTATAACGTAATTTGATGGCTACGGAACGCAACGTTCCAATTTTCTTCATCGATATACTCTGTTGGAAAACCCATTATGGCGGGCTTGATCTAGGAAGGCTACTCAGTGAGTCATGAGCCAGAGAGTGTCAGCTCACAGCCCTGAGTAGATACATTGGCACCAATGCAAGCTGTACGAAGAAGAGCAAACAATCAAACAAACACAGGGCTTACGAGAAGGCTGTCCTCCACCCCAACTTTGCTGCTGCCGCCGGGGCACTCAAACATGTGGAAGTAGTCTGTCTGCAGCATAAGAACGGGAAATGAAACGATACACCGTATAACAGCGAGTTCTGATTCCCACGCTATCCTTTGTGTATTAAAGTGCGCTTCAGCCTATCAAACAATCCCGAGGCGCTGGATACGACACGAGTCCCCTGAATAGCGGCTTGTCAGCACGCGTTCTAGGATTCATGACACGGCAAAGCTACGGCGAAGACACGGAAAAGCTACCTTCGCTATCAGATACCTGCTTAGAGGATCTAGGTTTACCAAGCATAGCCCGCCGGCTCGGAAATTGATCCCTCCCCTTAGGTCGCACAGAACTGGGAAGCTCGGCGTTTTGGGGATGGATGGATCTTCCAGAACTGGCGGAAGGATGCTGCGCGCAGCGCACTGGATGCTATTATAGGTCGATATCTTTTTGGGACACATGAGCGACCGCTTAGGCCCAAAGAGAAGCCATGACATGCTAGAGGCGATCTCGGCGTAGAGCACAAGCATGAAGAGCAGGTTTACGGCGCGACAGGTCTAGTCTTTCTTGTTCAAGCTTTCAACTCTTGCAGATAAGGCCAGGCCATCTCAACTGTCCCGAAGTATGCAAGGAGCCCCCAGTCCGAGAGCGGCGTGGTTAAGGTTATTATAAGGTTACGGCCGAGTACCAGGCGACACCGTGAGCCATCCTACCCGTGGGGTTGGGCCGTTGACTATTAATAATGACTAAAACGCAATTGAAAGATCTGAAACAAGACTATGTGCCATCGGGGAGCCCAATTGGTGCCGTCGGTATAGAATCCTACGTCCTAACTGCGAATAGTGTACAGCGGTTGCTTCAGCCGCGACGCTGGATTTCGCGGGACCAACAGGCCTTCGTACTATACACGCTGGAGATAGTACTGCTAAGCTCTGGAATTTTGTCGCGCCATTAACAATACCGCGCCCAGCGCCCAGCGCCCTCCCTCTCTTCTCCAAATATTCCTGGAGCGAAACTGGCTCCTTTGACAAAACTCGGGGGAAATGTTCGGAATCAGCAGCTACGGTAGGCAATGTTGGGCTACGCGTATTCCACTCGAAACATGCAATTCTGTGCCTCTTCAAGTGAAGAGACTGCAGTTACCGCGTTGGGGCATGCTTTGTATAGAGTCATTTGGGCGCTGTCTGACGTCTCCCTGGACGAATCATGACGGCGATTGAAGGCACGGGTCTGGTGCAAGGTTGCGCTGAGCCGCGCTGCCGCCAGCTGGTACGAGTAGTCGCTGCGATCTGATGCGTAAATCCTCCGTATCGCCGCGCTTGTCTCCCAAATATCGCGCTGCGAAATACTTCGGGAGGGATCGCCATCTTTTATTTCCTGTGCCTCTTTGCATACAGGGTCCCCCGAGGTGGTCCCCCCGATTCATATGGCCTATGGCACCCAAGACTACGAGTGCATGTTCTGTTCCGTGGCTCTCCGTTGCTCTTCGCCTGGCCATCGTGCGATGCTAACGGCAGTGGCACGCCGCTTCCAGGGGAGCAGAAGGCTGAGGAAAGAGGCAAAGTCGCAAAGGCTGAGTTGCCATGGCTGGGGCCCTGGAAGGCCTTCTCATTCCTTCGAACTTTCGCTGTCAAGGAGCGGTTAGTTTCGCGCACACGATACGCCTCAGATTTTATTCAGATTTACTCATTTTAGTCTTGTTCGAGTGTCCTATCCTATCCTATTCCCAAGTACATAAGATAGCTCTAGGTAGCCCCCAAAATGTATGCTTCATATGCCCCATCAGCGGTTGTGATAGTTTCTACACAATATATCTTAACCCAGCGGCTATTCCTGATCGTCGCCCCTCATGTTTGCCTCGGTTCCTTTATTCCTCGCTTTAGCGGGGAGTGCTCTCTCGACTCCAGCTAATGTCCTATTCAAGAGAGGCGACACCGTGGATAATAATTCCTGTTTCAATGATCCGAACCTCCCGGCACCTCAGCCTAAGAGCCTTGGTGGCCTTGATCATAACTGGATGACACTCCACTGCGATATTCCGGAGGTTGCTAACGTCGGAGGGAAATACTCGCCGCGCGAACGATGGGTTGCAGCCCAGGCAACCAACGCCCTTGCTGCAGCTCAGATCTGCTGGATAATGTCCAAGGACCAAACGGCCAACAAGTTCACCTTCTCGCAGAGTGTAAGCAACTTTATTCATGGCAAGGACGGCATGAAGTGCGAGATACTTGATGCTTCTGGCGGATCTCTCTCTGGTTGCAGCGAGACAAGCGTATGTGACGAAGCTGGCCATGCTGCCGGGTAAGTTCATACCGCACCAGTTCCCCGAAATTTGGTACTGATAATGGACCTCTTAAGCTTTCAAATCCTCAATTCTATGGCCACAATTCATAGAGTGCATCAGGGAACGTACGATGCTCTGGAGGCAGCGAAGGTTAACATCATTGGGAGAGTCGGCGAGTTTGCGAAAGTTTTTTCTCCTCGAATAGACGAGCTGAGAGCGTTGAAGATTTTTCTGGATGTCATCGGGATGGGATTCGCGCTTGCTGCAGCGCCGGTGTGGAACTCTGGTATGCATGGTTCTTTCCCTCCTATTCCCCTAGACCCCTCTAGTGTCCCACCTCC